ACCACCAATATAATCATGCGAAAATGGTAATTGAACGTACGTTCAAGAGTTCGCTTTTGAACCATGCGACTGCATCGTAACGTGTGCGTTTAGATGGTTAAGAGTGCCATAAGGCCTTCTCACAATCCATTCCAGCCGCAACTTGTACATGCGCTCGATTTCTTCGTATCGCCCGGCGTGGCCTCTTGTGCTGTTGCGCACCTGGAATAGGAACGAAAAGAGTAGACAGTGGAAAAGCGGATGTCCGCCCTGCAACTTTTGTTAGTTTCGCTCACTATGTGCTGGAGAGAGGAACCAAAAAGAAAACGCGTCAAAACGTGGCGCGTGCTGAGAAGGACGCGCGCGCGACAAATAGGAATTCGCAGCAATGCGATCTTTTGAATGAACTTACTGTTGGTGGTCGCTGTACGGGAGAGACCATGGCAGGCGCAGGAGGACCAGAGGATGCAGGATGACCGTAGTGCATTCCCGGTTGAGGGTACTGACCTGCCCATTCAGGTCGCGACGGGTAGATCGGGGTCTGAGGATGCCCAGGGTAATGCTGCATGTCGTGGTGAGGTGTGTAGGGCGAGTATTGCTGCTGGTGCGAGTAGGTTGGGCTCGTCGCGGCGGCGATTGATGGATCTATAGGAACATCCGAGTCAGACTTGTGTTGCTGTTGTTGATGATGGTCATTTGCTTGACCATCTGAGAGAGGCATTGACGGACTCTGTTGTTGCGCCATACCGCCGGGTGCTTGACCTTGAGCGCCTGGTTGGTATGAACGTTGAATGTAGTCCGGGAATGAGCCTGATCGAGCCGACGAAGGATTCAAGCTGTAGTCGGAGGTGGGCGTGAGGTTCGAAGCTCGAGGGTCTTGTCCTTGAGAGGGGTATTGCGCAGCAGATGCTTGATCTACAGAGACACCCTCAGAAGCTGGTTCAGGAAAGGTGGGATAGGGCGAGCTCAAACCTGACTGCGGGTATTCTTGTTGTCTTGCGTCCATAGACTGTGTACACGAAAGAAGGCTGGGATGCACCTAAGCTAAAGCTGGGCTGAATCTCGCGTGTCCAAGAGGAGGGATGGCGGTAGTGATATGACGGATCGTAGATCGTCTGCGGACGTTTTACCGCGGGTCAATGACAGAGGCGTCACTAGTTCCAAGTCCAGAGAAAAGTGAACAGAGCAACAGGGACCGAGCGCAGCCAGGAAGTCGGGAAGAGGATGGGTGGATGATAGCGTGGAACTTAAAAGCGGGTGATTTACAGACGGTGTATTTTCCAGTGCGCCCAGGTGGACGACCTGTTCGGCAGATTTAGACTGGAAGCACACGGAAGGCTTGCGCTCGAGGCCACCAGAGCAGGGGAAAGAAGCTAGTGCACAAGCTCTCGACTCGCGGACCAGCTGGCGCAACGCAGAGAGAGGTGCAACGCACAGGTTACACGAGGACTGTTAGCGGTCGATGATGCGGGTCTGCTTGGGGCGAGGTGTGAATTTGGAAGAAATGCTAGTGAAAGCCGGGTTAAGTCGACTTTAGTACAGGTGGCGCACAGCCTGCTTTGCCAATCGCGATGCCGTTCTCGGGCGTGCCGCTTTACCCAGGGGATCTTAGTCCAAATGTGAGGTAATCGAGGCAGAGGCGGAACTGGGTCAAGGATGTGAGAATGAGGTATGCCGCGGAGTTGACGATTGGTTGAGTGCCGGATCCGAAGGTGGCTAGCGCCGTGGAGAGTTGGGGTGGATTATGGGTGGGAACCGTCGGTCTGTCAAAGGGTGCGGAAATCAGAGCGCGATGTCTGGTAGGCTAGCAGAGGTCGGTTGGGACGAGCTTGTTCGCCGATGGGTGCGAATGGGCCTGCAGATGGGCCACAGAAGCGGTCTTGGTGGACGGGAAAGAAGTGGCCGGTGCGCTTGGGGCAGCAGAGAATTCGGGCCTTTGATGACGAAGGGGGGATAGTTTCACGAGCGCTGCGAATCTCCCTGCACTCTTTCACTTGCGCCGAGCGTGCCGAGCGATCGCCTTCTCGTCTGGCCGGAATCCCGTGAAATAGGCGTCCGTCAATAGTGGGAGCAGAGGAATGCTGGGATGCAGGCTCAATTGCGCTGCGCCCGGGGCGTAGAGATGAGGGCGGTGGGCGATCTGGAGCCTCTTTGCTCTCTGCGCGCAGTTGACTCGCGCGGCCGCACGGGTTTGAAGTCTTCGCAAAACCGCGTGCAAGTGCGGCGGAGAGACTTTTCTGACGCGCCGGGCAGGCGACCGTCGTGAACTGGCGGCGGGTTGCACGTGTAGCACAGCGGGCGCGCGATCTGGCGTACCTGAGCAAGCGGGCGCTGAGATGGAGGCGGGCAGCGTTAGGGCAGGCACCAGACGCGTTTGACAGTAGTGGTTGTGGTGGTGAGCAGCGCAAGATTCGCGATGTAGGCTAGGGAAGAATTGGGAAGGCGTCAAGGCGGGCGAGGTACAGTCGACAGAACCCGCTTACCTAATGCTGGCGACTGGCGACTGGCGACGAGGCATCAGTGCGCCGGGGCTCACCTGCCGCTGGGGGCCCCGGGCGCCCGTTTGCGTGAGCAGGGGACGACATGGCCGACACTGACAGGGCGCTCGCAGATGCTGATGCGGATGCGCCTGCACGTCGTCGTCGCGCCCTCGCTCGACGTCAAGAAAAGCGTGCGGCCATGTCTTGAGGCTGAAGTTAGGCCCACGCTAGGGCGCATGGTACGCAAAGCCTAGCACCAAATGCTCGCCTGGCGAGACTAGACATACACAACACCACCACGCCTGCTCCAGGTGCAACAACAGCAACATCGTCGCCCCCGACCGCGCGCTCCCCAGCGACAGCGCGGTCACAATGGCGGTGACCTCAGTCGCCTCGCCATGCGGGCGGCCTGCAGACATGCCCGGCAAATGCGGCCACCGAAACAGCTGCTGGCCGTATTGGACGGCACAGACGTCCTGAGCGGCAAATACGCCCAATGCGTCCACCAGAAGCAACGCAGGTGGGACGGAAGAAAACGCGGCATCATCTTGCCGCTGCTGATGGTCCCATGAGCCATGGCTGCTGCTGAACAGGCCGTCGTTCAGCATCTGTCACTGCATCCATTATTCCCACCGCCAGGGATTGGCACTGGAGAGATACCGCTGTCTCGTTGCAATTCGCCCAAGTCTGTCCGCTGAGAGAAGCTGGACGTTGCCCATGCTGCTCCGCGACTCGTCGCGAGACCAGCTGCCAGTGCGGGACCGTCATGGCCAGGACGCCCAATTGGGGGAACCATTTCGCCGTGTTTCCCAGCACGCTGCACACCCAACACAAGGGTCCATGTTTTCAAAGCCGTGCAAGCATCCCGTTGCTAGGTAATCGCGACATGATTATTGTTTGTTTCAGCCTCGCACAGCTCTCCTGTCCAAGTATGCTTCTCCTGGATATTACACTTTTCCCGCCACCATCGCGGAGCCGATTATAGGTCAGCAGACCGTTAATCCTGCATCCATGCATGCAGGTGCAACACACCGCGACACGGATAAACATCGTCAGACTGACCACGCACACGAAGCATCGAGGGCGGTTAGCACCGTGTTCTCGCTGCTGTCAGTTGTTGCATAGTGGGGCTCCTCGTGTCTCTTCTGCCCTGCTGCATGCTGCGATACGCGGCCACATCAGCAAGGATGATTCACTCTTCGTTTTATGCTTCTGCCAGGTGTGATCCGCTTCCATGGTCATTGCGCAACGCGCAACCCATCAGCCGGCATCGCCTCCGACCACAGCTAACCAATTTCCTTGTGCTTATGGTAAGATGTGGGATACTTACGCCATCATGGGCTGTCGAATAATGCCTGCGGCTTGATGATGCGGCTTGAATCATTCATGCCTCGCAATTTCCAGACTGGCCAGAAGCCCGTGGAGGATCCGCTTGCCCGCATCCGACAAGCACTAGTTCCAGCCACTCTAGCACCCAGGACTGCCCTGAGATCTCCAGCTTTACATGCGTCATAGACTCGCCTCCCGAAAGAGGAAGGTCATTCGTTCAAACTGGAATCGGTTCCTTCTACAGTTTCTGCCCCCGTCTGTTATGTCTTCCTGGAACATGATACCTGTATGATCTTGCCCTTGCGATTACAGACCTTGGTCCGCGCAGAATTAAGAATAGGCGGCAGAGTCCAAAATGATCGGACCCAGGATCTTTGCGCGGAGATGCCGCTAAATTCGAACAGATGCACCGTCGAACGGGAGCGGGAGCCAACAAGTTCGCAATTCGAGCAACATCGCTTGGAGTGAACCATTGTACTATGTAGCTCGGATTATGCGAAGGGCTCCATGGAGTGTGCTTCATAACAGAGTGCGGCTCGGAGATGGTTCATGTTGCTCCACGCATACTTCCCGGACGTGTGCGAATAGACATCTGGCCGAAAAACTTGCTCGGACGAAAATCTCTGTCCATTGGGCAATCCAACACAGTCCGCTTGTCAATACGCTCGCAGACAGTCGATCGAAATGCTCCAGTACTTGGGTAACGGTACATTGCTGGTCGCTGGTCGCGCTGGAAAGCATAATCACAATTGACCTTCGAAGGCATCCGGCCAAGACCCGCGGCACACACCGTACCTTTGAGTACAGACTTAGATCTAGGAACGCATTGCTATCATGACTTTGAGGCCTACAGGTCACACTGACATGAGCAACGACCCCTGGCCTAGCACCAGGCCGGTCTATGTGGCTTGCCTAACTTCTCGGCCTCTTCAAATCAAACGACTCACGTGGCGAAGGCGCACAGACTCACAAAATTGTATCCCATCTGTTTTTATCTGAACACCAGACCCTGGCACACTTTCCGGAGTGTCGGATCACGTAGCTCCGTATCGTATACGTAACTTTTACGATCACTCTACCACCCACAATTGTCAATTTTGCGAGTGCCAATCCTATTATCTAAGTTTTGAGTCGCTTGCATCTGCTTCCAACCTAGTTTCAGGTTTCAGATCACAATTTGGATATGATTCTCTGGGCTCTTCCGCGCAATACTGCTGCCTTCGAGGCCGCGGCATTTTGCGCACGACTGACGGCCCACCTTCCGTTTTCATACGCTGACCGCCTGTGGAAAGCAGATTTCTAGCCACATCGACCAGGATCATGCATAAGAACCCTGGTCAGAGTGCCAAGTGTGCATACTGCGCATTGCATTCCATCCTCCACTCGAAGCCCACTAATAAACCTTGAGGATGTATTGAAGATCAAAGGCGTTGCGCGATTGGTTGGCGCGCGTTTCCGTCGTCAACACAGCCTTCCACCCGAATCATTTCGGACACGGAAACGATGGTGATCACTTGCTCAGAGCAGAGACGTTGCAAGGCGGAGTCACTTCAAACCGGCCAGCGTTGCTGCACATCATAATTTTGGCATGTGTAGCTTGTGCTAGTCACGTCAGGGGTGAACTTCGGGTCACGCCTCTGGATCTGCAGAATCCTCGTAACGCCTACGCGCCTACTCCCTTCCTTAGCCGTCCAATGTTTATCTTCATCGTGGGCACTACAGACTCATGAGACAAAGCGAGAAGGCCGCTTGCGATCTCTGCCGTGGCCACGCTTAGCATGTAACTTCCCCACGCTCAGGGCTGAGATCTTGCTGCCCAGGCAAGAACACTCGAGATTCCCGAAGCCCTCTGCACTCCTCCACAAGGATCCGTAGCATACCTGTCTTGCCCAATTGCATTTTCGTTTCTTTCAAAATCCTCTCATACACTCCACAGTGCGACCCGTCATAATTTACTTCCCATGACGATATTGAACGAGGAAATATCTTTGATCACACGAGATCTGACAAATAACGCCCAGACGAAGGCTGCATGCGAGGCTGGATCTCCTAGAGTGACCGAAGAATGCCCGGACCCGAGTGCAGAGATCATTCCCTGCGACCTTGCTCAATTGGAGTTCGCGTGAACGTCGGGGCAAAACTCATGGTTCACGCTTGCATTCCCCAGCATCATTCCCCACCGGCAACTTTGCCTCGCGCTTCCGTTTATTCTTGCCCTGAGATCGCGCTTTGAAAATGAACATCAGCGGAAATGAGCCTGCTACGCGTGCACAACCTTACATCCAACTACTCCGTAATTTGCTTACAGCCATGTGCATCTTTGAGTCATTCCCGCTCTCAAAGGTTTGCTGAATCATTCAATATTACGTGACCGTCAGGTCACTGAAATGCGAAACCCCACTTACCAACAGAGATCGAATACGGCACACTCTAAGGCACACGGCATGTTAACCGCTAGCCATCGGTTTGTCCCAGCTCCTGGCCCCTGGGACTGGCTGACCTTCTTTCGTCGTCAATCAATAAAGCTTCTTCAAAACAGTTGTCCATGATTAGGAACATGAAACCGGACTCAGCCAGAACTACCAACATCGTCAGCTGTAGCGCAAACTTAAAATTCGCGATGGGTGGCGCTTGGGGCAACTCATCGGCATCATGCCTAATTCCGTACAGCACATCCAATAGCCACAAGGAGCAAATATCCGAGACATTGATTCCCATCGTACACATCATCAAGCGGTTACGAATGCGAGTGTGGACAGCATTATTCGTGTCTGCAATATTTCGTCACGCCCATCCAGCAGGGTTTACAGTCCAGATCACGTTCTTGGTCCATGATCGATCCAGCCAACACCGAGAAAACAATTGTACGACGCCGCAGGCAGTCACTGGGCCTGGGTTCCTGCGCTATGTGACGGGTACCAATCGCTGGGACTAATTCCGCTCCGTACCACAGTTCAGTCGGCTTCTGCCGAAAAAACATTGCCGTGCTCACAGTTCAATCTCGAAATGCGAAATAGAGTCCCTTACATGCTCTGGGACATACCGTACCACAACTTTGGTTGTTGATTTCCAACAAATTCAATTCACCTGATTCTTAATGCGTCCGAGGCTGTGCAGCAGATTAGCCGACGAGCAATGATGTCGGCAAGCATGATGACGCCGGCCTCGAAGGACTGCCGGCAGACCGGAAACACCCCGTCGTTTTCGGCGAACTGCAGAACAATGCCCGGCACGGTGTTTGGTACACTACTGCGGGAATTCGGTCTAGTCCCGCGAACCCCTCGGGGTATACTCCGCCAGAGACGTTCTTGACCGTAGAAGATATCGTGGGGAACGCGCGGTCGTCGAATCACCGCACCCGGAACACTTTGATCCAACACGAGCTTCCATGCGGCAATCAAGGCAGCGAGCAAGCCACATGCCCAGCTCATGGTCTTGAGAGGAAAAGCGATATTGCACTCCTGGAAGTTACCGTCAGTGATGGACCACGGCGAATGCCCCCGTCAATCGAGACCTAGACAAAGGAGTCTCGAAGCAATGTCGGATGTTCGTCTCTCGTCACTCAAGAAATACGCACAGAAGCGCATGTGAGACTATCCTCTTTTCCAGCTTGTTCAGACCATGAATGTTCAGATTAACTACTCGCACTGTCACATTGCCAGTTCGCAATCTAGCGGTCGCAAACTAACCACGCGCCTCGGAAAGTCCGTTGCCTGACAATTGTGCTCGCGCATCAGCCCGTTCGAGCGCCAGCAGCGGCAGCTTGCTTGTCGCCGCCGTCATGTATCACCGTCGAGAGACTGGCTCACGACGGGGTGTGTTTAGCTGCGGCTCTATGTTGACATCACAGCTGGATTGCATTGTAGGAGACTGCGCGTTGGAGATGTGATTCAGAGTACCATATGAGCCTTCCCGATCAATATCATTATTTTTCAGCACCGATGCTCGTAGTGAGATCGAATGTTCCAACCTCACTTCTATACTCAATAGCAGAAAATCCGTCCGTTACTTGCTAGTCCGTTGAATCTGGACGATTTCAGGTCACCAATTCGTCTATGGCAATTGAGAGGAGGCACAGTTTTGACCTCGCTGGAGTCAAAATGGCACTCACTGACTGCCTATATCGTCACCGTGACTTACCATGCGATACAGTTGCAGGACTTTCCACTGCGCATCTCCAATCGCAAATTCAAACATCCTTATCTGGGTACCAGTGATACTCTTCCTCAGTCTCCCCCGATTTCTCCCCAGCACCTTTGGTAGAGTTGGGGACCGTTTGCGTCATTAGTTGTCTATTCTTCCTCGGTGAAGTCACAGTCCCCTTCGATCTCCGGTTGCTATCTACACTGATCCATATCTTCCCACAGTATAGCATCGGGGATCACTTTCGAGTCTAGGTATACATTAAACAACTAGAGTGAAACTCACCCAAGAAATATAGCTGCCTTGATGGTAGACCATGGGACCCAGACCTTCCAACGACCACGCAAAACTACTGCGGCGATCTCCAATCGCCGATTACTTCGTCCCTGCAGGAAACCATGTATCCGTGGACCAAACTAGTGCGCGATTATCATGACTGCAAAGTCTGGCCGCTTTCGTATCAAGCCTCGCCAACCACCATTTGAAAAGTCGCGCCCAGACTCTTTGCAATGCTTGGGTACCGTACTCCTCATCATAATGCGATTCTGGACGGATAGAAACACTGGTTCGATGACCAGCACATGCAGACGAAAGCGTAAAGAGGAGTCGATCCGACTCTGTCCGCTTCCGGATATCAGGACTCGTGGAACTGGTTCATGGGCTGTGAAAGTCCCGTTATCGGATGAGCTCTGTCAAGCTTTGCAAGGTAGATACGCAAGATGCGTTTCGCGGCCTGCCGGGGTACACGAGGGGCGGAGGATCTAGTGTCTTCTGCTGTCCAACAGGTTGAACGAGACCACATCCCACTCTTGTGTCGCTACTTTACGCAGCATACGTTATCATACAATTCAACTCGTGCAACAAGTCTATGCAGGTAACTGAGGTCTTGGTACGTGGGTATGTAGATAAAGATTGCAACTTTCTACTTAGAAAAGTAGAAAGCACAAGCAACTATACCCCAAATCTAATTCGATCTCCTAAAATCCTGTCCGTTATAGCTGTGAACAGAAGGAAGCTGCTCCTTCAGATATCCATGAACTGGGTACGTCATTGCAGTCCAGGAATATCTGAGTGAGCTCTCCACCATACTAGCCTCGGTATGCCGACTTCATCATTTGTAGTTCGATTAGAGCAAAACGTGAAGGTGAACACATTAAAGAGAGTGTATAAGCAGAAGATGTTCACTGCAAAAAGGATTTGAGCAGCCCCGAAAAAAACCATAGTGACCCAAACTTCGCTGTCCACACTCACGCTCAACAGTGTGTGGCATAGAGGGCTTTTGACTTATTTCACTCTGCTTTTCCTTGTCCCTTCGGCAATTTCTCTGACTCCCAAAAGGAGTCAGGTTGTGCACTTCTCCGTCGGGTCCTTATGCCCAACACTCGGACTCCGATGTATGCGCAGGCTATACAAATCCTACCCAGACAAACCCTTGCCAGATAATGAAATGCTACTATCATATACTTGGCATCGCTATTTCTAACCATTGTCTCCGATCACGGCAATTGCAATCTGGGACGCATGAGTTTGTATAGTGTTTCAGTGGAGCAGTCATGTCAGGCAGACCATTGTTCAGATGTCTTGCTTTGGGGAAAAATACAATTTGTCGTGCAAAAAGCAGGAAGAGCGTTCTGCATGGCATAAGCTCAGACATCGCGGCTCTCCAAAACAAGTCCGTTTGGCTCGCGACCAGGCAACTGTAGACCAGTGAGGCTACCTAAATATGCCGTTCGCGCATCATCTTTACACGTGTTGGCAAGAATCGAGGTCATCTTTACAATTTTATGATGAGATCGATCAACAAGTTGAAGAAAGTGTGTTCTATATTGGTATTATTGTAGCAGACTTTTGTGAGTGAGATGTAACGCCACCACTCCATCATGCAGAATGGCTTGAGACCAGTTGTGATCGTTAAAAGAAATGCCAGTCTAAAAAGTGAAAATGCATGCTCGCCTTACCATCCTTGTTGGTATGTCTGGCAAGCCCGTCCTCAGGGGTATCAGCGCGTTGCGCGGTGTTCCGTTGCGGTAATGAACGAATAGTATGAAATGAGACTAGACATGGATGCGTCGTTGGCACCGTTGAAAAGGACCTCATGCGTCTCGTGAGAAGTGTTGACACAATCAAACGAATTACCACCTGCTGTTGCGGATAGGATCGTTGTTACCGCCAGTCCGTCCTGAACAGAGTCAATATGACATCGATGCTAGTAGGAGGGATTGTGCCTACCACCACGGCCTCCGCCGCGACCTCCACCACGGCCACGGCCACCTCCCCAGCGACCACCTCCGCCGCCGCCGCCACCGTAGCGGGCCATCTCATGAAGGCGAGGGTCAATCTGCTGCTTGGACTCTGTAAGGATCTGGACAAGGTCGCGAGCCTGCTTGGAGTCTGCGATCATGTTAGCTGAGCTGCTTCAATTATCATGTCGGTGGGTGGATACATACTCTCAGTAGTGAAGAGGGTGATGGCGGTACCGTTGGCACCAGCGACGGGTGACCGGTACGACCAATGCGGTGAACGTAGTCTTCCGAGTTGTTCGGGTAATCATAGTTCAGCACATGGGTAATGTTACGAACGTCTTAAAAGAAAAAGGTTAGCATGAAATCAACGAGGTGATCAAAACGACGATCGGATATGATCGCGTGAAGCTGCAGTATGTTGCATAATGCTTCCGTCTCTGTGCGCTAACGACGATAGTCATGGCATTCGAGTCCAGTGGAAAGGCTGTGGTAATTCTCCTGGTCCGGAAACCCTTGATAGATACTGGGGACTTTGGGTAAGTCAAGATATCTCAGCTTGCTTCAGTAGTATACCGGAGTGATACCTGAAACAAGAAGTGGCACAGAGCGAAAGGCTTCGCTGTTCTGCCCAAGGATCCCTGGAAATCAGATGCGAGAAACACTAAAAGCCCTGGACGATGTCATGGAAGCGATAGGAGCGAGCGCACAAGACGACCTAGCAAAGCACAATGGCAGTTCACGCATAGCAATATTCGGGGGGAGGGGGGATGGGAGGGGTGAGGGGGGGTCTGCAATCATACCAATACCACGCGATGCTACATCAGTAGCAACCCATGATGGGGCTCTTGCCGGTCTTGAACTCGTTCAGGACCCAATCGCGCTCGTTTTTGTTGCTTGTCGCCGTGAATGGCTGGAGTTTGTTAGTGCATGGTCTGAGATATTCTTGCAGAGTTAACTTACACAACGCCGGCCATCCGTCTTGTCGAAGGAATCGGGTAATCTCGTCAGCAACACGTTTGGTGCCTGTGAAGACCAGGACCTTGTTAGCCTTGTCGTTCATGATCTGCTCAAGATGCTTGGCCATGCGGTCGCGCTTCTCGAACTCTGAGACGACCTCAACGATCTGCTGAATGCGGTGGTTGGCGGACAGCTCCATGGAACCAATGTTGACCTGGATCCAATCGTTTTGGTAGTCGGCAGCCAGCTGTCGGACTTCCTTGGGCCAGGTAGCCGACCACATGCAAGTCTGACGATCTGGGCGAATCTGGCCGATAATCTTGCGGATTTGAGGCTCGAAACCCATGTCAAGCATACGGTCAGCCTCGTCGAGAACAAGGTAGGTAATGCGGCGCAAGTTGGTCTTTCCAGCCTCGAGCATGTCAATGAGACGACCAGGAGTAGCGATGCAGACTTCGACACCACGAGCGAGGTCGCGGATTTGAGGACCCTTGGGGACACCACCGTAAACGCAGGTGTTTCGGATGCGCGAGGATTTTCCGAATTTGCTGATCTCTTGCTGAATCTGGACAGCCAACTCACGGGTGGGGGCGAGGATCAGGACGATGGGACCGTCGCCGGGAGCGAGAAGAGGCTGGGCGTTGATGTGGACAATAGCTGGAAGACAGTAGGTGAGGGTCTTTCCGGAACCAGTCTCAGCGACACCGACGACATCGCGACCGGACAAGGCCATGGGCCAGCCCTGAGCCTGAATGGCGGTGGGCTTATCGAAACCCTGTGCCTTGACCTCGCTCATAACGTAGCTTGGGAAACCAGCCTCGTCGAACGTCGTGACAGGCTTGGGAATGTTTGTGCCCTGGACGGTCATCTGATGCTCCTTGCGGTAGGCATCGACCTCTTCAGGTGTGCGCGCAGTGACTGCAGGGTCCTCCTTGTAGAAAGACTTCTCGAATTTGGGCATGGAGTCGAGATCTGTATCTTGTTAGCGTTGCTTTTGCAAGGTGTTGTGAATGTTGCATACCCCAAGTCTGCGTCTTCAGGCCCTGGCCGAGCGCGGACATGCGGTCGCCGCCATCGCGACCACCGCCAAATCCACCGCCTCCGCCGCCGTAGCCACCACCACCGTAGCCACCTCCTCCACCACCGGAGTATCCGCCGCCGCCTCCACCGTAGCCGCCGCCGCCGCCACTAAAGACATGTTAGCCAATGTTCATGTAGAAAAGGTGATGAGAGAAGGGACTTCTACGCTATTGCAGCAAGTACGTGACCGCCCGCTTGACCTACAACAGCAAGTGAAGCAAGCGCGGTCGCCGAACTCAATCTGCGCGCAAAAGGTGATGAGCAAAGAGAAGTAGCAGAAGGATAGGGCTTCCAAAAATCGCGACACTGGTGCCTATTCCCGTGTTTAGGGGGATATCGTCCTACCCGTACGATTTGTATTGGCTTGAGTAGTCGTAATTGTTGTACGCTCCGCTTCCTGTGTTGCTGTGTTCGTACCCGTAACCGCCGCCGCCGCCATCGCGACCGCCGCCGTATCCTCCGCCGCCGTAAGACATGATGTTCGAAGTTGCGGTAGTGACCGGTGTCAAAGAACAGAAAAAGAAGTGAAGAGAGCGGGATGTGAGATCTGCAACTGCGAGAGTGTAGAAGATGCAGAAAAGCGACTGTGGTGTGTCGCTGAATGTGCGGTAATGGAGTGCACAGAAAAGTCGAGGGTGAGTGAGTGGTAGGAGAAGGAGGGCGAGCGACAGAAAAGGTCGGTGCCTTCGCCTCGCCGGACGCGCTTGCACAAATTTCCTGGCCTTGGCACACGCTAAAGGCGCCCTGCATTTTCTGCCTGCCTTATCATCACGTGCAAGTCGCCACTGCCGCGAACATCGCAACCAACATCGTCAATAACATATAGCTCATAGCAAGCTGACCCATATCACTGATGAATTCGCATTATTCTACAGGCTCTCACTCTTCATGATGATACCCCGTGGCTTTTCAGTCCCATGTCCCAGAAGCCCCTTTCCATCTGTGACAGGTTAGCTTCGGCATGCACAAACATCACGGTCGGCAAACGGCAGGACCTACGTTTGTCGCATGGATGAATATGCGCGCTAGTTCCTCAACTCTTGCAAGTGATTGCTTGCCCGCATGCTCCTCGATCAAGTCTGAGCCTCGTACCATCGCATCCATGTACTCCTGTCCAATATACTGCTCGATCCACGCCCAGTACCTGCTGCCCTCCCTTACAGTCTTTGGGTCTTCATAAAGCCGTCTCGCAATCATGCCATAGCCGATGAGACAAGGTAGCAGAGCAACTTGCAAGGCCAGCCAGTCTTGGGATTGCCCGATGTCGAGGACGTAGCGTGTGTATGCGGTGGTTGCTGATCATACATTAGTCTGCAGTATTTGTTGTGGCATGGGCCGACTTACCTTGATCTTCCTCCTGTTCAGTGATGTCAGTCTCCTCGAGGCCATACTCTTTGCAAAAGTCAATGTGGAGCTGAATCTCCTTTTGCAACGTGACAACCTGTTGGACTGATCGATCAATGTCCTTGAGAGAGCTGGACTTGTATGCCGCAAGAGCGGTAGCCCTTGCGAATTGTACAAGGAAGAGATAATCCTGTATCATGTAGTACTTGAAGTTCTCCACTGGCAGCGTGCTATCTCCCATTCGTTGGACGAAATCATGCTGGGTGTACTGCTTCCATGGTCCTTGGATATCCTCCCTGTCTAACAGATAAGGAATGAAACGACCCCTGTGGTTGTCAGTCACCAGCAAAAATTCCGATGGAAAGGCACCTACGGCGTGAATGGCAACGTGTATGTTGAATGAAAGTGGTTGATAGGTCCACTCCCGTGACCTAAGCTTACACTCGTCTTGATGCCTGCCTCCACGTAATGGTTCGCTTGTTTCACCGCCTTGACCATACTCACACCAGCAGCTAGATTACATGCTATGGCAGCTTCTTGATTGTTAGCAGCGTTCTTTCGGATTCGAACGAGGCTTCGACTCACAAGCGAGCGAGCACCCAGTACCGTGCGTGTTGTCACTCTTTAGGTACTCACTCTCCATCAATGTAAGCCCGCTCTCCCCAACTAGTACATTCAGTACAACTTCCTTCTCGCTCTCGGCCTTGCTGACCATCTTTCCTCGGGTCAGTGGCAGATGGGCCACCTTTCAGCAGGACCCATCTCGGTCCTAGCCCCTGAATTCTGTGCGCCATGGCTATGATGTCTTCGACATTTTCTGGTTCTCTTACTTCCACGCCTGCGACACTGAGAAGAAGTTTCGCTTCCGGTAAGTTTGGAGTAAGAATTGTTGTGAGTGGTAGAAGATGATTGATGAGTGTGGATACGGCTGTCTCTGGAAGAAGCTGTGAGCCAGACGTTGACACCATGACCTACCAGTGATTAGCATAACCACATTCAAAGCTACGCCATTTGCATTGCTGACGATTTTCTGGGGTTCATACAGGATCTACCACAGTGGTAGCGACGTCGTGTCTTCGAATTGCATCGGCCACAATCTCAATTGACTCCGCAGATGCCAGCATACCTGCAAATCATCAGCGAATGCATCTTAACAGCGGCGCAACCGGTACCAGTCTTGACTACATCGACTCCAACGTCTTGACATACTGCATCAATCTGTTTCTGCAGAAATTGCGGTGGTATGTGGTGGATGTCTTGGACGCCAAGAGTATTCTGTGCTGTGAGGGCGGTCGTAGCAGTCATAGCATAGCACCCATGCGCAGCAATAACTTTCTGATCGGCTTCTAGACCCCTGTCATATACAAGTTAGTGAAGTGAGTGGGCGGGTGTCAATCCAGGATGCATGCATACGCCCCACCGGAGCTATCAGACCCGGCGATCACGAGGATGCGCTTAATTGCCATCATGGGCTGTAAGGAGTGGGCTTGGTGTAGAAGATTGTTCTGGGCTTTGGAAGTTCTGAGGTAACATTTGCGAGCCCCGCTATCCGGAACTAGGCGAGACCACGTCATTATTCATATAGTTTCGCTACGTACGACGTAGAAGTTACACTTGCAACTGCTTTTTCTTTCGCTGCGTACAGAAGAAGACGGCACGTCACCTGCTCCGCCCGGTCATGTTCCGAACCATTCCTGAGTGTACTCAAAGTGGGTACGTGTGGGTCAATATTCCAAGTATCACGCATGTTAGGCGAAAGTTATGCCGTCCTACCGTTTTGCTCAGTCGGACTCCCCTTCAAACTCAGATACATTCGGGTCTAGACAGATTTTGGTCAGTTTGCTTTCTACCACGCACATAGCAAGGTGTTGTTCTTACCTCGAAGAGCCATGTATTCCAAAGTTCCGCCAGTCTTCTGATCCAAGCATTCCCTAAGCATGTTGACACTTTCATCAGAGAGCATTGTGTCAGGGTCGGCCATATCAATCGTGACTCGGATGCCAGAGTTGCCAACATCTAATTTGTTGACGAATTCGAGTAGTCCGTCGACAGTGAACTTGGAGATGCCAGAAAGCGTGACATTCCGCAGATTAGGAAGACCGGCGACGCTGTCCAAAACGTCATCGTTAAGCTCCAATCCATTTACATAAAGGTCCTCCAGCGCTTTCAGGTTGCCAAGAATGGTAATGAGATGCTCGTCTCTCAAGACCTCCGGTAGGAGAAGCTTTAAGTCTCGTAATTCATGCAGCTGTTTCAAAGAGTCGACCAGCGTGTCGAGATCGTCCCGAAACATGCCATCGGTGTCGCCGCTGAGCGATAGGTTCTTGAGAGATGACTGTTGGTGCACCAGCGCCTGATGGAAGTTTTGATGGTCCTTCAGTGTGTAATTGTCCATCTCCACATGCGTCAACCGAATGTTAGGCTCCAAAAGAACTGGAGTAGCGAGTGCTGCGCCCGATTGCAATTTGGGGAATATAAGATGTTGGAGGTGTTGACACTTCCTCAACCAGGCGATCACCTCAAGAAAGACGTCGTTTTGAGTCGCCTCGAGGTCGACCTGTCCATGGTAGTCTTCGATCCGCAGATACTTGAGGGCAGTGCATCCTGCCAAAAGGTTCAAGAAAGGCGCTGAATCGTTCGAGATACATAGCTTAAGGTCTTCGAGCGATTCGCCGTGTTGATTCAATGCCAGGAAGGTCTCAGCACCTGCGCGGATATCACTGATGGTGTGAAGCTGCTTCAAAGAATTCGGTCGCAAGGCACCAAGGAACTTTGCGAATTTGTGGTCGCTGGTTTCAGATGACCAGGTGTAGATCATGAGCGAATTGAACTGTGGGCAATGCTCAAAGATGGAAGCATGTACAAGTTCGTCCTCGAGAGGCTTTCCGTCCCACAATTCGATAGTCTGCAATCGAGGGAGACGTGGCGTCCATCGCACTAACGCGCTTGGCAATACTGGTGATGATCAGCCATATGTAATGGAGTACGATTGGACTATGCTTACGCTCGCCACTGATGAGCTCAAGCGTGGGTGTGTGCTGTGTGACCACTATCATTAGGTAAGTATGGAATTGTTCGGTAGACAAAGCTCAATCACTACCTTCTCCAATAGCTGCCAGAACACAAAGTACGATGTCAGCTAATGCCAATATCAAGCCCGAACATCGAAACTAACCGTCAATGATGTCCGCGTTCTTGAGCCGCGTAAGCTTCTTTCCGCGGATAGATGTGAAAGTCTCAGTCTTCTCGAACTGCTTCAGAGGCCCGGAGAAGAATTGCCTAGAGCGAATTAGCTCCCGAATGGTCTACTTCACTTCGTAACTCACTTGAAGACCTTATTCCGGAATTGATCTTCGTCAAGTAGATTGCCGAGGTCGCGGAAGTCAAGGTTCTTGATGTACCGACAGTAGGGAAAAAGCGTGGCATCGAGGGCGGAGGCAATGATAGATCGCCACAATATAGACCATCGCTGGATAGTGAGTAGCTTAGTGGCTTGCGTCAGGCTATAGTAGTCATCTCCGCCACCGCGAACAGGAGCTGTATGATGTGACCTGGGCTGCATATTAGCCTTGTTCTATTATTCTGTACATAGCCGATGTGGACCGACTGGAGCATGTCACACACCGATAGAGATGGGTAAGCGCTGGCACCGCAAGAACTCGGCTCGAGCAAGCACAATTGAACAGAGTATCGAATTGATCCTGACTCGCAAGCTCCTCGCACAGAACATGCAAGATGTCGTCTGGCAGCGCCGGTAGCGCCATGCTGTGTTATCGATGTTACCTCGTTACTTCAAATTGCAATTGTTGATGGAGGGCCAACGGTACCTGGACCCTGCGCGCACCCGTGACGTCGACGCGCCAGAACGCGCTAGCGATGCCTTCTTGCCCGATTTGTCCAGTCTCACGAACAGCACATCACCATGCGATGCACGGTCGGGTCTAGCAATGGTTGTCCTCAATTTCACACTGACGCCTGAGGCGGCGTCGAAAGTCCATGACTTGCTGGCCTGTCTCAGCAAGTTCAGCGACACAGTAGCCATCGAAGCGAAACGCGAAAGAGTAGGTCAACGCCACTTCTCTTATCAAGCTTCCATCATCTCATGTTCCTTGTCTTAGTTTACCTTTACCGCATTGAACACCTCAAGATCCGCGTACTGTGCTGTCGCCTTGGACGGTAAACAGTTTTTTACCACCTACGAGTGCATACCAAGCCATGGCGGACCAGAAGGCCGGTTCACGTGTAGCATGTACACCAAGTCACTGCTGTCCGTATTCAAAGGACGACTTTACGACCCTCTTGGGCGAGACGGCGCCATTGACAGGTGCGAAGTCAGTGTTCAAGAGCGAGAGAATGAGGCGCAATGTCGGTTCATCGTGAAGATGGTGTGCAACCAGGGTGTCATCAAGACCTACAAGTTGACGTACGAAGCATGCGAGGTTATGCACGCGCTATTTGATCGCAACGTAGCCAAGAACAGGTGGAGCCTCCATTCAGGCGCAGTCAAGGAGTACATCGAGTATTTCGGTACCAAAACGGAGATGTTGGACATCTATGCAGGCGAGGACGGTCGATGCGTGTTCAAGAGCTATACCGAGAAAGTCACCAACGGCAAGGAAATCCTGAAGCACCCACTCGTCACAGCAGTCGCAGTCAACACATCAGATTTTGACGACTTCAACGTGCAGCCAGGCCTACATATCGTTGTCAGCGTCAAAGACTTCAAAGCCATCGTCGTGCACGCCGACACACTGAAAACCAGCCTCAAAGCATACTACTCGCAACCAACAAAGCCACTCCAATTTAGCTACGGATGTGACGGTCTGACGTGTGAATTCACACTCATGACTTCAGGTGATTACAACGCTGCACCACCAACACCAACACCCGCGCCCCAGGCGCCCAGTCGTCAGACTTCTCGCGCTCCTTCGACAACCACCGAGCGGGCAGACGCCCGAAGTACGCACAGCAATATGCCGCCACCCGTTGAACCCGCATCCCGTCGAGACCGATCAGCACGGCTAGGAAGACCGGCATCGCAACAAGTCGCGAGGCAGCAAGACTCAGAAAGCCTGTTTGTAAATGATGAGGACGAGGAGTGGGCACCTCTGGACTATGACAAGGAAGAGACGCTGGGCTGGGACGCAAGTGCAGACCACGATGCTTCTGCGTTCCCAACGTTCAGGGACAGTGGAAGTGTGTCGAAGACGAATAATGTGGATAACGCTGAGATATTCGAGCCAACGCAGAGGGTATCACAGCTCAAGGGCTTGGGCTTGTGGTAATTTAGATACTCAAGCTTCAGTGTTGTACTGATGGAGTGGGTAAAAAAATCTCAATAATGCAATTGTATGAATGATAAAATATGGGTTTGGCAACTAAAAGGTATCAAACCTGCCAGTAATATGGGGTGGTGTTTCCTGTTACCGTCTGCACGAGTAAGAACTCGAATGCTGAAAGCCAAGCACCATGCTGGGTTAAATAGATCCAGATCCAATAGATCTAAAGGGCGAGATCCAATAAGCCCGTGAAATTGTTGAAAGGGAAGCGCTTGCAGCCAGACTTTTCCGCAGTTGCGTGGACGCAGTTTTGTCCAGTGCAGTCTTCTGCGGGCATGCCAGCACATTTCGCCGAATTTGCTGAGCATGCGAAGAAAAACCAAGTCCATGTTGAGCCTGTTCGAGCACCGGAGGAATGTTGGCTCAAGACCAGAATCCTCGTCAAAGGTGTTCATCCCCAGCCAGTTCATCCTCATCGCTCTCCTGATCCTCGAGCATTTCCACGCCTGTCCCCAATGAAGTTGCCCTCCTCATGAAAAGATCTCGCTCGAGCTCGGGAAGACTTCGCAATAGTTTCCGGAAGAGAGAGCCGATGTTGGCATCCTTAATGTACGTCCAGAAATGTTGCGCGAGCGCCTTGGCCGCCCAGTCTCTGATGGTGGTGTGTCCAGGCAGTGTCACGTCTCTGGATCGATAGACGAAAGTCGCCATGATCAACATGTCCTCATTGTCCCACTCAAGATATTTCACCTTGTTAGCAATGTGGTCCAGCATGTCATCCATACCGAGCTTTTCAGCGGCCTCCCAGGCTGCGACGCACTGGGCAATGGCTTCTTTATTCTCCTCGAATGTGTCTGGTACTCGAATGCCAAACCTTTCAACTTCCATGTATTCTCCAACGAATCGAAAGTCGTCAATCGTGATTGAGGCGAGCTGAGGGTGGTGGAGCTCCCAGATGCCGTCTTCGTTTTGTCTGAAGTAATTTATTCCAGTTCGTGAGTCCTGGAAGTAGGGTCTGTCCCATACAGCGTTCATTGGAAGCCTGCGGACTTCGGACGTTGGGCCAACAACAAGCTGAACATACTCTTTGCTGTCTCCACTATGATGTGTTAGCATTCATGTGTGTTATGGAGTGGCGAAAAAGGATAACTCACATGTCGCCATCAATAGCGTCGCTAACGGGTGCTGGTGCGCGCTGGTTCAATCTGGAAGATCTGAGAAGCTGATCGAGTGACATCGCACCCGAAAATGGCCTTGTATCCCTCTGTGGTATCTCCACATCTATACCATCGATTTCAGTTGACGGGCTGGCGCTTCTCGCTTGCCTGTGACGTGCTCGTTTGTCCTCTGGACTGCTCAGTAATGTCATATCAAGATCCTCGCAGATTCTGGATGGGCGTGCGCGCTTTGGTGAATAATGAAGTCTTTTTCTTGGTGGGCGTGAGTAGAGCTCTTCATCGTCGCTATCAATAACAATGACATCTGAACTGGTCCTCCTCCGGCTGTGCACAGTTGTAGGGAAAGACGGTTTAGAGCTGGAGGGATCTGAACCATAGTGCTGTTCTCTCGATAGCTGTAAAGCCTCTTTCATATCAAGATCGAGTTCTTCCTCGTCGCTGTTGGGATCTGCCGGTGGGTAGTCCATGTAAGGGTTTGCGTACATATTTCCAGTCTTGCTTTGATTTCTGACTGCTTCTCTCCAAAAGTCTAGGCCTACTCCCGCACCCGTCCAGAAGTTTGCAGTCTCTCTTGCATATGATAGCTGCGACGTCCGGGCCCATTCACTAAGCTGATTAGGAGCGAGAAGGAACCATTAGAATATGTGTGAGACTACTTACAACCGATATGGCTCATCTACTGTTAAGATAAGACTGACGTACACGTAGCCATGCGGCCGCTTTTGCTGTATGTCGCCAGGCGCATCATCGTCAGGAAACACGATAGCCAAAACCGGAGGCTGTCCAGTGATAAGATCTCTGTACATGACATACGTTCCTGGTGACGTGATAGACATGGTGGGCTGACACGGTGGTCTGTTCCGACTAGCTGTCAAGGAGACGTTGTGTGATTTGGTGGATTCATACACAATTGTATGCAGCACCAATATTCTGATGTAGAGCTCTGAAAGATAGTGTGAGAAGCTGTCAGCCGATGAGAATGGACTAACGCACAACGAACAGCCGATTGAAAGCGTAGTGGTCGACAATGGGGACAGCTGAGCGACTTGCGATCGCTAGAACACAAAACGGGTCGCTTGGAGAGGCTTATGATTGAGAGATAGTGGAAGTAGCAATATTCGCAAGGTATTTGGTCTTCTGAATGTCTGGTCAAGGTGTTGCAGCGAGTGAGCTAGGAAATTTGGAGGCAGTAGAGTATGTCAATGGTATAAGAGGGTAGATATATGAGATTCATTGCTAGTAGCTTGAAGCGATCTCGAGGTGAAGGTTGCCCACCTGGGGCACACGGCACGGCAAAGCGGGTGAGAGAGCGATACATGGTGTATGTTGTACTCCCCAGGTGCTATAGTAAGGTGCTATACTACACAGGTATATATACTGCCCGGGTGTCTACGCTGCCCAGGTGCCTAGGCGTAAGGGATGGTCACAAGAAGCTGATCCAATCCGAAAGTGAATCAAGATGATGATAGTGATGATCATGGTCGTCGTGAATGCATACAGGCGGGCGTGGTTGCGGAGTTATGTCGCGCTCGGACCACAGGCGCGACACCACCGACGAATCTCAGGACATCTGGCATCAAGCTCACCGAGAGCTCCACGACACAACCAACTGCGAAATTCTGCGCCGGCCGACGAGGACCATATACCACGAGCCGTATTTCAGGTCATTCGGACCGCGCATCAAATCCCTCAGCGCCCCGGAAACCCACCACTTGCGACCACCTTTTAACCACCACCACCCAACCCTTCACACAAAACCGCAGCCATGCTCGGCCTCTCCGCTATGCAACCCCGGCAGCTCGCCGCCCAAGTGCTCAACTTCGCGCTCGTCCTATCCACGGCCTTCATGCTTTGGAAAGGCCTCTCCGTCGTCGCTGACTCGCCGTCTCCCATCGTCGTCGTACTCTCCGGGTCCATGGAGCCCGCATTCCAAAGAGGAGACCTGTTATTTTTGTGGAACCGCGGGCTGGATACGCAAGTGGGTGAGATTGTCGTGTACAATGTCAAGGGCAAGGACATTCCGATTGTGCATCGCGTGGTGCGGAGATACGGCGGAGGGTGAGTTTACTTTTTTATATATATCTGTATGGCATGCTAGGGAAAGTGAGAGAGATCAGCTGCGGGGTCTAGGATTGAGCTTTGGGGAAATGGTTCACTAACATGGTCGCAGAAAAACACCTCTTCGCCTCCTCACTAAAGGTGATAACAACGTCGCAGATGACACCGAACTCTACGCTACCGGCCAGTCCTTCCTGAACCGCAAAGAAGATGTCGTTGGAAGTGTTGTGGGCTTCATTCCATTCGTCGGATACGTCACAATCTTGCTGAGCGAATACCCATGGCTAAAACAAGTCATGCTGGGGCTGATGGGTGTGATGGTGGTATTGCAGAGGGAGTAGGAAAGGCTGGAGGTATTCATATTTGCGTGCTAAATTAGACTACATTCTGAAGCCTGTAAATAGGCCTGTCACGTCTTTTTTCTCCAAAAGCTTCTGAAGCAGTCGTGAAGTGTGTCACGGCGTCACTAGGTGTTGCAATAATTCGTGCGCGCTCTTTTAAACTTGACTCACTATCAGAGAGCGGCTGTCATCTCATATGTAAGCTCGAAGAGTCTCAATAACCTATGAGTGCTCGATGCAGTGCTGAAACAGCCTTGTAGTCAGCTAGCTTGGCTTTAATGCGTTTGTATAGTGCTTGAAGTTTTCAGACTTCTTCCACGCTCGAGGCCTTGACAGACAAGAACCAGATCTAGATGTTCAGATGGGCGTACAGGCAGCTATGGCAGGTCAAGTCGTTGGCATAGAGGTGCAGGACATGGCCATCGAAGAAGAGATGGAGAGTTTGAGTCTAGTGGTCCAGCATCACCTCTACACATGGATCGATACTTTCCCATTACCCGATAACGACTCGACCATATTCCCACAGGACGTCTTGGACGAGGAGAGGGTTGCACTCAGGAAATCCGCCTAGGACGCATTGGATGCGTTTGAGGATGAGTATGACGGGCAAGTGACAGAGTTGGAGACGAATCTAGATCGCCTTGGGGCATTTAGGTGTTTATTGTCCCCAACTCTTCTCATACTTCTTGACGAAGCCCTAGTCCCAAGGGTGAGAGTGTCGCGATATCATCGCGTGTTGTTTTGGTATTATTCGTTCTTTTTGATACGTGTTGGACATCTTACATAGCAAATCGCGGAGTTCAAAAAGTATATTACTTGTACTGTTCTCAACTATCAGAGTGCGCTAATACCCTCTCAGCTCACACCCCCCTCTCAAAACCACCCACCATCAGCAAAAAAGATACACATTAAATCCATCACTTGCGATGTAAGGGGTTTGAACCCTTGACCTCCGCCTGATTCCGAATTGCTTGGGAAGGCGGCATGCTAACCACTGCACTAACATCGCTTGTTCTTGTATGAAGAGGAGGGGATTTAAGTGGTGGATATCCACCTGTTGAATGCCAGAGGTTTTCAAGCAAAGATAGGGAGATTGAAAGTAAACGGGTTCAAGCGGTGAGTAGCAGTGTTTGTAATTGGGTGAGTGGCGAAGCCGGGAGGGTGCGTTCACGAGATGCGAGTAGCCGTAGCGGTCAGGTGGCAGTGGACAAGCAATCGAGAAAAGCGAATTGGATCAAGACACAGGTATGCTAGACATGATGCGATAGGCACCTACAATGAAAGGTTTCGTACGCATCAGATAAATATGCAAAGAGAGCATGCACGGATGGTGTGAAGCTGTTTGTACTGCTTTCAACTGGCAGGCGAAATCAAGGAGGTCGTACAAAGCCACCATGGATCGCACCGGCACTTTTGAAACGTGCCAATGACAATTGAATAGCGATGGAAACATCTTGTTGTGGAAGGGACACTCGCATCTGCTAGGGGCGCGAAGTACTCAGGGCATGTCCAGCCCTACGCCCAAAACTCACTCACAGCAACCTCATCAAGACCGATCATCGTTGCAAAGCATTTTCATACCGCAGTAGATAGTGTACATAGACTTGGGATCATGAGCTTCGTGATGTCTTCCCGCGTCAGAGCAAGGACGCCAAAACATCATGAACTGTCAAAGCCATGTCCGCCGTTGTTAGAATCTGCGCATGGGCTAGAGTGTAGCCGACCATCCGCAAATAGTGAACATTACAGATTTTCGCTTCAGCCCGCTCGCCGTAAAGAGTTCCCATTAAGAAAAATCAAAGGTGACATAGAGAATCCCATGCGCCGATAGTCTGGTGACTGCCGAAGCCTGGGAGATGACCGAGTTGAAGACGACTACTCGGACTCCTCCTCCTCTTCCTCGCCAGCCTGTTGGATATTAGTACGAGAGTCGTGATAATGCAGACAGTGGGACATACCTGGTAAGCGGCCTTCTCTTCCTCGTACCGCTTCTTATCAGCGGCAGCCTTGGCCTCGTAAGGAGTGCGCTGCTTCTCATTGAGAGCCTTCCACTTCTCACCGAGCATCTTGCCGACCTCGCCTATAGAAGATTAGAAACAGATGCGCAGTAATGATCAAGCGTCTGGGACTCACCGAACTTGATGCCGGGGTTGTCCTCACGGACCTTGTCGCGCTGCTCGTTGGCGAAGAACATGTAGGCGGACAAACCACGCTTGGGGGCGTTGGGGTCTAAATACTTGTCAGACACTAGTTAAGACGCGGTGCATATGAACGACTTACCCTTCTTCTTCTTGCCGCCGTCGGCCTTGGTGGCACGGCCCTTACCACGGGTTACCTTCTCCTTAGGCATGTTGATATGTGGATGGAGCTGGGGGCTGCTTGTCAGCGTCTGGTAGAAGCGATGATGTTGTCAATGCAGAAGACAGAACGGCAGAGAGGCCATAAAGAGCGCACGCAATTGATTGCGCAGTGCGCGTGGTGTTTGTGGAATCAGCTGCACCCAACGTTGGGCGGTGCGACAGCTTTGCTATGCGCGCTGATGTGACGCGGTCGCAAAACACCACGCTGCGGCGCGTTCTTGCGCGATTTTGCGGAGACAGAAGCAGCAGGAACTTACAGAAGTTGCAGGAATGCAATAAAATCAAGTGGTTGAGAGAGGTCTGTTTTGCGGTCAGTATGCGCGCAGGAGCAGTTGATGGCGACGTGATGAACAGCACTCGAACGCGATGACTGCCCGAAAGATTCAGACAAGAAGGCGGAGATTGGCCTCAATGGGCGAATTGGGGCGGGAAAAAGCGTGCAAAAATGTGTTGTGGTGCTGACTATGTTTGCGCGGTGATGCGACTTGGGATATGCAGCCGGGGACTTACCACTTGAGAATCTGGAGTGGATTTGTTGTATGAGAGTTTGTATGGGAGGGATTTTGGTGAGCGGCTGTTATGAGCACTGCGGGCAGGTCTCTTTGACCCTGGAAGGCGCGACGGGAGCACGTGACGCGCTACTAAATGGCTGGAGCCCTGCTTGTTTTGGTTGCCCGCACTTGCTCCCGGCCCAAACGCGCCCCTCCTCGCACCTGCCTCCCTTAACACCGCATAGACGGATGGGCTGAACACAATCGACATGGCTGCCGTGTCGACACAGTAATTTTCACTGCAAACAGGATGCTGTGTGCTCTCGACGCGTCCGCACCATCTCATCCTCTGCTCTGCTCCTCAGCGCCGTCTCGCGGCACATGGACCACATCATGGACGACGCGAGGCGCTGCTTGCTCTTCATTCCTGTCTGCCTGTTTCATGTGGTTAAATTGCACGCAGCAGACAGTGCTACGTTATTCGTTGGACATGCAGAGGTCGGCTCCTGGCCGTTATCTTAATACCGCGGCTGGCTGGCTGGCTGGTGTTGCTCAGGCACCATGCCATCCGCCGGTTGCGCACCGCGCTGCCTGAGGGGGGGAGCAAGACCCATCTTCGGTGTTTTCAGGCTATCGGAACCTGGCCCGGATGCCAGCCTGTTGCGTCTGCGCGCAGAATGCCCTCGTTGCGCCGGGCCTCAGTGATCCCCCATTGCTGGAGCGAGTCGCAGAGCGGTCAACAAGTCCGCATTTGGCGACGGAGCTCTTTGCAGCATGGCCAGACCGGGACTGGCTCAGGTCACATATCTGCAAGGCGGCTACATAGCCGTGGTCTTGAAGCTTGTAGTCAAGCTGAGGCTGGGCAGCTGGTATTCCATAGCACAAATCGCTTTTGATAGTACAAACATTGCAAGGGAAGCAGGTGCACCAGTCCTTCAAGCGCTTACAGCATGCCAACATGGCTGGCAGGTGCCCGGCAAACTTTTGAGTTCGTCCTGTATCCTTGACACCCACCAATATTGAGTCCATGCATCGTCACAGCGATATTTTGGATTACGCTCATACAGCAACAGTAATCGGTCGTTGATGTCAGTGACCCCGAATACGCTGAGGGCCATACAGAGTCGGGATTACAAATGCGCCGGGAGCCATCGCTGCGGAATGCGCTACCTATGACGTCTGCCAGTAAGCCATCGCCGTCGCAAGCGCAGTACCACCAGGGGATATGCTGCAACACTTCCCGCAAATGTTCTGTCGGTCAGTCTTGTTTCAATGTTTGCCGTTGCAGGGTAAAATATCAAGCTTCTCTGCATTGTTGAACCTCATAGACCTCCAGCGTACCAGCGCCAGGGGCGCAACAATCCGTGCCTCTTCATCACAGCGCGCGCTCATAAGATCTGAAATCTGTTCAAACTGACAGAGACACTACACTGGCTCTACGCTAGTGGTCCGACTTCATGTAGAGCGCGCAGGAATTGTTGCGACAGCTGGAGCCAGCTATGCATTCGTCTAGCAGCGAGTTGCAACCTCAATCCGTGGACACGAACAAGTTACACACGTTGATTCGGGCCATACAGGCCCACTAACTATGCAATAAAGAAATCCCGACAAAAATCGCAACATATCTACGATTCAAGAACGGGCAAGGACTACTGCCAGCAAACCCGTCTAGACAAACCATCTCCACCGTCAACAGAAGCACTATGCTTCAGCCAGAAGTGTACTTCCGTCACTGCTCAGAAATTTCTGCATGTCAATTGCCCTCGATTTCCTAGTGCCCATGCTTCTGATAGCTGTAGGGGAAGTGGCTTCGCTACAATTCAAACAGGGTCACTTTCCCTTGTTTCAATAAAAGAGTAACATTTCCTTTCCTGTAGCGCTTATAAGGCTCCAAGATGTGCTGGTACCTCCATATCAACCAGGGCTCATTCAAGTCAACTATCATCCTCGTCGTCCATGACCAGCTCGGTCAAGCCTTCGTCCGCTGCCCAATTGATTCCACTGCCCACGACCATCGCCGAGAGAACCCCTTTGAGCGTCTTCGCTCTCCTTCTTGATTCTCGCAGTTCCTTCTCCACAGCGCTGACTTGGTCGCGCAGTCGTGGGTCTTCGATGTCCTTGGCTGATTGCGCCTTCATGTCTTCCGCCAACGCGAGCATTTCGGCAGCAAGCTCACGATTCTTACGGCTCGCGACGATGTTTGCTTGTGCCGCCGTGTTTATGGTACGCTGAGTGGACACGAGCTTGGATGTCAATGAACCATGTACCATGGAAACCGCATCACTCTCAGCAATCAAGGGCAGTATGCGTCTGCAACAGTCAGAATAATCACGTGCACACCCAAGAGTCTATACTTTTCAGCAAATCCAGTTCGTTCTCCGCCATGAACAGCTTTGAGCACCGGATCCATTACCAGTACGTTGTGGGAAATCCTGTTGCGTAGCTCATATTCTGCTTTAGCTTCCATGGCTTCGCGTTGCGCCATGGTCAGCTGGGCTTGCAGCTCATCATCTGAAAGCTCAGAGGAATCCACCACGTGTGCTAGACCGATTTAGCGCTTCAACAAAAACAATGCAGCGCGACGGCGGACCTGATTGCTGTGCCTGTAGGAGGCTCAGCTCGAGCTCAAGTTCCTTCAACTGATCATAGAGCTGCAATGCTAGCTTCTCGGTTTCAGAGAACGCGAACGCGTCGCTGTGATTTGTTTGAAGCAAGTCTGCGTAGTCGTTTGGGTCTTGCAACTTTGCAGTCGTGTCAACCATTTCAACATCACCTTTGGTGGCCATGTTGATCGCGATAATGTCAAATTGTTTGACACGCGACTGTGATAGATGCAGCTGACCGCAACACTATGATGCAAGTCCATGTGACCCGTGCGCGGAATCCCTGCGTGGAAGCGCCTTGGCGGGTGATCGGTACCTAATGCTCACGCCTCAATACACAACTCCTTTTGTACCTCACTCCAGGGTTGCTGCACTCTATCACCCAGTGCGAGGGCAAGTCTGGATGTCGCTGCAGATAGCTGTAGCCCATACAGGCCAGCGCCTCGACGCTGATCCTGTCGCATTTAGCTCCGTAGATGCGCTCAAGCACTGGATCGCGAGAGCTTTTGAGATACCGCCCGAGTCACAGATATTGCTGACTCCAGGCGGCAAACATGTCAAGGTGCAAGCGCTACTGACGGAGGTATGTTGGTGGCCGCGAGTTGCATCTCGATCCGTCTAACGTGTGCCTTTCTAGAAAGAGATATTTGTATACAGTCGCGAGTTGTCCAGCAACCCTAAGGCTGCCGTATCGTCCACACCGCTTCCAGATGTCTTCACGCCCGATGACCCTCCAAATACGCTCTCGAACAACACCGACCTCGGAGCATGGCAGACGCTCTTTCAAGCCCGCCGCGACTGGGCCTTTGACGTCCTCGAGAAGTCGCACTCCATGTCACGCATCGCGACCAAGTACTTCGCTGAGCAGGCAACGATAGCAAAGGGCACGCAGATTGCAGTCGGAAACCATGACTCGCACATCCAGGGACTGGATGCCAAGTACAAGGCCGCCAAAGAGTGGTTTGATGGGGTCGAGAAGGAGGCAGGAGACAATCTGCGGAGACTTGATGCGGATTTTGGTCAGCTGGGAGGCATACCAGCAAAGGTCGAGTTTGCGCAGTTTCTGGCAAAGGAGATGCGCTCGGCAGAAGCAGCCCAAAATGCTCGCAAGAGTGCTCTATCTAGGACTGCATCTTTACAAGAATTTCTGGATATAGATGCGGTGAAGAGGGCGACAGGCACCAGCAAGCGCGTGAGGGAGGCAATAAGGAAGCGCATGGCAGTCATGAACACACAGCTAGAGAAGATTGGCGCCGATTACCAGGAGTTGCTAGGTGCGGTTGGTCAAAGTCAAAGTCGATCGCTGGTGGACGACTCGGAGGAGCCTTTGCGCCTGTACAATGAGATCGACGCGGTCGCTAAGAAAGTTGAGTCCGACTTTGAGCATGTCATGGGACTTGAGGCGAGCTCGAAGTCGGTTGCCCAAGTCTCGAAAATGGCACTCCTGCACACACGGAATTTCTTGCCTGCGATCAAAGAGTATAGCGTGGAGATGAGCGATTTACTTCGGAGGTCGGTAGAGCAGAAGGACTTCGCCATTCGGAACTCAGTCGAGAGCATGCAGGGTATCACCAACATCGAATCCGTCATCACGAGTATAAATGCGGAGCTCGACGCTTTCGGCATTCCAGACGAGGGCGTTGCCGCTTTCGAACTCATCTCGCTAGTCGGACGATTGCCTTACGTCTATGGTACTCTGCTTATTGAAGCCGTGCGCCGACGCGAGTGGACAGAGCGACTACAGAAAGACACCTCATCACTTGCTGAAGAGATGGCAACGTTTCAGGAAGAGGAGGAGCGACGGCGGAAAAAATGGCTGAAGCCTATTGCAGAAGTTGTCAACCTAGAAGCAGTACAGGGAGGAATTGTTGGCTTTGAGATGAACGTACAACCTGAGAAGAACATTTGGCCAGTGGTAAACCGTGACGATCTCGTTGAGTATCACCAGATATTACAAGGGTTAGAAGGCCAGAGCACAGAAGCCGAAGCACTTGGACATGCCATCAAAGATCTTGATCGTCCGACGAAGCAACAAATCAAGCGCGCCAAGAATTTCAAAATGGGCAGCGTTCATGAGCCTGCCTTTGGCAAGGCTTCTGCGCTTATGGTCCGAGGCGACGACGAACTGCGGGTGATCAAGGAGGCTAATTTGAAGCTTGAGGATGAGCTCAGAGGTTCCAAGAGTAGGGTACGCAGGCTCGAAGACCTACTTCACCGCCAAAGTCAAAGCAGCAGACTCTCCATAGGAGGTCCACCGCCATCCTTTGGCGCTCAGAGTCCTGGCGATCCATCAACTCTGGCTCTAGAGACTGCTTCACCCAAGCCGTTCGAAGAACATTCCCGGAGATCTTCTGTCTCTTCGCGACGTTTCTCGACAAACCAGGGTCAGGATGACAAGCGCCGTGTTGTCCGTCTTGAACAAGAACTAGCAGCTGAAAAAGAGGCTCGAGCCAATCTTGAAAAGCAAGCCCAGGCGCGCAGAGATGAAGATGCAGAGTCACAGCGACGTTTTGAAGAGGCTATGTCAACCAAGAACAACATCATGGAGAACATGAAGGCTCAGCAACGGGAGTTTGCAGACGAGCGGAGATCTCTCGAGAGCGAAATCCAGGCTTACAAGACGAAAATTGAAGAGGCCGAAGATGAGCTTGACCGTGTGCTCGGCAGCAGAGATCATGAACGTACAGGAGTTGACGCACGTGTTCAGGAGCTTGCATCCGAACTAGAAAAAGCTCGTAATGAAGCTGCAGAGCACAGCAGAGATGCCGAGACGCGGGTTGCATCTTTGCAATCCGAGTTGGACAAGCGCACCCAAGCGCAGACACAGCACATGGAATCCCTTGCCACGGTCCTTACGCAATTAGCCCCTGGCGAGAGCATCCCTGAGGAGCATGCTGCACTTGTGAGCCGGCTCGAGGATCTTGCTGCGAGATCTTTCAGCCACCAGAAGGAGCTGGAACAGGCAGTCGCAATAGCCAAATCTGAGAACGACAACACCCGCACGCAAATGGAAGAGCAAGAGAACAAGCTCAAATCTCGTACCACGGATCACGAAAAGGAGATTGCAGCTGTTCGTGAACAGCTCGAAACTGAACAAGCGAAGTTCGTCTCTATCAGTTCGGAGCTCGAAGATGAACGACGCCAACTTCACGACATCCGCGCCAAATTTGCCGAAGGCGAGACTGGTTCTGAAGAGTTGCGCAAGCGTGTTGAAGAGGAAGAAGCAAAGGTTGGCCGTCTCAGGATCGAACTGGCAGAGAAGAATTCACACATTAATGGTCTTGACATTGAGCTTATGCGCCTTGAGAAGAAGGTACTGAAGTACGAAGAGCTCGATTCATCTCGCACGCATCAACGGGTTGCTCGCGCAAGGGACCTCAGTCAGCGGCTATACACGCAGCATGAGCGTCTCGTCCGCTTGCTTGAGGCACTTGGCTTTGTGATCATCCAAGAGAATGGGGAGATGGTACTACAACGAGCATCTAAGCTCGGCAACAGTACTGTCATGTCAGACACGAATGCTGGACTAAGCCGAAGCACGACCACGCCTTCACCGACACCATTGAAGCGATTCCTTGATGATATTGGAGACCTCTCTTTCCTACAATGGACCGAGTCTGCAAGTCCAGAGGAGGAAGATCGGCGATACCAGGAGCTCATTGACAAGCTGGACATGTTCAACCTCGAGACCTTCAGTGATGCGGTTGCAAAACGCATGCGTGATATGGAGCATACTGCTCGGAAGTGGCAGAAAGAAGCTCGTGCTTACCGCGACAAGTCTCATCGTTTCCAGGCGGACGCTCACGATAAGATTGCATACCGCTCATTCAAAGAGGGTGATCTTGCACTTTTCTTGCCTACCCGCAACAACGCTCATCGTCCTTGGGCAGCATTCAATGTCGGAGCACCGCACTTCTTCCTTCGCGAGCAAGACTCGCATCGTCTACATGGTAAAGAATGGCTTGTCGCACGCATTTCTAAGGTAGAAGAGCGTGTGGTAGACCTATCCAAGACCCTCGAAAGCGGTCCACGTGCATCTCCTGACGGACGATCAATTGCCTCTAGCAATGCTGTTTCATTTGAGGATGACAACCCGTTCGAGCTTTCGGACGGCCTACGCTGGTACTTGCTTGACGCCACCGAGGAAAAACCTATGGCACCGGGTACACCAGGCATCAAGGGTGCAGTCACGGTCAAGAGCAGTCTTGAAACCGGTCAAGGCGAAATGCAACGTGCCAAGAAGAAATCTTCAATGGATCCTGCAACCCAACTCGGTAAATCACTCGACAGCCGTCGCAGCAGCGGCAATAGCAAGAAGAGCGTGCCAGTTGTAGGTGGCAAACCCTCGGCCGAAGTCCTATCACCCAGCGAAAACGCAGATTCGAATCCCAACTCCAACACAGCGACACGCGGTGCAAGTCCGGCTGGCGCACATGGACCAAGTCACCTCCGAGAAACCGAGACAAGCAACAACAACGGAAATGAAACGGTGGCAGCCAGGATGGTAGAAGACCAAGAAGGACTAAACGTACGCAAGGACTTACTCTGGGGACCTTAGCTTCACACCTAAGCTCCCCGTCGCAGTCTGTGTCAACAAGGCTGACGTACGTCCCAGGCTCATCGTCCCAATCTCAGTCGCCAACATACGCCACAGAAGCCTGGGCCGTCGAATAGTACCATGTTACGATCTGCAAATGCTTCACCAGTGAAAAATAGGGTGGGCAGTCAGAGCGATCAGAGTCCAAGGAGACCGACGCCGGTTCAGCGGAAAGGAAGTATATGGGATAGCTTCTTCCAGTACGATATTGAGTATTCAGGTGGGAATGGCAAGGCTAAGAAGTAGACGGAAACTCTTCAGAGCAGAATGGGGTATTTGTTTGCATGCATAGCATAACATAGCGAAGGGCGCTATATCATAGACTTTTGTGGTTATATCTGATAACATTTAGGAGGTACATGTGGACAGCTTGCGATAGACAATCAACATTCCAACACAACCGCACACATTACATCACACCTCGTCCTATCCTGATCTTCCAACACTTGACACATGAAACACTGCCACAAACGATCGACGACGCAAACCTTCTTGTCCTGTCGATCCCAGCACTATCGAAACCCACGCCTTCGGGTCGCTCTTTGATCATCAGCCAAACGAAACAAGCTCTGTAAGTGAAGCTTATCGCTGCTTGGTAGGGGATTTGTCACACGCTGTGGAATGCTTGTGACGACAGACACGTCACCAAGTGGCGCGTGGAATGTAATGTGTGGCGAGTGAGTAACGTGGTAGTGTGACGCTGATATGCGGGCCGTGGAGATCATGTTTGATCAGAGGCACAGTACGCACGTATGAATGGACGTGTCTGCCTATACTGTAGGTCGATGGTGTGATGCTCTGCCGGCATTGGAGAATCCACGGCTGTGACCCTCGAGATCTCCGCTTAAAGCTCCGTACAGCAGCCTCTAATAACTTACCTGTACACATATATTACCAAACAAATTGAATGGGAGGTACGACATATACACTCCAACCACGGAAATCTCAGGGAAATAAACATTGCGCGCATGCGGAACTTCCCTTGCCTTTTTTTTTGATCATCCATTCCAACGGGATCGTCCATATCCTGCACGAGTCGAAATGACTTGCGGGATCAGCACTGCAACATTTCGACTTGCCCAAGCGCCTATGCGATCAGCGAAAAGCTTGGATCGTGGCACAGAAAGGCTTGTCTCGTCGTTGCGCAAGCGTAACTGCAAGTCCTTTGTGGAAAGTTCCACGGGCGATTGTGCAAACGTTGCACCAGAAAATTTGTGAAATGCAAAGGAGTGATAGTGTGTATCAAGCCTTTTCGACACAAAGCTTGTTATCTCCTCACCTCCTTGAATGAAACTTGTGCGTTCGTCGCAAGTGCCGAAGAGTGCGCATTCCGAGGTGCTGTGACGTACACGTGACGCTGGTAATTCACCTCGGGAATCGGGAAGCACGGCTCGACCGGGCGGAGCGGGAAAGCCGAGTGGCATATTGCATTCTCTTGGCGCATCGGAAAAGTGGCGAGAGCGACACCGGATATGCAGCGTGAGAAAGCAACTCGGAGACTTGTGGGTATCCATAGTCTAGAAGGTTCTGCATCGTCAGTGCGTGTTGTGTGTGTGTGGGCTGATCACACCGCTCATCGGACAATGGCAGGGCATGTCGAGCGGAAACTTTGTACTGTAGTGTTGCGACGCCAAGTTTGGCAAGAAATATACATTTTTATTGACAAACACTTTCGCTAAAAATAAACTAGAGAAGAATCGCTGACCGCCTGTGCGCCTCGCTTGCAAAGCAGGAAGAAATTGATAGAAGTTGGTCGTAGCACTGCTTGTGCATTCGTGAACTGACACGATCGCAGCCCAATGCCAAGGAGCGAACGTGGACGCAAGGTCGCCCATGCGCTTTGGTGAAGTATCCCCCTGTCTTTTTCACCGTGGAAGAACGCCGAAGGGAGACCGAGATATGTAATGAGAAGCGCAAACCACTTGACTGAGTCAGAGAGGGCGTTTGGGTATTGCGCAAAGTAAGAGTTGGGTATCCAGCAGTAGCAGCAGAGTAGAGATGACACAAGTAAAAGTGGAGAATGTGCAAGCTTGTTGCGAGCAGTCGAAAAACATGCAGTTCGTCGAAGCGAAGATGAGTTGAGATGTGTCGTGGCGTGTGGTTCGTGATGCCTTACGACCTTCGGGCCGAAGAGTCGTGTGGTCATAATCATGTGGACCGGCTGATGTACAGAGCGGAGTCTAGTGAGCAGCACGGTCTAGACTATAGACCCGCTAATGTCGCGGTGCGTTCAGAACGTTATTCAAACGGCAGGAGCACGAGCTGAGTCGGGCGGAGTGGGCTGTGCGGCGGCGGTAGTGACGCCGCCAAGCAACGGACGAAAGTGTCGAGGTGCCGCTCAGCGCGAGAAGATGCCGGAGAAGCGCTTGGTGCGTCGGCGCACGCGCGATATCATGTTGACCTTGAACGGCTCGGACAGCGATGCGTGTCGCACGCTGCTGACGTCGGCGCTAGAGGAGTCGCTCGGTGTGGCAACGCTGGTCTCCTCCTCGTCTTCACGAGAGATGGGGTACGGTGATACGGGGCGAGGATTCGCCGTTGGCAGGGAAGAAGTAGCGGTCCAGACGGGAGTTCATGGCACGGTTCTTCTCTGATGCTGCTACGACAAGACTGCTCTTGCTGCCAACGCTGGTGGCACTGTCGGTTCGGGTGACCTCGTCAAGACGGATGTCGCGACGAGCTGCGTTCAAAGATGTGGAGTGGGCGCGCGCAAGTCCTGAAAGAGATCCTACGGGAGGCGCTGGGCCGTCACCAATGAGGCGGTACTCGAACTCGGAGACATGGCCTTGGCAGTATGGGCAGTACTCGACCTTGACTTCCCATCCTGAGAATGCCCAGCTTCTTTCCGCATGTGGAGAGATTGCTGGATGGAGTGCATGGACGGACGAGGTGGTACCAGCGGTGCTGGCATGGGAGAACAGTGACGCAAAGTTCGGCGACGCACATGATGGCGATGTGTTCAAGTGAGGTCGAGGTAGACTCGTTTGCGGGGAGACCTGCCTTGGAGCAGCGTCTTGTAGGTTGGGGACGTCGTGGTGGAAAACGTGATGTCGGCGACGTGGACTTTTAACAGCTGTCACGAGACAATGACGGGTGGCGATCTGGGGTAGACGCTAGTAGCCACTGCGGAGCTAGGCTGCGGTGGTCTAGATGAAGTGGGCTGAGAATGGAAAGTTGTCTGAGGACGGGGGCTGGCGATGGTATAAATGCAGCGTGGTCCGTAATATGCGAATAGAGGTAGTGGTGACGCTGTGTGCCAAGCTGTGAATGCTGATAGGCGGGTTGCTCAGGAGGATCGCCCTTGCCTCTTTGGACGGGGACGAGGGGAAAGTGGCAGATGGCGTGTGTCGGGATTTGGATCAGAATTCTGGTTCGGATGGCCAAACAGGTGTAGGATAAGTAGTGTGTTTGCTGGTGGAGTGGACGGAAGGCGAGGGGCGAGAGATGATTGGCGTTGGGGGGTCGGCGGGCTGGCGATGATTGGCTTGCTGAACGCGCAGGACAGTTTGATGGACAGGCAGCAGTGTCTGAGTCAAGATTGCTAACGCTGACTATTGGGACCGAGTGAAGGTTAGAAGTGCGCGAGGTCAGCCTTATACAGCGGTCCGAGGGCGATGTGTGAATCGTATGACGGGCAGACGTAAGCTGTACGCTCTCGGGGCACGACATGTCTTTATTTAATGCGACCACTGTGCTGGGCAGCGGGGGCCAGGCTTCGACAAGGGAGCGCCGTCTAGCGTGGTGGAGCGACTGGGAGCAGTGAATTCGCCCAGGATGCAGCGAACCCTAAGATGGTCTAGGTTTACACTCCACTCCTCCCATCGCGGCGCCGGGACGAAGCACGCGGAATTTACACTAACGGCCACACCAGAAATTGGTTACATGATGCGGCTTCACTCGCGGCCAGTATTGATAACCACTCCACTGCGTCTCACCGCTCCCGGACATCAGCGTGCTCTGTTCGCTGTTGGGAGTCGATGCGAGCTTCTGTGAACCAGCAACACGCCCAACGTGGGCCGCACCATTGGTACTCACTCGCTTGTATCAGGCGATATGTGTGCTTTGTGCGCGCCCCTGTGCGACAATCTAAATCTCTTCGTGACACAGCGACACGGCGCTTGGACATGCTCGTAAGGTGTAATCCCCAAGACGACCAGGGTCGCGATTCTGCCAGAACAAACACGACTATGGTGAATGACGTTAGAGATCACCACCACCAGCGTCCGACGCCAGCCCACGCCAGACTGCACGCAAAATCGCTCATGAGGTGCTGCGCCTCGCGTGGTTTCTTTCCAGTGAGGGGAAGCAGTGGGCTTGAAAGCTTGGAAGAACCGCGCAGAGCCGAAACTTAAACCAACAGTACGACTAGCAGACTGCTGACCGCTGAGGTCGCTTTGCAGGATCCAGCGTGAAAGTGAAACGACAAGAAGTCAATATTGCTTTTGCCCTGCGTGCTGAGAAACAACGTGGGCAATATGGACGTTGCAGATATGGACATCGGTAGCGAGCGGGATACGCTGAGCATTCCCAGGCAAGGCGAGAGCCCGCAGCGGAGGTTCGCTGATCACTCCACCTGTCAGGAATAGCCAGAAACGGCTCCATATTCGTATGAAGTCATGTCTTGTGGCCAAAATGCACCACAACCACCAGATCCCCATCATGAGACGGCCGGCACGAAGGGATCGCCCATCTGCCAGATCCTGCCCCCCTCTTCCCCTGAAGACACCTGCGCTTTTCGTGCGCTTTCCCGTGTCGCGCATCGCAGCCCAACTCAGCCGTTGGAAGTAGCAGGATTCCCGAAGGCACGGCACTTATCTGACCTCACCGTGACACGGTCGCGGACGGGCGTGCATACGCTGGGATTTTAGAGCTTGTTTGTTTCGCGCGGCGCTGCGTAGAGGGCATACTTCTGCGGCTGCACATGCATCGATCCGGAGTAAGACAGCGGACACGCTTTATCACAAGTGTCAAGCTACAGGAGTCATCCATGCATGCAGAGAGTGCAGTGCCCGTCGCCATGCTGCTGCCACAATCAGATAAACTCCCGTGTGCATGCAGCAGGAAATACCCGTTCGCGCACACAGACCGGCAACCAGTCTGACCACTCGTTCTACCAATCTTCCACGCGACGACATCTCAAACAACCCAGATTAATGACTTCAGGCGAGGGCGCACGGCACCTCGAAACAAGCAGATTCCCTCGTGCGATCCCTGCATGACCGGAGTACCCTGGTCGATAGCTCAGCATAGCCTCACGCCAACATGCACACCTTCTAGTCGCGGGGGAAGGTCATTCGTTCCGCCCTCTTGGCTGCCAAGAGCCGGCTGCTTGGCTCTCGCAAAGCACACCCCGCTCCATCGAACAAGACCGACCTTACCGACACGCTGATGCGGGCGTGTAAGGCCCTACAGGAGCTGACATGGCCAACAAAACAAGCTCGCCAATCCTACGAGAGGCCATACCGCCATCTCGATGACCGACTTACCTACACGGTACGCGCGCAGACTCGTCCTGTGTAACTTTCCCAAGGCCTCTTTGTAATCCCGAAACTGCGGTTCCGACACCACCAAGTGTTCCCGAGGTCAGCTTTTGATCCGTCCCAAGACACCGCTGCAGTGGAGCCAGCGCAGCTTGCTTTTCCAAGCTACGCGGATAACGCTCTCGGCAGGTTAGTTTGCTTCTATCGCAACGGTGAGCGTTGTGTGTTGATCGCGACGATCTTCTCGATGAACCGTTGGTATGCACTCGGTGCGGTATTTCTTTCATGGTAGGCAGTGCATCTCTTGGCATGATGTAGTACGCTAGATGTGTAGGTCGGACTACTCCACCTACCTACAGTAAGTCTACGGTGTGCGAAAAATGTCTCAGCCAAGTCTGGTCGATGACATGTCTGTTGCGTGGAGAGTCGCGTGATTGCTTGTCGCTTTCGAATGGCTTGGGGCGCCGCAAACAGGCAAGCAGCACTCTAGGCTTTTCAACAAGGAACGGTCCGAAGAGACAAGACACGCATGCGGAAGCCCCTCCCACTGTCAAAGACATCTACCCACCAAGCTGGAGAAGAGGGGTTCAACAAGTCCAAGTCCACGTCTCCATTATTTCTCCTCTCCAGTTTTCACACTTCCTTTCAGACGAGCTGCATGATTGCCGTCTTCCCATCCAAACTTTCGTCAAGCAAATGCTGTCTTCGACCGCAACGCCGCACACATCTTGGACCCAACCTTGGCAAATTTGACGACCAACACAACTTTCCAAGGCGGCACCCGCGGTCTTGGTATGCGTGCCGAAATCCTTCGAACCGCAGCACTGGCGCTTGGGCAATCTACATGCTCTTGTGCGACCTGCGGAGTTTCCGGGTCGGCGGATTGAATCCTCCGCAGGTTTGGGCGCGAATGGAAGTGTCTTGGTGTGAGATTTGAAATGGATGTGATGGGTGGTTGGGATTTGTGGATTTCTCCGACTCGGAGGGATTGAGTACATGCAGCTGCATACTTTCTCGTCTTTTTTTACGCGGGTATATCGGAACTGTGCGACTCTTAGTATCCGCGGAGTGATTCCTGCTGCTGCTGCTGCTGCTGCTGCTGCTGCTCCACTAACCCACCATACTATGCAGGCACGTAAAATCTCCGTCGCGCGTGGAAACTCCACCACACGCTACGGCTCCAGAAGTGTTGCACAACACTCGCATGGCTTCTATCTTTGTCTCGTCGCACAAATGCCATGTTTTGAACAGCCATGGCGCGAGTGTGGTGCTCGGCTGGCGTGAGATGGCATGTAGTGAAACATGTCCAGATACTCACGTCACTTCACCCGATAACACTGCGATTCTCGAAACTTTAGCTGAACGAGAAAGGTACGCGGTAATTCGGTCCTACCGTTTGAAACGTGAGGTGGCCGTGTCGTGGCTCTATTGTGTAGCATTGCTAGAGCTACGCACCTGCACACAAATATCTGCAATCAACGTTTGGTCGGACTTACCTAATGAGGGTTATACCAAGTCTCCCAGTAACACCTCTCCCTTGTCTCTCAGATAAAATGATATCCTAAAACCTCTCCTCGACTGTACATTCACTAGAAATTTTGCAGTCGTCGACACTCATGTTGACTTGCCTGATTGGGCAGGTACCAACTCTCTCTGAGCGATGATGGTGATTTTGAAGATGTGTTTACTTTGCTTAGCCCGTTCGAGCAATGGTGTTGGCTTGCTTTTATATCATACTGTCTGTTTATATCAGCATCTGTGAGGATAGAGGTAGAGGGCATCAGTGTATCCTTGGTACGGGATGTACGGGGTTTTCAGAGGATGAACAGCTCAACACGAGTACAGGTACAGTCAAAGGGGGAAGTGAGCAATTGCAATTGGGTAGAAGGTAAAGATTACATGCTCAGTCAAACACACTGCACCCAGTCTCGATTGCCGCACTTTTAGTCTTACAATTCCAACCGTGATTGCCATAACTTTTGTACATCAGTTTAACAACCGCAACACCTTGACCAAGTCCGCCGTAACGCCCATGGCAGTAACATCTCCACCTGCTCCCGCGCCCTGGATGATCAGCGGATTGTCGCCATACCGCTTCGTGTAGAAAGCAATAATGTTATCGCTGCCCTTGAGCGCCGCAATGGGGTGACTCTTGTCGAACTTCTCCAACCCCACCTTGACCTTATTGTTCGGTACATCCACGCTTCCAACAAAGCGAATGACCTTGCCCTCCTTCTCCGCCTCCGACTTGAGCTCGTCCATCTGGCCGTCGAACTCGGGGAGTCGCTGGAGAAACTCGTCGCCGGACGAGCACGACTCGAGCTCCTTGGGGATGAGCGATTGGACGGGGAAGGACGTTGGCGACTCGACCTTCAGGCCAGCGAGACGCGCGAGGATGGTGAGTTTGCGCGCGACGTCGAGGCCGTTGAGGTCGTCGCGGGCGTCTGGTTCCGTGTAGCCCTTGTCCTTTGCATTCGTGACTTCAGCGGAGAATTTGCCGCCGCCGCCGGATGTGGGCTGGAAGGAGTTGAAGAGGAAGCTCATGGTGCCGCTGAAGACGCCCTCGATCTTTTGGACTTGGTCGCCCGTCTCGACGAGGTCTTTGAGGGTGGAGATGACGGGCAGGCCGGCGCCCACGGAGGATTCGTGGAAGATGTAGCCGCCGTTACCGGTGCCGTTGGAGGCGGCGCTGAAGATGTCGGTCCAGAGGGTGTAGTCGCCTGAGAATGCTTTCTTGTTTGGTGTGACGACGCTGATGCCCTTCTTGAGGAAGGCGGGATAGCTGTTTGCTACGTCCTGGTTGCTTGTGTTGTCCACCAAGACGACCTTTCCTGGTGCCTTGACGAGGTATTCGGCGAGCTCTGGGAGTGGCAGTGTGGGCTTGGTAGAGTTCTGGAGCTCAGACTCCCAGTTGTTGAGGGGCTTGTAGTCGGCGTTGTAGATGGCTTTCTTGGAGGTGCTCAGCCAGACGAGGGAGAGGTAGTATGGCGCTCCCGGTGATTGAGAGAGCTTGGATGCGAGGCCTGAGAGCTGAGAGAGAAAGCATTTGCCAACACCACCGGCACCTGCACGTGTTAGTCGCGTACTGGGCCATAGTCGAAGCTTTGCAACTCACCAATAACAGCAATGCAGACTTGACGAGGGAGAGGCATGGCGACTATTTTTGGAGTCAATTGACTTGAATGAATGAGTACGAAGCAGTACACAAGCTCACGAGAAGGCTCAACAGTCAACAGAGAAAAGAAGTTATTTGCGGAGCCGCTTTCGCCGATTCACAGCTGCAACGTGGGGTTCCGCGATGCAATTGGCGGGGCAGCAGAGTGACGCAACAAGCTCAGAGCCTCGGCCGCCGACATCGCCAACGCGAAACTATCGCGACATTTACTCTGCCATCCATCACGCCATGTCGTCCAAAGACGCCCACCTGTACGGCGCAAAACCAAAGAACCGCTCCAAGGCAAAGGACATATCCAGCTCGAGCTCCCTCGCCTTCTCGTCGACACTATCTAATCTCATCAAATTATCCGCCACAGACACCAACAAGACGACTGCTGGCCGCGCACGACCGCAGAAGGAAGACATCTTCAAAACACACAACAAAAATGTCAAGAAGCGCGCGCTGAAAGATCTCGAAGATTCAGACTTCACGCAGAAGCACCGGACCCGCACAGCAGACGAGAAGGGCGAAGATGAGGCAGCCTGGAAGCGCACCAAGCGGCGCATGGAAGAAAAGGCACGTCTATACGATGCGCTAAAGCGAGGCGACGTCGAAGACCGCGACGACAAATACGGCGTAGACTTCGATCGCAAATGGGCCGAGAAGCAGGAGAAAGGCGAGCCCGACGCAGCATCTTCGTCCGAATCAGAAGCCTCGGAAGAAGAAGAACAGGTCGAATACGTCGACGAGTTCGGCCGCACGCGCAAAGGCACCCGCGCAGAAGCTGCCCGCGAGGAGCGCCGGAAACGAAACCTCGCAGCCGACGAGCCCGATCGCTTCACGGCGCGCCCGTCGATGCCGGATAATATTATATACGGCGATGCGGTGCAGTCGAATGCCTTCAACCCCGATGAAACCATTTCGCAGGCTATGGCGGATCTTGCTGCGAAGCGCGACAAGGAGCTGACGCCACCACCGGAACTACATTTCGATGGAAGGGCAGAGGCACGGCAGCGCGGTACCGGGTTCATGTACTTCTCCAAAGATGAGGAGGAGCGGCAGGAGCAGATTAGGAATTTGGAGAAAGAGAGGCAGGAGACGGATCGGGTTAGGAAGGAGCGCAAAGAGCAGATTGAGAAGAGGAAGGAGATGATTCGGGAGAAGAAGAGGGCGATACAAGAGAAGCGGAGTAAAGGGCAGGCGGAGAAGTTCTTGGACGATCTTGGAGCGGAGCTGTTGAAAGACGGTGATGAGGCTGAAGGCTCCAAGGCTGGCGAGGTAGGTGTTGAAGAGTCGAAAGGTGAGGCGTAAGGGATTTTTGTTGTGTTTGTATACATGCTGCATATGATACCCAAATTGTTATTCGGCAAAGTTCTCGTCTCCGTTTCTCCTCGACTCATCTCGAGCTCAGGCTCTTTAACACCGTCAACAGCCATCGATACCACACGTTAGATATTTAAAGCGCCGACGGCAAGTATAAATTCTCCCTCACTTGACCCTCTCCATGTGTCCATAAACACACTTCTTTTTTTCATCACGGCGAAAAAGATTTCTAGTCTGTTTTAATGTCTGCGCCCTCTGTTCTCCGTGTCCAAAAACATCCTACGTACAGAACCATGTTTTCTGCTTTCCAGAAAGATTCCAAAAATTCGAGATGACTTGCGCATGTTCCAGTTCCTTCTTTTCTCAACGAGGGCGCATTCTGTAGCAACATGTTATCGAAAACACACTGTGGACTGGACCATGCAGCAGACGTGCCGACAAGAAGCCTACGTTCGTGCGATGGGCATTTCTCTTGCCAAAAACAGTCTGGTACTCTGCGTATGTTTGTGGCTCCGGGAAGATTTTGGCCGGTGTATAAACGATCGACTTTCTTCTCCTTCCCAAATTATTGTGAGAAATCCTCTTCTCGAAACTTGGCCTCACTGCATACATGTCCGTGGCTATGCTTCTTCTCAAAAAAGAAAACAAGAAGCAGCCATGAGTTCTGGAGCTCGTGACTACGAAACATATAAACGCATGAGATGTTGTTTATCAAAATCAACAGCAAAGGGACGTATGTCGGAACTGCTTCTTGTCGGAAGAGAATGAGAAACGCTTCGTGTGCCTCGAAATCGGTGGTTGGGAAAGACTGTGCTGGCCCAGAAATACCGTACAACTTTACGCATGAGCCCGACTCTAAATCAATCACGCTGGTGCACCGAAAACCGACTTTTCGATATCTATAAGGGCATACTGGCTACTAATAGTACCCTTGGATCAGGTTCTGCAACAGAAATTCCAGACTTTGCGGTCAACGCGGCGTTTGTGCCGCTTTTTGAATATGAAGCCTCACCACATCCTGCTCAGTCTTCCTCCCTTACTACACTATCTCTCTACAGATCGATAAGCAAAAAGTAAAATAAAATGGAGTATATGACTGCTCCACAAAGTCTGAAGGATCAAGACATATAATGTTGATCCTAGTGTCTTCTCTAGAAAGCTAGAGAGACCATGGCCATGTTTACCCTACGCCAGGATCCAAACTTCATCGCCTCATCGAGCTCCACTTCTTCAACAAATATGCAACTATCTGCCGAAGCGTTCTAAATAATGAGTGTGGATGAAGTATGTCTTTCCGTCGTGTCAAAGACTTGCAACGAGTGTGGGCATGTCCTCTCCTGGCTCTCAAGTCCAGTCGACCATATTTATGGACCAGCTGAATCGTGAGTATAGCCGAGATTTGCAACTTCCAGCAACACGAATCTAAAGAATTTTATCTGAAACGGCTCGAACCCTGCGTATATAAGCCCTGCCTTCGTCTTTCTCTCCTCTACACAACGAAAGCCAGAAGTGCTTCAAAACTAAAAGAACCAAGATGGACAACCTACGAATGGTGCTCCAGAAAGCTATAGAACACTAGGGAATGTTCTGTGCTGTTGTGCGAAAAGCCACACTTGGTGCTGTGCATGGAAAAGTGTGTTGCACTTGTGGGAATATCAATGCCTCTTGCATTCGACACGCTTGATACTAGCAGAGACCGAGCAAAAAACATACATGTTTAATAGTGCCTGAGCAAAAGAGTTAATGCGTTGCGCATCTTAAAAATTCTTCGCGCCGGAGCCCTTTCAGCGGCGCATGTCCGTTTGTCTGTTGCCCAGTCGACCTCCAATCCCGCAGCGCGCCCTCACCCGCCTTCACCTTGTGCCCCGCCTTTCCCCATTCACCTTTTCCTTCCTGTATATATACCACCTAAATTGCAGCTCTTTCAACAAATCCAGTACACCTTAAATACGTGCTGGCGGCAACCCCAGTCTAAACCACTTAGCGCAGGAGTCGTGATAACCAAAATGGGTTCAACTCACATGACAAACTGTGTAAGGTTTGTGAGTATCCTTTTTGCTCCTGCGTTCGAACAGGCGATGGGTCTGAAGGTTCGTTTCACCTTTTTTGGCTTCTGGTGTGTGCAGTTTGGTGTTGAAGAAAGAGTGACGTAGCTACACGTAACAATAAGGTACGCGAGCAACAAGAGGAGAATGAGATTGGAGGAATCGAGAAATGAGAAATGACAAAGAGAGCACGAGATTAGACGGGAGAACATGAGCAATATGCGACAAAGGATGAGAGAATTTGAGTAATAGGAAAGCAGACATGCCACCCGAGCTGATGTGCAAAATAAGGAGCGTCAAGCCCGCCCTTGACATTATATTACTGTTGCGCCCATACTTCTTATAATTTGATATCGAAACTTGTTCCGCATCCACAACTGCTCGTTGCGCCGGGAATGCCTGTGATCTTGAACTGACTCCCAATCAACTCCATTGTGTAGTCCACCGTACTGCCATTCAGCAGCTCTAAACTCGACTCGTCGACTACTATCTTCTCTCCCTTTTCTCCTTCAAACACCGTATCTTCTTCCGATGCGGGCTCTTTTCCGAGATCCGTTAGGTCCATTAAATATTGAAAGCCATGGCACCCGCCACTTTCGATGCTGACTCTGAGCGCGAGGTTCGGATTCTTGTCGCCGGACGATATTGCGTATAAACGATTCGAGGCTCGTGGAGAAATGGCTATTTGCATAGGCTTCCCTGAGTCATCGGTGCGCGGGTTCTGCACTGCCTGTGCTGGTCGTGCGGTGGATGGGTCTGAGCTTGTGGCGAAGGTTCTTCGGATAGCTCGCTGTGTGGAGAGTTGCGAGATAGACGCTCTATAGAAAGACAAGAGACTCAGCTCTTGCTTGGAGGCGTTGGGCGCAAGGAAGTTGAGATACAGTGGGCGCAAGGTGGCGGTTGCGGTGATTCTACTAAATGCTCTTGATGCTTGTTGCAAAGTACGGAGAGATCTTGCGGTGCCCATTGATGATGATCTCCTGGCTAATCGCAGACACGAAGCGCATATATTCGACGTGGACGCCATGATGTGATGTTGTGAACTTGAAGGTTGGCGGTGTAGTAATCACGAGTGTGAGGTCATGGCCGAAAGCTCCGACATGTCAGAACGCGACAGCCTCGTGTTCTAGACCCACCACGAGCCGCTTAGTCAGCCAATGACCCCGCGTCCGGACGAACCGCCCCACTTGATTTTGCCTGAGGCAACCATCCGACGCGTCTCCGAGAAGACCGAAATCCGAAAGTCTAAACGCGATTTTAACTATTACTTGGACACATCCGTGCGCCACATCCGGTGATCTAATTCTTACTATCTTTCTCTCATCTTCGTTAGCATGTCACAAACTACGAATTCATACGATAGCTTCCAGGATGCGGATCTGTGCTCAGCCGCGTTCGCGGAGAAGCAAGATGAAAAAGATAAGCTCACCAAATTGAGAGAAGACTTCTACATTCCTACGAAAGGCGACCTGATAAACAAGAAATATGGCTTCCAGAAGTCTGGGAATAATGCCAAAGGACATGAAAATGGGAAGTGCATATACTTCTGCGGTAATTCACTGGGTCTGCAGCCCACACGAACGAAGGAATATATCAACCGATACTTAGACACTTGGGCATCCAAAGGCGTGTTTGGGCACTTCACGGACTATGAGGGAGGTCTGCCACCATGGCTACACATCGACGATGCCGTCAAGGAGCAGACATCCAAGATAGTCGGAGCATTACCCAGTGAAGTGGTGATCATGGAGACGCTGACTGCAAACTTACATTTGCTAATGTCGAGCTTCTACCGACCGACCAAGGACAGGTGGAAGATCATTATTGAGGGCAAGGCGTTTCCCAGTGACCATGTAAGTCATACCTGAGCGTCGTCAGATCCGCGTCTGACCCAAGTCATAGTATGCCGCTCTCTCTCAAATCGCACACCACGACCTTGACCCTTCAGCACTCATCACCATCGAACCTCCCTCGTCTTCCGCACCATACTTGTCAAACGAGCACATACTCTCTGTGATATCGAAGCACGCCGCCACCACTGCACTAGTCTTGCTTCCTGGCATACAATTCTACTCGGGCCAATTTTTCGACATCGAGTTGATAACACGGCACTGTCGCGCACTGGGCATCACTGTTGGTTGGGATCTTGCACACGCGGTAGGAAACGTACCACTCAAGCTTCATGACTGGAACGTCGACTTCGCAGCATGGTGCAACTACAAATACATGAGCGGCGGTCCAGGTGTCATTGGTGGCGCATTCGTGCACGAACGGCATGGCACAGTCGGAGAAACAGCACCCACAACTACACCGGACGGTACGAACGGCAACCCAAAGACCATCTCTGATGAATCTCTTACCTACCGTCCCCGTCTCAGTGGCTGGTGGGGTAACGACAAATCCAGCCGCTTCACAATGGACAACAAATTCGTCCCAATCCCTGGCGCCAGCGGTTATCAACTCAGCAACCCCAGCGCCCTCGACATGACATCGGTAATGGCTAGTCTCGACGTCTTCGCCCTGACCACCATGGACGCACTACGAGAACGCAGTATTCGACTGACGGGATATCTCGAAGCGCGACTCCTGCGGTATCCTGGCGGAGAGCCACCGTATACCATCATCACGCCGACGAATCCGGCCGAGCGCGGCGCGCAGCTGAGTGTGATGCTGAGGCCTGGGATGTTGGATAGCGTGCTGCATCATCTGGAGAAAGAAGGCGTTGTCGTGGATGAGCGGAAGCCGGATGTGCTTCGGATTGCGCCGGCGCCGCTGTACAATACGTTCCGCGATGTTCATGACTTCATTGGAATATTCCATGAGGCGTGTCGGAAGGCTCTTGTTAAGCCTGCTGAAGCGCCGAAACATAGCGAGGGCGTTCCTAAGGCGATTCAGACTACGTAGGTCGCGTGGTAGAGGTTGCATACGGCCATTTCTTTTTGGCATTGAAGCAACAAATATACCCAAGACGACGTGAAGGAGGTGGAGGTAATCGTAATGAAAGTTCCATTCGACAAAACGTGCATTATATATCCAAGACCATGATCGCCCATGCATAAACTCCGCGTAACCAACAGCGCAATCGCTATTGCCCATGAACGCCTCGTACACCATGTTCGTAGCACAACCCTACGCCTTCAATGCAAAACTAAACAGACTATCCATCTGTACCCACTGCCTTCCATTCCTCTCTAGCCATTTGTCCACTACGCCCTTGAGGGTACCGAAGCGCTCTCGGTTGACTTCTGCCAGCACCTTGATCTTCTCCCTACCCTCACCCTCAGCCTTGATAACATCTTCCTTCGCTACACGATCGACATCGAACAAGGACTGGTAGTAGAGTAGCTGATTCCAGACGTCCCTCTCCTTGAGTTCATAGTGCATCTTGCCCAGACAATCCTTTGCCAATCCTTTAGGACCCAGGCATCTTGAGCCATACACACTCATCTGGCGCGTTCGGTTCCCGCATTGTGGGTCGTCGCACACAAGGTAGCCAGCATAATAGGAAGCGAGGTACTGTCGAATCGAAGACTCGAGCTGAGCTACTATGCTGATATTGGGTAGGATGTTTCCGCAATTTGTATTTGGACATTGAACGCCGTTGTGGCTGACTGTCTGCAACTTGGCCAACGAAGCAGACGGCGCGGTAGCAGAGAGGCCTTGGAAGGGGAAAGTGGTCGTGCAGCCACGGCAGCGTAGCCAGAGCAGCGCACAGGCCTGGAAGCGCACCGAGTCGGGGATCTGAGACTCAAGAGGATGTACTTCAGTTTCTTCTTGTGTGGCGCCGGAGGTGGTGTTGACGCGGTATTTAGATGTATCGAGGCCGAGACATGCTGCCAGAAGAGTGATATTTGTGCCAGTGATAGGAGCACAGAGACGTTCTACTGGTGGGAGGATCTGCTTGTGGAGGTAGTAGTCGATGTCGGGCTTCAGCTCACTTCCTGGCTTGAGGACTTCGTCGACTGGGTATGCGTTCTTCGCTGCATTCTCTGCAGATCCAGACGCCTCGCCTGTGATGATGAAAGACATCACATCTTTGGCCTTGACGTGCTTGCCCTTCGCTTGCAGCTTGAGAGCTACTTGTACGGAGGGCATCGAATTGCCGTTGGGGTATTCCTTTGGGTTCTTTCCAAGCTGCGTGTAGATGGTATATTTGCGGGTTGGGACGGCGTATTCTCTCATCTGCTTCGACAGCTCGCGCAGATGGTTGTGGATCTTTTCGACAACAACTTCTGGATCCTCGCCACTTAGGAGGAAGTTCAGGAGCTCACTGAATTAATTAGCAATGCCTCTAGGTAGACTTCAACACAACTTACGTGGATGTGTCTTTGGAAAGAGCGCAGTACTCTCTGCGCCTCATATCTAGACCCTTGACCTCTAGCTTCTCAATGTACTTGCCATCAACAGGGACCATGTTGATTGCAGCATATTTCTTCTTCGCATGCAGTAGAATGCGACGGAAAACGTTGTCGATATCAATCTCAAGAAGCCTGTAGCTATCATTGACAATCTTCTTGAACTCGTTACCGAGCTTCAAGGCATCTTGAATGTTGTCGACATTTGTGTTGATCATGACGGAGTCAGTATCACCATAGATGACGCGCAACATCTTCTCCTCAGCCATGTCCTTCGTTCGTCGAAGAATCTCTCGGCCCTTGTAGGTTGTGAGCATGGCGAGTGGTCGGGCGTAGAAGCGCGACTTGGTGTAACCAAGACATCCGTACATAGAGTTGGCAGTAAGCTTGAGAGCCAACTGCTTGATATCCCAGGTGGCCAATTGATCCGTTGTGGCATCCTTGGCCTTCATGAGCTTCTTCACTTCGCGTCGACGAGAAACGAGAGTGGCAATAAGTCGTGGTAAAATGCCTTGTTCCTGGTTGTCGGGAACTTCAGGCACTTTGTCGTCGTCCTCGGAAAGATCTGATCGCTCGACAGTTGTAAAGCAGATGTTGAACTCTTGGATGATGCTGGGGTAGAGAGAGTTGAAGTCCATGACCAGGATGAACTTGTCGTAGAGGCCTTTCTCGGGTTCGAAAACAAGACCACCCTTGAACTTGTCCTTCTTCTTCGCGTCTGTGCCCTCCTCTCCCTCGGCAGCCTCTTCTTCTACCTTTATCTTACTCTTTCCCCACTGCTTGTCAGGGCAAATGTACTTGTTCTTGTGGAACTCATGCAACAAAATGTACTCGTTCCGCTCAGCGCGAGTACCACTCAGCGTGCGAGCCCAAGAGTTACCGGCAAGGTTCGTCAATACCTTGGTAAGTGGGAGCATTTGTACCTTCATCGAGATGGCAGCGATGAAATATGCGTCGGCCTGGCAATGCTTGACATAGTTCAATAAGCCTTCCTTGGTAGTCGCCCAACTCTTTAGAGCAGCTTCGTTGTCGAGCTCCTCTCGGCGCTGGTTAAGGACCAGTTGGCACATCTCTTCTAGACTCCAGGATTGACACTTTGTCATCAAGGATTTTCCGAGATCGTTGGCCAAATCACAAAGTAAGCGACCAGACGCCAGTTGCTTCTCGGCGAAGAAGCTACCGCCACCTTTGCCCAGGTTCTTTGGCCAATCGCTTCTCTTCACACGTCCAATACGATGCCAACCAGGAGTCTTTTTCTCGCGAAGACGGTTCAGCAAGACACTGTAATCGACGTCATCTAAGCGATGGCCCATCAGCACATCAGGATCGTGTCGTTGAAACATTGCCATCAGTAAGCTAAGAAGTTCTTGCTCAGTCTTCACGAACTTGGTGTTTCCTTTAAGCTTGGCGGCTTCGGCCTGGAAGCCTGTCGGGAATGCAGTTCCGTTCGGTCGCATGAGCGTGAAGCTCTTGGCTTGCATCTGATCGATGGGGGTTGTGTCGCTCAATGAGAAGTTATCGTAGACCATTGCGCTTGCCATTAGGATTTCTTGCTTGTTCTCTTTGGCGTTGAACGAAGTGCGCAGAGAGAGACTCATGAGAGTCATTGGCGGAGCATCCAGGTTGTCCGAGTTGCTCAGTACTGTGATGCTGTTGGGCTTGCTGACCTGAATTTCAAGCTTACACCAGGACGCATTGTGGATAGCGCCAAAGTCTGCACCATCAATCTTGAGCCAACAAGGACCCATAATGTTCTTCCAGAGCACAAATTGCTCGAAGAGTGAGGTGTTGGTTCCGAAAACATGCGAGAATGTCTCTCCAGTCAGGTCAGAGGAGAGTGGCATCTTGTCGTAGCCGTAGAGCAACTTCATGTAGTCCGCTTCTTTAGGAATGTCGGCCAATTCGAAAGCGTACTTTCTTGTGCATGGCTTGATCTTGTGGAGATTGACACGATGCTTGCTCATGATGTTGTCCAGCTCATCCGAAACATCGCTGAGGCCAATTTCCTCGTCGGTAGCCACCCCTCTGACGTGGCGGTGTTCTCGGGGGAGGAAGTACAGCTTGCGCATAATGTTGTCTATTTTAACAAAGCAACTGGCGTAGGAACCAGTTGTTCGATCTTTGACCTTGCCGAAGAGGCATAGACTGCCGTTGATTTCGGTGTAATCAATCCAGAACATGCGGACGCTGCCGTCTTCCTCTAGAACGTCTTCGGACCTCATCTTTCCGACGCCAGTAGTTTGTGGGGCTGGACTGCTCATAACGTTGAGCTTGTCTGTCACGTCATTCCATGAGGAAGCATTTATTGAAGCTGTTGAAGGTCCTACTGGCGAAGAGCTCGCTGGTGTCGGGTAGTCTGCCTTCCTGAGTTTGGAAATTGGTCGTTTGCCAGCCATGTTCACGCTCGCAGCGGGTACTCCGAGATGTCTTGTGGGCTGTGCGACCTCCAATAGGTCATCATCCTCCTCCTCGACCTTGACGACTGGCTGTGATTTCCGCTCCACAGCCTTTGCAACGGGAGACGATTGCAGAGGCGGATCACTCATTGGCACATCATCGTCGAATGTAGGTAGACCATCGTCGTCCGCAAATGCGTTTGCTGCTGGGGGTGTGTTGGGCATGTACGAATCGGAATCGTTTGACGAACGCTTGATCACTGCAGGGCGGTTCTCGGATACAGGCGGTGACAGTACGCGTGTCTTTCGTCGTGCTTCAGTCTTGACAGCACGCATACGGGGAGCGGCGCGGGGGTTCGTGTCAATCTCGCCGAGGAGGTCGTCCATGAAGTCTACGTCGGCAGCGGTTACGGCAGGCTGTTGCTGTAAGTATCTGCGGCATCAATCCGCTTGCTTCTTCTGACATACCTTTGCCTTAGGAGCTTTTGCCGCGTTCTTCGCTCCAAAGTACTTGCTGATGCCGTTGTTGATCTTCTCCTGCTTCTCCTTGTCCTCTTCGCGCTTGCGTTTGGCTGGACGCGTCAGTATTTGTGGCCTCGGGTATGAATTGAGAACACACACCAGCTTTGCCTTTGGCGGGCCGGTCTTCCTCTTCCTCGCTGTCCGTTGCAGCATAACGGTACCGGCCCTGCCCATCGTCCCATTCTTCTCGGCCATCATCGACATAGCCCTCTCCATTATCGTCGACAATGAAGTCATCCTGGTCCAGTCTGCTACGGACAATCTTCTTGTAGCCGTCTTCGTCAACTTCATCGTACAATTGCTCTTCTTCGGCAACTTCGTATGTGGACAGGCGCGTCTTTCCAGCAGCGCGCAAAGCTCGGAGCTCTGCCAACTTTGCTGCGCGAGACATGGTGTATTATATGGTTAAAGAGGTATCAACAAGGAATCGAAGAAGAGAATGTTCCGAGAAGGTGCTAAGATACTGTCATGAGGGGAAGGTGGGCTGGAGGGACAACAGTGGGTTTGTCGTTAATGGCAGGAACGAGACGCGCTAGTGGACGCGTTTCGCGACTGCCATGCACAGGCCACCACTTTAACTTCTCGCACTAACCCAACTTGTCTGCATCCCATCTCGGGCGTCATCAATCCCTTCTTCCATAAATCAACATGGCTTCTGTGTCGAAAGCGCCTCTAGTATGGATAGACTGCGAGGTAATTACTTTCAACTGCTTAAAGGAGTGTTCTAAGGACAGCAGATGACTGGTCTCGACACGGAGAATGACACTATCATGTCCCTTGCCGCCTTTGTCACTGATGCCGACATGAATTTGCTTGACGAGTCTGGTTACGAGGCTGTGATCCATCACAGCAGAGAGCAGCTCGATCGCATGGGCGAATGGTGCACGAGTCATCATGGCGACTCGGGACTAAGTCAAGACTGTCTCGATTCTACCACTACCGCAGAGCAAGCAGCCGAGGGGTTATTGGAGTACATCAAGAAGTATGTGCCTGAACGTCGCACTGGACTTCTGGCCGGAAACTCTGTTCACGCCGATAAGTCATTCCTCGTCAAGCAGCCTTACAAGGTGGTCACGGATCATCTGCATTACCGACTTCTGGATGTCAGCAGCATCAAGGAAGCTGCGCGAAGATGGGCACCCAAGGATGTTCTGAAGAAGATTCCGAGGAAGCAGATGCTACACGAGGCTCGCGCTGACATCCTTGAAAGCATCGAGGAGGCCAGATTCTATCGAGAGACTTTCTTTTTGAAAACAGAATGAGCACCACGTTCTTGCAAGATTGGAGTCATGGTGTATGATAAGCGCTGTGCAAAAGCGCGGCTATCGAGGCTATTTCATCACACTGCCGTCCTTTATTATCGAAAAGCTACATCTCAGCAGCATGGTCGCGGAGGCGCGTGTGCAAAGAATCCTGGAAAATCAGCCCAATCACATAAGCAGCTCAATGTTGCTGCCTGGGTCACGCCATGGCGCGAACATCCGTAATTGATAGAAACTACGCAACCACCTCGGCTTATGTACTCACATTCCATCAGGCCTCCCGCAAATGAAACCCCCATAAGATTACAACCCTTCGTGCAACACCTACCCACCCCACTCCCATCTTCTACCACAACTGGTCTCATCATGTTTGATGCAGTTACCTCCAAAAATTGGCAAGGGCTATACACAGAACAATTCATAATTTTGATAGGCATAGTCGTTGCTACTGTGTCTGTGAAGCGATGGCTGGCCCGTCGTCATTTCATACGCACTCATGGCTGCAAGCCCGTGGCAAGTTCCCTGAACAAAGACCCATTTCTCGGTCTTGACGCGCTCTTCACAGGCCTTCGATATATTAGAGAGCACAAAATTCTGGAATTGACTTGCGAGTTGTTCCGTGACCATGGCAACACATGGACAGTCAAGGAGTTTCATCATAACGCCATTGTCACTATCGAATCAGAAAACATCAAGACGATTCTATCCCTCAAGTTTCAAGACTACGGCATTGCTTTTCGGCTTGCGCCTTTCCAACCACTCCTTGGTGAAGGCATCTTCGATACCGATGGCGAGCGATGGGCAAGTTCGCGAGCTCTTGTTCGTCCTAGTTTCACTCGTGAGCAGATAGCAGATTTGGCATCGCTGGAAGACCTGATTCAGGATCTCTTTGTCTTGCTACCTCGTGATGGTAGAACCGTGGTGGACCTGCAGGATGCCTTCTTCCGTTATACCTTGGACAGTGCCACCGAATTTTTGTTTGGACAGGCAGTCGGCAGTCTGAAGGGCCATTCATCCGATCAAAAGTTTGCACAGGCATTCAAATATGCCCAGGAAGCGATCATAACGCGAGGGGCCTTGGGCCCACTCAGCATGTTCTGGCGTGACCGCAAGGCCAACGAGTGCAATCGTATTTGCCGGGACTTTGCAAGACAATTCGTCGACGACGCTATCCATATGTCCCAGTCGATGAAGCAAGACGAAGCACAAAATGAACCTGGGAAGCGCAAGAGGGTTATATTCTCATATGAACTGGCATCGCGAACGAATGACCCTGAGCGAATTCTGGACGAGGTGATGAATCTTCTGGTAGCTGGACGAGACACTACCGCCAGTCTCTTGGGCAACCTCTTCTTCATGCTCGCGAAGAATCCAGCCATATGGGACAGACTAAGGTCTGAAGTGGCAGTCTTGGAAGGACGTACGCCAACTTATGAAGATCTTCACAAGTTGAAGTATGTTAAATGCTGTGTTAACGAATGTAAGAAGTATTCTCCGCTGATCAATTCCCTATTTTCCAATCATGTCAACCGCGCTGACATAACTAGCTTTGCGCCTACATCCGGTTGTACCGCGCAACAGCCGAATGGCTATCAGAGATACTGTCCTGCCACTCGGAGGTGGCCCTGATGGACTTCAACCTGTCTTCGTCCCGAAGGGAACACACGCTAGCTACAATCTTTACGCGATGCACCGTCGTAAAGATATATACGGCCCAGATGCGGACGATTTCCGTCCAGAGCGCTGGCTGGACGGCACATTGCAGCCTCGTTGGGGGTTTCTGCCGTTCAATGGCGGACCGCGCATTTGTATCGGCCAACGGTTTGCTTTGACGGAGGTTGAATACGTCCTGGTGAGGATGGTACAGGAGTTTCGAATCTTGGAAAGTCAGGATCCTGGTCCATGGGAAGAGTCTTTGGCTTTGACGTTGTGTTCGAGGAATGGCACGAAAGTGTGTCTTACTGCTGCTTGAATCATACCATAGGGGAAACTATGGGACTCCACCAGCGCGTCCACAGAACATAGGGCGATTACCAAGCCAGGTACCTTGCATCTGCTGCTCTTCAAGACAATGGAAACACCCAACTCAACAATCACGCAATCGTATCTCATGTGCAGGGAGGCAACGAACCTACCTTGCGGTACCTGCATGCACGTATTATGTAAATAGGGCGCCTGAGTGTGTAGTATAGTCGTTCAATAGTGGTCAAGTGCATCCGACTTATCTTTCAGTGGAGGCAAGTGGTCGCTCGCTCGTAATTCGGAAAAGCGGCAGTCGAAATCTCGCGTCGGCAAATCCACAGCACTACCACTCTAGGCAAGGATATTCAGGCACCGCTCCTGCCAAGTATAATGAAATGAGCTTACCTCGGTCTTGCCGCTTGTGGGCTGATGTGCGAGCATCGTAGGCTTGTTATCGCAGCAATAAGTAACAGCCACGCAGCGATTTGTTTTTACTGAAGGCCAGACAATCGACCACGTACTTCCTTTTCTGCAAGCCCGATGTTGACAACACGGCTGGCAATTACAGTAGGCTTGGCCTCTTAAGCGAAGCCACAATCACCATGAAGTTTTTATTTAGACATCGAGAAGCCTGCACAACCACGGGTGGTAAGATTCAGAAACGCTAATTTAGCCTTTTGCAAGATCCACCTGCCCTACGGGCTTCCCGAGTATTGTTGTTACCTCCCACAGCACTCGAATGTGGATGAACTCGCACAACCTTGTGAGATGCGAGAAATTTCCAAGGCTGTTTTGGTATTTCGAACCGACAGCAGTCAAAGTTTCACGAACAGATAGGAACGCTGGCATTGCCGAACCGCAGGCGTCGCAAAACCGGTGAACGTGAGGAGTATGAACCCATGCAGCTTGCTCCGAAACTCCTGCTAGATCAGCTACAAGGGGCCTGGTCGCTGCAAAGATAAAAGCTGAACATTCGACGCAAGCCACCAAGCTCTAGATCCAAATTGCTGCTAGCGTCACTTCGAGGCTCCTTCAAATTTGTGCAACCTATACCCTTCATTGGGTAATACACGATGGTTACTCAAGCGGGATGCTAGCGGTCCGAGAGTCGACAAGCTCCCCGGTACCAAGCCCTTGGACTGCCGCCGAAGGATTGTAGCGCATGACAATCTGAGAAAGCCACGGCTGAGTTTTGCGCAAAGATGTGAGCGCCTCGGAGTGGAATTTCGCTTGGGAATCCACGATGGATGCCGCGCTCCTCGGTATGATTCCTATAAGGAGCCCTCTCCGCTGTTTTGGTGTTTTGGTGTGTCAAGACTTGTCAAAAGTCTTTTCCGTCCCACGACCTTACATTCACTGTACAGACATACGCTCGCTTTACGATATACAGCTATATCCAACCACCGCCTGGCACCGTATCCATATGAGAATAGTCTCGCCGGATTAGCCAATCGAAAACCACCGGGATTCGTCCCGATTTCTTACATTACTGTCGATCACCATGACTGCACACATAGGCGGCCTGTCAACTGCCGTCGTCGCTGTCATCGCAGTGGGCGGAGTGGCCGTGCTTTTAGCTGCTATCACCATCAGTGCATGGTGTTGCGACCTTCCGGCCAAAAGACGCCGCCGTAAGGCCATCAAGAATGGAGGAAGGATAAGCCCAGACATGGACGAGGTCGACGTGGAGAAGAACGAACCAATCGTCTCAATGACCGCAGTCGACAGTCAGGTCAGACAGATTAGCAAGAGCGGTCAAGACACAGGCGCTCCTTCGCCAGTGTGCCGATGCTAACATCCCGGTCTTCCACCATCGCCTCAAATTACAATACAACCATCGCGGATTGGATCATAATCTTGAACCGATCGAGCGAGTCAGATACTTCCGCAAAGGGTGAAAGCTCTGCGCTGTGGAATCTGCTGACGCAAGCTTCGAGTCACATACTACATGCTTGCATCGACCAGAGCTGGAGCAAGACGTATGAAGCGAATAGAACAAGGTCAAGAAGGGAATCAATCGACGCGGCGATTCGATTTTGCTTGAATTGCCCTTCGATGCGCTGTCGACACAGCGCAGTGAAGTACCAGGTGTCTACATTGCAATGTGGCTAAGGTCACATGTAGAACTTCCATGGTCGAAGAAGTCGAGCTATACTGAATGGAGAGTATAAAATGGCCCGCTCAGAAGATTGGGGTGTCTGATGAAGGGCTTGTTCGGTGGACAGTGGACGTTGGGTGTACCTTCGAACGTGTCACTTGTCAGCCCATGACTACCAGCAGAAGCGCGTACAGCTCTATCACAAGCTTCAGCGATCTACGCATCTCGAACAGCATCATTCGCAGGAAGCTGGTATCATGACAAGCTAGAACGGATCCGTAAGACCATAGATGTAGACCGTCGCAACACTGCTGCACTTGGTCATAAGCACTAAAGAAGCTAGGCCACCCTCAGCTTCCAATTATAAAACCTCGCTACCTGCGGCTTTTCTTTAACAAGAAAAACTAAGTAGTCCCTGTGCGGTGATGTGCAAGCCTTGTAAAAGTTGCCGTCGATGAGGCTGTATTATCAGCCGTGTTGACTGTACTGACCGTAAAGCAAATGACCCAAACAGTATAGATGGAAACATGAAGACGCATCGAAAGACCTCCATCATCCACTCCGAAGTCTGCTTGCCATATCTTGTGCCCAAAAATACACAGCTTCGACATGGTAATCTTCACCCCCTACAGCAAGCAGAAAGCACTGCATACTGACGCGAAATACCGGCCGTTCATGTTAATACAGCCCGCAAACCTCGGGAAGGCGCTCGCAGACGCTCAAGCAGATACAAGCAAGACGCTTATGGGAATCGCCCACTGCATGACCGACGCTGACATTAACCTTTCTTGAGACCTCAACGGCAAACCAGCACCCGAATTTGTCGAAGCAATGGGCGAATTCTGCGCTGCAGCTGCGAAGAACAATCTCCCAGTCTTTGGAGGTGCTTTGTCGCTTGATCAGGTTCCTATGCTGATTCAAACTGGTGCTCGGAATATTTTTGTGCAGTTTGATATTTGGGTGTTTAGTAGGATGATGGAGGAGTCGTTGAATCAGGCGGTGTATAGGAAGCAGTTTGAGGGTAGCCCGAGTGCTGGATTGTCGAATGGGCAAGGGAAGGCGGAGTAGTTCCATCGTATCAGGGTATTACTTCATCAGATATATAGCCACATAAAATAGCGTGTGATGTACCTTGGTAGCTTTCGAGATACTCATTGATGGTGTTCATTCGATAGGGCAACATGCATTGTAAAAGTCAAGAACACCTTGAGATGGGCAGTCCAAGGGAAAAAAAAGTTGAAGACAACTTCTTTCGCCCACTACCTAGGCGATGCTAATTTGAATAATTTCGGCGACTAGACTGCCTCAAGAGCAGAATGTCCGTCCAGAGTCGCGCGTGTGTGTTCTTCATTCTAGACGACCCAGGTAGGTTTAGCGTAACTTTCGTCCTTTGAAGTTATGCCACTCCCCCACATCCCGAAATCTTTCTCAAGTACACCTACAGTCTTCAAGACAGTCCTTCTCGTAACAGAAAATACCGAATGAACCATGTCGGCATGTAGTGCTCAGCCATAGCTAGTTATGAGACGGCTCTAGTGACCTGGTTTGGTTGAAAATTGTTTTTTGGTGTAGCGATAGCCTGGTACTGTTCCGAAGCATCATGCTGTACCGGACGAAAACACGACTTTGAGCTTACAGCAAAAGTCAGCAACCACAGCACCTATATAAGTTGAGAAGACCAAACGGATTTGTTACAAGACACTGTTTCCTACATTCCATCCACGCAATTCCTCCTTACCCTTCAAGTGCCTCGCTTTCGACCGAACCTTGCAAGCTCTCCATCATCCGAGGTCGCTACAATGAATCAAAAAATCTGTCTCGTCACTGGCTGCTCCGCTGGAGGAGTCGGTCCCGCCCTTGTCGAAGCCTTCAAAAACAAAGGCTATCACGTCTTCGCGACAGCACGCTCGCCAAAGAAAGTCCCACAGGCGCTGCACTCCGACCCAAATATCACAGTGTTAGCACTTGACGTTACGTCGACCGACTCCATCACTGCAGCAGCCGCAGCAGTCTCTGAAAAGACGGGAGGCAAACTCGATGTCCTGATCAACAACGCTGGCCACGGCCTCAGCATGCCCGCGCTGGACACATCCATCGAAGACGCCAAGCAACTCTTCAACGCGAATTTCTTCGGCGTTCTTGAAATGGTTCAAGCATTCAGCCACATGCTCATCAAATCCAAGGGCGTGATAGTCAACAACTCTTCCGTGGGCGCATATCAGCCCTTCCCCTTTATCAGTGCGTTTCCCAACACCATCCTCAAGCAAACTGCTTTGGCTGACTACATCCAGCCATCTACCAAGCCTCAAAAGCCGCCCTCATCACCGCTGGCGAAGGCTGGCGTCTCGAACTCGCGCCCCTGGGAGTCCGTGTCATCACGCTGGTCACAGGCGGTATAGCAACGAATTTCGTGGCCAATCTCAACGCGCTCGATTTGCCCGAGAAATCTTATTACAAATGCGTAGAGGATACGATCGCCGAGCAGCCGGAGCATATTCCGTTCAGCATGGCGCCGGAGAGATTCGCACTACATGTGTTGCAGAGGGTGGAGAGGGGTGGTGCGGGGAAGTATTGGGCTGGTGGCGGTACGGTTATGATGCGTGTGGCGTTGTGGGTACTGCCTCAGGCATTGTTGGTAAGTGATTGAGTTGTGCGTTTGAAGTTTGAGGGGCTAACGTTTGGGTGTGTAGGATGTTATTTCGATGATGCCGAAGCCGTTTGCGAAGAAGTTGAGGGAGCATCGTGATACTGTGGAAGAGCAGGATCATAAGTTGGCGGTTGAGGGGTTGAAGCAGGCTTTGGTGGAAGGGCATGGGCAGTGACCCGAGGCGCTGGGGAAAGAGATGTGCCGATGAGAAACTCGTTGAAATGCTTGAATGTGATATGGCTCATTCCGACCGCGATTTTCGCCTCTTGACCGAAGCTTTAGAGTACTTTTGATACCTCTCTAAATCAAAGCTCCCATCTTCCAGCTCCCTACTCCCCTTATCTCCAGCCCAGCAAAACGCCCGACACCCTCCAACCACCTCACCACCCTCCAAAACCGCATCACACTCGATCCAAGTGTACGCGGCAGTCTCGTAAGCAGCCAGGCGATTGAAGTGCTCTTCCGAGGTCACTTTCCATATGCGTCCTGTCACTTTGCCGGGATCGCTGGGTATCAGGGCGGGATAGATGCCCACATTTTCACGTTGAAGCCTGAGATGGAAGCGGTTTGCATGGTGGTAGAAGGGGAGGGGAGATGGAGGACTGATTGGAGGACTTCGAGATCTGTTAGGGTGCCGTAGAGGAACATGTGACAGGGCTGGAAGGGTGCATTGGTTACTTCCACCTTTGATCTTGAGTTTGATTGTATGTGTTGATTCACCGGATTTCCTAAGCTTGAAATCGATGGAGCAAAATATTTTGCCGGCTTTGGGGGTTGTCGAGGTGGAGCCAACGGTGGAGGCGGAGGTATCTTAGTCGCATCTGGTAGCTGTGGCTGAGCCATGGAGGACGAAGGATTTTCACGCAATACCAATCTCCGTTCGTGATATCCCGCTGCTTCAACGAGTCTCGCATTGGTAGTAAGGAATGCTCCGATGATAGGCTCTCAGACCGCAGACCACTGGGGGCTGGTGCGCGCGCAAAAAAATACTGTGGTTGTCTTAAGAGACCTTAATTCATCCGAAACAACGTACGATCAATGCGCAATCATATTACAGGTTTAATTGCGGCCTAGACGGCGGAACATGGAATTGATTGCGCGTGGGTGGAGAGGTTTGGTGCACAACTCCAGAACATCAAGTTTCTTAGCGTCCTGCCAGCCACACGCGACCAACCACCGCATTTCCCTGCCACCATCAATTACGCACCACAACCCGCCATGATGAGCATCTTTAACATTTCTACACTCGGTGCTACACCTCGCAAGTCCCTGTCAACGATCAACGATCCGCAACCGTCACTCTCCTTCATTTTTCAACGGACACTAGCGCGAAAGACCAACCTTCATCCCAGCATCACACCTTTACATCCATCAAAATGCTCTTCAACATTCAACACTTTGCCGTCTTCGCCAGCATCTCAATATTCGCCAATGCGCTGCCATTTGACACGCCTCGCCAAATTGCCCCGCGACAAAAGAACTATTCAGTCATCAATGTCGACGGCGGATCATCGAGCGATGCTGCGCAAGCAACGACAGTAGTCAAATCAACCAAGACTGTCGAAGTTATCAACCCGGGACCGACTGTCACTCAAGAAACCACTACTACTGTCTTGAGCGTCGCTCCAGCACCTACTCGAAAAAGCTCGACTACGGATTGCACGACGAGTGCGCCTTCTTCTACCATCACATCTTCAACCAAGACGTCGTCTTCTGTTGTCACAAGCAGCAGCTCGAAACCAGTTGAGACACCAAAGCCCATTTTTGTGACTATCACGGTATCGAAGGATGATGGACCGACCGAGTACTATGACAATGGACTCTGGCATACATTGTACCGTATCAAGACGTTTGAAGCTGCCGTTGCTACATTAGCATCCTCGGCATCCATGTCGAGCACAATCGTCGCTCCCATTCTGGAGACTCCGGCGCCGTCATACAACGTGACGAGCTTCCAGCAGTATGCATAGGCCTGCATTTGCTGAGGCTGTATTACTTTCGCGACACAATCTAGGGATGGGTGTTGTTTGTTCTTGTTGAGTGGAGTACGCGATGCATGTGCAACGGGTTATGGGTACGGATATGGCAACATGGTAACGGTTTCGGAACGCATTATAACGGAGTTTCTGGAGCAGCGCATATATATAAATGCGCGCAAAGTAGATAATCACACATGAAATCATAATGAATATATTCAAGATGAGTTTGAATGCTGCTCTGAGTGATGGTGGTAGAGACGAATCCAATGACGCAGCTAGAAGGGGACATAGCTTCCGCCTGCCAAGCGGATGGCCGCTCACGACCAACGGGCGTTGCCTGACGTCGACCAGCTCTCCACAACCCCGGACTCTCCACCAAAGACAATAATATAATGGCGTCGCCGCCGCCCGTAGAAGACCAGGCTCGCCTGCTTGAAGATGCCCTCGCTGTGGTTCGGCAGCAGACAATGCTCATGCGACGCTGCCTGGAGACGCCCGGCAAGTTGATGGATGCGCTCAAGTGCAGGTAAGAGCTGCTATACAGCATGACACGTGCCCATACATGTACTTGTAGTACTGACAATACAATCGCCCAGTTCGACCCTCGTCTCTGAACTGCGCACAAGCAGCCTCGGCCCCAAGCAGTACTATGAGCTCTACATGGCCGTCTTCGATGCCCTGCGCCATCTGGCCGTCTACCTCCGCGAGAACCACCCGGTAAACCACCTCGCCGACCTGTACGAGCTCGTCCAGTATGCCGGGAATATCATTCCTCGCCTGTACCTCATGTGCACCGTCGGCACCGTCTACATGGCCATTGAGGATGCGCCCGTCAAGGAGATCATGAAGGACATGATGGAAATGAGTCGCGGAGTCCAGCACCCCATTCGCGGCCTGTTTCTGCGCTACTATCTCGCCGGCCAGGCGCGTGACCACCTCCCAGAGGGCGACGGCGAGGGGCCCGAGGGCAATCTGCAGGACTCGATCAGCTTCATTCTGACCAATTTCGTGGAGATGAACAAGCTCTGGGTGCGCCTGCAACACCAGGGCCATTCGAGGGAGCGCGAGCAACGGACAAAGGAGCGACAGGAGCTGCAGCTTTTGGTGGGAAGCAACTTGGTCCGGCTCAGCCAGCTCGTGGACTTGGAAAACTACAAGAAGATTCTCAACCCTCTACTGGAGCAGATCGTGCAATGTCGGGATGTTTTGGCGCAAGAATATCTGCTTGAGGGTATGTGTGAATATGGGCTTTCGGACATTGAGCTAACCTGCACCAGTCGTGACCCAGGTCTTCCCCGACGAGTTCCACCTACACACCCTCGATCAATTCCTCTCCGCCGTTGCACGCCTGAACCCGCACGTAAACGTTAAAGCGATTGTGGTTGGCTTGATGGACCGCTTATCTATGTATGCGCAGAGGGAGTCGGAGTCGGAGAGTCCGGAGCAACGCAAGAAGACCGAGGAGGAGTCAATAGCAAAGCTTCTCGAGCAGATGCGGATAGCGAAGGAGAAGAAAGAGACCGAGCCCGAACCTGCGCCAGCGCCAGCGCAACAAAATGGCGACGCATCCGAAGCACAACCAGATGGGGAAGAGGCCCAAACCGAGGCATCGTCAGTAACAGCAGTGTCGGTTGCAGATCATGAAGCGGCCGAGACGGAAGGCGTGGTGGAGAAGAAACGCGGCATACCGAGCAATGTCAAGCTGTTCGAGATTTTCCATGAGCAGGTCCAGACGCTGGTCAAGATGCAAAGACTACCCATTCAGGATACGATTGGGTTACTTGTATCACTTGCGAACCTCGCATTGTAAGTCAAGACGATTGAGTGCAATGTGCTTAGCTAATTCGGCCAGAAACATCTACCCCGAACGCCTCGACTACATCGACCAGGTCCTCACATTTGCCAACCAGAAGGTTGGTGAATACCAGAACAGCGCCGACCTACACTCCCAAGCCACTCAGAGTCAGATCCTCAGCCTCCTTCTTGCGCCTATCAAGACCTACGTGTCTCTCTTCACCGCACTCGCATTACCCAACTACATCCCACTCTTGCATTCGCAACCGTACCCAACTCGGCGAGCAGTAGCTGGCGAGGTTGCAAGAAGCCTCATGCGCAACCAGACCTACATCACCTCGGTAGAGAACCTAGAGAGTTCATTAGAGATCCTCAAGGTGCTCATTCGGGAAGGCATCCAGCAAGCCACCGGATATCCAGGCGGACCAATTCAAAGACGAGCGCAGGAGACAGACGAGACGATAGAAGAGCAAGGCTGGCTTGCACGGATAGTACATTTGATCCGTGGCGAGGACAATGACACGCAGTTCAAGGTAAGGTGCATTACAAGCTGTGCCATTGACATATCTAACACGAGTCTCAGCTTCTACAAACAGCGCGCAAGGCCTTCGCTGATGGTAATGAGCGCGTCAAGTACACCACTCCTGCGATCATAACAGCATCCCTCAAACTCGCCCGACAATACAAGAAGCGCGAGCACTTTGACGACAACTGGCAATCACAATCGTCCGCACTCTACAAGTTCATGCACAACACTCTCTCAACACTCTACACCCGCGTCAACGGATCAGCTGATCTCTCGCTCCGCCTCTTCATTGCATGCGGTCAAGTTGCAGATCAGAACAACTTCGAAGAGGTCGCATACGAGTACTTTGCGCAAGCTTTCACGATATATGAGGAGGCCATCAGTGATTCGAGGGCGCAATTCCAGGCTGTCTGCGTCATTGCGAGCGCACTGCACACGACAAGGAATTTCGGCAAGGAAAATTATGATACACTGATCACGAAGTGTGCGCTGCACGGGAGCAAGTTGCTCAAGAAGCCAGATCAGTGTCGCGCGGTCTACCTCGCGAGTCATCTTTGGTGGGCGACCGAGATCAGAGCGTTGGGAGAGGAGGATCCGAAGACTGTAAGTCAATTATAGCAACCATATGGTGATCATTTACTAATAATTACAGCTGTACCGCGATGGCAAGCGCGTACTCGAATGCTTACAACGCGCGCTCCGCGTTGCCGACGCATGCATGGATGCCGCAGTATCTGTGGAACTCTTCGTCGAGATTCTCAACCGATACGTCTACTACTTCGACCAGGAGAACGATGCCGTAAGTATTACCCCAGTTCTCGACTCAACCCTTCTAACAGTATACAGGTCACAACCAAATACCTCAACGGCCTCATCGAGCTCATCCACTCGAACCTCCAATCCAACGAAAACGCATCCAGTCTCGAAAATCCCAGGAAGCACTTCCAGCGTACTCTAGATTACATATCGAGCAGAGAGTACGAAGGTGTTGTGACTGCTGCGAAATGAGAGAGGAGCAAAAGTGTGCGGAGATCATTATTTAATTCCGAGATATTGGACAGAATCAGCTCCTTGTACGATGACTTCGCTGGGGTGAGGGGCAGACTCGGCGTGCGCTTTTAGTATATAGCATTTTGGGAGCAATATGATAAGTGTGAAAGCAGTCTGTAAACTTGAATTAGTAGTTTGGGGCTTTGAAAAGACCTAATCAACTACAATTGGTATTGACCAAAGATCACTCGCGTCCAGAGACCACATGATGTCAGCTCGGTTGACGGAGGCGTATATAAGCTCTCCCTTGGTCACCACCTTTCTTTCTCGACACAAACCTACACTTTTGTTCTTCTAAAGAGGCCTTGATTTCAATGATGGCTGGGACTTTGGCACATTCTCTTCTTTCGAAAAACATAGCCTAGACGCATTCATGTCTTTTCCTCGAGCTCTCGTTTCCTCTACAAAAACAAGATACCGCACTCCGGGACATGTTTTGTTCCAAGCACCTTGTCCAAAAACTTTATTCGTGAGCACTTTCGAGAGAAAAAAAGGCCCTTGATATGGAGCATGTTCTTGTTCAAAGACAATAGAGGACTTCCTTGTGACTTTGGCCTGGGCCTTTTCAAAAACCTAACAGCAAGTCTGCAATGTGTGGCTCGAAAAGGCCCGGCCGGACGGGTTATGATGTTTTTGTGCGGACTTATTCTCCCACAAATACGGACGGACGTCTAAATGGCAACTTCTGCTCATCGGACGAGAAGGTGTTAAATTGTCCATCACGTGCGGGCTTGTCTTCACCACTATACACCTGTTACGCTGTACCGAAACCGCTACGGAACCGCGGGATGTTGTGTTTCTGCTGTCTGTTTTGCCTCTCAAAACTCTTCTCTACTAAAACATCCATGTCGAGTGCTACATGGCCAGTAGCATTCTCGCTGTTCAAAAAAAAAGTCAACAAAAAGATGGATGTCTCCTTGTCTCTGCTCTATTCTAGAAGTTGATTATAGACCAGCAATCTATTCCTGTTGGGCCGTTGCACTGAAAGACGTAAAGTTTATGAACATATTCGAAAATAAGCTATGTCACAACAATATGGCGAAGACTGAGGCCGCCGAAATGTTTGGAACTCGCCGATACATGGCCGAAAGCTATCTCTAAATACATCCAAGCCATGATACTCACGTATATAAACCTCCCATGGCACTTCCTTCCTTCCTTCCTTCCTTCCTTCCTTCCTTCCTTCCTTCCTTCCTTCCTTCCTTCCTTCCTTCCTTCCTTCCTTCCTTCCTTCCTTCCTTCCTTCCTTCCTTCCTTCCTTCCTTCCTTCCTTCCTTCCTTCCTTTCCTTCCTTCCTTCCTTCCTTCCTTCCTTCCTCCCTCCATAGCTTCAACCCATTGTTCTCCAAAGACACGGGGGAACGACTACATGACCTTTTTCCCTCTTCCAAAACCCTAATCGAGGACCCCAGTATGTCTTCTGCTCGAGCACATCTTCTTTACGAAAACCACAACGTGGACCACGATGTGTAGCATAGTTTCGAAGACTCTCTATAAGTGGCTATAAACGAGTCCATGTTTTTACATATTGCATCTTCTACCAAAAAACATGTGCTTTGGCATATGTGAGTTGGAAAGATCTTATGTTGCAGATGTGTTCAAAGTTTGGCTCTTCGCGTACATGACTTGCTGCCACTGCACCAAAAGCAAACCCTGCAAGCGCGGGAGAAGATAGCGTGCTTCTTATGTCGCCTGGGGATACATAAGGCGTCCTTGCACTCAATTATCCTCCTAATTTGCCACAATTTATCTCTCTAGCCTGAAAAGTTCAAAAGCGCTGGTCCAGACATGGGTGGACTTGTCTGGCAGCACTATGTACAAAATATTGGGATAAGGAGTCATGACTCTTTAGCTGTCCGGGCCACTTAAAGAGCTCTTCATCCAAGTGTTTGGATACAGTTGTGCTGCATACTGCTCAGTGATGAGAAGTGTGAGTGAAAGCGTCCTGGTTTCTGCAATGCGTTTGCTCCGTAGTGTTAATAGGGGCGCATCTGCTCTTAAGGTGTATAAATGCACCGCCGCGTAAGAAAAAATGAGAGTATACTCCTGTCAAGACCTGGAATAACAAAGCGCGACAACCGCAATACGGATTAACACTCTACAGAACTTGAAGCGATTAGTTAAAGAGGTGCACTCCTTACATTAGATTTTCTTAAGGATCTCTAAGTTCATAGCGTTATGAACCCTGAGGTCGTTATGTTGTTTGAGCTTCGTAATACTCTCACCTTCTCTTACGGGGTGGTGCATGTGTTCAGACAGAACATCGCTGCATGAATGCGCAATATCAATGGTACAGAAGGTCGAAATTTCGGGGTTGATATAGGAAAGTGTATCTAGACATATAGCCATGACATTGATGCTCGAGTGAAGCAGAGAACAGAGCCGTACTATGAGAAGAAACATCAGCGGCTAGCTCGCAAGCCATCATCGCGCTTCTAAAAAGGAAGCTTCAAAGGTCCGTCATAGAACTGCGAGCGACCCTCATATGATTGACCAAGCCCAATGCAAACCAGCTGATTCAACAGCTTGCTGAAGTGGAGGTCCGCGTACTCGATGCACATATCAACACCTATGTTCATCAGCATCCTTCTCATAAATGAAGATCAAACTTCTTGAACTTACCGCATCCAGCAGCTCCAGCCGTCCAAATCTCCGCGCCCTCAAAATGTCCCTTCTCAATGACCCATCTCTGATCCACCCACTCAACATTGGGTGCCATGGTTTTCGCGAGAGGGATCATCGCACGGTTCGTAGTCGCCTTCTTCCCATCCAACACGCCGCTCTTCGCCAACCACACGGCGCCTGTACACGTGGTCATGATGACCTTGGTCCTCAAACTCGCCTCCTTCAAGACGCCAAACTCGCTGGGGCGACCTTCGCCGGGTTTGGCCCGCCAAGCAGCAAGATGTCGAGATCACGCGGCGCATTCTCGTACGTGTGCGTCGGCTTGACGAGCATCTTGGGCGTAACCCACGAGGTCTCGAGGGAGGAGGCAATGTACAGGAATTCCATGGGCGTGGTGTGCGCCATGAGTGGCTTGAAGGAGGCGTCAAGCTCGACACTCATGGCCATCATTTCGGGCGTTTGGCTGCCGAAGACGTCGAGGCCTGCGAGGTCGAACATTTGCACTTCTTCGAAGAAGACGCCGATGCGGAGCGGCTTTTGGGCAGTGTTTGGGGCGGACATGGCTAAGGTGGAGAGGATTGAGGAACTGATAATACTGAGGACGAGAGTTGTCAGACGCTCGAAAAGGCTCACAATATGTGTCGATACAATGGCGAAAGAACGTCGGAAGAAAGTAGCTCACTTATAGATGTGTTTTACCATACTGGGCCGGGACGGATGTTACGAATTCTCCGTGCCGCCTGGAACGTTCACAGGGTTAATCACGCTAGGCGAGGCCCCAGGAGGGATGGGAATTCACCAAGGCTTTGACGGCGAAGCAGAATCCCGACTGGCCGTCCTTTCCAGCCTGTTGGCCCGCCAGTATAGCCATATGCAAAAGACTAGGATCGTGAGGGGTATGGTGGCGGCAAGCAGAATCCACCATTTGCGCGAAACGCTTATTCCGTCACTGTCGAAGTCAAAGAACGTCGTGCTAAGTACTGCCGAAACGAATGTGCCTGGCAGAAAGAGCATTGTCATTGCGGCGATTGTGATCATCGATGCAGAGTCACGCTGCGTTTGTTCCGCAACCTTTGAGCGGATCAACACACGTCGATCAACAATAGGCTCGATCGCCCCAGCACTGGTTCAAACATACCTTTGCAGTTAAGGATGCTATCTCAGTACTAGTGCGCGACTCTCGCTGGTTTGCGAGATGAAAAAGCTGTTGGTATGGTGTCAGTAGACTTGCCGCTGTGGAATTTCGATATGTTACACTCACGAGGTTGATACGAAGATTCGTTCGTTCGTGATATGTTCTCGCCCATCTCACAAAAACGTCGCACTGCGATGAAAAGAGGTCAAAAGATTCGCGAATATCTACCGTAGTGTCGACAGCCCAGACGGGACTCTGTGACTCTAGTGTCTTCATATAGATATCATATGTGCTGCGCAAAAACTTCAATTGCAAGTAGAAGTCCGTACAGTCTTGGCCCAGTGTAAGCCAGTGTCGAGAGAGTTTGTGCAGTCCGACAGTTGATGAGTGGTAGTTAATATTTCCATCTTCATACTGGCTTTCCTGTTGATAGTCAGCCTCGCGAGTGCTTTCTGCCCCTTCCCAAGACAATACGCTGTTACCTACATATTTTTGGAGTAGCTGTCTTCGGTGATGGATATTAGCTTGCCATTGCCCCGAACTTTCATTAGCGACCAAGGTATCGACGAAGAAGTCTCGATATACAATGTTTGGTTCGAACTTCATTGCTAAACGCAGTCTTTTCACCGCAGTAGAGGGGTAGTTGATGCAGAAGTACGTCGTTCGATGCTGTCCTCGAACACAGTGGATGTAGCCGACACCATTATCCCAACCACATCGGTATTGATAGCAATATTCTGGGCGCATAATGTTAGTGTCAAACACTATGGAGTTCCCAATCATACGTACCGAAGGATTTGAGCGTTTTGTCCTGATCGTATCGTACATATTGTTGGTTGGCCATCCTCGACCAATTTCCGTGCTTTGAGTAGAGATTCGTCAGGAGCACATCTGACAATCCAGCTTTGCGAAGAGTGCGGATCGTCTCAGGACGAATGCTGAAATTGCCAGGAAGCCATCCAGCGTCTGTTTGTCGCGTGCTCAGAAAGCTAAAAAAAACATATCTTTAGTTCATACTTTGACCATATCGGACAACGATAGCCGGTGTAAGTGCATGAAACATGATGTATCGGTCTCCAAAGCTGCAGAATCTTGTTCTGTGTTCAGTGAGTGGAATAAACATACCACATTCTAATCGAGCGTGCTTCAGGCTTGTCTTCAGGCAACTATCCTGCATGTTAAAACATCATACAGACAGGAATACAGTGAACACATACCTGCAAAAGGGCTTTCAAATCCTCGTCGCTAACGTTGTGCTCCCAGTCTGACAGGTTCATAAGTATGGTAACCTGGTATGACCGCCGCTGAGTACCTACGAGGAGTTGCTCCTTCCATGCACAGCAAATCGACAGTAGATCCACTTTCCACTAGCTCACTCTGCCCAAGACCCCAATCAATGAGGGTTGTGTCTTCGATGTCAGGTCGACTCGCGACACCGTCACGGGTAAGGTTATCGTCGGCGTCGTCCGATGGAGGGAGAGTATCTGGCCAATACAACCAATTAATCTTGCGGCGAGGCATATCTTTGCGCGTACGTCTGGTTCAATCAGTATTGGAAGTAGGACTGAACCTATCCAGCTTTATCGTGTTTTGGCGTTCACATTCAGCCGCAGGCTGCCAACAGACAACTGAGGAAAGGTGCATTGACTGACGCGCGCCTTTCCTGTTCAAGCTTGGACTCTCTGACCTGCATGTGGCGTCTTACGCACCAAACAGATACTTGTACCACAAGAAGCAACCAGTCGTGTTTCATTCCATGTATTGGCGATGAAACGAAAAATCTAAGCCCTTGTGTTGGCTTTCAAAGACATGCTTGCCCTGTCGATGGCATGATCAGACAAGATAGATGTATGTGTTTGGGATACAAAGCTTCGCCAGGCTCATCTGCTCCATTTTCTCAGTTACAATGGAGAGCGACTAGTGTATAAAACTAGACAGCTTGTCTAATAGCTGGCACCCAACTAGGATCGCCCATCCTCAGATCTCATCAACAATCCACATCTGACAGACCTGGAACGGTGTTCTCGACCGCTTCATGATCCTTGCCATCATATCTATACCACCGCTTATAGTCCTCAAGAGGCACGTCGAGATCCATCTTCCTCTCGTTCTCGTTTTCGTTTTCGATCCTCAGATCGCTTTGGTGCAGCTTGCGATTCCTGGACACAGTCAGCTTCCAGTAGTATTTGTCGATCTATAAAGGAAGACAAAGAACAAGAGACTATACTCACTTTGAGTCTATCGCTTTCGCTCGAAGTTCGGGACAGTCTGACGAACATAGAAGACAGCGTAACGGTAGCCTTTTCGCATGCGCTGATAGACGTTTGATTTGCTTTTAGGGTGGTCCGTACCGTCGCACTGTCAATCGGCCTACTCATCATTGGTGCTGACACTGAGCGGCTCATTTGATTACTCTCAGTCTTGCGTTGTGGCCAAAGCGAAAGCAACGGTACTGTATGACCGTTCACTTTCGCAGATCCTGGAGTTGGTAGAGCTTGACCAATCTTTTCATGCTTCGAAGGAGGTATTTCGCGAGTATTGCCTAAAGACGGTATAGATCCAAACTTTGGGCTCGTAGAGATTGCGGGAGTATGAGTCAATGATTGTGAGGTTGATTGACCCTCATTGGACTGCCCAAGGCGCGAGGACATGGTCCACGAAAGAGGAGTTGGCGGTTGGGGCGCTTCTTCAAGAGAAGATCCGAGAGCAGGTTTTGGCGATTGTGTTGGGATCGAACGCGTGCCTCTTCCGTTAGTCGTACCGTTCTGGGGCGGATGAGCTTTGCAAGGGCGTGCTCTCTCGAGCAGGACTTGTTGTGGCTCGTCGAATGATGCCCGATACTGAAACGTCTTCATGATCTGCGACTCTAGATTGGGTAATTGATCCGAATCTGAAATCTTCACTTTCGCTGCCCACGGAAGTCTTTCAGCTCTGCGCTTCTCGAGCTTTTCCCAATTGTTCCAGCTCTTTCGAAAGCATGAGGGCACCGGAATGCTCTTCTAGATGCTTCCTGCTCTGTTGATACAGGTTTGCGGGAGAATAGAAACGCTGTGAATCCACTCCTTGCCTCCATAATAGACTCGATGATAGAACCTTTGGCAGGCTGCATCGAAGCGATTACGCCAGGGTGAGCCCTTGTAGTAGAGGAAGGTATAACGGAGGGCGGCTAAAGCGACGGCGAGCGAAGTGACGAGGTACCTTGTGAGGATGTCGCAGTCAGTACCGAGTTCACATGTGAAGTTTGGACCTGCGAACTAACCATTTACCAGGCCAGCCTTGGGACTTTGCATGAGGCTTTTCTGCGTGTTGATATAGCTGAGTGGCAATCTGAACGGCGGTCTCGCTGCCAAATTCTGGTAATTGAAAGCTGTTGCGGGCCTCTGCGGCTGTCGCGACAAGGCCGAGCATGATGTCAGCTCTCGCTGCACTCGCTGCTGAGCTCGTGTGGCACAGATAATGAGAGGCAGAGAAAACATGAACCTTGATGATTGAATGTGGAAGATTGTAAGGTGAGCGAAAGGACGGCTATACCGATTTTGTGTTAGTGATTATGCGTTCATGTGGTGTTGTGAGAGGATGGTCATGGTGGTTTAGAGGTAACTGGGGAACTGCCGGACTATAGTTCTGTCTGCAAGTTGGTCGCTGCACAGGGTCCTACTTCCGCACAAGAAACAATACTAAGTGTACCTTCCTGCGGATGAAATTCTGGCAGTTGTTTCGCATTATTTATCCTGTCGCGTAAGACTTGTCGGCAAATGGACATTGGCTTAGGATCGGAGGGGCCGATTGACTATTGCATGATTCAACGAAAATACCGACATCTTATCGTACCAGATAATTACAATTTCTCTTCAACCCTAACCTCACCACCCATCTTACCGAGCGCTCGATCCTGCTCTTCAGCAATAACGTCCGCAGGAATGCGATCCGGCGTCGTATTGACCAGTTTCAACATCGGGAGAAGAGCCGCAGCCATGAGTCCAAAATTAACACACATACCCACAAGCGGGCTGGTTTCAATTTGCGTGTTCATGGCATACGAGATAGCTTGGCCGACAGCCTCGAGAGACCGGAATGCGGCACCATTACGAACGTTTGCTGCACCACATTAGTTCCGGAGGCGTTAAACAGAAGATTGTGAAGACTTACCTTGCGCATCAGTCGCGAAAGATGACAGAAGCCAGTACATGTACGACTGCGAAAGTGGGCCGGTCGTCTGCACAAAGAAGTAGGGTAAGAATGAGCGGGCGTATAGTCCGTCTTCCCAATCAATCTTCCCGGGATTATTGACGTTAAATCGCTGTTGCATTACGATAGACCAGATGTACACTCCGAAATTGGTGATCACAACAGTAAAGAGTCCGAGCTGCGCTCGACGGCGCTGGCTGACACCTTTCATGTCGAGAATGAATCCGAGGCCGAAGCATCCGACAATGCAAAAGAAGGGCGAGATCAGAGATGAGAGAGCGCGGGCGCGTACGCTGAAGTAGGTTCCGAGGTAGGTCGACCAAGTTCCGCTGTAGAAGAACGACCATATCGCCCAAAGAGCGGAGAGCATAATCAGACTTGAAGTCATGGTAGTCTTGACGAGCTTGATCTCCTGCTTCGTGCCGATCTTTTCTGAGACGAGGATGCGCGTGCCGTCCGAACGAACAACGCGCTCGAGGGGGGAGATGAGAAAGGCGAACGGTAGGGCTAGGCATTCGATGATCAAGAAAGCAATGTATGTGTCGGGCGTTACGCCTCCTTCGACTCCCTTGATGTGGTTCTTCGACAAGCTGAACATGATCAGCAACATAGAATTCCAACGTGGTTCGTTGGTGCGAGACTTACTTGATGGCACCTCCTACCAGTTGTCCTAAATTACGTGCAACAATCCAGAGTGCGAGGTACTTGCCACGAGAGCCTGATGGCGCAAGCGACATGATAGTTCCTGACTCGGCCACGTACCAGGTTCCCGTCCCAATACCTGTCAGAGCACCTCCTAGAATAAGGTACCATTGGTTGCCGAATTTCGAGTTGCAGTAGTATGATGAGCCCTGAATGGGGAACGAACATGCGCCAATAACCAACGCCCACTTCGTGCCGAGCTTGTTGACAATGGGACCTCCGAGCGCACAACAAATGGCAAGCATAGCGTAAAAGATAGCGTTGGCAATGTTGTTAGTCTGAGGAGTTGCGAGACCACCTCCACCAAGGCCTGAACCGCGATCAGCTTGCTGTTCTATTCTTATTCCAGTCAAGTGTAGCTACTTACCAGCAATAGCATCTGCCATGGCAGGTCCACAGAAAGCTTGCACACTGATCAAAAGCATCTGCGTCAAGCTGTTCTGCCACACGCGCTTCCACAACGGTACGTTCTTCTGATACTCCTCCATATTCATCCTCTCATCCGCGACTTCGTACGCCGGAGGAGGGTTCAATGGATCATTGCCCTTGGTGCGAAGCGCGTCATCATCACCACCAGCATGAGTGTTCGGAGGAGGGGCGTCGAAGTTCGACATATTAGAAACGTCCCAAACCAAGATGAAAAGCAGAGAACGAATGAAGCCGATGCATCTCACCCACCGGAGCACGCGAGTCTTTATACACAAGCAGATCCCTTCCAAACCTTGGACACTATCTCCTCACATATCCGTCGCATATCATCCTAGCTTATCTGTGGAGCCGGAGCTACCCCAGCCTTGGGGTAAGATGGCACAGGCGATGGAGACGGGATGCCAGTGTCTTGGGCTCGAGTGCTCGGTGGCAGATGTCCTGCGCTAAATCCAAAGAGGCAATGAGAACAGTTGGGAAATGTGAGCAGTTGAGCTAGTGCGATCAAGGAATGGTAAGACCGCGCTAGCGAAGCTTGCATGGTTTGCGTACGAGTCATGGAACTGAAGATGCGCCGCGGGCCGAGCGTGTTGGAGACGTGGATGGCTGGTGAAAGATGTTGATATCTGGGAAATAAAGAGGGGATAATAGTCGCGTGCGTGCCGATTTCAAAGATAGACAATGTCCTGACACGGGTTCACTTCCAAGGTTTGGCTTCGAGAAGTCTCTCGGCCTAACTCAATTCGGCAACATTAACAGTCAGGGATCACCAGGCTCGAAGCGACCAGCGTTGCCTCCGATCTTGCACGGAACGACTCTTACTCATCCAATCTCTTTCGCGTGTCTGCCACCGCGGAGTACATGCTTGCTACATCACGCCCAACAACCGGTGGCGTGTTCGACTCGGATGAATACATAGTTGGCGCCGCTTACCCCGAGGTCGGAGTGACGCATTGATGGCTTTCACTCAGCGTATCTGAGAACGACTTCCGACATCCAAGTCGCAAACATGGCGCCCTCCAGAGCAAACACCAGTGTCATTGTTGTTGGTGGTGGAGGGACCATTGGGTCGTCTACTGCTCTTCATCTTGTGCGCTCAGGCTATACACCATCGAATGTTACAGTGCTCGATGCATACCCAATTCCTTCATCGCAATCTGCAGGCAATGACCTCAATAAGATTATGGGCGTTAGCTTGCGAAACCCAGTGGACCTGCAGCTGGCTCTCGAGGCGAGGCAGATGTGGAACGAAGATGAGCTGTTCAAGAAGTTCTTCCACAACACTGGAAGGGTGAGTTGGCAACTTGCAAGATGGATTCCACAGTCCGAGATCACAATGCTGACCCAAGTCTAGCTCGACTGTGCGCATGGCGAAAAAGACATTGCAGACCTGAAGTCTGGATACCAAGCTCTCGTGGACGCGGGCTTGGATGCTACAAACGAATGGCTAGACTCCGAGGACGAGATCCTTAAGCGAATGCCACTTCTTTCCCGTGACCAGATCAAAGGCTGGAAAGCGATCTTCAGTAAAGATGGCGGCTGGCTCGCAGCAGCGAAAGCCATCAACGCCGTCGGCGAGTATCTGCGGGACCAAGGTGTAAGATTCGGATTCTATGGCGCGGGCTCGTTCAAAGCACCTCTGCTTGCTGAAGGCGTGTGTATTGGTGTTGAGACTGTTGATGGAACAAGGTACTATGCCGACAAAGTCGTTCTTGCAGCAGGAGCATGGAGTCCCACACTTGTTGAACTGCATGAGCAATGTGTTTCGAAGGTACGTTGATTCCAGCCTGCGAGTGCAATATAACGGCTGACTTGCAAAAGGCCTGGGTATATGGCCACATACAATTGACTCCAGAAGAGGCCGCTCGATACAAGAACAGCCCTGTTGTATACAACGGTGACGTTGGCTTTTTCTTCGAGCCCAACGAGCACGGCGTGATCAAAGTCTGCGACGAGTTTCCTGGCTTCACGCGCTTCAAGATGCATCAACCCTTTGGCGCAAAAGCACCGAAGCGTATTTCAGTACCAAGATCGCATGCTAAGCACCCCACCGACACGATACCTGATGCTTCCGATGTGAGTATCAGGAGGGCGATTGCGACTTTCATGCCGCAGTTCAAAAACAAGAAAATGTTCAACCAGGCAATGTGTTGGTGCACAGATACAGCGGATGCAGCTTTGCTGATCTGTGAACATCCGGAATGGAAGAACTTTGTACTTGCAACTGGTGATAGTGGGTAAGTCTTCCTAGCAAGCTGTTCTAAGACAACCCGCATTGATTATATCTCTCCAGGCACTCGTTCAAGCTTCTGCCAAATATTGGCAAGCATGTTGTTGAACTGCTCGAAGGGACACTTGCAGATGACTTGGCGCACGCCTGGAGATGGCGGCCTGGGTCTGGTGATGCGCTCAAGTCGCGCAGATCAGCGCCTGCAAAGGACCTTGCGGACATGCCTGGTTGGAATCATGATAAGCCGAGGGCGAACTTGTAGGATACCTAATCAATGTGATGAATGAGGCCGAGAAGGTGTAGCTTTGATAGGGTTCTTCAATAGTGGAGTGATTGTACGTCTAATATACGGAGTAATTTATGCACCTGGGAAATTGCAGTGTTCATGTGAAGACGCGTGAAAGTTAAAGTGAAAGTCGAAATCGTGACTACGCGCAGATGGTGGTCAGTGCGCGCGTCCTTTGTCAATGACGTTGTCTTGCGCTCTGAACATTGAAAGTGTCAACCATCAACGAGGCTCCCTGTCGCCTGATATGCCGCTCTTCACTGGACATCGCTCACGTTCACTTCACATCCACTGGACTACCAAGATTCTGTCGCTCGCTTGAAGACCGCCAACCAGCTCCGCTCTTCACCTTCCACGGTCGCCATCGACGCTGTTGCCTCGGATCGCAACTTTTTTATCGCACGCTTCACAGATTACCGCATAGCAACCTCCCTTGTCAGGGTCTCTAGATAGCGCACCGTTTCCCACGATCTCAGCTGACTCGACCCTGAGCATGGATTCGGACGGCGATACTGCGCCGGTCGCAGCGCCTGGCATCACCGTCACCACCACAGACTATACGAACGATGCGCAGCACGATAGCGCTACGATCGAAGATGGCGCTGAAGCGCAAGAAGAGCTTCCTTCAGATGCCGACGAAGAGACACGGCTGAAGTTTCTCACCACCGGCACTCGCGCGCAAGATGATCTGGAGCGGGACATTGGTCGCCAGGCGGACAAGCTGCTCACTGAGCAAGCTGATGCGCGCGACAAGAAGCGCATAGAAAAGGCGGAAGCTGAAGCCAAGCGCGCTGAAGCAGCAATACAAAAGATAAAGAACCGACTGTCTTTACCTGCACTCGATACCCAGAAGGCGAAGCTTCGTGGCGAGATTGCCATGCATCGGCAGAAGATCGATGAACTCGACGCAGAGATGGATGCCATACAGCAGCGCATCAACGATCGACACACGGTGCCTGGTGGCGACGAAGACGACGGCAACGGGCCGCTCCCAAACGAGAGTCGTCGAGATTTCCTCATACGTACCGGCAAGATCACACCCTTCTCCAAGCTGGCGCAAAACCAGCCAGGCTCGGGAACGCTGGGAGAGACTATGCTAGATGCTGAGGTGGAAGACATGGTAGAAGAGGCTAGCAAAGGCCCCGTCTCACATCGGAACCTCATGAAGCCGGGTTTTCCAGGATGTCGACGACAGCTCAGAAGTAACGAGCCCTGAGCCCGTATCTAGATCCACGAAGCGACGCAAAATCACGCGCAAGAGCGATGTCTCCAACTCTCGAGAATCAAGCGCTGCTATTGGCACCGACGGCGATTCCGACGATGCCTTCGACCCAGGCTTGGACGACCGGCAGCTTGCTACGCTAGATGACTCAGAGGGGCTCTCGGGAGATGTCACACAGGATGACGACTTCATGCCAGATACCGTGGGTCGCACACCAAAAGCTCGTGGCAAGAAACGGAAGGCAAAGGCAAAGACCGCTTCTGTCGATGGTGATGCGGAAGAGGATCTTGCTGGCGTTGACGATGGTAATGAGCGCGTCTTCCAGCAAAGAGTCGAAAAGTGGAACGCCAGTCGTGCAGCAGCACGGAAGCGAGCGAAGGAGAAGAACGGCGAAACTGCTGCTGACGAAGAGGGCGAGGAGGAGTGTTTTCTGCCACACCCCACAGAGCCGGATACGGAATTTGACGGTGGTTTCCGCATTCCTGGCGACATCTTCCCTGCCTTGTTTGACTATCAAAAGACGGGTGTTCAATGGCTTTGGGAGTTGTATCAGCAGAACGTTGGTGGCATCATCGGTGATGAGATGGGCTTGGGCAAGACGATCCAAGCCATCTCGTTCGTTGCAGGTCTTCACTACTCCAAGCAGCTTACCAAGCCGGTTATCGTGGTATGTCCGGCTACCGTAATGAAACAGTGGGTAAACGAGTTCCACAAGTGGTGGCCAGCTCTACGTGTATCGATCCTGCATACCTCTGGTAGCGGCATGTTGGACACTCGCCGAGAGGATCGTCTCGAGCGGGAGATGGAGCTTCGCAGCTACGGGGATTACGACGCGACTTTAACTGGTGCGGGAAAGCAAGCCAAGAAAATTCTTGAGCGAGTTAAGCATGACGGACACGTTCTTGTGACTACGTACTCTGGTCTACAGACTTATTCCGAGTTTCTCATCCCCACCGATTGGGAATGTGCGATCCTTGACGAAGGCCATAAGATCAGGAACCCCAACACGTCGATCACAATCCACTGTAAAGAGTTGCGTACACCGAATCGCATCATCCTCTCGGGTACACCAATGCAGAACAACCTGACTGAGTTGTGGTCACTTTTCGACTTCGTCTTCCCCATGCGCCTCGGTACCCTTGTCAACTTTCGAAATCAGTTCGAATTTCCCATCAAGCGTGGTGGCTATGCAAACGCTTCGAATCTTGAGTTTGAGACTGCAGTACAGTGTGCAGAGACGCTCAAGGATGCCGTGAGCCCATACCTGCTCCAACGGTTCAAGTCCGACGTAGCGACGGATCTGCCTCAGAAAAAGGAACAGGTGCTGTTTTGCAAGCTCACACGTCAGCAACGCCTGGCATATGAGGGATTTCTGGCATCGGAAGATATGAAGTCCATCTCTAGCGGCAAGCGACAAATGCTGTATGGCGTCGACTACCTGCGGAAGATATGTAATCACCCCGACCTCACGGAACACAAGACACTTTCGAAGCAACCAGGTTACGATTATGGTGCGCCAAACAAGTCTGGCAAGATGCAGGTCGTTAAAGAGCTACTGTCACTCTGGAAGAAGGGTGGGCACAAGACCTTGCTGTTCGCCCAACATCGCATTATGCTTGATATCTTGCAAAAGTTCCTTGATCATATTCCGGAGATCAATTACCGTCGTATGGACGGCGAGACCGCCATCAAGAACCGCCAGGATCTCGTCGATGAATTCAACAACGACCCAAACTTGCATGTTTTCCTCCTCACAACCAAAGTGGGTGGGCTCGGAGTGAACCTCACAGGCGCCAATCGTGTGATCATCTACGACCCTGATTGGAATCCATCGACCGACATTCAGGCACGCGAGCGATCATGGCGTCTCGGCCAAAAGCGTGAGGTTGAGATTTACCGTCTCATGTCTGCCGGCACCATCGAGGAGAAGATTTACCACCGTCAAATATTCAAGCAGTTCTTGACGAACAAAGTATTGAAAGACCCAAAGCAGCGCCAGACATTCCAGATGAGCGACTTGCACGATCTCTTCACACTCGGTGGCGAGAACGTCGATGGCGAGACCGATACTGGCAACATGTTTCGGGGCTCAGAAGTCAAATTTGATAAGAATGGTGAGACGAAAGAATCTGCAGCAGATGCGACAGCAGGATCAGACCTTGCAGCTATGAGCGGTGTTGCTCGTGCCGAGCAGTTTCAAGCTGCAGCTTCGGACGGCGAAGAAGCTGCCGCAAAAGCTGCTGCAGACGATACTGCTACCGAGGCAGCACCTACAGATTCTCGCCTCATGTCAACCATCTTCGCGCGCACAGGCGTTCACTCGGTCCTCGAACACGACAGCATCGTCAACTCCACAGCCGGAGGTCGCAAGCGCAAAGTGCAAGCCGATCCAGCCTTTGTCCAACGCGAAGCCAAGCGTCAAGCTGCCATCGCTGCAGAGCAACTGAAGAAGAGCCTGGAAGAAGCGCGCAATGTGCCTGCTGGCGTGCCTTCATGGACAGGTCAGTTCGGGGAAGCAGGTCGACCAGAGGTTCGCGGTATAGGAGCATCACGCGGTGGTCGGGGAGGGCGAGGAGGTGGACGCGGTGGCGCTGCACCATCATCAACATCCATCCTGTCCAACCTTGCAGCGCGTCAAGGTCGCCTGAACCCTGGCACCACAACAGTCACATCCGCCTCATCATCACGCGGATCCACGCCATCGTCCACGACACCGCAAACGTTCCGCGGCAAGCGCATGATCGAAATGATTCGCGATTTCATGATGACACATGGCGGTGTGGTGCCCAGCCGTATGCTCGTCGACCACTTCGATCACTATTGTCGCGCACAGCCTGGTCGGAACGAGGAGTTCAAGGAGATGTTGAAGACGATTGCTACGCTGGAGAAGAGCGGGAGTGCGCAGCGGGGACGGTGGGTACTCAAGGAGGAGTGGAGGGCTGCGAGGGGCGGCGGGAGAGGTCAGGCGTAGAGGAAGCTTTTTCGACAATTCGCGATTTCACGCGAAGCATTACTCAAAGAGCATTTCATAAGGGCATTTAGCATGGCGTTTCGGTTTACAAAGGGAAGATACCAATTGTGCTTTTTTCTATGCCAAGTGCTGGCATGCAACGCTTCTCATCTTTGAGCATTTCATCATTTCAATGAAGAATATAGATGAATGAATGAAGAAATTCATTGAAACCATCTTTTTGATTTTTTGAGGGGGGTCACTTTTTTCTGCTTTACGAAACTGCTGCAACAACACTGAAGACCATTGAATTTGGTCACGATGCAGGGAGAGCGATCCATTTCATTAGAGTTCCGAATCATAATTCATAGTCAATACATGTGAGACTTTGCGCAAGGCGTGCCATATCTCTCCTTCTTATCTTACACAGCGCGGCTCGTTCCCGGTCATCTTCCCATCCTTCGTAGTCAGCGTTACAGACGTGTTGGTCATCGACGTAGCATGTATTCCCCAGCGTGGCCTGACATCTGGGACGCCACGCACTCGCCAAAACGTGTCGTACGGCCCGGCCCTCATGTAGACTTTCGGCCACACGCCAGCGTCACATGTCCATATTATGTGCAATATTTCTTAACCCCACTTTCCCATCTTTCAAGTCGGCAAAACCTGCCTGACCTGACTCCCATCCCAAACCGCACTGCCCCAACTACACTGGCTCTTGAAGCTCTGAATCGGCGCCAATTCCTCCTCGGGAACCTTGAACTCGCCATCCTCAGGGCTCGGATCAGGAATGACCAACTCCCTCGGCACCACGAAATGCGCATCCTGATCCGGTAGCGCGCCCCTCTGTTCCGGATCAATAAGCTGCATGCCCATGCCCATGCCCGGCGCGGGGCTGGCTTGCTCGCGACTGCGGGTGCGGCTGCGATACGAATGCAAAACTTTTCGGAATAGGGGGCGTAGGAATGGGACGGAACCGGCGATGATGCCGATGTTCTGCTCGACTTGCGACCAAATGAGTAGGTTGGCGAAGTTCTCGGCTTGCTGGACGAAGGAGGAGAGCCAGAGGATGATGACGCGCAGGCGGGCGGCAGAGCCGACGATGGCGAGCAGGCCGAAGGAGAAGATGGCGGCGAGTTCGAGGCGTCGGCGGGGGGACATGGTGGTGAGGTTTAGGAGGAAGATTATTGGGAGGGTCCTGCGGGAATTAATATTTGAGGGGGAGGGGTGGAGGGGGGATGTACGTACCATATGACGATGTCGGTGACGAGGTTGTATGTGGCGTTTGCGATCCAGAATGGGCCGGGGTTGTAGCACTGGGTGGCGTGGATGCCGTGCAGACCCTTTTCGAAAACTTCGAAGGACCAACTGTCGGAAATTGGGTAGCAGGTGAATACGGCGGCGACGATCATAGAGGAGCCTCCGAGCAGATTGATGGCAAGCAGAGTGCGAACGAGGAGGTGGAAGCTCTTGCGAGCAGAGGCGATGTGGTTGTAGAATAGCAAGATTGAGGTTTTGATCAGACAGAGGTCGAGAATGTAGGATAGGCGGTAGATCCATGTCGTGAGAAGATTGCCGGTTGCTACTCGTGCAAACGAATCTCTGTCCTGTTGTGGAGTTAGTATGAGAAGAATTGTCGGTTAAGAGTACTTACATGAACACCACTGTAGTCGATGAAGTGGATCACATACCAGTTGATTACAACTGAACCCCAGGTCGCTATCTAGTTTTGGTTAGTTGAGCATCCCCAGAGTGTTTAGAAAAAGATGAACACACAAGTGACACAAACATGACCCAATCTGAGGCGCTCAGCTTGCCAACGAGGAAGTGACGACTATAAAATCTATTCTCGATTAGTTACAATTATCCTAGGACGGAGAGGCTGTTATGTACCTTAGAGCCACAATGATAGTCGACAAGCCCGTAAGTACAAATGCCAAAATCACTGATAGCTGATCATGAACCGCCATGTTGGTGACCCAATGACCCGAAATGGATCAATATTCTCAAAAGCAGACCCCAACGCCGTCATCAAGACCACCAACACACAACGACGAGAATCGTAGATTGAAAAAGAAGAGGGACCGTATGCGCAGATCTAGGCAGGCGATCGCGTGTCATATACAGACGGATCTGCGGTTTCTGAGTCTGACCCCGGGGTTAGCGTGTGCCTGTAGCCGCAAGTCAAAAAGGCGATCATACACTAGACCAACGGTCCAACCGAGTCAGGAGTAAAGCCACCACCTTGTCCCAACCGTCTTGCACTCAAATCCACACCAAGACAAGCAAACACACTATGCAAATAAATTGCAGCATTGTTACACAAGCCCGTCACGTTCGCCTTCCCCGCAGTCGATTCGCGACGTGGTTGATCAGATTGCCGGTGCAGCAAACAACATTGGAGGCTAAATCCTGCGCTGCACATGGCTGGTCCGGCGATATTGACCAAAACGTAGCGCGCGGGCCAAGGACCATGTTCCAGCGGCCCATCTTACCACGTTTCTGGCGGGATCCGGCACTTGGCGTACAGGCGGGCTCCGGGAATGGCTCGCGCCTGTAACCTTCCGCGCGCTCAGATGCAATGTCAAATTTCACTTGGTCAAACCCAACCGAGTCAACATCCCTAGGGCTGGCGTTTCAAGCTTTTCGAATGCATGTGAAGCTGTTTTTCTCCGCATTTTGCTTATCGACGCCGTTGGAAAGGTGGATGCAAGCGTGCTGCACAGCACTTTATCTATCGGCTGTGGTGGATATCTGCCGGCAAGCCTAGCGGGTTCTTCTGAGATGTTGCCCGGTTGATGCAGGTTCGCGTAAGTCCGGCATGCGACCGATCAGGGGCGCTTCCCTCCTGATCGAGTCCAGTGTTGACATTATTGAAAAGATGACGGTGAGTAATAGGAGAGTTGGATGGGCGACGTGCGCTGGAACTAACCTACTTTGGGTTTGGCAGAAAACCACGGGCTTGCGCATGGAGTATAAGAAGGCACGAGCCATTCTGACACTGTCAGGTAGCTGACTCGGCTCTGCTGGACGTGGCTTGCAATCTGCGATAGCAAGTTATGTCTCGATGAAGGTGATCCAAGTGTTTGGTAAGTTTCTTTGAAGTATCTATTTCGGTCTCGTTGCGACAAGATCAAATTTGGGGCATGTACTGTGTGACCAGGATACCACTTTATACACGTCTGGCGGTACAGACCTTAATGCCACGAAGACTTGCGCAACCAGACATACCCGAATCGACAGATAGACGAGCACACAAGAGACAGTACATGCTTCCGCGGCCCTGAAGATTGATTCCTGTCTATCATCATGAAGCTGCCAGTATAAGATTTGTATAAAAATGCCAACAAGTAGCAAAGCTAGGCACAAAGGACTACAAACACGCCACAGCCACATTTCGAGGACGGCTGAGAAAGGATATTTCAGCCAGCCAGATGACTAATAGGGTAAAACCGATCAGGGAAAGAAGGAAGGTTTGGTCGCGTGAGAACCACAGAATAGCTTTTCGAGTCCCGTCAGTGAGGCCTTGAATGGAGCTCCGTCTTCGCTGCCGGGTCCGTCAAAGGTTGTGCTCGTCTGGCAACATGCTAAGATTCTTTTACTCGAACTGGGTTCGAGCTCGCTGTGACATAGCGGATGTCGTGGAGCGATGGCTGTGTCTGGCTGATTGCGTAGATGAAGATCTGATTGTTCTCCCAGGTCGTATCGTAAAGGGAACGTGGATATCAAATGTTTATGCCACCAGAAGTAATAGACTCCAAGGGCAGAGACGACATATCCAAGCGCAATTAACTCAATTGGGGTGACGGTGAGATGGGACGCAACTCGTCCGGCAAGTTGCATAAGAGACGAAGTGATTTGCAAGGTGGCGATGGCCTTGAGAAACCAGCTAGCTTTGCTCTTGTCCTCTGTTTCCTCGATCTGCAAATCCGTATGCCTGATGATTTCATTCCTGCAGTACTTTGGGAGGTTGTTGTTGGCTGTAAGGTATTTGAGTCTGTTCTCTGGCATGATTCTGATGCCGTCCATGAGAACAAGATATTGTCTTTGTGAGATCACGCGCGTTCTTCTAGTCTCGAATGGCAGTTGATACAAAGTACTCTGGCGCAGACGAGCGCGAGCACAAAGTACTTGATCTTATTTCCTAAAATAGGAGCGAAACCAGCAGATGCTCGATCAAAATTCAGTGTTGTCGGACTGTCGCGGGACACTCGCAGAAAGTGCCAAGAGCTCACAGAGCACGTCGCAGCTCTCGGCATTTCGAGTTAATTACCAAGGCACAGACTCCAAAAGGTTGGTATGAACATGGAAGTCGGAAAAGTGTGGTAGCAAGATAGTTCTACGAAGGATATTGGATAAAGAAAGACACACGTGAGCGGGCGGGACAATGACGATGGTAGCGTCGGAGAATAAGGCTGATGCGGCGACCAAGGTACGTTGCATGAGCAAGGTGGAGTGGACGGCGGAGGCTATGCATGATGTTTTGTATTGCCCAGCAATAATGGAACGTCGCATTAGGAAAGGGTGGCCATGCGCTTTCGTCATGATCGGAGAACTTCAAATCGCTGGAGACAGGACATGCGAATCCCACAACATGTTGCGATGAGAAAGAAAATCTGTTCTGGGAACGAAACTAAAAAGCCCCTCGAAACCTGTTATATTGCATGAAATTGCGAATGTTCCAGCGAGGTGATCCATGATGATGCTCGTGTACGATCGGTTATTAATAGTCGATAGCGCGGTGGCACGGCGAAAATGAAAATGGCTTTCCTGGCGACCACGCCATGTACAGTCTAGCGGATGGCAGCTAGCACATGCACCAGCGCCCCCCTACCACCCAAAGAGCTCTTATCCACCTCAACACCAACCTCAATCGCTACCGAGTCCTCTTCCACATCTTCTAATTCACTCATCCCTTCGTTAGTCGCTCGTTTTGAGACGGAGGAGTTATCGAGTTGCCCGGGTCGTCCTTTCCGCCTCCCGCTTCCGTACGCGTAATCGCCCTTGTTGACATCCCGACGCAACACCAAATTCTTGTTGCACTACGGCCCCCACGACGTGATCCTTCCGTCCTCTCCCCGCTTCATACGCAACCCTACAGGGCCTTGCTTCTTCCAGACCCATTCACCACCGCAATAAACACATCGTTGCCAGCATGAGGCCCATCGCAACTGTTCGCGGCCGTTGTGGCCATGTCGTCTGTCACCAACGCCCTCTCTGGTGCTTTTGACAACATACACGCCATCAGCGACGCAAAGAATGTTCTTTTCGGACGACAGGATAACAACAACAACAATAACAACAATGGTGCGTGGAGCTGGGCACTTTTCTAGGGGACACTACTGACTTTGGCTTCAGACAACAAGGATGCATTCATCACAAGCACCACAGAGCTCAAACAAGCCCACACCAACACAAAGTGGTAACAACAACAACAACAACAACAACAACGACGACAAGGCGTCAACCACAGCGAACGCAAGCGGCTCAGGGAAGGCTTCAGGTTCGGGAGGCAAAACTACAGCCAAGCCCAACAAGACCTACGACCCCCGGTTACCAGCCGGAGGTATCTCCATGGTCACCCCCAACGCTCTTGCTGGCGATCAGTTCTACAAGGTTGGCCAATACGTTACGTTCGCCTGGAACTACACATCACTCTCCGTCACCCCGTCTGCCATCGACATCCTCGCCTCGTGCTCGGCTAACCAGGCTACATACACCATCGCCGTCAACCAGTCAGCGCAGGAGACCAAGATCGTATGGGACACGAAGAACACGCCAGATGGCCAGCCACCGTTCCTGACTGAGAAGTACACCCTCATCATCTACGATGCCGAGTCAAGTGTCACTGCTGCGCCTCGTGCCGGATATCTCGGAGCCTTCAACCAGTTCACCTTTGGCATGTACACACCGCAGCCTTACGTGCCCTGGAATGGTAAGCCACACGTCTCATCACCAGAATACATTCCATTAACACGCTGCAGAATACCAATGCGCAAACTGTGTCAAGAACGGCGGCCTGTCCCTCTCCGAGAAGAGCGCACTCAAGGTTATGCTCATCACCTCCGGCACGACCGTCGCCTCCCTCGTCTACTTCGCCCCACAACTTCGGGCTATGGTAGTCCCGAATCGAACCTCGCACCTCGTACACTCTCCGATTTACGACGCACGGCATTCCTTTACACTTCACACCTGTCCATATATACACACTCCTTTACGTGATTTGAAAGAAAGCATTGGGGCGCAAGCAACTGGCATGGCGCAAACATTCACAGTCCTTTGAGAAAGAAAACTTGCTTTCAAGTACGGCGTTGGGGAGGCTTCAGGGGGAGCATTTACAGGCATCATTTTTTACACTCACAGACCACGTTATAATCTACGCGAAAAGAAGAAGTTGGAATCATGCTGGCTAGAGGCAGGCAGTAATTTTCTGGTGTTGGATACATGTCACGATGTTCTGGATGTCCGTCCGATGTAGCATTCATTGTCAATACGAACGCATTACACGTGAACAATCCTGGGAACCACATATTGTGAGATGCATGCCTTATGACTTGGCGGGAATGTAACGAATCACCAATGGCGTGCCCTCGACAAACTTCTCGACACCAGAGCCAAATGATCTTTAGTCCACGCCCATCTTTAGCCTTTCGACTAACGTGGTCTGCCAAGTCATGGCAAGCCTGTGCTTGCACTCGGTGGGCGAAACGGCATCTAGACAAGTCCAACAGCGGGAAAGAGCCACGACGTCTAAAGTGAAAGTTGGACTGAATACAAATGAAACAAGGCTTTTCTTTTAAACATGGACAAGTCAATGTTGATAAATAAGTGCACGAAATATATCCAATGTCGCTAGCAAGTGGAAAGCAGATGCCAACGGAAGATATCCTCGCCAAAAGGCCTTGACATATTGATACATTCTCGCCACCCAGAACGCCTCGCTGAATACATCCCTGGATATCCTCAAGACGAACCATTTGCAGCCCAACACAATCCTACACCTCAACCCCCTCCGCCCGCTTCCTAAACGCATCCCTTCTCTCCGCCTCACCATCCGGCTCCTTACCCGCCGCCTCAATAACATCCACACGCTGGCCCTCCTCCACCATATCCACCCTCCCCGGGCGTCGCGGCCTAATGCTCGTCTTCTGAATAATCGGGTAAAAGTACGCCGCCTTCTGCATCTTACCCGTGCGGAACCGCATGTCCTGATGTTTCTCGGGGTCATGCAGGGCCAGCGCAACCACGTCGCCGTAGTGATCGACCGTGTCGCCGACCTGCTGGCTTGTCTCGTATGTGCGGATGTTCTCGAACTTGAAGCTCTTGCGGATATTGCCGTCTTCGTCGGGCTCGGCTGTGTCAAAGTCAACAAAGGCTTCGTTGTTAGGGTCGTTGGTGGTGAAGTTGCGTTTTATGCCGGCGATCTTGGACTTGGAGGGGGGCAGGAAGAACTCGAATTGGTAGCGCGGGATGGGCATGGAGGCTGTTGGGTCGGATCTGTGGGCTTCGCGCTCGGCGAGATAGGTTTCTTGGTCTTTGATTGTCTGCCCGGCCGGCCGCAGCAGAGCGACATCGAGACGCGGGTCGTATGATGGATCGAGTGGGTTGTTAATCGGCGGTGCCATGTACTTGAAGACCATGTATGCGCCGGTGTCGGGCGTGGCGTCCCAGTCTGGCAGCAATGGATACGAGTCCAAGAGTTTGAGGCTCGGGTTCTTCGGGTTCTTTGGTGCTTTCCAAGCTGCGCGCTCTTCTGGTGTGGTGTCCGCGCCGCGCAAGTTCTCTGCGCTGTCCTGTCCATTGTAGGCGTCTGCTGGGTAGGCGATGTTGAAGCCCTTGACGATGTGTCGCGCGATGTTGATGGGGTCGTCAATTGAAGTATCGCCGCCTCTCCGCTTCTTGCGAATGCGCATTGTGTTAGACGAGCTACTAGACTCGAACTTCATGCCACCCGTCGTATGCGATGTGCTGTATTCTGTTCTCCGCAGGAAAGAGGTGCCTGTTGCTGTGACGTTGCTGCCCTTGCCTAGCATATTCGGTGCTCGCATGAGCGCTTTGTCGGCGGCACTCAGCGGCGGCGGGTGAGGCATCGCCTGAATAGCTATACAACGCGTCAGTTGCTGCGATCGATGCGCGTATCATGGCTCTGCATACCTGATTCATCTCCATCAAAGACCTTGGGGATACCAACCAGGTCGATTGGCATTCCCAGCTCAGCGTCCGCCTCAATGTTCAACGGCTGCTCGCGCGCAAGTCTCGACGCATAGCCGGCCGAAGTGTATTGTCCGCTTGAAAGACCCGTGTTTGGAATATCGAGCAGCTTGGGAGGGCATGGCGGCGGAGGAAGCGTGTTCAGATATCGGATCCTCGCAATGTAATCTTGGTGGACTACGTTTCGCCCGGAGCTCATGATGTCGTTTCTAGGGTTGTGAGAGCTGTGTAGGAGCAGGTTTGGCTTGTTCGAGCGTGGTCAAAGAAAGTTGCAGGAGAGCTCGAGATGCCGACGCGCCGGAAAATCGATTGACCTTCACCGCGCCAAGACCTAGGAATAGCGCGACTATCTCACCTGGAATGTCCCCGACTAGCAAGCAGACATATTGAACGGTGTTCGGTTTGTTATTGGACTAGAAACAAACCACAAATTGCACACAGTTTGTTTACTGTCCATTTCAGTAATGTACACCCAGTCTCTGTAAAGTACCAAATGTCAAGTTCAACGATCGTGATGAGTATTAAGTATAAGTGTCTATGTGAACCCTATCGTATTTACAATCCTCTTCCACCCATTAACGAGGGTCCGTAGGCTTCGATGATGCCTCAAAGGGCATTTCTACCTCAACCGTCTAATCAACGCCATTTCCAGGTCAACTCAAACCTCGATGCTCTGAGCAGGTCGCTCTTAGATGACTCAAACCATCTATAAGCATCGTCTTTCCGCGGCTGGGCGCTTGAGGCGTTCTTCGTACTAAACTCGCTCGCTCGCCATTTACTGGGCCTTCCTGGCCTTGGCGAGCTTCTTCTCTCTCCTTTTCTTGGAGGCCTCAGCACCGGCCTCGGTGTCAAGGACAAAGTCCCACCACCTGAAGCTACTGGCGTAGTTACCAATGAACTTCTCGTGGTGAACGTCATGGTGCTCGGCGCCGGCCCAGAAGGGAAGGAAGTGGTGCAGAGACCAGGGGAACTCGTAACCGCTGTGGGCGTCGATGGCTTGGAAGAGACGAAGCGCAATCCAGATGTACATTGTCAGGATGTGAAGGTCCTTGGTAATGGCACACCAGAGAATGGGGCAACCAACACTTCCGAAACCGAGAACCATGACCTCAATGGGGGAGGCATATTCAGCAGCAAGACCAAAAGGTGCAGAGTACTGGTGGTGGATCTTGTGGACGTTCTTGTATAAGTATGGTATGGCGTGCATGGCGCGATGCGCCCAGTAGTGCCAAGTGTCCTCCATGACGAAGAAGATGGCGATCTGATAGGCCATTTTGAAGAGGCTAGGGAACGGTACGGAGGTCTGGAGGCCGAAGTACTGGCACATAGGGTGGAAAAGCCAGATCTGGGGGAGCTCGACAGTGAAGTGGGAGAGGAGGACGAGAAGGGCGCATTGTGTTTGTTCCCAGGCGGTAGGAATTTTGTGCTGTGTCTGGTCAGCTTTCATACTCGATAAGGAGTAAAACTAGACGTACCTCTTGGATCTTGTACTTCCTGAAGTACGGGATCTGGTCGACGATGATCCAGGGGAGTGATCGCCCGAAGTAGAGGGTTTCGTGCCAAACGAATGACATGATTCCTGTCGCCAGGACGTCGTTGCCAATCCATGCGTACCATGCAAGCCACATCTGCTCGAGGAAATTGAGCTGGACATTGTACTTGGAGATCTCCTCAAAGGAGCCCCAGTAAGTATCCTGCGCCATGGGCGTCAGGACCGAAGTTGCGTTCCTGAGGAAGCTGTCAGTACGTAACACTTCGCCATTGGGGATGATCGGGATCCTACATTTTGGGTGTCGCGATGAGAAAACAACAGCAAAATGAAAATGTACCACTGCGGTAGGGTGGATGAAGGAAAGACTTGTGTGGTAGGTAGTTGTAGGTGTCGGAGTGTGCAGCTCAGAGGGTACAAGAAGGCGCAAAGGAGGCAAATTAAAATGGAGCTGTTGGGTGCAGATCCACGACCGCACCACTTTGCTGCCCTCAGGGACAGGACGTTCCGGCCAACTAGGCCCTGCCAAGCCCCGCGCCTTCCCCGATGCAGCTTACATTTCAACCAATCAATCACATCTCTGTACTTCACCTGCAAGGGCGCTCTCACCGCCTGCCGTTTCGTGGGGAGATACCGGCGCTGCGGCACCCATCTTGCCGCATCGTTTGACGAGGCTCGAGATGGATTTTCCATCGTGGCCGTGATGGTCATGTCACCGTCGGCCCACGTCCCGCCGCATATGCCGATGCATCCCTTTGTCGCAATCCGAGCGACTTGCGCACGTTTGCGGCGGAGTCGTGGTCGACGTTCGGGGATGACGCGGTCGAATGATCGCAGCACCTGATCGCGTCCAGCTAGTTAGTAAGCTCTGCTCGCCAGCCTTGCCTAGACTGTGGACAAAGCTCCATAACCTTTCGACGACAGCAGTCCTTACATCGATGACTCGAAAGAGCTGTACGGAAAGCCCGCTCAATCTTTCAGTCTCAAATCACTCACTACATGTCAATCATCCATTTTTGCTTCCTTCTGTCCGTATGCACAAGCTACGCAATTTGGTGGCCTTAATGACATCTGAGTGACTTGATCTCAAGATTGTCAAATTCACTGCGGAGGCATAGGGTGTAAGGTCTTGCGTTGAAGGTTGCGCGGCACCTTTTCGCGTCGTCCTATAGCCCGCCCCTATGACTACCCATCTACTCACTGCCTGATGAGGACCGGCGTACAGCTCCATCGCCTGCTCTGGTTGCTGCTCTGTTTCTTTCTCATACTCCCTCCACGCCTCGCGATAAGTCTCCAACTCCCTTCGAACAAAATTGTACGTCAGGTCGTATTTACGACGCTGAAGGGGATTTCTGAGGACCTCGTAAGCTTCGTTGACCTTGCGGAACGCGGAAGTGTCGTTCGATAGTTGCTTGTCCGGATGGTAGCGTAGGGCTAGGACGTGATATGCTTTCTTGATGGCGGGTGGAGATGCGAATTGCGTCAATCCGAGGTCGGAGTAGTAGTTTGGTCTTGTGGGTTCAATCGGGGGCGTGGTCGGGGGTCCACTCTTGGCGGACTTTCAGATGGTGTTGGCAGAGCAGCAGCAGGAGGAGCCTTGCCTCTCTGACCCTGATTTTTCGATGTCGACAATTCACGTCGCTTATTCGATGTCTTCTTGGTCTTTCGTGTTGTAATGGCTCTCCGAATACAAGCCCAAATGTGGCCGCGTAGCCAAGCTCCGAAGCGCGTCTCGAACGCAATGACGACGAGAACGACGAGCATGCTTATCAACTTATGCATATGGTTTGTGTTGTTCAAAAAAAGGCAGATGTAGAGCAAGTTTATGGAGGAAAGCGGGAAGTAGATGAAAGGACCGAGGCATTCCGAATCGTTGGCCCAGTTGACGAGCATCACGGCGCATGTGATTTATGTTACAGATCGATATGAATGACAAGCTTGGAGAAGAGATTGTACTCATTGTGATGATTGATGAACGGTGTAGATGGGTGATGGGCGATGAGTGTAGCTTCTAGTGTCCGAATGCGAGTGCCTGGGATGTCATGTACCTTCAACTGAAGCGATCCTGATATTTAACGCTGTCAAAAGTGACAAACAAGCAGAGACCGGAATTGTGCCACCAAGTTTGGGGCCATGTTACTAAGACATGCATTTAGTGTTATGAGACGTGGAAAAAATGAACTAGAGGAATGCGCCAGCTACGCAGCGGAGAGACGAGAAATCTCGATCAATACACGTGTGCTCGACGAGACAGTATAAAGGAAACAGAGAAACGGATACGAGAATCGTGAAGAGCGCAGAGATGAAAGGACAAGTGGTAGAGGTGAGAGCAATTGTACATATTAAGCCGGGGTCAGAGTACGAAGCGTGTTCCTGTAGAAAGCTCCATCGTAGACAACTAGAACGTAGCTCTAGCAAGCTATGCGGTATCATCTCGTCTGTTGGCTAGTTTCGCTAGCTGCCAAGTAGCTATCAAGCATACCCCATCCATCCGCGTAGCAATTATGCTGATTGTCGTCATCGTGATGAAGTCCAGGCACCTGTTGCTCGCAATCATATGCAACCCGTCGTAACTCATGACTATGCTATGTAATACAATTGTAGAAGGGAACCCAAGGAAAACGTCAGCATGAGAGCACGGGCTAGAGCTAAATGCTCACGGCGGGCTCCTCCGCCTTCTGAACTGCCTCGTCAGCCCCCTCCTCCCCATCCTGAACACCAAGATCTTCCATACCCATCTTCATGACCTCCTCTTTTGGCAGCGGAGCAGCCTCAATGACCTCGTCGAAGATGCCGCCCTCTGAGGGTTGCATACCTTTGCCAATAGCCGACAATATCCTCCAAGCCCGACGGAATTCGTCTCGGATGGCCACGATCCCGCGATGTGTGACGGTCCTTGCGACGTTGTGGTCCAGCTCGAACGGATCCTCGATAGCGAACAAGTAACGATTCGTGACCTTCCTCTCCGCTGTGATGGTGGTCTTCGCACTGACCCAACCCTTGTCCTGCTTGGTACGGATGCCGCCAAGTGTGCGTAGCGACAGCACCTCGTTTGTCCAATAGAACTGCGGTGCACGGGGGCCATGGTTATTGTACTGCGGAAGAGAAGCGTAGTACTGAAAGAAGCCACGAAGCAGATCGCCGACTGACTGTCTATTCTGTGAGAGCCGGCCGGATTGTGCAGCTTGCATGATTTCCTGCTCATTGCGCCAAAACCGAACTGTGTACCCAGCAACCGTAGGGCCTTTGAAGAAGTCTTCAATATGACTAATATCTTTGGGCTGGGGTATCGAGTGCTGCAAATTCGGGCAGACGGGAGGTTGAGCAATGTTGACCAGATAGTGTAGAACCATCAAAACCCATCCATATGATGACAGGGTGCCAGAGTAGGAGCTATTTATCTTGCGGCGTTTGGCCCATGCCTTGACGAATAGGACCATCAGTCTGACGCGCGGATCAGTTAATGAGTAGCAACGCAGCATGTGAGTGTTGTGTATGCCAAGTGGGTTCTCGAAGTTGATGTCACATTGAATTCCTACGCCCTCTTTTGGAAAGTCGAGAGGGCCAAGAACCTTTTCACGCATCCACGCCTTCTCGGTGCGAGGCTGTTGTTGCTGTTGCTGGTTCGGAGGACTCTCCTTGGCTGGCTCGATGGGTAAAGGTGTTGTTGGTGTTGGAGGAGTATCACTCTTCGTCGTCTGCGCCGTAGCGCGCGGCTTGGATGCTGCTCTCTTTTTCTTCTTGGGAGCAGCGCCAAGCTCAGGAAAGTCATCGCCAATTCCAGGATTGTCGGCTTGGGGAGCAGCGTCTGACGGCTGCTCTCCAATATCTAGAGGTGTCTTGGGTTGTGGTGAGGGCACCGGTGGAGCATCCGTAGGGTACTGCTCCGCTTCAGGCAATTCATCCCATTTCTTGCGTTCCTCGCACAGGGCAGTATAGAGCTCCTCTGTTGGAGACTGGCACACCTTCAAGATGGGTACTCGTGTACGGGTAAGCAGACGGCCGCCCATCTTTGCATCTAGGACTGCCTGCTCGAGTAAGCGCGGAATGTCGTGGTCAATTCCGATCTTATCTGCTTGAGACGGATCCTTCCATCCTGGTACAACAGCAAGATCCATGTCCGAACCGGGCAATCCAAAGCCGGAAGCTAGACTACCAAAGCCAACCAGCGAAATGGTCTCGATGTCTCCGGTGGGCGGGTAACCCTCTTTGAATGCCTGCTGGAAAACACCTTCTAGTCGTGATCTGAACGATTCCTTCTCTTCGAATTCGGCCAAGCTCATTTCGACACGTGGGATCTCTTCGGCAGCCAACCTGTCTAAGTACTCTATCTGCACCATTGGGTTCTCCCTGGGTTGATTGACATGGGGTCGAGACTGGTATGCGTCTTGTGATCTAGGTTGATAAAGTTGCCCAGTACCGCCCCGACCTCGACCTCGGGCATTGGGAGCTTGTCCGCCTCCGTTGGTTGTAGGCCCTCCTTGGACTGTACCGGGATTTTGTCGGTTAGCAGGTGCATTTTGATGCCCACTCTGGCGATAGCCTCGACCTCGAAACTCTGCTGGTCCGCCACGCCCATGAAATCCAGGCGAAGATGGAGGGACTTGTTGGCGTTGGTCTTGGCCTTGAACAGGACGGTCTTGGTGCCCGCCGCGTCCATAGCCATAACCACGTCCCCGTCCACGTCCGCGGGTTGATTGGGTGTTATTAGCTTGACCGTCACCAATTTTGACGTTCCCAAGGATCATGCCACGCAGTTGATTCTCGAGACCACTGGTTGATGACTCATATTTCTGCTCCATGATGATGCAGATGATTGATATTGGTGGTTGCCTTGGTCGTTTGCTGCAGTAGTGGTAGCGTCAACAAATCAACAAGCAAAGTAAGGGCTTGCCTGCTGCAACTTCTCAGCAAGAGTTTTCCGGTAGCAAACTAAACTTCTGTTGCCTTATCTCGGAAAATTGTTGTTGCCTGCTGGAAGTGCTGCAGTGGTACAAGTCGGTCGATTTCAGTTTCCTGTTGACGACCCCGCCGTAGCACAGACTTAGGTGGACCGGAATACGCGCGATTGGACTCTGTGCGACAAGCGTCCGTACTCGAAGTCGTGCGCGTCGTTCAGTTGTCAAGTGATGGTGTCACCTCTTCTGGGACATTGATTTGGGGAAGTTGCTTGGCACGCTAAGGCACTAGTGTGGAGCTGTGACGCTCGCAACTGTGGAACGACTGCGCGCTCTCGTTGTCGAACAAAGCCCGTCGTGGGCTCCGTCTCCTTCCATTCATCTTCGTCTTTCGTGCTCCCGACCACCCCCACTATCCTTCCTCCTTCTGATATCCTCACCTCCCACGAATACACGCTCGCTATGAACGGACACCCGCCGGCGGCCTCTGCGCCCGCCGCGCCCCCAGCCGCGAATGGCCAGCACGTTGCTCAGCGCCCTCGACCGCCCGCGAAGAAAGCGGGCGGAGCGCTGCGAGCGCCGCGAAAGCCGCTCAAGAGCATCACGCGCCCCATGGTGTCATTGACCAAGATGAACGAGATGAAGGCCCCGGCCGAACCTACAGGCCCCCCGGACAGCAGGCAGGAGGCAGACGCGCTCCGGCAAGAGTACATCAGACAGGGTGCCAACGTATATCCCCTGGTAGTCACGCGTCGCGATCTGAAGGAGCTGCGGCACCATGTCATGCGCCTGCAGCACAAGGGCCCAGTCGACATCCAAGACAACCAGCAGTTCACCCCCCCAATTCGCCTTCATCGCCGAGATCCGCGCGCCCCTCCCAGTGGTGCAGGCTCGCACTTTGAGGAGGAGGAGACAAAGGAGGACATGGAGGAAATCAAGGAGCGCGAGCGCATCGAGTTACAGAAGGAAGACCGCCGCAAGGTCCGCGAAGAGAACCAAGCAAAGATTGCGCCGACGGGCAAGACCAAGACGCAAGCTTTCAAGAAAAACATCGAGCAAAAGTATCGCGCCGATGACACTCCAGAGGCCAAGAAGCGCCAGCTACTGCGATACGAAGAGACGCTGCCCTGGCATTTGGAAGACTTCGAGAACAAGCAGACGTGGGTTGGTACATACGAGTCGGAGCTGTCAGAGGCTCACGTGATGCTTTCCATGGATCCCACCAACGGCCACAACGCTGTCTACTTGGCTCCTATGGAGCGCTGGTACCGGTTCAACGTCAAAAGTAAGCTCAAGCCTACCGGAGACGATGTGGACAAGATTGCCTTTAAGATCGAAAACGTGGGCGGTTTTCTTGGAAGACTTGAGGCTCAGGCCGCCAGGAAGCAGAGGGATGAGGCCATGTCAAAGATGGGCAGGGGCATGGCGACCAGATTAGGTGGTGGCGCCGATGACGAAGGCAGGATCCGTCGGCCTATTGATTTTGATGGAGGTGGTGCAGCCATCAAGCGCGAGGCAGACGCTGATGACATCGACTTCAACCTTGACGAAGACTTTGCCGATGATGAAGAGGGCCTTAACGGCTTGTTCGAGGGAGAGGCCGAGGAAGTAAAAGAAGCTGAAGAAAAGTTGAAGAGAGATCGCCTCGCTGCTTCTTTGTGGGACAGACCGGACGAAGCACAGCTTGCACTAGAAGAAGAACTGGAAAAGAAGTTTGCAGAGGAAAACAAGCTGGCCGAGAAGGAGAGCAGGAAGCGGATAGCTAAAAGAGAGAAACGCTACGATGTTCTCGACAGTGACGAAGAGAATCCATACGTTACTTCCAGTGAGTCAGATACCGATTCTGAGACTGAGCGGTTGCGGGCCAAAGAAGAGCAGGAGAAGAAGGCACTCGAGGCGGATGGAAAGGCACCTGATGGAAGCAATCTTCCTTCAGGTGCATCGAGCAAGGGTAACAATACGCCATCTGGAAACCACAAGTCCGTTGATGTCAAGAGCAAAAAGCGACCCGGCTCGCCCAATCTCTCAGAAGCAAGCGGCAATGAGTCGACTCGGAAGAAGCACAAGAAGAACCGCGATAGACTTCCTGATGGATCACGAAAGTCAGCGCTCGCGAGTCACAGAGGTGCTGCATCTGGTAGCGACAGTGAGATGACTGATGCTGGCAAGCTCAAGAAGAAGTCCAAGAAGTCCAAGCTCGTCATTGGTGCTACACCAAGTGGCAGCCCAGGTGCAAGCCGCGCAGGAAGTCCAGCAGCATCTCCCCCAATGAGTGGCAGTCGCGCTGGTAGCCCCAGCGCTTCCTCGCCCAAGCCCGGCATGCCTACTGCGAAGGAACTCTACGAATCTCTCCCACCCACTGGCATGAACATCCAGAATTTGATCGCCAAATTCAAGGGTCGTGTCGACAAGACCAACTCTGCGCTTTTCATTCGCCTCGTCAAAGCTGTCAGCAGCTTCGACAAGGCCAATAGCTGGTTGACGCCCCTGCCTCAGATGCCGTCTGAGGAGAGCATTAACGCTTTTATGAATGCCGCTAAGCCCAAGCCTGCGGCAGCATAGACATATGGAAATTTATGCTGGGACAAATTACTTCAGCGTTTTTTTTCTTAGGATAGTATGCATTCTCAGGTCATGGTGTACATTGGCGCATATAGACCTTTAGTTTCGAGGTAACAGGATTCGAGTAGTTCTAGCGTACAGACTGGTGAGAAACAGTCAGCTACTTTTACGCGTACATGCATCCAGGGCAGCGTCCCAATAGAGTAGCAACACGGAGGATAATACACTGTCAAAATCATCTGCAATCATTCATCAATCAGCATGACTTATCCCGCACCTTCCTCATCCATCCCCCGGTCTCCACTACAACCTTCGTGATTGGTGGCGTTAATCGGAAATAGCTGCGCGACCGTTGATCGGCTCCTCAGGTCCTTTTGCCGAAGCGCGACTCGGAAAAGTGCGATCAATGACGGCGCGGTGCATGGGGTTTTTGTTGTGCGTCGTGCAACATTGCTTTGTTCATTCCTTTGTTTCTCGGTGTAACTTCATACATCTTTTGTGTTTTGGTAGCTCTCTAGATTGATAGACGCGGGATACAGGGACTATCCGGGACGATGTCAGCGATCCCGCCGGCGGAACCAAATGTCGGGGACGGGATGACGAATCTGAGTTCATCACACGATGAAGCAATTAGAAAGAGTGGAAAAGATATATCGACATGGTGCAAAGTATACGATGTATTGACATGGACGCCGCCGAATTGTCGCTGGGATCCAAAGAAACCACCGCAGTTTAGCATGAGCATGAATGTGTTGTTTGCATTTGCTGCTGGGTGCAAGTTAGACGTGGAAACTTTATTCTACACCATGTCCGACCTCGTCCTGACGAGTAAAAAAAAGTCACGGTCGCCAATCTCTACTACAACCACCCAATCCTCAACATCCTAGCCGCAGACTTCGGCGTGCGGTATGAACAAGTCGCCCAGATCCCGACCGTCATGCAAGCCGGCTACGCAGCTGGCCTGCTATTCCTCTGTCCCTTGGGAGATCTACTACCACGCCGGCCATTCGTGTGTAGCTTAGTCTTCTGCACCGCGACGTTATGGTACCATCTTCCCATCCCACCATTACCACCTTCGCAGTATTAATCCGTGTAGGTTGGGGCTCTGCTTGACTACTTCTCTCAACCTCTTCACCGCCCTCTCCTTCCTAACCGCCATAACAACTGTAACCCCGCAACTCATGCTCCCTCTCGTCGGCGACCTCGCGCCTCCGCACCGCCGCGCTGCAGCACTCAGCATCGTTGTCAGCGGCTTGATGCTCGGCGTACTCATCGCGCGCGTGTTGTCGGGTACGATGACTAACTTCGTCACCTGGCGCGCTGTGTACTGGATGGCGCTGGGATTGCAGTATATTATCTTCGTACTGCTGTGGTGCTTCATGCCGGATTATCCCGCGACGAATCCGGGGATGAATTACTTCCGCATTCTGTTCGATATCGTCAAGATGCTGTTCAAACACCCCGTGTTGGTGCAGGCGTGTCTAGCGGGTCTGCTTTGTTCAGCGCCATTTACCAGTTTTTGGACAACATTGACGTTCTTGCTTGCCGGCGAGCCGTATCATTACAGTTCGTTGGTGATTGGGCTGTTCGGCTTGATTGGGATTGCGGGCATGTTAGGCTCGCCTGTGTACGCTCGACTCGTTACAGACAAATTTGTACCGCATTTTTCTGTACTGTTTGGATTGAGTTGCAGTCTCATTGGGGTGTGCTTGGGCACGTATATTGGGCCGTTTAGCGTTGCGGGGCCGGTGATGCAGGCGCTTTTACTGGATTTTGGGAACCAGACGGCGCAGATTGCGAATCGGAGTAGTATATACAGCGTAGAACCGAAGAGGCGGAATGGTGTTAATACTGCATTCATGGTGGCGACATTTTGTGGACAGCTTATCGGTACGGCGGCGGGAAATCACATTTATGCGGCGGCGGGATGGATTGGATCGGGCAGTGCGAGTGTCGGGTTTATTGGAGCGGCGATATTGGTCATTGTAGCTAGAGGGCCGTGGGAAGAACATTGGGTTGGATGGAGGGGTGGGTGGAGTATGAAGAAGAAGGATCCGAACAGTGCGGATGGCAAGACGAGTGAGCAGACGCATTTCCACGAAGGAAAGGTTAGAGATGAGGAGATGGGTGCAGAGAAGAGAGTGCTGGGAGAGTTGGCTGCGGAAGAGGGAAATGAAAGTCCTCTGAGTGAAGAGCAGAGCGACAGGAGCCCGAAGAGCAGCAAGGACGTGATAACGCTTGTGAAGACATAATGGGCAAAGGCTGCGGGGCAGATATGGACCTTCAGCGTTTCATGTTTGTATGTCCGGCGTTTGTTGTGTTTTCTCCAAGTTACGTCTTAGACGATATCAACTATCTTCTCATCTTCGTCTTCTTCTTCGTCGCCGTTCAACTCTACCATTCTTCCACTGTCACCACCAATACCGGTGGGTATATCCTCCTCCTCTCCCTCTTCTTTTCTTTGTATGATCTGTACCACACGGTCGCATGCTTCTCTTACGTCCTCGTTTTCAACGTGCAAATGGCACTCCCTGATGATCGGGTACACCTTGACCCGTCTCAGCACTTCTCTCGACTCTTTTGTTGTGCTCAGTAGCAAAAGTGTCTCTATGTGTGCTTTCATAATCTCCGGATCACTCTCTCGCTCCTTATCTGGTTCGAGTAGTTGTAGCTCGTCTAACATGCCCTCGGTGTCCTCATCCGCGTACTCTTCCGGCCCCATGAGTGGAAGAAGTACGTATGGAAGGAGGTTCGCGCCGATCGAGGGAGGTGGTAGTGTAGGGTCTGGGTTCAGATTCGATAGAAGGACTGGATGCGCCGGAACGAGAAAGGAAACATTCTTGATCGTTGATGCTACTCCCAGACGGCGAATATGCGAGGCATGATCTGTAAAGACCTGGATCTTAGTTATGGGTATGATGTTGCTGTCGTGTTCTTGAGGTGTGGTCAAGTATTCGCGACCCTTGGGGAACTTGGCCAGGTCGGCGAAGAAGTAGGACAGGTAATCGTAGTCAGCATCCTTGTTGTACGCGCCCGCAGCGCCTTTCACGAAGCAGTCCATGAGCTGGTCCATGGCCCATTTAGACGAGGATAGCTCCTTAGGGACGTCACGCTTCAGCTCGAGGACCCGTTGTAAGGAATCGTGCTTCGCCATGTTGGCGAGAAGCATTGCGATTTCATTTGCGCCCTTCTCCTTCGGGTGCTACCTCACTGTCAATATCCCCTTCTTGAAACGTCGCGCAGTTGGTGAACTGACATACTGTTATCCGTGAAAGTAGAGTCTCGAGTAGTTTGTCGTCTTCCGCAAGCGACTTCAGGACTTCGGCATCGGAAGAAATGTTGATGAGGATCGTGAGCGCATTCTTAGCGATCGGCGCGTAGTCTTTCACCAGAAGCTTTAGATCTCTCACAGGCTCCAGCTGATTACGCTTGAAGAGTGCGAGGTTCGAGTCTGAGTAGCCGACCAGGTGTTCCGCCGCTGTTCGCATAGTTGGTATCGTCGCATAGTGGGGGAGGGGCTGTTCTTACCAGTTTGGCGAATCTGTGTGTTTCCATGGTGGAGGAACTCCACAAGCTGAAAGCAGAAAATTAGTTACATAGCAATTTTGATAGGTATGGACGAGCATACCTCTTCTAATTCCGTCGGCATGGTGATGTTGGCTGTGCTGTGCAGTGAGCGATGACGAACATGGCCAAAATTTCGACCTCGAAATTTAAGGTTATCGATAAGCACCATAGTTAACTAGCGCAAGCGGACAATCGATTTTCACTGACTGATCACTTCATCTACACAACATGCCGTCTTGCCTATTCTTGACCACGGACTATGTGGGGAAAAAGCTTCTTCTTGGAGCATGACCCGTAATCCATCCCCCTTTTGTCAGCTCAGGCACTGCATCCGTTCGGAACCGACGGCAACCTCAGTCCAAGCCGTCGAAAGACGCGACTCAGCTTTTGTACTGAACAAATGCTAGGCGAAAGACGCAACATACTTTGATGAACCTACTGTATCTTCTACACGTGGAGATGCAAGCCTCGCCACTCCACCACCTAGCCCGCAAGAAGAATAGAGCGGCGGCTACAAACATGTTCCAGCCTCTGAGGTGTCCCCTAACCGCCGCACCTCTCGTGGCTTGTCAACCCTTGTGCCGACGATTGAGCGCGCACCCCGATGCGCCTTCTTTTCTCCCAAGCATTTTCGCGCTTCTGTCCGGCCTGGAATATGGTCTCCGAAATGAAGTGCGTGCGGCAAATCCAAATGCCGGACACTCTTTTCGAACGCGCATGTCTGGGCGCTGAATACATCTGAGCAGACCCTGCATACATGGTTCTCCACGTCCAGCGGTGCGGACGCACGCTGGCAAACATTTCGCGCTCGAAATAGACTTCTGAGATGATCGCGTCGGCCCGCTGTTGAGTCGTCACATACATGTGGTGCTCTGTGCGCGCAGCCATGCGCACTACAGCCGGCCAATCAGCAAGGCATGCGACCATGTTTGAGACCCCAGTAGAGTGTGCAGCGGGACTTCAGCGTTGGCGCTTACTGCAGAGTAGCCAACCATCATATTTATAACCGCCGCTCATCACTTGACCGAAGCGCCGAGGATTACATACTTCTTGATTGGACCTTTCTGACCACCACCATGGCCGAAAGCGGTGACGCTGCAAGGGAAGCACATTTGAACCGCTATTGTCGAGAGCGTGGAGCCAAGGCTTTTCTAGCACCACGGTAGAAGTCGAAGCGCGTTCGTCTTATAATCCTTATCCCCAGGTCGTCCGAATCCTTAGGCATTGCGTACCGTGGTTGTGCCCTCTGTGTTACTGTTTTGATAGCCAGAGCTTACTTCTACTGGTAAACATCGTGCAGCCATCTTTTGCGATTCAGCCTTGCTGCTCCCATTCACCAAAAGTACAGAATCGAAATTCAAGATGACTGGACCAGGCTTTCAACTGTTCCCTCCTCCACCTCGGGCCCCAAGGCAGACGAGTCCGAACAGAAGACCTTCTCCTGCTATCAAACAGCCAACACCAGAGCCGACGGCAGTAAGGATGGACAGTGCGACAGACTTCCACGAGCTTGTCATCCAAGTCAACTCTGTGCCAGTTTCTCCCTCGAGCACAATAGCACCATTGCCAACAGTGGCCACCCCTATGAGAGCGCATGTCGCCAATTCACATGCAGCAAGAACACCTCCGCAAGCAAATATGTCGACATTCGGCTCTCCACAGCAACAAACACCGTCGTCGAATCTTATGATGCAGGAGGACGACTATAGACCGCGGGATTCACGAGCACCTTCGCCATGTGTTTCGGTGCGGGAAGACCAACGCTTTGGAAGCCCTGAGGTCAATCGAGCAGCATCACCTGCATTCTCGACCTGCGAAACGCTTGTTAGAGCGAATAGTACAGCGACACGGGTGCGAAGCATGTCGCCACAGCAGGAAGTTTCGATGCGGTCGATGTTTCCAGTCTATGATCCGACTGTACCTCTTGGAAACCAAACCTACAAGCCTCCCATGTCCTCACCAACTCACGTTGCACGGACACAGATTAGCCGATCACCATACTCAACCGATTCCTATATACCCCACAGCAACGTCCGCGCAAGCAGTTCGACTGCTCCTCCGGCACCAAAGCCCTTCTTCACGCCATCACATCTACTGGATAACCTTTGGTTAGCGACTAATGGCCAAGAAGAGCCTGCTGTACAGCTATACACTCTGCGAATGCATCGAGCGACAGCCGCAAATCCTACAATCACATTCGGCACAACTCCTTCTTTGCCATTCTACAGCCTGGCGCAGGCCAATCTCGCCGAAGGCAATGATGTGCCGAGCATCATGAACGAGGTGTTAATCCAAAGACATCATCCGACCCAGCCACGAGTACTTCCTATATCCCATATGGACCTAATTGCACCCCCTTCGCTGGATACTGGGGTGTTCAACCCCCAGCAACAAGAGGCGACCACTCTCATCACCAGCATCTACCCGAAGCTTGCGGCACTCCAAGCGCTGGACGCCGCAGCAAATTCTCCTGCAGCTTCGCGTATCGCTCTGGCCGACCCTGGAGCGCAGTCGCCTGCAGCACAACGCCTAGCTGAAGATGTCCTGGCTGGTGCCGCCCAGCGCGAATGCTGTGCACTGACATGGACAAGGGACGATCCTCAACAGCAAGCCAACCCGTGGGCACAGCACATTCCCTCTGAAGGTTCGTATCAGCTACATCATCCTACACTGGGCAATTTCCCGATCAAAGTGGAGGGTGATTGTTCCGTCATCAACACCCCCTCAACGCGACCAGTGACAGCCATCTACGGCCACAATGCGCCCATGACACCGCAGTCAGCACGTAAGCCTGCCTCGATAGCCATCCTCAACCCCTTCGTACTCTCACCTACAACGCCTCGAACGAATGCATTCTCGCCTCTTCCGCCACCGCCCCGGTTCGACGGTATGAACAGACCAGTCTCCTTGACCCCATCTGTGATGTCGATCGGGCAACTCCCCACCACCACCGATGCGACCGCCGACGACGCCGTCCTCGGCCGTCTAGACTTCACCAACGATGCCTTGACCCTCAACCTCGGCGCCCTATCACGTTTCGGCAACCCCTTCCTCGTCGACGTCATCACCTCCACCATCCTCGCTGTCGCCATTGCAGAAGCCACCCGCGGCCGCAAGAACCGCAAAGCCAGCCAAGAAAGCTTCGAGCCCCCGCCTCCCAGCTTCCTGCTCACCCACCAAAAGGAAGACACCGCCAAGGCCTTCAAGGAATCCTTCGTCGAGGGCTTCCAGGGCTTCGGCGGCAAAACCAAGGCCCCCGCCGGTCTGAAGAAGTTCGCATCGAGCATGAAGAGCTCGCGCAAGTCGAGCAGGGATTTCGACAAGGATATTGAGCTGGGCGAGTGGTATGGGCAGGATAAGACGACTAAAGCGAAAGAAACCAAGGCGGAGCAAAAGGCGCGGAAGAAGCAGGAAGACCAGGATAAATTGCCGCTGGTGACGCGAACGATTGTGAATGTGTTGACGTTTGCGTTCAAGAGTGTGGTGTTTGTGATCAAGATTGCGATTAAGATTGTCGCGGGCGTTGTGGTTATGATTACGAGGAATTTCGGGAAGTTGTAGATGATGGTGATGAGGGGTTGTGCGTATGATACCATTCTGCTTTTTAATATATCGTTGGATATGCTTGTTCCTCTACGTCGGATTATCGGTTACATGCTGCTAGTGTGGCGGGGATGATGGAAATACAATTTTTCTGATCTCGTCTATCAGCATCATGATTTATCTTCCCAAGTGTCTAGTAAGTATTTGCGGCCTCATTGCAGGTCTTTCCCTCCCAGTGCCCTACTAAGCGCCTCAATCACCCTGCGAGCCTCTCTTACCTCCAACCCACACGCAACTCGCCACTCTAGCATCGAAAAGAATGCACAGTCCAACGATCAACAGTCCCATCACAGAGACTGACGGCGATCAGGCCTGACGATCCAGATTCTGTATACAGAGGACCCGCAAGCCCTTCCCGCTCCTTTCACGATTTTCGGCGATTGAATCGCACCCAGAGGCTAACGTGACGAGCTGCATCTGATCAGGAGAAGTGCCGAACTGCCACTTCAGTCGACATATAGGCCGGGGTCGCATACGCGAAGGACTGCGTGCAGCCCAACCCTCAAGTTGTATGCCAGTTCGAGTGAACCCACTCAGTGGCAGGCCTGAAAAAGTATACAAGTGCTAGGTGTTAGGTGGTCTGTGTTGGTTCGTTCGAGCATACAATACGAATAGGTGTCGTGATGTACAAACAGCGTTCGCTGCCCGAGCTGCAGGGTCGAGTGTTGACGTGGTGGTGGGATCGTCATAGGCCGGCCGCTCCTTCCCCGTTGCCCTGGACAACTCCAGACGGTAAACACGACATGCCCGCATCTACCCCGGCCCGCCTCCTCACCACGCAGTCCCGGTCTCTGTACCTCGCAAAGCGACACTGAATATTTTAATTACTGCATTCTTCCCGAGCGCTCGTTCTTGCACGTTCTGCTCATTGTCACATCACATCTCGTTTTCGCAGTAAACACGGCGCCATGGGCGGGACAGCGGCCACAGAGCCGCCCTCGGTTTCCCTCTCATGTATGTCAGCCACAACACGCTGGAGCACCTCATAACTGACAACCGCAGTCGCCAACAATTTCTGGGGCAAAGATGACGCTGGCGTCGGACCTATGCTGGACCGCATGCACAATGCAAAGGTCTGCAACGACGAGCTGAAGAACTTCTACGCCGCACGAGCCGCAATCGAGGACGAATATGCGCGAAAGCTCCTCAACCTCTCGCGCAAGCCACTGGGCTCTGCCGAGTCCGGCACACTACGACTATCCTGCGACGTCATCCGCGCCGAGGTTGAATCAATGGGAAAGGCCCACCAGAGCATCGCACAACAAATGAAGACGGAGCTAGAAGAACCGCTCGCTGCCTTCGCCGGCGGAATGAAGGAGCGCAGGAAGATTGTGCAAAACGGTATTGAGAAGCTCCTCAAGCTCAAGATGCAGCAAACATCGACCGTCAACAAGGCGCGCGACCGCTACGAGCAGGACTGCCTCAAGATCAAGGGCTTCCTCGCGCAGGCACACATGGTCATGGGCCATGAGGAGCGGAAGAACAAGGCGAAGCTGGAGAAGACACAGATCAACCTCTCGACCACTAGCAGCGAGTACGAGGCCGCGGTCAAGGTGTTGGAGGAGACAACAGGCCGGTGGAACAGGGACTGGAAGGCAGCATGCGACAAATTCCAAGACCTCGAGGAAGAGCGCATCGACTACACCAAGAGCAGCTTGTGGAACTTTGCCAACATCGCATCAACTGTATGCGTGAGCGACGATGCCTCGTGCGAGAAGATGCGGCTCTCACTAGAGGACTGCGACGTGGAGAAGGACATCACAGGCTTCATCAAGGACCTAGGCACTGGTCAGGAGATACCGGACCCGCCCAAGTTCATCAACTTCTGTAGAGGAGACGCCGAGACATCATCACAAGCATCCGAAGACGAGAACTACTCCGTTGCGCAGTTTGCACGGACTATGAATCCCGCTTACCGTGCCTCGTCCCCTCAGCCTTCCATGTTTGAATCTCACCACGATCCCAACAATCCTCTGGCCAAAGAGCTGGGACTGCAGCAAGATACCCAGCCAATTCCGCAAGAAGAAATCGACATTGCCATGCGACCAGCAATTCCACAGGATCAGATCAACATCACTCCACGCCATTCACAGGATCATATCAACGCTCCTCGACGCCAATCACAAGATCAGATCCACGCTCCTCGGCGCCAATCTCAAGATCAAATCAGCGTTGCTCCACGACAGGCAGCGCCTCCACAAGAGCAGAGGAATGTCGCATCGCGACAATCGCACGCACCTCCTCATGACCCTATGGATGTTGCGTCCCGACACTCGAGAGGGCCCCCTCAGGACCACATCGACGTTGCTCCACGACGGTCTGCACCTCCTCCACAGCAGGTCCAGCCAGTACAGACACAGCGAAGTATTCAGCCAGATCCACGTTTAATTCAGGCACAGCAGCAGGCTCGCCAAAACTACCAGCAAAATCAAGTACCACACAATGACTACCCAACTGATGGTATGACACAGTACTGTCGCATTGGTGCGCCATCCGACCGAAGCACGATTCCCAGTCCTGTCCGACCTGGTAGCAGAGATTCACAAAGTGACTACTCGAACCCTACCTCTTTCTCCAGCATCGAACCCCCAAGTGGCTCAGCTTCACCAGGCAAACCGATGGCCCAGTCACCAATGCCGGAACCCAGCCCTATTGAGGATATGTCAAAGAAGAGAGGATTTTTCAACAGTCCGTTTGCTCGCAGAAAGAGTAAGCAAGAAAGGGAACCTCCTTCGATCACGCCAAGCAGTCGGAACACTTGGGCACCCACAACAACAAGGAGGACTACCGATGAGAATATCAGCCCCACCAGACCTCTCGGACGACCAACTCGAGGCAACGTCATTCACGACGCACCTCGTTCGGCCAGTCCAGAGCCTGTGGACCCTCGTGCAAACTTCCAACTCAATGTCGGGAATAATGTGTTCGATGTAGCGTCACCAGACAAGAAGAAGCAACAAGAGTCGCAAGAGCCACAAGATGAACTTGACCCGATTGCACAAGCTCTTGAGGAGCTCAAAGTCGTTACCAAGCAGACGTCTCAGAGAGTCACTGCGGACCGCTACCATGGACTGGCCACACCTGCACCTCCTGCAACACCAGCTGTGGGTGCGAACCTTCCCGGTGGAGCACCCACGCCCCTCGCGAGCGCATCCATTAATGCGGCAAAGCGTGGTACTCCTCCACCGTCGTACGAACAACCGCCAATGTCTCGCCTCGGAGCTCCCAAGCCTGCTCATACGTCACGCCAGATGCAGAAGACAACGCAGATGTATGTCAACCAAAAGGTCAACATGTTCAATGGCGGTGCAGACACGCGATCGTCGTCACGTAGCCCAACAAAGCAGGAGCCTCCTCGAGTGGCTTCACCCGCGCCACCACGTGCTAAGAGCCCTCGGCCTACAATCCAGACACAGCAGCCTCAACAGCCTCAACAGTCCCGGGAACAGCCTTCGCCTGCATCGTTCCGTGGAGCTCAGCAGCAAGCGGCACCACCGTCTCCAACAACATACCGCCCACAGCAACAGCAACAGCAACCGCCACAGCAACCACAGCAACCGCAACAGCAGCAACCACCCCCTCAACAGCGACCAGCTCCTCAACAAAGGCAACCTACACAGTCGCGCCCAGCGCCGCAGCAAACCCCAGCACAAACCAATAGCTATCGAACGGCATCACCAAACCCATATGCTGCTCCTGCGTCAAATGCCGGAGCCAGACCACGAGCTCAATCAACAGCCCCACCAGCACAAGCCTACGGGACTCCCGTAGGGCGCAACTCGTACACGTCCACACGAGGCGCGTCTCCCACTGTCAATGCCATGCCACGAGCGGCATCGCCTCAACCGCCTCCTCAGCCCACATATGCTCAGACGCAAGCATCTCAATCACGCCCTGCGTCTCGTGCAGCACCCTCATCGCGCGCTGTCAGTCCTCAGCCGGCATTCCGCCAATCATACGACCGTCCGTCAAGCTCTCGGGGTAGCGAGAAGGCACTCTCTATTGCAGCGCCTAGTGAACGTGGCGAAGGCAGTGTGTATGGTGGTAGTGTACGAGGTCGCGGTAACGCTGCACGTCCACAGAGCAGCTACTATGGTGGCAGTGGAAGTAGCGAATTCAACTTCAATGGTGGCGGCGGTGGTGGAAGTAGTGTGCGCGCCGAAAGTAGAGTTAGGAGCAAGAGTTTGGCCGAGCCCAAACAGTACAATCGCGATGGCAGGATTATTTTGAACTATTGTAAGTCAACGGAAATTACCAGTCCAGAAGTAGGGATGGAAGCTAACATGGACACAGCACGAGCCATGTACAGCTACAATGCTCAGATTCCCGAGGAACTAGGCTTCCAGAAGGGTGACATCCTTGCTGTCTTGAGATTGCAGGATGACGGCTGGTGGGAGGCAGAAGCGGTAGGCAAGAATGGTCGACCTGGTCTTGTGCCGTCGAACTACTTACAAGCCTGTTAAGCGGATCGTAATTGGGACTGCTTTGGCGACGTTGTTTTCTAGCGATTTTGTTGCTTCTGTACATTCGTTTTGGGCCATTACCTGGCGTTGGCGTTGGGATGAGCGGTGATACCTGTCCTTGAGTTGTATATGCTGGTTATGTGGTAGTGGTGACGTGGTACGGGAGGGGTTGACGAAAATTGTACATGAAAGCCAATATCTATTCATTCTTTTTGGTCAATTCAAGTATATGTGCACTGGTTGTGATGTGGCCGCTGTGTTGATGCTAGCTTATTTCACTACTCAAGTGTTCTCACAGACATCCAGCATTGAGTCAGAGCATCATGTTTGTCCTGTAAGCACGCCATTCGCACTTCAAGTGGTACATCACGCTTCCTACAATTTTCCGGGCTGCATACGACTGGGGCTTGGAAAATGTGGGACGCGTGTACCTCGGGAGTGCTGTTGGTGTTCTTTGTGGGTGCAGTTGCAATTGGTCTGTTGAGCACTGTGATTTGGAGCCGCACAGTAAAGAAAGGCGGTCGAAGACCGGAAGTCCTTCCCTTACCCGCTATCTTGCTCATGCTGCTCGTCACAGTGGGTTTGGTTATCTACGCCTGGACAGCACAGAAGCAGACCTTTTTGGATATGGCCCATAGTAGGTATTGGCTTCTCGACCGCTGGAGTGACGAGTACTATCGTAAGTCTTCGTCCCAGATCTGATCAGTTACAGGTGCTGATGATCACAATGTAGCTCCTCACAGACCTGTACATCATGGCTACTCATCCAGCGCACGCAACAACTGCTTTAGCAGCCGCGTTGTTAATACGTTCGATCTTTGGCGGAGTCCTGTCTGCCTTTTTGAGTACTCTACTTAATAGCTTTGGCGTCAAGTGCTTGTTCATGGCGCTAGCATTGCTTATGCTTGTCTTAACGCCTTTGTTGTGGTTTTACTATCGCCCTCATGCCGTTTGGCAACGGAAATCGCGACTTGAAGACGCAACTGGCGGAAAGAGAGCGTTTGGGGCATTTGATACACCAGCTTACCTTTAGTTGCTGTCGTAACATCATCTTAATATTACGACACTTCCAAGTCGACTTTAGGCAAAGGCTTATCTTAGAGGGGATATCGCTGCGGCTCGGGACCGCATAGAATTCAGACATCTTTGTTACAACCTCAGGCGCAAGTCGGTCTCCCACGATGAGAGTTCCGCTATGAGGCGTTCCGTCAATGGAGAATCTACTGGTTGGCTTGTCTGCGTGTTGCCGATCTTTGAGCTGTACAGTATTTCGTACATACGCTTGACAGCCGCCAGCGATACAAATTCGGGCGATCGCTTGGCCTCGGGCTGTCGGGGTGTACTTTGACCGATCTCTTGTTGCCGGGCTCGTCATTCCTGCCAATTACTACCCAGTCTTCCCAGCTCCCTACTCAAAATAAATGGGTTTACCATGTAACGTTCCACTTCGATGCCAGAGCCCGGGACCCTCGGTAGCCGGTGGAGATCATATGAGGCAAAAAACATCTGCGTTGTCCTCCTCTTGTCCGCATCATTGTTTGAACGATTTCAAAGAAACCAATACTCTCGCAACATACCAGTATGCCAGGAAAGATCGAGACGGCGGAAGGGAGCGATGTACCGGAACGTCGGGGAGTCTACCTTCTGACGCACCCGCGTTCAGCTTCGAACATGTTCCAGATAATGATGGCGAAGCAACCAGGCTACCAGAACTCAGGCTACAAACTTTTTGATGCTGGTTTCATGTCAGTTGGCCAAATGCACAGAGGTCGCTTGAGCGAGTGGCCGGAAGATGATCGTACAGCTGCTTTTGCCGCCTTCCAGAAAGGCTGGGAGAATTTACAAAACGAGGTGGCGGATGCGCAAAAGAATGTAAGTATGCTACAAGAAGTGGAAGATGCAAGGGAAGTCAGCTTTGGTTCATACAAAGAGCTTATAGCACACTACAAGTGCAATTACTCAATCCCGTCATGGACTGACGTGCTCGCTTACCCTAGTTCTTGTCTGCTGACGGAACTTCATTTTAGGGTAAACAAGCGTTTATCAAGGAACACGCCCTCTTCCTCTTGGCTGCAGACAAGTTCTTCGCATTTGAATTCCCCAACGACGATGTCAAAGCTCCTGTACTCCAAGAACGCGATGGACCCAAATCAGCACACACCAATCCTACAAGTCTGCCAGATCGCTTCCTGCTTTCCATGCAACCTATCTTCCAGATCCGCCATCCAGCGCTGATGTTTCCCTCCATGGTTCGAGCTCAGGCCAGCATTATGAGCGATACGTCTACTCGCCACCCTAGGGTTTACAGTACACTGACCCTCCGCCATTCCCGAGCATTGTTCGACTGGTATCTCAAGAACGCCAGCAGTGAGCGGAAGCCAAGGGTCATCGATGCAGACGACATCATGAGCCATCCTTCAGCTGTCCGTCAACTCTGTACTCAAACCGGTCTTGATCCCGATGCAGTTCAGTATGAATGGGACGAAGTGCACGAGGAAGACCCCCTCATGGCGCGGTTCAAGTCGACGATAAATGCTTCTAAAGGTATTATCAAGGGCATGGATGCTCGCAGTCTTGACATTGAGGCTGAGAAGACCAAATGGACAGCTGAGTGGGGCGAGGAAGAGGCTGAGAATCTGGCGAAGTATGTGAAGGATGCGATGTCTGATTACAACTACTTGCTAACCCATCGTACTCGGGGGGAGTAACTGCTGTAGGAATGGCATTGACATATGACTAGCTATATGTTATGGACAGCTCGGCATATCAGTGGAATTTACATGCTTGCAAATGTTTATTGCCGCTAGGACCGATTCTGGCTAGCATAATCCGCTTGTCATCTTCACACTTCTACGCGATCCCTTCTTGATCTTAACATCAACCCAAGGTGACACTCGCATTCTCAAAACAACAGCTGAGTCTCAAACTAATGCTTCTGTCCCTATTCTGTCTAGGATTCCGTCTGGTAGCGCTTCCGTTTCGCGCTGTCCAGATCATAGTCTAACGGAACTCAACCTCTGGACGAGAGTTGCAACCAATGCGCTTGTGTAGTAAATCGACACTCAGTTCATTTTGCGGATTGTCCAAAACAAGAGCTTCACGTCGATTTGGTATACGAAATATCATGACAGGACGTCAGGATTTGTTTGAGTATACTTTAGGCAGATGGATGTGAGATAGAATCGAGGGATGTGCTTACTGCTGGGCGAGCCTCTAATGTTGCCTGACAGATACAACGAGAAACTACGTCTGGAAGAACGGCAACTATATTTCAGCGTAGAAGGACTTAAGAAAGCCGCCACAAGAGCGCTCAACCAGCCTGAGTCGAATGTACAAAGCCTCCGAAAACTAGCAGAGGGTGGCTTCAATCGGATCTTCGAGTTGAGTATGAAGGATGGGACATCAATTCTAGCCCGATTGCCCTACCCATCTACCTTGCCTCGACGTCTGGCTGTGGCCAGCGAAGTTGCGACCATGGATTTTGTCCGTGCACACGGTATTCCGACTCCACGAGTTCTCGGATACGCTGTCGATGAGAATCATGTCGGCTCCGAATACATTCTTATGGAAAAGCTTACTGGGCGGCCGATTGGAGACTCCTGGTTCGAACTTTCTGAGCAACAGAGGCATCAAGTGTTACACGACATTGTCCAGCTCGAATCCAAATTATTCAACATGCGTCTCCCTCCGAGTGGAAGCATATACTACACTCATGATCTAGATTCAGATACTGCAAGGGTAAGAATACCCGAAGCGGGCGGTCAATTTTGTGTCGGCCCGTATACTGGTCTTCGTTGGTGGTATGGAAAGCGCAGTGAACTTAAGCTTGATCGCGGGCCGCGTATGTATGATCAGTGGTTATAGGTTATGATTGACTTACTTGCATAGATATGAACACCCTCCGTGTTCTTCACGCCTCTGCCGAGAAGGAACTGGCTTGGATAGACAAGCATGGAAAGCCGCGTTATCCGTTTCATCGACAACACAGAGAAGCTTTTCAATACGTCAAACAAGATCCCAAGGTACACGCGCAATCCCTTGAAGCTTATTTGCGTGTGGCTCCGTACCTTATACCGGAGGGTGGAGAGCTCGAAGTTCCTGTGTTACGCCATCCTGACGTTCAACCTAATAATATATTCGTGTCCGAGGATTTCCGAGTTACCAGTATGATAGACTGGCAGCACGCCATTGTACTACCAACTTTTCTCGCTGCTGGTATTCCAACATCTTTCCAAAACTATGGGGATCCTGAGTCGAGATCTTTCACGCCTCCACAGCCTCCAGCGCATCTTGACTCTCTGGACGAAGTTGAGCGCACTCAAGTTATAGAGGCATATCGTAGAAGACATGTGCATTTCTTCTATTTGGGGTTCACTCAACGATTCAACAAGCGACATTGGTCTGCTCTGGAAGACGAGATGGACATTATCAGGCGCCGAACCTTCGATCATGCCAGCGAGCCATGGGAAGGTTTGAACACACCTCTTCAATATGATCTCGTTCAAGTCATCGAAAACTGGGGGAAGATTGCTCATCCAGATCATGATGGTCACGCAACAACATGTCCTGTATCTTTCACGCCAGAAGAAGCACAGCGCATAGATGCGCTAGATGACCTACACGGCGATGCAGATGGCGATATGGAGGCAATTAACGACCTTCTTGGCATAGGCCCTGACGGATGGACATCGAACGAGCATATTCAGACCGCAAAAAAGAAAGCATCTGAGATCCAGGAACAAGCTCTTGCTTCGGCAGATGATGACCCGTGGTTGAGGGAGATGTCTGAGCGGCATTGGCCTTTCGACGACTTTGATGAAGATGAGTGACAATGACTCCACATTGTGTCCTTTTGTATGGCACTGTGTAGATAAGGTGGACCTTTTTGGTTATTATAGATAGCTTAGTCGCTCTAGTGCTACTATGTGCTCAGGTCTTAGGTATACAGTCTGTTTTGCATTCGACGATAAGACTTCGTGTGAAATTGATGGAAGCATAGATGCCAGCTTGGATTTAGACATTTGATAAGAAGGAATTTCGCGATCAGATAGTAAACCACGCTCTACGTGGGTAGACACTTTAAAGTCCTCTCCAAGTCCCATCGGAACTCCCTCTGTCCTTGCGCTCCTATATTGCATGCATCTACTGCTTGTAGCATAATTCAACCATTTCCAGAATAATCTTCTGTAGTTAGTATACTAAGTAAAGTTTACGTTAGTTCACGAAAACAGAGAATCTTGCTTGGTCGATCACTCTAAACATTTTCCTGGAGTGTGTTCGAACAGGCCACGAACACCATCTGTGGTCTTGTTCACTACCGGTACATGCGATGGGCGTACAAACGAAACTGCAGATGCATGGCAATTGACATTACTCTAGCGCGAGTGGTATGTGTAGCTTACTCTAGAATGTGCTTCCTGAGATCATCATCGACGAGAGACAAGGTCCAAAGCACGGCGCAGCACCAATCTCGAGTCTTAGCTACCAGAATACAAAGCCAAGTGTGTAGACCAAACCAATTCCTTCTCTCAACTATGCCTTCTTCTTGGTCGCACCATTTACCATCGTCCAACCATTTCCATCACGCGCTCGAACCTCTCCAGTCTCTTCCCGCCCAAGAGCGTCCTCATCGCCGTTCTGCGTGGCGCCCGTATTCACGATCCCTGCCTCAGCTCTCTCCCTTCGGCGTCGCTCCCCTAATCCTTTCCGCTTCATACCAGAAAGAACACGCTTCGGAGTCGCTACAGGCCTGCGATCGCCGATGACGCCGAGGGATGCAGCCCGGGCTGTCCACCTTGACTGTTGCTTCTTCGTCGACCTTTCGCTTCTCAACGCTCAAGTACTGGTTCACAGGCTTGAACAAAGCGTGCCTCTGTGCGTCCGAGGTGCGGCAGCTTGCAAGCAGCGTAACCCTGAAGTCATCGTAATTGACACACAACTCCGTCCAGTCGCCCATGTATTCATCGTGATGACCCGTCAGCTTGTTCACTTCCCAGTTTGACCAGTGGCTTGCGACCGCGTCGTGGAAGAGCTGCCTCAGACCCTTGCAGAGGTCGTTGTTGTTTTCGTCCTTGTTTGTGTTACGGCAGACAAAGTCGATATCTTCGGCGCGGATGGTAGACAGGCGCTTGTTGCTTGTCTTCAATTGCGCCAGCGGCTCGAAGCCCATGTGCAAGCTGATGATTGCCGCGTTGCTATAAGCCATACAGCCTAGTTTCTGGCCTATCAAACATGCTTTGATGCCTTCGTGTACGCGGCGGTATCCGGGAATTTGTTCGTTGAGCGTGTAGATACTACTGCGCATGTAGTCCACGAAGTTGGTGAAGGCCCGGATGTCCACGTCTTCGAGGGTGACCGACGTGAGGAAAGGATTTGTGCAGATCTCAGCAAGGTGAGTGCAGTGACGGATGAGAAGAGCTTTGGAAAGGTACCAGGTGCGTTGAGTGACTGGGTCGGCGCCGACGACGACCATGATATTGCCTGTCGAAGGCGGAGGTCGAGGCATCGCGGCAGCAGACTTATAAATTCTTGGTTGATTTGATGACGTCTTGGTTTGCGGGTCGAGAAGTGCGCTCTGGAAAAAGTTGTACCGCTTTGTTGAAGGCGTGGACATCTCTGAGACTGAGCGCGTGGGTGTGATAGGACGTCCGCGATTGCTAGCAACGAATCTCGGGCGCCTGGAAACCATCTCATCGTTTGTCGGGTTGCTATGGTGGCGTTGTGTATAGACAACGCGCAAACGCGAACGAGATCACGTGCACAGAGTGAATGTATGGGCGACGCGTGTTTTTTTCACCGAGTCACGAAGCAGATCAGATGGAAAGAAAGCGGCGTTTGTGGAATTGGAAGTTAAAGATAGTTGGAATCCGAATAAGACTTGTATGGCGATGTTGTGTTTGAGGAGCACAGCTTAAAGCAACAACTGCGCGATCTAGTACTATGCACTTTCTTTCGAAGCCAAACCTAGCCAAGTAGATGCTTTAGTACCTTGCAAGGCTAAACCGTAGGCGTCTGTCGTGCTTTCAGGGGATGATGCTGGCCAGCAACATTTAGGTGCAGTAAGCAACTGAGACGTCGTTTTCTATGGCGTAGCCTAGGGTACATGTATGCTGATCAGACCCAGTGTTAGGTGAAAAACAACGGGTTTTCCTCGACTACCAACATGTCATTAGTATCCACTCCACTTGTTTTCCGGATACAACCTACGCATTCTTGTGTAGTAGTTCCGGACAGACTTCGGCAGATATTCGCTGCATTACAATACTAGTAGAACGGATTAGCGGTGTTGAGATCTAGGTATATAAGGGGTTCATGTTCTCCTTGACGAGCTGAGCTCTGAGCGGCTGATGAAGCAAACAAAATGCTCGAGGCAGCAATGAAGACCATGGTAGGGAGCTTCATGGTGGATTTAGTTCAATATTCGATGAGATTGCTTAAATTGCGTGGGTTGCTTGGGTTAATGGAGCGGCTGGAAGTGTGTGGTTGAACGAACGTGAGTCGAGAACAGAGTGGGAGGGAGCTTATGTACCGTACTGAAACTCAAGACACGGCCTGGTGCCGACTTGTCCGCCAGAATCAAGCACAGGAATACGAAGCTCCGTGCATGGGGGCGTTGGTCGCACGCTCTCGCATTGTACCGAATAAAATCACCACCGGTGTCCCACCGGTGGCTTGGTAAACATAACAATCTGATCTGTACAGCAACGGCAAAAGCAAGATAATTGATTCTTAAGTTATTATTATCGTATTCAGAATGTGTGCACCCCCTCTTCAGCTTAACCATACAACGAGCAGGACACCTCCGTATGCTCCTATTGGCGGATTTCCTTACAGATACTAATAAGGGCCTAGATAGCCGTTAACAGATGTCACTTTTAGACTGAACCATATAATTCTAACCTCTAAAAAGGCTGCCCGCTTATGATATCATCAGGTACATCATTGTTCGTCATAGATATTCTTAGAACAGCTGAATCAGGGGGGGTGCGCATCTTCTGAATAGCACCGATATCAATGTAGCAAAAGTACGCAATGTGCATTAACTTGCGTTGAAGAAAAATTATCATTGCATTGCGCTGCTGCTGTAGTTGAAAGTAATTCCAGCCAAGCCCTCGGTGTCTTACCGGAGGTGGTAGAGTGCTGTGCGTAAACGTTTGACACCGAAGCCGAAATAAGACCTGAGTCCTGACAATGTGCGTGATTATTCACTCGGAAAATGTGGCCTTTGATCTAAGCAACATCGTAACATGGAATTTCGAGCGGGCGCCCCGTCCGATTAGCTATGATAATCACCTAGGATTGCTAGAAAGGCAAGGCAGAGGGTAGCAAGAGCAAGCTAGCTAATGCGACGGGTTATAGTGTTGCGAGACGTGGGCATCTAATGCTTGTGCTACGCGGGTTTCGCCGTTGGAACATGTGAGGTGGTATGGACATCGGCATTCGCGTCGGCGGGAACTATACTGTGGTTACAAAAGTATTGTACATGGTCCCTGCACGGCAGGGGTTGCTACCAGGTCGCCGTGAGCCAGCACGGCACCGTACAAGTTTTTTAAAATATGCTATAAAATCAGCTTTCTTCTGAGGCTCTACTTTGCGACTAAGAAATTTAAAATTCAATGCGGTAGTAGGTAAAAGTCGATTTTTCTGCGCAGCTAAGACCCCTGCCGTGCAGAGACCACGTGCAATACTTTTGCCTGTAACCACAGTAAGGGCGTTTGAATAATTGGGCGAGGTGGGGTGTCTAGCGTATGAAGCCATCCGAGTCCTCGTCCGAATTGCTCGTCCGAATTGACGAGGATGTGCTGACACCATTGAAGCGTAGGAGCCTGCCCGGGCATTGGCTATCACTTTTAACTATGCGTGCCTTGTTTCGAGGGTGGGAGCTGTCTTTCTTCAATATCCGGCTATTAATCTTACAGGCAAGATTCGAATTGCAACCGCTAGAAGTTTGATAAGAGAAAGTCATATTCCATTTTCTTCCTAGAGCGGGCGTGTGTGCAAACAGTGATAAGGATTGAACATCTAATAAATGGGAGATTCGAGAGCAAGTCTTCCTTCCTCTTAGATATCGGCTGCTCTCGTATCAGAGTCCCTTCCTCCTGATTACAGTCGTTACCTCAAATTCCTATTGAATGGAATTATTAATGCTGCAGAGCGCGCGACCGTTTCTATCTGGCTTGCAGGGATCGTTCTTGTAGACGCAGAACTTGACCTTTGAGAAAAAATAGTATTAGAGCGATGCAGGAGACAAAGTCCACCGTTAGTTAGGGGCAGCGATGCATGGGTGCAAGGCAAATCTCCGCCGCGGTACCGAAATCGAGCCGGAAGCGGACGACGACAGTTCGGCGATCGACTGCGAGACGGACTTAGAGATCTTTGATGCACCTTCTATTACGCGTGAGTTTACTCTGCTGACAGACTACGTCGTAAATACGTTAACTTAGCATTAACCAGTTAATATCATACTTCTTCGAAACTTTCTTTAGACTAGATTATTTGACTAGTTTGTACAATTTTATTTCTGTAATTACTTTATCAATTAGAGCTATAGCCTATAGTTATAGAGTCATTATGCATTAAAGTTCTAGTATTAAGATACGCGTTTAGTGTTGGACGAAGCATAAGCTAGAACTAGGCATAAGCTAAACTAATACGTTATAAGGGATTGTTATATATCTATTTTATAATATATCTACTACTCTCTCTTCTAAAGCACTATCTATTCTAGGTCTAATTCTATTATTATAATATTAACTAGGCACTAGACTTCCTACTACACTAACCTCTTCTAAACTACTCTGCACCTTCTTCACCAACTTCTGCGCCTCAATTTCTTCAATGTACCCTTAACGCGCGTCAGCAAATCCATCTGCCCAGAGCACGCAGGTCACCTTACCAGTAATCCCATCTGCGATGGAAAGAAAATTAGCTCCTAGCAGCACCATAGCTACAGTCTGTCCAAAACCCCAATCCGAGCCCGACACCCCTCCATCCAGATATCGCTCGTTGGACGCACGCAGTGCGAAGATGGAATAGATGTGCAGCGGGCATTGTAAGAGCGCAAGCGACAGAATTCCGATATCTGTATCAGACGCCACAAGATCTGCTCCTATTCTATAGACTGTCTGGAGTCTGAGGATTTCACCGCGCAGTGAAGCGATGATCATCTCACCAGGACGCGATGTAGCAACTTTGGGCATTTCGGCTACCACCCACTCCAGCAGTCTGAGTTGTGTAGCTTGAGCCTTTTCCTGGCGCCCGGTAGATTACCAAAGTGCGGTTGCGATGGAAAGCACAGTATATGCGAATGTGGCGCCGATGTATGCGTGGTCTGCGCGTGGATGCTTGTTGCTAGGGTACGAAATGTTCTTGGTGCGGTAGCAGTGGAGGGGCATGTTGTTATCCCAGGATTGCAGACGGGCGGCAAAGACGCTGAAGTAGGTTATAAACAATATGGCCCAGATGACGATGAGCAACTGTCTGGTATATCTTTTGAGACGGCCGTCGCTGGAAATACATCTACTTGCTGCGCAGTTGGAGATCCTATATGCGATGAGTGTAAGTACAAGCCGTTACATTCCATGTACCTGCTGGATGAACTCCACTTACACTACGAGACTTATGGCGTCGTAAAGGATATGCATATGGTAAAAGCTCATTGTCTTAGCTTGGACCAGGGCGCTGATCAGCAAGGCTATCCCTACAGCTATAGTATTAGTCGAGTATAAAACATGTCTCTCAGTGTTGGCAAACTCACCGGTAAAAGTCTGTGCATCATTACCTGCTAACAGAATCCGGTTTGCAAATCCCAATCTCATAGCTGTGGGCGTGCGTTCATCTTCAATCTTGGACTTTTCGGTTCGTACTCGCTTGTGATCGGGTTGCTTCCCAACGACCCACTCCCATATCCTTCCTGCCATGCGCCGGTGGGAAGCGTGTTTTTTCTGATCATCTGTAGATGGTTTGGATGCGTATGCTGTAAGCAAGCTGTTGAATACGCTAAATGAAATGCTACTGTATAACTCGAGCCGGGGCCGCATCCATGCTGGGAGCGAGTCGAAGTGGCTAGGAGGACTTGGGTCCGGGTCTGCGTCTTTCCATCTCTGTTGGATAATGCTTGAAAGGACAAATGTGTAGATTGAAACGTTGACAGCGATGACTGACTGAATAACGAAAGCAACTAGTATCTACATTCGATATTAGCGCAGCTCGGCCCTACAACGTGGACTTACTCCTAGACCAGCTATATCAGGATTCGCTTCTCCGATCGATACGCACGCCATGTTGTTTGACACCAATTCAGAGATATGTCAGAATGCGAGAGACAGGTGTCAGGATGGAGAAGGCTGGGTTTAAGATGGGCTGTTACACGCGGCTGAGGAAATGTAAGCGGGCTGCTGCAAGCCACCGTCTTCTAACTGGTTGGAAATACATCTAGATTCATCCGTCGCAGACTCCTCAGCCTAATCAAGCTGTGTGGGCAATTGTCCAGCAGCGTCTTGTGAATTGCAATGCTCCGATCCAATTCGAAGAAATCATGTTCTCGCATTCTATTTCTCATATGTACAAAGTGCCCGGTCCAATTGCCCCCACCACCCCAGAGACGATGCGAAAATGATTTGATCACTACACATGCATTTGTGATCGCACGCAGCAGACAAAGAAGTAGAAAGAAAAAAGGTCGCCCAGGTAATGGAAAGCAAATCGAGTATGTTAAGCGAACGCAATGCTCCAGCGCCCCACGCAATGCACAAACACAATAACCTAACAAAATTCTGGGGTAAAGATTCCTTCGCACTGTGAAACCAATTCGTTGGTCGTCTCTCAAGCAAGACTAAAAGCTGCTACACTTATACCAGTCTTCTATTTCCAACGTGTGATGCTAGATCGCCGTGGGAGACGCAGCTGACATGGCCACATCGCCTCTCGCAAGGGGGCCAATCCGGTGTGTCTCGAGCAGTTTGGATGGTAAGGTCGTAATGCTAAAATGAGCATGGAGGCCAGGCCTGAATACAAATGGGGGCCTTTGGAAATGGGGGTGGTGCCGGGTATCTCGAGAAAGGGCCATGGGAATGATGCCGTCGTTTCCCTTTCGCCATAATCGCTGAAGCCATATCGCAGTAAATCTGAATCACTTTTCAACGAGCTCGCCAAAGTAAGGACACGAAGGAAATTTCGCTGAGAACGAAGGAGATAAGCAATCGGACGAATGCTTCATTAGACGTCGAAGTTCCCTTGGTTGAAAATGTCGTGGTCGTTGCTCGGGATGACCCCAGACATTCTATCTCCGCGTCCCGCTGGCCTGTCCCAGTCGACTTCGTCCTTCTCGTCTTCTTCCATTCGTTCCGCATCGTCTCGTTGTTTGTGAGCAAACTGCTGGTCCATCGTACTTTGATCAGTGAAAGTGAAACCGGCGAAGTTGGCTTGCATGGTCGGCGACAAAGGTGTCGACGCAGGATTGACACCAGATGCGAGCGCCGCAGCCCGAGCGTTCAGAGAACCATTGCCATTCAGGGCATTGGTGAACTCTGGGTCAAAGTTTGAAACATCCAGTTCGCCCTTGAGCTTTGGCTTGAAGGGTGGTACGACGTTCTTCTTGTGCAGCGCCTCCCAGTCAACGTCGGCAAAGAAGGGATGGGCCTTGAGCTCTTCAGCATCTCTCGTGGCACCCAGCCTGTGCTTCGGGTTCCTGTTCAGAAGACCCTTGACAAAGTTTCGGCCTTCAGTGCTCAGAGCATCCCGAGGAAACCTGACCTTTCCAAAGGCAATATTCTTGTACATTTGCTGCGTGTCCTCCGCGTAGAAGGGACTCCATCCGCAGCACATCTCGAAGACAAGCACACCAAGGGACCAGAAATCGACCATTTTGGTGTAACCATGCTCATCAAGAAGGACCTCGGGTGCCAAGTACTCGGTAGTACCGCAGAAGGTGTTTGTGGTAGCATTCTCAGTAAGGTTAGCCTTGGAAAGACCAAAGTCGCATAGTGCGATGTGGCCGTTCGCATCGAGAAGAATGTTCTCAGGCTTCAAGTCTCGGTACACGATGTTGTGCTCATGGAGGTGTTGCAGTGCGAGGATGAGTTCGGCGATGTAGAACTTGGCTCGAGCTTCCTGGAAACGACCTTCCCTTTGTAGATGCCAGAAGAGCTCGCCGCCTGACATGTAGTCTGTCACGAGGTAGAGGTCTGATGGTGTCTGGAACGAGAATTTCAGCCCTACTATAAATGGCGACTCAGCCATAGCTGTCCGCACGAGGATGTTGCGTTCTCCAAGGGTGTGTGCCACCTCTTTCTTCTGCACGATAACCTTCTTTGAAAGCACCTTCATGGCGTATATGCGGCGAGTGTCCCGCTTCCGCACCTGAAAGACCTGGCCAAAGGTACCTTTGCCGATCAGCTTGAGAATCTCGAAATCCTCAGGTCCGTAGTGCTTCTTGTCAATCTTGTGGAAGTTGAGCTTCAGGTGGATCTCGCCAGTGACATGGGCGCCGTCTCTTTCCCGTGGCTCCAGATGGAACCAACCATCGTAGGGGTGCTCATACTCGACAAGATTCGGGCAAAAACGGACATGACCGAGGAAGGCTTCGCCGTTGGATCGATCGTAGACGGAGATGTCAATCTCGGCGTGGTCGCCAACAACGTCACTGCATGAAATTAGTTGTCGTCGTGAAAGGGCGGGTTGCCACACGTACAAAATAGCTTCATGCTCCCACTTCGGGTCCGAAATCTCCTCAAGGGAGCTCTCACGTGCGTCGGAACTGTGACCGCTGTTGCTGCTCTGGCGGCTCTTCATTGGTATGGCCATTGGCCTGCCCATCTCGCTCTCCGTCCGCTTCATCTGCATGGGGGCGGGGCGGCCCTTCTTGTCATCGTGCCGCGGCCCATCTGAAATGTACTCGGCCCACTGGAACTGGCACCACGACATAGGGATCCACGCTTGGCCGCAGACCGCGTCCCTCTGATATTGTGACCTCGAGCTTGCCCTTCGGCGGGCCTACGACGGGCGTTCCCTTGGTCTCTTTCGACTTATCTGAGGCATTGGAGGTCCGCGAGAGGCTCGACGGCTTGGGCTTGCTCTCGTGTGAGCGTGTGCGGGGGGTCTGTGGGGGAGTGGCCTGATTTTGCGGTGGCGCAAAGGCGCCCTCTGTTAGCTTCTCCGATTCTCCAGTCAACTGCGAGGTTGAGGGGGTGCGGGAAGAGGCACTGGGGGTGGGGCTGGGAAGCATGTTGGTGGGATGCGAGGGTGACTCTTTTTCTTCCTGGACCGACTCTGGGCGGTCCTGGGAAGAGGTGGCAGAAGTAGCGGGTGCGGGGGAGGGGTCGGCCAGCGAAGATTTCCTTTGGGGCATGAGAGAATCACGAACCTGGCCAAAGTAACTGTGCAGAATACCCGGCAGTCGCTTGTCAGTCGGGTCGGGGCGGGGCGTGGTGGCACCGGGCGGTGTTGAGCTGGTGGAGCCGATCTGATCGTGGCTTTCGTCTTCGTTGGCGCCTCTGTGCGGAGTTAGCAGCGTGCTGGCAGGCATCGTCGCGGTGCGGGCGGGCGGCGATGCAGGCGAGGTTGCGGGCGGGGTCGACGGTGAGGGCGGGAGTGAGACAGAGAAAAGGACAGCAGGCTGAGGCTGATGCGTGGGGTCATCAGGAATTGCCTCAGTAGTGTGTAACGTTGGCAGCCGTCGACTCTCGGCCAGCAGGTGCGTTACCACATGCGCGGAAAGCTAAGCGATGCCGGCCGCGCTCTGCCAGAGTGCGTTGCTCATATCATCATCATCATCATCCTCCTCACCATGACTGGGCCGGGCATTGACGCGCCCTCGCACCGCCCGGGGAACATCGACGTCTGGCACAAAGAATTAAATTGGAGCTTACCTCTGCATCATAGCCTGACGCAGCAAGTCGGCCGCGCCGGAGGAGGTGCCGCCGTTGGAATTGGGCATTTTGGGGGATTTCAGGTAGGTGGGCAGACCGCTGTGGCCGACGTTGAGGTTGGAGAGGGTGGGAACGGCCGACTGAGATTTGGTAGATAAATGGCGGGGTCGAATCGTCTTGGTGCTGCTGCTCTCCGATGGCGCGCGATTGAGTCCGGGCCGTTTTGAACGCCCATGGACGGCGGGTGTCGACGAAATGTTGGTGGTGTCCTGGAGGTCGGCGTGAGGGTCCAAAGCGCTGGAAGCAGTCTGAGGCCGCTGGGGAAAGTCGAAGGTCGGGAGCGCTTCTCGCGGGCGTGAAGTCATAATAATCAAACTTGGATGCGCGAACCTGGCTCGCGCTCGAACGACCCGGCGGCTCTAGCCTTGACTCGGCGCAGTCTGTATCGAAATGCGAAAACTCTTCTATCGGGCCCTGCCTGTGCGTGCGTCGTGCGAGAGGCAGCAGCCCGAGTTCTCCCAGGTTTATTATGCGCGCGGCGGTGAACCTTCGAAGAGGTACCCCAGGGCGGGCGGAACGTGGGCAGCGTGTGTCAAGATGATCACTAGATAACTTAGAACGTCGAGGCACAGATATCAGACGCCCTGCGTGATAGCAGCCTGGCCGTGCTGTGCGACCGGATAGGCAATCGCAGCGAGCTTCACGCGACCCCAAGCAGGCACTTGCAATTGCTTTCCTCCAGAGACGCAGATGCAGACATGCAGACATGCAGACATGCTTGTCACGACGAGCCGAATCCTCGACTGCTCGACTGCCGGCTTGTCCTAGTGGAGCCCGTGTCGCCAGCCGATGAGGCGATTGCACGCTGTTGCCCGGCTTTCACCGCCACTGTCGTCTGCTATCACGTCTGTGCTCGGCGAGCAGCTCAACCAGACTTGAATCCCATTCCCTGGGCCAAGACTTGTCACGCACGCTGACGTCTTTCGGCGTCTGTCCCCACCGCTGCTGGTCGTGCAGCGCAGTGTAAAGGATCGGCACATCATCTATTCGGCCGGCAGCACAGAGGTCCCTGGCTTGCAAACAACGACCGCCAATCAGCCGTGGCACTCGCCCGTATCAAGTGGGCAGTCATGTCCTCTCATCAGCCGAAGTGGAATGAAGCCAATTTGCTACTGCAAGCCCTGAGACTGTTGTTTGAGGAAACGCCGCAGGCCCACCAGCTCGTCAACCATCTTCAGGGACTGTTGCATGTGCTGCCGCCGCTGCCCGATATGGCGACATAGATAGCGCCCGCAACCCTGCCGCAACCTGATGGTTGGGACTCCGATAGACACGTGAATCTACACCGGTCTACTTTGGAGCAGCTGATGAGGCCAGGCGTGACTAGAGCATACACCGTACCGACCAAGAGTGTAGCGCATTCCCATGGTCAGGTGTCAGTCTTCATTCACGCCCATTTGTCGGGTACCGACCGCGGCTGGTGAATGAACGAAGCGTGCTACGATGAACGATGGACCATGGTAGTAGGGCCAGCGGGGCGTCGGCAAAACGTCGGCCCGCCAGGCGCGTTCTCTGGTTCTTTGATGATGCTCCAAGCCAGGAACCACGGTGCTGGACAAACCAATACACAGCCCGAACTCCTAAACCGCGCAATCGCTCGCCATGTCTGACCGCGAGTTTGGCGGCAACGACGACTTGTCGCTGCCAAAGGGTATGCAGCGACTCGTTACGAAGCTCGCACGCAGCTAATCGCGTCGCAGCAACCGTACAGAAGATTGTTCAGGACATACTGGCCACCGAGCCGGGCATGACCTTTGCGAAAGACTCGCGCGACCTCCTCATCGAGTGCTGTGTCGAGTTCATTACCCTCATCTCCTCCGAAGCCAACGAAATCGCCGAAAAGGACGCGAAGAAGACCATTGCATGCGAGCATGTCAAGGCAGCGCTGGAGGAACTCGACTTTGGCGATTACGTGCCAGCGGTCCTTGATGTCGCGCAAGATTACAAGAAGCAGCAACAGGTGCGTCCTTTCGCGCAAGGCAGCAAGCCCCCACTAACGCGCCGCAGAACCGCGAGAAGAAGCAAACCAAGATCGAGCAGAGTGGTATGACTGAAGAGGAGCTCATCAAGGCTCAAGAGGAGCTATTCAAGTCGGCGACAAACAAATTCAATGCGGGACCGCAATAATGAGTGTCATATTCACATCAATCCTTGACACAGATGATTCACACGGCGTTGTGGTGTTGGCCATAGTGGTCTCGGGACGGAGTTTGGGATAGACAGAGCCATGGTTGCAATGCACTGGACATGCACGGCGGAAATCCGAGCGTCATAGGATATGACAGGAGCATGAAACGGTGTGACCATACGAAAGATACGTCATTATGCTAGCAGTGAGCACTTCTCTGCATCTATTTGTTTTCGCTCGTGTTGCGTGAAGTTTACCATGAAGTTGCCGCCTAGGACCAAGTTATCTTTAGCGGCGTTTGGCAGCCAGTGACGTCTTGCGCCCAGAAGATGGCCCCGCGAACCCCGGAAATCAGCCGCATTGCACCCACTACCACTACCACTACTGCTGTCGACCACACCTCACAGCTCCACTACGCGCAATAACTTTCTAATCTCACCCTCAATATGTCGGGCCTCGAGAACGCCCTCTTCAACTTAAAGGTGCGTCTCCCGCCTAACGGTGCCCAAGCATCACTAACTCCTAGTAGTTCACGGCAAAGTCGCTGAACAGGCAGGCGCTCAAAGCTGGCAAGGAGGAGCAGGCGGAGAAGACGAAGCTCGAAAAGGTGCACATGCCTGCGGCCATTAAAAGCAGCCATTTGGGCTAACATGGATACAGGCTATGAAGCAAGGCCATGGAGACATCGCCCGGCATATACGCCCAGAACGCTGTCCGCAAAGCAAGAACGAGAAGCTCAAACCTCCTTAAACTATCCTCCCCGCGTTGATGCCGTCGCTGGCCGCGTGCAGACTGCTGTCACCATGCGACAGATTACTGGCAAACATGATGAAGGTCAACCCGAAGTCTGGACGTGGCTATGAAGGTCGATGAGTCCTGAACGGGTACGCATCCCGTCGAGCTTGGCAGAAGCTTTGGACCCTTATACATACATTTCTGACTCTTATACAGATTGCATCCGTCATGGTTGACTTTGAGAAACAGTTCGAGAACGTCGACTCTGCAACCGAGCTCTACCAAGACATCACATCCTCAGCAACCGCTGTCGGCACCCCGCAACGAAGATGTGGATCGCTTGATGGCACAGGCTGCAGACAAGGCCCGGTGTCGATCTACAGCAAGACCTTCAAGAGGCGACCCCTGCAAAGACAAAAGTCGGTCCGACCGAGCAGGAAGAGGAGGCTTTCACCGAGAGGCTGCGTGCGCTCAGAAACTAGGCTGTAGCGACGATTGCATCTATCTGAGCCACGTAGGCATTTTATGGAGTTTTGGCGCTCACTTAAGGGGGCGGTGGTGTTTCCTAGGTGATCATCCGAGTGGTATATTGTCCACACTTCCTCCGGTTTATCTTGCTGCGCTCTTAACAGAGATGGACAGCTCAAAGTTGGCTGAGAATGACTATTAACATCAATACTCAGGACCGAAACTTTATCAAATTCATCTTTTGACAGGGTCAAAGCCAACTACTGCTGCCGGGTGCTGTATTGAAACGCGATTGACCCAGTATAAAGCTATTTACCCGTGGCTATGCCCGAATATCTTTACCCCGGATTCAACAGTCAAACACGAAGTAGACTGCACTTTTGATGATACGGCTTCGAGCTTATCATTTACACTCCGAGGCTTTCAGAAATTTCTGAGAGGCTTGTACTTCAGACTGCTGAAGGCAAAATCTATCGTACACATTTACAGCGCTACCACGCGACAGATTCTCCCTACGAGAGACATGGTGTTCCCGAAGCCTCATTCCTTCGTATCTGCTCCACTGGCTGGACCTTTGGCACAGCGATTATGAAGAGCCTGGGCACTCGTGTGCTCTTCAACGCATGGCAAAGGATATGGTCGATAGCTTACCGAGGCGGAAAAGTGAAAATGACTTCATGATTCTGAGCGACGAGACCCTATTTGGGCAGACCGAGGTTAGCTGAATGTTGTGGTAAGGTCAGCTAAAGAGATGAAACGAGCGACAATATTCACAGTGTCGGGAGAAAACGGTTGATGTTGTGTCCTTCGTCTAGTTAGCCTGTTGATTCCTCGAATACAGAGTCTCTCCATCTTGCGCTGTTTGCTGTTCCTATGATGCATAAGTAGCGTGGTCGTCGCCCAGGCGTACATGACGCTCCTCACCTGACCTCGGCGTGCTAACCCGCAAGACGCCGCTCGGGCTGCCTCCGATCTGCTCTCTTCGCCATCTGATCTCTTTTACAATCTTCTGCACCAATGTTGCATCGCCAATGAAGAGCCACGTACACGGCCGGTATGAAGGAGGACGATGTCGAGCGACATACAGGTGCTACCAGCTTGTCAGAAATGCAAACTACGCAAAGTTAAATGCGATCGGCAGGCACCCAAGTGTACAAGCTGCACTAAAGGGAAAGTCGCGTGTATCATTGTTGATCCAGTGACCGGGGAACAATATGCGCGCGACTATATCAAGCGCTTGGAAGAGCAGGAAGCCGAATTGAAGGCAAAGTTGGGCGAAAGAGCCGGTGAACACGCGAGCGAACGTGGAGAAGCAAGCCAGGGGTCCACAACCACGTCGGAAGCAGCCGAAACATCGCCAGCAGCACCACATTCTGGACCACCCACAGGACCACCGACTGGAGGTACCACTGCTTCTCGCAGCGGCTTTGTTGGTGATGGCAGTGGCCTCGGCTTCCTTCACAGCATTCTGTCCGAGGCGAAATGGCAACGACATCGAACGCGTATATTGCACCAGCTCGCAACCCGTCCGAGCATACAAAAACTTCACCTGACCCCAAATACACTACCGGCGTTGCAGGAAGGAGAGCAGTTACTGGAGAACTACTTCACACGCTTCCATATTCACCACACGTTTCTGCTGCGCCAAGAGGTTCTCAGTATCTTCAGTCGTGTGTACGAGTCGTCAACCGCATGTTCAGACCAAGATCACTTTAGGCTTCTGATGGTGTTTGCCATCAGTGCAACTACACGATATCGCGCAGGCATCAGTAATGAGCATCCATATGGATATTTCATGGCTGCTGAGAACTATCTTGGTAAAATACCTCTCATAAAAGATATCGATGCGATACAAAACCTCCTACTGGTAGCCAGATTCGGCATGTATCACCACATAGGCACTTCTTTGTGGGAAATTTCCCAACTTTGTATGCGACAATGTATAGAGTGGCAGCTACAAATGAGGCCGAGCCAGGCCCTGGATCCTCTCACTGAACAGCATCGTCGGCGCATTTTTTGGGAGTGCTACGTGCTTGATCGCTACAGCTCTGGTATTCTGGGCAGACCTTTCGCTATCGCGGAGTCTGACATCGATGTGCCACTTCCGTTCGACGCAAACGACGAATACATCATCAGCGCTGGCATGTGCAGTCTCGACTCGATACCACCGAGTATGGCGAAACCTACTGAAGTGTCTGTGTTTATCTTCTGTATCCACCTGAGGCACATCAGCTCTCGCGTTCATTCCACATTCTATACTGGTAGAAGCTCAGCAGCACCTGGTGCCGCGAGTGGTACGATCTTGCCGGAGTTTAAATCTGTTGGTCACGTCTATTCCGCTTTTGCGCAATATCGGAAAGAGCTGAGAGACTGGCGGTCAACAGCACCGATCTTCCCATCACCACGTTCCCTATACGAGCGAGCCGAATGGCACGACTTTCTGCTTGAGAAGGACTTGCTCCTGCTAGCAAGAGGCGCGATGCACAATATACCTTCCAGACCGTATGCTGGCGCTGCTGTCAAAGAGATACTCATTGCTTGCTACGTATCGGCCAGTCGCATCATTGAACTCTACGCAGACCTGATGGACAAGCGAGCCATAACATGGACACGCAGCTATTTCCAAGTCATCTTCACAGCGGGTTTAACTGTGACTTTTTGTGTACGTCTCGCGGACACAGAGATCCACCAACGCGATCCTGTCAAGACGCTTGACGTATGCAGTGGCATATTATCGTTCTTCAAGGATAAAATGCCCGATGCGGGGTCTGCGGCTGTAGTGTTCGATGTTCTGAAGGACGAATGCCTCAAAGACAAGTCACACCCAATGAACCCTACGACTGCTGCTGCAGTCCCCATGAATGCTAGTACGGCACATACGAACCAGCTTCCCTCCGACGCCAGCTCTCATGAAGTTCACCAAGCTTACAACGCGGCATTTGAGGCATTGTCGCATGACAACAATGAACTGAATCTCAACATGGATCATTTCAATATGAACTATGCATTGGATTCCCAAGAGCTCAGCCTCGACCTCACTGATGACCTCATGATGCAACTAGAGGCAGGGCTTGGCGAGTATGCATGGGGATCAATACCGACGGACGGTAACTTTTGGGATCAAATGCCATTCAATTATTGAGTTGCTCTTATATACTCGGCCAATCTGTCGACCGCAGCCGTTGCTGTCTCCATCTGCGTCTGTGCAGTAGCAGCGCCAATATGCGGTGTGCTCACTACGCGTCCTGTGTCCCAGAGTCCACCGTATCGCTCTTGTGTAGGCGGCTCTTGTTCGTGGCAGTCCAGTCCAGCGCCAAATATCAACCCTTCATTCAAGGCGCGTTCCAAGTCAGCTTCGTTGACGATACCACCCCGCGCAGCGTTGATTATGATTGCATTACTCTTCATTTGTGACAACTGTTGGTACCCAATGAGGTTACGTGTCTGAGGAAGTAGTGGGATGTGGAGCGTGAACACGTCAGATACTTCCAGGACCTGATCCAGCGTCTTAGCGCGGGTGTGTGGTATGTCTGCCCATGCATCTGCGGGCAGTAGAGGGTCGTATGCAACAATGTCACATCCCAGTCCTCCTTGGAATATCCTGGCGACCCTTTGGCCAATGTTTCCCATACCGACAATGCCAACAGTCTTGCCGCTTATGATCAGACCTGAGCACTTCTCTTTCGGTACCAGCTTGCCGTGGCTCTGCTGCGCCGTGATGTGCCCTACTTGCCGTGCTACGGACATTGTGAGTGTTAAGACGGTTTCGGCGACGGCTTGCGCATTGACGCCCGGAGTGGTGAAGATCTTGATATCCCGTTCACTGCATGCTGTGGCGTCGATCTTGTCAATGCCTACATCATTGTTAGAGACATAGGTCTTATAAGGAGATTATAGCCGTGGATTACATACCAACGCCTTGTTTCCCAAGCGCCTTGAGCCTTGGACTTGACTGCACATCATCCGCTGTCAGGTATGAGCCTCGAATCAGTAGGTATTCAGCCTTCTCCCGCCATTGAGCGTGACGGCTGTCACCGGGAAGGACCGCATCGAATAGTGACTGTGCATGCTTCTCTGCATCAGGATGGAATCTGTCCAAGAGGTATACAGTAGGCTTGGTTGTCTTTCCCAAAGGTGCCGACTCGACAGATGAATCGATACGGCCTGGCGCCATAGTTTATCAATACAACAATGTAGGATCAGTATGAGAGTAAACCGAATATGTGAAGACTAAAGATGAGCGCGACACAGCTGTATGTTCGAACGTCAGCGGGTTCTCTTGCAGATATAAACTGAGCATGTCGGCATGTGACCGATGCATAGCGCTTGTGCTGAGGGCCCGACTGCATTACCGCATGTCGCACCCTGAATTTAATCCCGACCACTAGGCTTGTGGAGTGTCCGTGGCACCTTGTGAATCCGCGGCGATGTGCATCGGAGGCGTCCGAAAGCTGCCAAGCAGCACTCGGCCACTTCGGACATGAACTAAATACCCCACACATTCGCTTATCGCATAGCGTCTCAGCATATCCGAAAGGCTATTCTACCCGGGTAGAGCTCCTCAAGGTATGTACGATAGTTTAGAGCTTGAAGGATTCGAGCACGCGGAGGACTGCAGCGGTAATTCCGGTTTCTCGCTATGCTGAAATCGTCTTGGATGGTCTCAGGACTATCCAGGTGCGCTTTCAGGGTAGCACTACAGTTCTTAAATGCTGTGCATGATGGAGAGCGGCCAGGGTGTTTGCCTAACCAGTAGCCTGAAGATATGCACAGTATTGCTGGGTTTCGACTTTTTTTATTTTTTTAGAAAGGCCCTGTCCATAGCTTCAGGCTATGAAAAAGCTTCGTATATGTCCCGCCGTATTTAGCATTCTGTTGCAGTACAAATTGGGCCTTCGTTCAATACAACATTCAAAAGCGCGGTGAGGTGGGTCTCTATTCAAGACCTCGGCTCTGTCATCATCAGATTTTGAAGAGGCATAGATATGTTGACCTCTGAATATCCAATGAGAGCGCGAAGGCGATCCGAGGATGCTGGTGAAAAGAGTTGACTGGTCGTAGATATCGCAAGATACTCTGAAAGGATATCTCTCAAGCACTGAACCGATGGATATCGTACTGAGAGCATTGTAAGAATGTTTATAGCTTGTGCTACACTTTTCTGGCGCGTAAGGACGCTATTGTCAACATGTAAGGGCAGCTGCAGTATCAAAATGCCAGCTGCAAAGACATCGAGGGCGTCAAACGTTGATGGTGCGCCGCGCTGGTCGAGAAGGTGACGTTCGAAGAGATTGAGGTAGTCGATGATATCTGGCTCGGCTCCACACAGCATCGTGCCCCAATTTTCATTTGCCCTGGCAGATGGCATCTTGATGAGTTCAATAAGGCCACGCATAATTAGCTGGCTCTGTTGGAGAGTCCGTAAGTTTTCCTGCAAAGGAGTCGAAGGTGGACAAATCGTCTCATACCAATGGCGGAGATTGATGTAGTGAATCCAAGCGTCTGTCTCAGGCTGCTGTCGTATGGTTCGAAGTAGCTGAGCATGCTCAACTGCACAACGGAGCTTCCCTTGAATATTTGAATCCGTCCTTGTCGGTACGCTCACTGTAATGTCATCGTCGCTGAGACAAACTGGCCTATCGAGACTGGTGCTAAGATACGTGTCCACCAAATATAAAGTCCAGAAAACCCTGTAGCACTTTTGTTTCTCTTCGTCATCCGCATTAGGATCGGAAACTCGGCTGGTATGCATACCAGCTGCAATACAGCGCGTCATAGTCAGGCCAAGCAGATGCCATGTTGATCCTCCGAAAGCCGTGTAGAACGAGTAGATTGTTAGCGCGGTCAAGCACTTTACAATCGTGGAATCGTTCTCATGGTCAAATACTTGCGGTATAAGATCCACCGCCTTTAGGGCATATTCTGTTGCAAATATTTCTTTGTAGACATAAGCTCGAGATTGCAGAAGCCCTATAGCGAGCGCAATGTAGGCCATGAAAGTCGTTCCGGGTGATTCATTCGCCCCACTAGCCAAGGTATCGCCTTCGTGCTCCTGGATGACGACGCCGAGGATCTCCTTTAGATCAAGACTTGTTAGAAACGGAAAAGAATATTGTGCGGTTTCGATGGTCTCAGTAAGGAAGGTGGTATCATGAACTGTCGATTGAACACCATGCACCTTGCGAAAGTCGGCAAGCGGACCAGAGCGCAGTGTGTTAGTCTCCGAAGAAGTGGATGGGTTAGCTCCTGAGACACCGATTGCAGCGTACAGCAGAGTCAAAATCGAGAGACCTTTTATCGGCAACGGCTGGCGATCTGTACGTTCCGCCATAGCAGCAAGTGAGAGATAGGATGCTTCTTGCATGGTATCATGTAGGTCATTCTGCGAATCACCCAAGATCTCAAGGGTTGCGGAAGCCGAATGAGGTTGGGGAGCACCATCATGGCCTGCTGTACGCGTGTGTAGCTGGCTCGATGGCGTGGCGTATTGAACATCTTCGCCTTGGACTTGTGCTTGCAGCCCTTGAATCCTATGCTTCAGCGCTTCAATGTAGCTTAGGCTGCACGAGCCGGGCGATTCGGCTGTATAACCGAGTCGTCTTTGCGTGCACGTCGCTGAAGCTGCACTGCATTGTGAGCAAGGGAACTCGCGCGAGCACTAGAAAAAGCCGTGAGCCCAAATGGTGTTGTTGCATGAAACAGGGTTATAGACCTTTTGCTTCCTTCTCCAACATCGCTCGCAAGCTTGTACCATAAGCCCTGCCATGTGCGTATAATGATCCAGCCATATTACAATGGCCACTAATGAAAGTGCAAGCACGCGAGGAACGGTGGACGTTGCCGAGGTTTGCGGCCGTGCGCAGCCTACGCTTTGTAATGAATCGAGGCTGGGGTAAAATGGCAGTCACGAGGTCCTTGAAAATGTTTGAGCGAGCCGACAGTGCTCGTGTAGCATTAAAATGGCTTAATGGGGCCGAGAGGCAGTTATTGCTGAATCGATGGCGGGAAGAACGTGGAATGTGCTTAGTCATGAATTAGTAGCTTCGCACGAAAACCTTGACGCGGCGGTTCATCGTACAAAACAACACAACTCGTCTTCATGATCGACTTCATGATACCAGAATGGCAAACCAGCTTTTCATGGACAAACACTCCATCCGCTTTCTAGCGTCTACTTCCGCGCTAGTCGACTTGAATCAACAAAGACTGAGCAACAATGACCTGCTAGTAGTGCTTATCATTCTTTACAGGTCACAAGTACAACTTCAAAAGTGGTGATTTGGGTAGCGTTTCCAGCAAGCTCGCTAACACGCGACTGAGTCAAAAAATGGCACTCTCGGGACGTCGGACTCCTCGACACGAGTCGCACTGCAGTATTCCAAGGTTCCCGGGTGACCACCGATGGAATTTCCCCGCATCGGACAGAGGCGCCGGGCTCGCCACTGCACGCTCCCCGGCCGAGTACTGCACACCAAGATATTCGAATCATGGGGTGATTTCCTGGGGTCTGGGGAATGAGGACGGGGGAAGATGAATTTCGCGGTGTATGCCAAGTATGCTGAAGTAGATAGTCGACCGCCTCGTACGCTTGGCTGCGGAGACAGGTGGTATTGCTGACCTTGGGGCATACACCGCCGAGCTGAAATGAACAACCTATAAAACGAACACCAGATCCAGATCTAAGAGTGCAGGTCGAGCACGATCGACTACGCTACAAATTTCGTTACAGTTTGCTCTGCCTCTGCTTCGAACACCATGGCGCACGACTCCACCCCAAAGCAGAGCGTGGAGATCATCAAAATCGAGAATGCTGACCCGGTCACTGATGCAAGCTATCTTCAGAGGTATCCCTTGCTTGCGGATAAGACTGAGGAAGAGATCAAGGCCTTGAACAAGGCTGTTCTGAAGAAGCTGGATTGGAAGTTTCTACCATGCATCACAGCGATGCTGCTCATGAAGTATGCTCGAGTCTTACGTTGCGGAATCACACGATGCTGACCTCACCTAGCTATCTTGATCGAATCAATGTTTCCAACGCTCGCCTTGCTGGTATGCAGGAAGACCTCCACATGACAGATGTCGAGTGGAGTGCCGGTATTTCACTCTTTTATGTCGGATATATCATCAGCCAGGTGCCCGGAAACGTGATAATCAGCAAGAGCTCGCCTCGCGTAATCATGCCTTGTATTATGCTTGCCTGGTCTGCTGTAACTATCGCTATGCCTGCCGCCAAGTCGCCATGGGCATTCATGCTCTGCCGTTTCCTCGTTGGAGTCACCGAAGGCCCATTTCTCCCCGTCGTTGCACTGATGACATCGTCCTGGTACACTAAAGAAGAGTCTCCTCTTCGCATGGGTATTTGGCATGCTGGAAACATTATTAGTAACGTCTTTTCGGGCCTTCTCTCCGCAGCAATTCTTACCAACATGGATAACATCGCCGGACTGCATGCTTGGCAATGGTTCTTGCTTCTTGAGGGCATCGTTTCGATACTCGTTGCGATCACTGGATTCTGGTAAGACTCTTCATGCTGGAGAACTCTGAGAGACATATGCTGACTCTTTATCTTCAGGCTACTTCCGAACTTCCCCGATAACACTGGCACATACTTCTTCACTGAGGAAGAACAACAAATGTCGCAATACCGTGCACTTGTCTCTGCTGGAGGCAAGAGTGAAGATGACGAAGGAGATATGTGGGGAGGCGTCATGCTAGCGATTCGAGACCCCTTCACATGGTTCTTCGCTGGAATGCACTTTGCGCTCATCATTGCGCAGAGTTTCAAAGACTTCTTCCCCTCTATCGTTGGTACACTGGGCTTCGGCAAGGTCGAAACTTATCTTGTACAAGCTCCACCATACGTCATCGCCTACGTCGTCACGCTCCTTGTGTCTTGGTCCTCAGGCAGGAGATTGGAGCATTGCTGGCATATCATCGGCTCAATCTCCATGACTCTGATCGGCGCTGTCATTATGATCTCGACCCTGAACGTAGGTGCTCGTTACTTCTCGCTTATCCTGCTTTGTTCAGGACCTTTCGTTGGCCTCAACATCCAGCTCTCGTGGGAGACTACTGTTGTGCCACGGCCACGTACAAAGCGTGCAGCACTGATCGCGATCGCAAACTGTGTATCGAGTATCTCGCATTGGTTCTCGCCATACTTCTTCCTCCGCAGTCAAGAGCCACGTTACCAGATGGGTGGTGGCATCATCATCGTAGGCTGCGGGCTCACGATACTATTCTGCCTACTAGCCAAGATGTGGTCTATTCGAAAGAATAAGGCTATCGAGCTCGAGGAAGAGAGGACTGGAGAGGTTACTACATGGCGCTACGCCACCTGAATGTCTGCACTAGAGGCTTCGCTGCGAATACGTTGCCCGTGGTTTTGCATCACTGAAAGGCAATTCGAGCATAGCGCAACACTTGCTGATACTTTCACGAGCCATGTGAGTTCTGTAGTTGTATATACACCGAAACGACATATTTATTATTCGTGCAATTCGTGCAAAGTCTTATTCACAGTAGCGTGCCTAGTGTGATCACCATCCAAGAGCAGTCCGGTGAAGCTGTATAACTTCAGCCTTTTTAGCACTCTATAACGTGCTGATGACCTATCGTGATGACTTATCGAGTGTGTTCAGGCTCGGATATAGATAGTAATGCTCCTATGATAGCACTACGAACCCTGGACACAGCGCGCACGAAGTATGCCAGCACATAGGAGGGCTTTGAGGGGTCATCTTCATTCTGACCGCACAAGATCATAGAATGAGTTGATTACGAAGGTGATTAGTCGATGAGTCGACACTCCCTATGTCTCTTCTTAATCCGTAGCTAGCTATCTTCTGATATCTAGTGATGGGACATATATTTCGCAAACGGTGATATGCATGCTGGATGTAGAGTGCAGTTGATGATCTGCGCCTGTAGTTTTGTGGCTGCAGAATAGTGATCGATCTACAACGCTGTTGGCAAAATCCAATGCGCTGCGCACTTCTACGAAGAGTTTCCACATTGTTGAGATGCTGAGTCTGGCGAGGAGAAATGTGGGGAAGACACTCCGTCACCATGAGCTAGCTTTCGTCGGCGAATTCGCGAGCATGGCTGATGTCAACATGCATTCCCGCAGCAGCCCACCGAGTGGGGTCAACCGAACCTCTGCTGAGCTTTGTGATACCTGAACCTGGTGTTGGCATATCCGTGGTTTGGCATGTGATGAGGCAAAGCCAAATTGTCCCTGGCATCTCGAAACATCGAGATAAGATCTTGTACATTGGAAACAAGACAATCCTACCTTGAGTAACCCCTATCCCGAGTGCTTCTAATTTCCCTTCCAAGATTATTCGAGCGGCTAGACAGCCGCATCTTGCCGGATCCAGTTGGGCAAATGCGGCACTAAGATCTCAGTCTAAGTATTTAGCAAGATCGTGGGCTTGCGACTCTAGTCGTGTAGCGCCTACTCGCGCTGCTGATCGCAAAGTTATAGCTGTTGATGATTCCGTTTGCGGAACAATGTGCAGTGACCCCTAAAAGACTGGCCTCCGGTGCAACCCTGGCTTTGTAAGTCCCGCCTAGGGTCTTCGGAGATCTACCCGCACTCCACAAGACTCTGGCAGACCTTCAGAGACCCTGAAAATCTTTGATGCACCTCACTCTCACAGTACGGTCTCGATGCTGGAATTCATACTGTGGCTGGTCCAGCAGTGACCTCGATAGACCTAGGTAGACGTAGCATCTACGCATATGTGCAATGATCTTTGAATTCGACAGTGAACCCTTTCGCGTGATGGCATCCGATATCAAGCAAGTTAGGCATCGTTGAGATTGGCAACATGTAGCCTACAGAGACTAAACTTTCGGGACATGTGTCAGTTGGTTGGCCTTGAGTTGCGTTCTCTAACTCGTGCGCGTGCGGCTCGGGCGTCCTACTGACCGAGTCCCTAGAAACGGAGAATATCGCATCAGTGGCGTTGAGGAACTGTCCCAACAGTGGAGAGAATTGGCCTAATCAACCGCATCGGTTTGTTTGTTCTGGTAAAGAATCCTTTCAAGAAATGACGCACTATGGGCGCTGGAGGCTCGGATGGCCACCATCCGCAAAACGCTTGGCTGTGTACTCGCTCCACTACAGCCTTTGATGTGACCACGAACAGTAGTATGTGGTGGAGAAAGTGGCTTCTCGCTGTGACGATCAGTATCTACAGAGTCAAGATGATCGTCAGTAGATCTCAACCTGAAGAGGACTTGATGGGATGAGGATGCTCTTGGTATATCCAGATTGATGTATATAAGGACGAAGAATTGTGCTTCTTTTCATCTCATCAGACACTCAACCATCACATCACACCATCAAACTTCATCAACACTTCATCTTCAATCTCGCACATCAAAAACATACAAGATGCACTTCTCAACTCTTTTCATCTCCACCATGATAGCTGCTGCTGCTGCTGCTCCCATCGCATCATCAGAGAAGCGCCAGCTTCTCAATGACCTTTCACCCGACGTTGTTGATCTCCTCAACCGCCTCGGTCTTGTTGGTCTCTCTCCACCAGTTGGAGGCATCGTCAACACTCTCGGCTCAGGCTTGAAGAGGCGCCAGCTTGTGGCCGACCTATCCCCAGATGTTGTCGACCTTCTGAACCGTCTCGGTCTCGTTGGTCTATCTCCACCAGTTGGCGGTATCCTTGACACCATCAGTGCCGATGTTAAGAAGCGCCAGCTCGTGGCTGATCTCTCTCCTGATGTCGTCGACCTTCTGAACCGTCTCGGACTTGGTGGTCTTTCCCCACCTGTCGGTGGAATCCTTGACACCATCAGTGCCGATGTTAAGAAGCGCCAGCTCGTGGCTGATCTCTCTCCCGATGTCGTTGACCTCCTCAACCGCCTTGGCCTCGGTGGCCTCTCACCTCCGGTCGGTGGGATCCTCGACACCGTCAGTGCCGACGTCAAGAAGCGCCAGGAGCTTGTTGCAGACCTGTCGCCCGATGTTGTTGACCTCCTCAACCGCCTCGGCCTTGGCGGCCTCTCTCCTCCCGTCGGCGGCATCCTTGATACCGTCAGCGCTGACGTTTAAGGAGCGAGATTGCAAGACGTTTTACAAGCGAAATTGCAAAAATTCGCGAGTCCGCGAGACCGCTAGTCCATAGGCTAAGAGCCATTCGTATCTGCGAACAGCGCTCTACACATGGACTGGGTTATGATTGATTAAGCCTGATAGTTTCTGATTTAGTTTGAATGCGAATCTTTACCTTGAACATTCTTTGTTGCACATGATTCGTGAGGCATGGTTCTTTCTTGATGAAGAACAATCACTCGCGGGATACACTTACTTGCGCGACCAACTAGAATCTCTTTCCCAGTAGCCAATCAGAAAGGCCTAGATGGAACATGATCTCTATGCGTCTGCAACATCCTTTGCGCTCTAGTCGATTTTCAATAGCTTCATTTATATTCTGTAGGTTGATGAACATGCTGCAGATATGTCCCAGTAGTCCTTCGGGAGATTATTGCGGTAGGAAACCTTTGGCAAACTGGGCGAAAGTTAATTGCTTTTCTTGCACGATGCAAATAGCGACGCAATTCATAAAAAAACGGCGAAGCACATAATGAACATGAATGCTCGTAAAGAACCATCAGATTAATCAGAGCTTTTGTACAGTGATGGTAGTTCAATACCTACCATAGAATCTTGAAACGTCTATGGGTACCACATCAAGCCCCAATCAGGCCATTGTGGTTTCACAGTTTCCGCCGGACGAGCCCGCGGAAGAAGTCAAAACTGTTGCTGTCGCTCTGCAACGTAATGAGCTTGCCCGTAGGTCGATCTTCCCAGCCCAGCTCTTCGGCCAACAGCAGACCCCAATCTCTCGTAATCCCCTTGATCCTCGCCTTAACATCACCCTCTGTCTCGAGCGTAACAATCTGATCTGTATGTAGCCAATTGTCGTAATAGTCGCCTTCCATATCTCTGGTGAAGCCAGCCTGGCAGAAGGTCGAGTACAACGTTTCGAATTGGGCAAGGATAGATGCGAGGAGCTTTTCGTGAGTGAAGGCTTTCAGAGGAGGCGATTGGGTACTCGCTAAGAGGTTGAGAGATGTCGTAGGTAGTGCGTTCGAGAGGTTGAGACCGATACCACAGACGAGATCATAGCTGCTGCCACTGTAGCTACTGTTTACCAGAATGCCACCGATCTTTACAACTGGGTTGTTGGACGAGCCGGGGAGCTGCGCGTATATGTCGTTTGGCCACTTTAACTTCACTGGTATCTTGTCATAACCTGGCCCATAGTTCTTGATGCCGGCAACGATAGCCAAAGCAGCAAGATACTGTATGAATATAACGGGTGCAGACTGTGACACTGCGAGTGAGTGGTGCATGACGGTGGAAAACATTAGACCACCAGGTGGAGATATCCATACATTGCCGCCCCTACCGCGACCAGCAATCTGGGTTGCTGCTGTCATCGTGAAGCCGGTCGGTAAGTTTCGGAGCAACGCGGGATTCTTCTCGAGCAGACTGTTGGTAGATGTTACGACCTCGCCATATAGAAGGTGCTTGCCAAAAGCAGCATCTGGGTTTCGTAATTTGTTGTGGTAGAAGTTTAGATTCGCATAAAAGGCCTCATGGTGGAAGGGAATTTCTTTGGTTGACGGTAGTCCTTGGTCGTGTGGAAGGATGGATTTGACGATCTTTTCGTAGTCAATTATCTGATCGGACGAAGACGCCGCAGTGTACGCAACGCATTCTTGAATCTCTTCCTCTTTCGTCTTCGGTTTCTCCCTATCATCACTTGGAGTCTCTGTTGATGAAGTACTCCCAGTGACAGTTCCCAATTTCGGTAGTTTCTCTGTCACTGCGCTTACAGCGCGCTTGAGCTCGTGCACGCTCCAAGTGCTACCAGGCTTTTCGATTCTAAAAATGTCGTTCTTGCCATTAATGTACTGATCACCATCGACTACAGTAAGGACTTCAGCCCAGCTTTCGATGAGGTTGGAGACATCTGTCCCAGTGTGAGATGTGAGGTGCAGGCGAGACAGGGATGGTACCGCTTGTTCCTCCTCATTGACTTGTAGTCCAAGCTTCTGCAAGACCAGTCCCAGAAAGACTATCCGGGTTCTATCAGTTACGGTAATGTCTTTGATTACTGACGCATAAGAAGGTAGGCTTGGGATCTGGGCAAGGTTTTGTGGCGCAAACCTGGTTGTTGTTAGTGAGTGGTCTGGACGATAGTGGGATAAAACTTGCTCAGGATGCGGACCTGTCAGCACAACATGCCCTTCGCCTATCTTGCGATATACCATCGCTGCTTTTGTCGCACCTGAATCAACATGTAGATCTTCGGTGTAGCTTGCAAGAATCTCTACTCCTCTGTCTTCAAGCTTGTCTGCATCGACAAATACGCCACCGCCGTTATAGTAGCTCTTGAAATGATCTGCTACACTGTCGTCTGCGTTTTGGAACGCGCGTTTATTGATCTTGATGTTCGTAGCCCTTGCGCCAGCTTCGCTAGCATATTGAAACCCTGCAAAGGCCAGTCCTCTACAGATGCCGGGGAAGAAGCCTAGTTCGCGATCGCCCACCACTCCCATCTTGGGGTCATCGACCTCAAACTCACACTTCGAGCTGCCATAGTAGCCGCCAGCACAGAATCCAAGATACGAGCCGCCGCTGTTGATATAGCGGCTGATGCGCCGGTTGCCCTCACCATTGAGCGTGCGGCAGTAGCCCAAGTCAGCGCCACCCGGGAATACAAGCAGCGCACATGTACTGAACCATGGCTCTTTGATGATTATATCGCCAGTGACAGGTATAACGGCATATGTTGGTGATAGTAGTCTTCGCAGCGTGTAAAGGCAATGACGAACTGACTCTGTGGTGCTGCCATGACCTGGTTGCCTGTGAGTATCGCATCTTCGAGTGTAGGAGTTTACCAATACCTGAGTAGACCAAGACATTCATCTTCTTGGACGCCATTCTTCAAAAAAGTGGTGACGTTCACTTCGGAGCCGAACTGTCCCGGTCCTTCTCCGCACAGAACACCGAGCACTTCGCTCACAGCTCAACACTCCAGCCTAACCTCAATCCGAGCTCTTTTCGAAATGTCTAAAGACGATAAAGCAAGCGCTGCAGCTGCACAGCTCTTGATTGATGACGAACCTGATGACTGGTGTGTCCAATCGCGGGGTCGGACGGAGCGATCAAGCTGACCAGACGTGTAGGGACAAGAGAATCTTCAGCACCGGCTGCGCAGGTCCGTGGTATCCCAAAGTGCTGACAGGTCGCTCAATTGACTTTTTTGTTAGATGAAAACACCAAATTGACCGATTGCTACTACGAGAAGAAGGACTGGCGCGCGTGCAAGCAGGAGGTGAGTAGTCGCGTTCTCGATGGTGTTGCGCTCTAGCCTCGGAAGCCGAGATGTGGCCGAGCCATTGCGAGCAAATTGAGCATTTAATACTAACACATTCTTCAGATGGAGACGTTCCGACAGTGCTGGCAGAGACATGGCAATGATAAGCGGACAGACTCGAAGAATGTTTAAGACTGCATGGAGGTTATTGTACGACAGGTGTATCGATATGTAAACAGGATATTGTGAACAGGATATCATAAAAAATCGTTGTGCAATATACACACTGTGGTTTACAGTTTTGCAAACACGGTCGGCACAGCGCCACCCATCTCTACCAGCGTGCTCTTGTTCTTCACCCATGCCTCCAAACCCTTCTTTCCATTCTCTACACCAACACCGCTCATCTTCCAGCCACCTACGCTCATCTCTGCAGGACTCTCGCCCCATGTATTCACCCACGTGATACCAGCTTCCAGCTGTGCGATAACCTTGTGCGCCAAGTTCAGGTTACTGGTGAAAACACCAGCGGCAAGTCCCATCTTGGTAGCGTTCGCGCGCCGTAGAACTTCGTCAATAGTCTTGTATGTCAGTATCGACATGACGGGGCCGAAGATCTCCTCCTGGACAATTTTCATGTCGTCGGTGCAGTTTGTGAAGACAGTGGGCTGAACCCAGTAGCCGTTGTTGTACGATTTATCGTAGTGTGAAGCGAGCCACGAAGGCTTGTCGGTTCCGCCGCATAGGAGTTTCGCCTTGTCCTTCTCGGCGCCGTGCCTGATGTAGGAAATGACCTTGTCGTAGTGCGGTTTCGAGACCAAGGGCCCAAAGTTGGTATTTGAGTCGAGGACGTCGCCGGCGCGAATGTATTGTATCTTCTCTAACAAGCGCTTCTCGAAGTCTTGCTTCATGCTCTCGGGTATGAAGACGCGCGTTCCATTGGTGCAGACTTGGCCAGTCGAGAAGAAGTTGGCCATCATTGCGCCGTCGACTGCCTGTTCGAGATCGGCATCAGGAAGAATGACGCATGCCGACTTGCCACCAAGCTCCATGGTCACATACTTCATCTCTCCAGCTGCACTTCCCGCCACCTTCTGGCCTGTTGAGACTTGTCCCGTGAAGCTCACCTTTGCAATGCCCGGGTGTTTGGTGAGATAGGCGCCAACCTCGCCTCCTCCTTGGACCACGTTGAAGACGCCCGCCGGCACGCCAGCTTCGGCATAAATTTTGGCCAGCTCGGTGGAATGTAGTGGCGTGAACTCGGACGGTTTGTAGACCATACAGTTGCCCGCCGCCAAGCAAGGTGCCGACTTCCAGAGCGCGATCTGGATAGGGTAGTTCCACGCGCCGATACCTGCACATACGCCCAGCGAGTTCTTCGTTGTGTAGACCCAAGCATCTGGCCGCAGTTGGGCCGTCTCGCCATTCATGCCACCACCGCCTACAAGATTCGCAAAGTATTCAAGCACATCGGCGCCCGTGACTACGTCGACCGTGGATGTCTCGGAGAAGGGTTTGCCCGTATCGCGTGTCTCGATTCGTGCGAGGTCATCATTGCGTGCGCGTAGGAGAGCGGCGGCTCGTTGGAGGATACGTGCGCGTTCAATCGCAGGCGTTGCTGACCATGCCGGGAAAGCTTTCTGTGCCGAGGCTATCGCAGCGTCGATGGCAGGCTGTGTGGTGGAGTGTATGTTTGCAATGGGCTCTGCTGTTGCGGGATCAATGGTCTGGAAGGACGATGTCGAGCTGCCTGGCTGGACTTTGCCGTCGTAGTAGGCGAATCGTGGCGCGTATGGGAGTGACATGGCGGCTGTGTATGTGCTTGAATGTGGTGCCCTGGGCAAGATTCGCTAAAGGGCTCTTACGGGCGGCAGTGCATATCAATATAGAGTTCTGGAGGTGAGCAAAAACTTCTCCACGATTAGCATGATCAAGTGCTGAGCGTGGTTAGTGCCTTGTCGCTACTTACATCACAGCTGTTCGCTGAAGTAGCTCGGACGCAGACGCAGTACATGCGCTTGAGCTTCCTTTGGTAGACAGGAAATCCCAAAATGTACTAGCGGGAAGAATTGCCCTCGTAACTGATCCGTAGCGGCCGCAGATATGTACTGTGTATGTCACACCTGGTAGCAGCATGCATACGCGCTTTGCGCTTTGCGCTTTGCGGCGGGAACAAGCTGTTCCTCAGCCAAGTGGCAGAAAAGACGGTGACGACGTCCGAACGTTCACCGCCCGCCCCATCCAGTAAGCGAGGCGAGCTTGCCGGGATGGCCATGTGTCGGAACGTGCTGCTAGGTACTGTAGCGGGATCGTCATCGGCGCGATTGCTATCACACCATCGACGCGGAGAAAGACCGTTTGTATGGAACACATGCTCATCATGCATCCAAAGCCGGAATCTCACTTGCTACAACCACGGCCCTACAGAACATCTTGTCGTTCGTCTCCGATTCTGCCAGAATCCATCCCCAAACGATTGCTGACAGCGCCAACCGCCAACTGCCAATCAGCCCGGACAACATCATCGTGCACGTGCACCCATCCGATAAAACCGAAAAGGCGCCGTCTAGCACGTCTTATCTGGGAAGGAATTTTGCATGTCCTGCAGCAGGCCCATTCACTTCAGTACGCACTTCACACCGGCACCATCACCCGTTGCCTGATCTGTGCTACACTTGCACAGTCCTTGCATCGCCTTTGTTGACCAGAGCGTCAAATTTTCGCCAAGTGCTCTTCCGTGCTCAGTAGTACATAAGGCAAGTCATCTGCCTCAGCTATCAATCTGTAATAGTCGCCAGCACTTCAAAGACAACTCCCGCAAGCAACAACTCCCAAGCAACAATGGCAGCAAATACCACAACCACTATTCCTCAGGATGCCACCTATGACTTTGTCATTGTTGGCGGAGGCACAGCTGGCTGTGTCATCGCATCTAGGCTCACCGAGTACCTGCCCAACAAATCAGTCCTCTTGATCGAGGCTGGCCCAAGCGACTTCATGGACGACCGCGTGTTACTGCTGAAGGACTGGCTGAATTTACTAGGTGGTGAGCTCGATTATGATTATGGCACAACCGAACAGCCCATGGGCAACTCACATATTCGCCACTCCCGAGCTAAGGTTCTGGGTGGCTGCTCATCACATAACACCCTCATCTCATTCAGGCCATTCGAGTACGACACTAAGAGATGGGAAGCACAAGGCTGCAAGGGCTGGAACTTCAAGACATTCATGCGTGTACTTGACAACCTTCGCAACACAGTCCAGCCTGTGCACGAGAAGCACCGAAACCAGCTCTGCTTGGACTGGATTGACTCGTGCTCGACTGCCATGGATATCCCTGTAGTTCATGACTTCAACCACGAGATCAAGACTAAGGGAGCGTTGAAGCCCTCTGTTGGCTTCTTCTCGGTATCCTACAACCCTGACGATGGCCGCCGAAGCAGCGCCAGTGTAGCGTACATCCACCCCATCCTTCGTGGCGAGGAGAAGCGCGAGAACTTGACCGTTCTCACCAACGCTTGGGTTCAGCAAGGTCAACGTCAACCGGCAGCAAAGTCACCGGTATCAACGTCACATTCCAAAATGGCGAGAAGCGGACGCTTAGCCCCAGGTGTGAAACTATTCTCTGCGCCGGCGCAGTCGACACGCCACGATTGATGCTTTTGTCTGGTCTTGGACCCAAAGAGCAGCTGTCGAATCTTGGCATTTCAGTTGTTAAGGATATCCCAGGTGTTGGTGAGAACTTGCTCGACCACCCCGAAAGCATCATCATCTGGGAGCTGAACAAGCCCGTCCCTCAAAACCAGACCACCATGGATTCGGATGCTGGTATTTTTCCTGCGCCGCGAAGTTCCCAACGCTGCTGGTGATGACGGCGACATTGCCGACATCATGATGCACTGCTACCAGATCCCCTTCTGCCTCAATACCGCTCGGTAAGTGCTTCATCATCTGATAATCTCATTGCCAAAAAACGGAAACTAACATTGCGACAGTCTCGGCTACGAAACTCCCATTGACGCCTTCTGCATGACCCCCAACATCCCGCGCCCCCGCTCCCGCGGAAAGATCTACCTCACCTCTTCCGACCCCAACGTCAAGCCCGCCCTCGACTTCCGCTACTTCACTGACCCCGAGGGCTACGACGCCGCCACCATTGTCGCAGGTCTCAAAGCTGCGCGCCAAATCGCTCAGCAAGCGCCCTTCAAAGACTGGATCAAGCGCGAAGTTGCGCCCGGCCCCAAGGTCCAGACTGACGAAGAACTTTCAGAGTATGGACGTAGGGTTGCACACACCGTCTACCACCCCGCAGGTACTACTAAGATGGGTGATGTGAGCAGGGATGAGTTTGCGGTCGTCGATCCTGAGTTGAAGATTCGCGGGCTTAAGGGCGTGAGGATCGCGGATGCGGGTGTTTTCCCCGAGATGCCGACCATTAACCCTATGCTTACTGTGCTGGGTATTGGAGAGCGTGCGGCGGAGATGATCGCAGCCGAGTGGGGATGGAAGGGCCTGGAGAAGGAGAAGTTGTAGATGTGTATGGATTAGATGTATGTATACTTTCAAATTGTGATAAATAATGTGACATGAAGTACTTCAAAATCTGGTTCTGCGAAACTCTTTCAAATTATCATGTGTACACCAGGAGGTCCTCTATGTCTTAAACTTTGCTTATTGGTAACCTAATCGTCGTACTGGAAGAGCCTCTTCATTCCATCATCTTCGACCTCATCCTCTTCGTAACCTTCAAGACTACTCCTACCGTGTCTCTCGACGGCCCTTCCGCCTATCGTAGTCGTAGTCGCTGGGGTGAAGCCACGGTCATCCTCCTCCTCCTCCTCTTCCTCCATCTGAACTGCCCTCTGTCCATCCACGAAGTCGCCAGCGTTATTCATCTCAGACGTCTCGAGAGTGAAAGGACCCTCATCGTCCTTGAATAGAGGACTCTCGAAGTTATCGTCCGAGGCTTCTGGGGACGGATCGCCCCTGGCCCTCCTTGCCTCTTTTTCCTTCTTCTTCCTCTCCGCGCGCCGACGTTCTTCCTTGGTCTTCCGTCCGCCCTTTAACCAGCGTCCGATTGGCCTTGGGAGGTTGTCCTCTCCTGTGCCAGTACGACCAGCAGCCCAGTCGACAAGTGAAAGGGCGCGTCTATTCGCTGTTGACGCGAGCGCGGCGCCGACAGACCAGCCTGCCTTGCCGATGCCGGACCTGGTGAGCGCTGAAGCATACGAAGCTGTTGCCGAGCCGATTTGCGTAAGTGCTGTGGTGGTGTCGTTGAAGGCGGCAGGCCAGGTTCCAGGGAAATTGTAGGAAGGCAGAGCACTTGAATCCAGTGCTGCAGGCTATGTATGGTGCAAAAGCTCTCTGGCGAAGGTAGCGCGGGAGGGAGAATATACGCCTTCGTCTTGCTCAAGCAGATCCCAGGAATCACTGCTGCTGCTACCGCTGCTCTTCTTCTTCAAGGGAGAAGCGCTTGGGGATTCTACGCGGGAGATCTCGCTGTACCGGCGCGCTGCTGCTTGCTCGCTCAGTTGGCGGCTTGGTGCCTCAGGCTGCTCGCTTAGGCGACGGGTAGGCGCAGGGAAAAGGCCATGTTCGGAGGAGGGCGATACATGGCGGGTGGCCGCATGTCGGCTGTCTTCTGAGCATGGCGAGCCTTGTGGCTGCTCATATGGACGTAGATGTTGTGAGGCTGAAGAGCCGCTCCGATGGTGTGGGCGGCCTCGGTCGCTGCTGCCTGTAGCCTTGCGTGACTGCTCGCGGTGACCCATAGCTCTTGTTGTGGTGCGTTGTATACGGTGACTTATTTCTGGACTTTGTGTATTAGTATACGTGATGTTTTCCTGGTACCCAAAAGTCCAAGATTGAGTTAGTGGTGCCGGCTGGCGCTCCTGTTGTTGGTGGCGAGGTTGTAAGTATGTAGGTAGAAGAGAGCGACAAGAAGGCCAAGATGCAGGGTGGAAACGCCTGCTGTGCGCTACGTTCTTTTGTGATATATGATGTCCCGGCAACGGCTAGCACCTGCGAGCGCAGTCACAGCGTCGTGGTGAAAGAAGTGCGGCCGCGGATGTGTCGCGACAAACAGTGAAGTTTTGTTTTCCGAACGTGTGGCTCGCAAATGCGGCTTAGAGGGTGTTGCCTTGGTTGAGTAACCCATGGTTTTACCGCTATGTCCATACTACTCGGTTAAAGGACCATAAAACCATATAACAGAAAGGGAATCATTTTGGGTCAGAAAGGCTCAATAAGTCCATTCAGTTCACGATTGTTGGTCTCTAGTCTTAAACTTTTTGATGTATCGTTTGATCGCCCTTGCCATTTTACTGATTACTTGTTCCTAACACCGAGCCCTGGAGAGTGAAGACGCCTGCACGTGACTTGTACCACCCAAATTTGGAATGCCATATATGCCAGGCGTGACAAGTAATGGGAGACTTACACAAAGCTACAGCTTCTGTGTATCGCTTCCATCCTCGATGTTCACGGGGCACCAGAAGTCGACCTCCTTGGGCTTGATCGAAATTTTCTCCGTTGTCGTGATGAAGTTACGAAGAACATTCTCCTCCTTAACTTTCTGCTTGTCCGTCAGCGTGAATACATCACGCACCGTCAGTCAAATTGCTCGCCTTCAAGATGAACTCCGGGCTCGCGTTCCAATGTTCGAGTAACATGAATTCGCCGGGCGCCTTCGGGTTCTGTAAAACGCTGATTGACTCAAACTCCGGCAACTTCGTGACAAGCGCATGCACAGGCCTCGTTGCTGCCAGAAAATCCACGGTACTTGAAGGAGCGAAGGTGAATTTGATTTGAAGGATAGTCCTGATGGTGGCCGTGGCTGACATAATGCGGACCAAATATAGTATATGTAGTTCGTTGAAGATCGAGGACTATCAATTGCCCAGGTGCTCAAGCTTGGTATAAATGGTGAGACTCGAGTTTCTGCGAGAACGCTAGAGGGCGCAGGCTTTATAGAGTCCTGGACGTATTGACCTCGGCATGCATGCCTCCCGATGGTCTTGTGCATTTGGGTTCTGACTTTCCAAAAGCAGCCAATACATCTGGAGAGTCTTCTATCGCGTAAATCCGGCTTAAAAATCCGGCTATAAAGGGGCGGAGCTACGGAGTGTAACTCCTCCCGATGAGGCGGAGTTCCGCACTTGATGTAGCGGATGCCGCGGCATTCAGATTCGGTGAGAACGTTTCTCTCGATGAGGACGACAGACTCGAAGAGCTTCTCAATGCTGTCAAGATCTGCAGGGGTTTGATCACCCCTGGGCAGAGTTCACGAAAGAGCTCAGCGAGCCCTAGGCTCATCCGTACATACCTAGGTGGATTCTTGGCGGAATGATGGGGAGTGATCATGTGTACGCCATTATAATTCTAAAGTGAGTCTATACCCTGAGGCACTATCACGGAGCCTGGATAGCTTCAGCATATCAACACTGACAGTGCGACTGTTCGACGCGGATAATTATTGGGGCCTTCAAATTCTTCAGATACGCTCAAGCCCGGGAATTGACTCACATGTAATAACTAATACAGAGCAGTACTAAGTTCTCGATTTAGGGGCGCACATCTAGCTCGGTGATGCCTGCCAGAACTTGATGTTGCTCCAAGATATGTAAGCCAATGATCCCCCCTCGATACATAAGTTGAAGAAGCGCTTCGCTCGACTTTGTGGAGGTACTATCAACCTTAGTATGCAAGCGCTACTAGTAGTCTCTTGAGATGCTGTCGGACGCAGGCCTGCATACCACTGCGTCAGCATGCCAAAAAGGTAACAATAATCTATGAACATCGATCACATGTGCAGAATGGTATATGTCGTCAGCCAGGTCTGACAGATGCTCCCGAGGTCGTTATGATTTTACAGCCCTCGATGGTCGGCAGGGCAAATTGCTATTCCCGGACCTTCTCGATCTGAAACATATTACAGTATGTTTCCTGACTCCTATGTGTGCTTTTCGTGCTCTTGCTCAGGAGTGCTGGTATAGCTAGGTAGTGAGTATAGATACCACGTGACTGCTGGCGCAAAGAGTCGCTGCCCATTGTGTGACTACAACAGTGGGGTCCATTTTTAACTCCTAATAATTGTTCCCAGTGGCCCTTCCCTAAAAATTATATTCTTCGCAGCGCTGATTCCAGCATTGATACTCATTTTCGAGCCCGTACGTGAAAGCACATCTGCCTAGGCCTTGACGAAGGCACTATGACCATCTACTACCTACGCCAAGACAGAGGCTCGGCAACTGCGCTAGTAGTCGCCAGCGCCCCTCCCTATGTTATACAACCTCCTCCTCTCTCCCGAAATATGACAACGCCGCGCCGATCACCAGCCTTGGAAGTATCGACTATCAACTTGCTTGTCAACCCACAATTGGAGTTTGTGGTAGCTTCAGTCCTAAAGCCTGCGAACCAGGCAATTGATCAGAGTCCTGTAACCGGTTAACCTAAGAAGCACCCACTTTTCCATTGCCCACAGCTTCGCCCAACATGTCTTCGTCAGAGAGCAGTAAGTCATGCCTACTTCACTGTAATGTTCCGCACCAACAACTCTCAGCTCCGATTATCTCGGTTAGACATCCAAAGGCCTTCTTCGAGATGCTCGCAGCTATCTGCCGTAATGTCCCGGCAAACCATGTACTCGATGAGGAGGACCAGGCGAAGTTTTTGGCGTTGTATAACGTGATTGATTTTAAACTCGTCAAAGCTCCTCGTTCTGAGATGCATCAGAACCCCCTTTCGCCAGAGGGCTATTTCTCTTCCAGCTATGTCGCAGATAAGAACGCTTTCGATATTCCGCAGGGTGGCTACGGGCCGCCTGGGTCTGTAAATGGCTCGTTTTGCCACAATCACAACGACGAGTCGTTTAAAGAGCTCCACCCTGATGTGGATCAGTCCAAGTATGGTTCGCCATCCCCGCTCCGTGCCTCGGAGCGCTGTACACCTTCCAGATGGACCAACGCGAATGCCCATCGATACCCTCGGTATACCCCTCACCAGCGCCCTTCATCCCCTCCTGCTACTCCCCCGCGATCCCCATACGTCATTCCTACAATCACTACTGTGGATGTAGATGCTGCTGAGCAAGATCTGTACGAGAACAACGCAACCACAGCGCCACCTGATCAGCCCGCTCAACTTGAGGATGAGGAAAATGAGATCCCGAGTGACACATCTCCCATTAAGGCTGGTGCTACAGAGGGCTACTCTTCAGTGGCGGAGGATGCTATGAGCAAAGATGACTCTGGCGTCGCCATGGACGGTACCCTGTATTCCGGCCTTGAGGAGCAGAAGGACGATGCCATCACCAAGGACGGTGGCATCTCCTTTTCACAAGACTCCGCCTACGCTACTCAGCCCTTCAAGAACTTTGAGGATGACAGCAATAAGCTCAACGACCTCCACTTCAAATTACGTTCTTCGTCTCCTTCGGACGCTCCTGAAGTCTTTGCTGGGAGAGGGGCGCTGGAGTCGTCAAATCGGCTACTGGACGAGCTCGATGAGGAGGCTCGTCGCTCTGCCCGCTTGGATTCTCAATCCCGTCCTACTACTCCTAACAACGACATAATCGACATTGCCACTTCCAGCAACAACCTCGACCCCGCTTCTGCCCCTACCTCTTCACTGGGCAAGCGTAAGGCTGACTCCGACGGCGACATCGACAGCGACAAAGACTCCAAAGGCCAAGAGCCCAACGCTAAGCGCGTGAAGTTGACCGAGTCGTAAAGGACTTACATATGCTTTGCTTCACGTGCCGTATCTTCTTACAATGCGCAGGGCATCAAGTGTCTTGAGGATCCAATCCTGGTCACTCAATACACTTTCCACATGCTCAGCAAGCTACATTGTTAGCTTCCTATGGCTTCACCCTAAAGCAAACATACCATCTCAGCCATATATCAGGTTCCGTCTCTTGATTCCTACCCGGCTGTTCGATAGAAACGGGTGCCTATTCTTATCGCAGGAGTAGGCGACCTCCCAGACCATGATGACTCTTGCTGTTCTTTGCGAGACTCGTTTCGTTCCATGCCCCCAGGCCCTATATACGTCTTTCACCTTGAGACCTTTCAGTCAATGTTTGCGCGCTCTTTCTCTTCTCTCTTATATGATGATACCATAGACTGACTTTAAACTTGCTGCGAGCATCATTTGATGCTCCTCCTCGACGGAAAAAAAAATGAAAAGGACAAAAACCCTCAGAAAATCAGTAGAAATTGCACAAAGAAAAGTAGAAACAATTTACAATTTCACGTACCAATATCTGAATGTAGAGTGATTGACCCACATTCCAACTTATTTGTGCCATATGTTGTCAACAACGACAGACCGTGAATAGGGTGCGACAAGTACTTGAGCAGAAACTTCACGGCGACGTGACTGAGAAGCTTGAAGCTGCCAGCAGAAGTTACTTGACCTTCGAAACTACGCAAGAGAAGGTCGAGTGTTTGTTACAACCACCGGCTCGACGGTATAAACAGGCTTTCGAAAGCAGGGAAGAGGGGTGGGCAAGTCGAAGGCACTGAGAAGTATTTAACGATCAGAGACGCAAAGAAGAATGCAAAGAAGGTAATATCTCCATAGGCAATCCAGAAGAAAAATGTTCGTGTGGGCGAAGTTATAGGCTCATAATCCGGAAGCGAGTCGGACGATAGTGAACAACCTTCAGAGAGAAGGAAGAACATAATGCGAGAACGGAGGCCGACGCCGACGACAAATAGAAAAAACCCGGCTCATAGAATGACGCACAACGAGGCTGTCAGAGTTCCCCTCTAGATCGAGAAAATTATGTGTATCCAGCCTGGCAAGCAGCAAACGCTCATTCTGGAAAGCCTTGCATGAGTTGCCTCCACGACCTCGGGAGTCAATCGGCAAGTGCAAGACGTATTTTTCGCAGAGAACACTTCAGCTTTTTGCGTGTAGCCATAATACTGTCAAACCGATAGCGCTATCTTGATGCTGGGGGTTGTATCAACGCCAAGATGTACAGCAAACACAAAAGGTCTTGTACCCAGAAAGAGGCAGGTGGTGACAAAGACAGGACTTGCGATAAAGCGAATGGTTCCAAGCCTGATAGAAGCTGGTAGAAAGAGTAAGCTGGGGATCTATTTTGCCCACAGGAATGAGAGCTAATGCCGTCTGGGTTGAGAAGACAGATTAGACGATGGCTCGCGATAGTAAGAAGCGCAAATTGCCAGAAGTCAGATCATGGTGGGTTTTCTATTCTGAGTGCTACTTGTTACAAGATGCAAGCTATCATACCTAAATGGACAGGTCGCACCGTGTCGAGGTGTGTGAAGTGAAGGAAATTGTAATTGAAGCAAGAGTACTCAAATTGACTGTAGCAGCACAACATGAATGTTATTACTATAGCCGAGAGCTGTAGATGAATTAGATCGATAGACATGAAAGCATATGCCCGGGTGGCCGAAGTCGCTCCCACGTGCCGTGCGCACGTTTGCTCTTTCCGCCACCGCTCCAGCAATAACGTTATTCCGGCCTAAGTATTTTATCGGGAGGGCTGCTACAATAAACTCGCACCCATTAGCGCGATGCGTTCCAAAGCAACATGGACACCAACGCGCGCCTACTCTTTGCGCTGTCCGGAAAGACAGCGGTCAGTGACGCACGACATGCAGTTCTCGAAAAGTTGGTTGACGGAGAGCTTGAAGGTGTCATCAAGAATTGTCTCAACAGCAGTGAATCTGAAAAGAGACGAGAGAGTGTGTGGTAGGTCTACTGCTCGATATGGTAACAGTGGAGGCTGAGGTGCCAGCTGATGGCAAAGGCAAAGCGGAAGACACTCTGGACGACTATTCGAACAAACGAAACTCACCGGAGGGGCAAGATAACAACCAGCACAAAAGGGTCAAAGCATCCAACCGCACGGATAAGCCAACTGAACAAGTCGTGATGAAGCACGAAGTCATCGACCTGGATCAGGAGAGCGCAAAAACAAAGAATGCGCGCTTCCAGACTACCTCACATCAAGGAAATCCTCTATATGCCCGACGGAACCTCAGAAGGGTCGTGGCGTTCCTTTTCCAGCTTCCCACTCGAGCTTAGCGATCGCCTACAAACTAAGTTCGACACCGAACACGCCACCAAGAAGATACAAGTGAAGAACCACAGTAGTATGATACGGTCACAAGAACGTTATCACTCGATAGGGTGCTGTGTGGGAAGTAAAGCCCTACCTAACAGTGCCAGGACAATGAAGTGGGACTATGCGCAGGGAGACAAAAACAGATCATGCGATCTATGCACTCGGGCAGGAAGATTGTGCGCAAGACTAGTCAAGGCCGGTGAAGCATTCGAAACGGCTGTTTTTCCTTTGTCAGACCGGATCCGGTATACTGCGAAATGGGATGAGCAAGAGTTCTAGTTTGTGGTGAAGTCGCGAAGGATTCCGACAGCAATAAGTCATTCGCGGAGAGAGTTTATGAACCAGGACTGAATGTAAATAGGGACCATGCGACTTTGTGATCATCGACTACGACACGGTTTCAATGCCTGGAATTGGGGGGTGGCCGACTTTAATTGCTGGAGTACTTGCTCATGAGAATACCTGGAAATTCGGCTTAGGAAGTCTCATTGGTAACCACTGCTCTAGAGCGCGCTGAAGGAATTTCTCGTTATCGGCTTGATTGCTGCCTTTGCTCAGTCTTTCTTTTCTTTCTCTCGGCCTCCCGTGCCTGTCTTTTCTTCTTCTTGTTCGATACCTGCTCTGTAGCTACCTCGACTCCAATCGAAACATAAATCTCCTCTATTAGTGCTTTCAACTGTTCGTGATCTGCGAGGAGACGCTTTGATTGACCTGGCACAAAGAACATGTCAGCTATCGCAGGGAGATTTGCCATTTGCGACTGCAAGCTCGATAGAGTGCCGCGAAGCTTCGATTGTATATGCTGGTTGACTGCCAGCCAGATTTCTGTCATCTGCTTGAGCATACGTAGCGAGTACATAGCGGCCTGGAAGCGGGCAGTGAGCTGAACGAAGGGCCATGTGTAGTCGAAATCGGCATTGATGACACGCGAGACTAGTGGCAGTGAAGGCGCTGTATTCAGTTCGCCTAGGACAAGGCTCAAAGCGAAGAGCGACCAGAGAAGGGACGGATTAAGGTCTTTTGACTTCGCCCACTTCAACAACCCACCAACGCGCCCATCGATTTCTTTTGCCGGTGCGTGGAGATCTGTATCAGAATATGGTCTTATGTCTTGTGGAGAGATGCCCTGCGCTTTCCTCTTGTACTCTCGAATGGTTGATGTTGATGATGCCAGAAGCGAATACGCAAGAGTACGAATGTCTTGCGCAATGTTCCACGCCGATGCTTGGTTGGGGTCCTCAGCTAGCAATGGCAGATAGACAGGTAGGTTTTGAGATCTGTTCAGTGCTTCGTGGACAAATTCGAAGATCCTTACGTCAAGGCTCTGTGATGTAGAATTCAGGCTGACATATTGCTGAAGATATATGGGAGCGACTATGGCTGCGGTATAGCGCCGGTGGAAGTCCAGGTATGCTGACGAATCGGTGTCCAGATCCCGAGCATCACGAACCAGATCGTCCATGCCTTCGGATAAATGCTGCTGTATAGCATGTGCAAGGGGCACCAAAGTCTTCAGTTGTAGCTTTTTGGCTATGTGGTCGGGCGAGAAAGCCTTGAGGCCCACAGGTGATTCAGCGTCTTGGAATAGGACTACCAAAGTTTCTGGATGATAGTCGAATAGGAGAAGATCTGTGTCACTTGTGAATATGATGGAACGAGGGAGGTCTCGGGCACGTAGTGCGCATGAGTCGTCTGCCTCTCCTGGAACGATGCGTGTTCGCGATGCGAACGGCGACTCTGTCAAGGCTTCCCGCAGTGATGGCGCAAGAAAAGCGTATGAAGTAGAACCAAGATATGTTGGTATAGGGCACGCAGTAGTGGCATAGCTTGCCCGCAACTGCTGAACACGTCTGTTGTTTTGCTCCGTTCGCGACAGTCTCTCAGCTCGTTTGGCATCGGGGAGTGCGCCATCAAACAGCACCGCTGCACTGAGATGGAGTTGTTAGCAGTGACTTTCACGCGAGTGCATCTCAATCATCGAAGAGTACTAATGCACGCACCTCGACAAAGAGGCGCGTAACGTTGATAGTTTGCGCTGGCTGTCCAAGTCTAGATACTTTGGGTACCACTCACACCGTTATGCCTTGGTTTTCTAGGGTGTCCAGCCACTTGATCGCCTCAAGATTAATCTCGGAATATGATGGGATTTTTGTCTGGCTGGCTGCAGCGCTCAGGGCGAGCTTGTGGGCCTCGTATGCCAGACTCGGCCCATCGATGATAGCTGCATAGCCTTCGAGCTCTTTCGCCGTGTATCGACAGCTGTATGGCTCAAGGCGTCGTGCAAGGCCCTGAATCCCCATGTTTGCCTGCACAGATCGACGCCCCAAATTTTGAGGAGGGAAAATTGGGGGTTGTCACCATGCAGGGTCCAGAAGAGACGGGTTGGGCGATGGAAATTTCTAGTCCCGGGACAAGGTCCGCGTTTTGGCAGCTCCAAGCGTGAAGATACTCGCAGAGTCGCCACTTTTCAATCGGTCTCGTCCAATGTTGAGGGAATGGTTGAGGTGACAGCGAAGATGTGGCGGATCTCCTGCCGCGTGTGTGCTAGTCCAGGCCATTCGACGCACTGACAGCGTCATCCCGCGTGGTGGGGAAGGCGCGCCTGCCCCTCTGCTGAGCTCAAAAGTTGACCGCAGCCGCTCAACCAAACCTTTGAAACATCCCAATTGCTTCAATTGCATCCACATTAGCTTGAAGCGCATACGAAATCATCATGAGCGTAAAGAACGTCGAAATCAAGCCTTTCCAGGACCAGAAGCCCGGAACGTAAGTTGCTTGTTCCACTTTTCTCTCCACAGCTCCAGCCGGGGTAGCCTCGATGCTCTCGAGCTTCCTCTCTCGCTATCCCGGGCATTGGAAGGTTGCTCCAACAGCAAAACATGGTTGATGTTGCTCCGAAACTCGAACGCCGCTAATCTGTGCCATCTCATAGTTCTGGTCTGCGCAAGAAGGTCAAGGTCTTCCAGCAAGACCACTACTCAGAAGCCTTCGTCACAAGCATCCTGCTGTCCATCCCCGAGGGCGTTGCTGGCTCAGTCCTGGTCATTGGAGGTGACGGTCGCTACTGGAACCCAGAGGTCACGCAGTTGATCGCCAAGATCGGTGCTGCCTATGGCGTCAAGAAGCTGTTGATCGGCCAGGATGGCATCCTCAGCACACCTGCTGCCAGCCACATCATCCGCATACGCAAGGCCACTGGTGGCATCTTGCTGACTGCCAGCCACAACCCTGGAGGTATGTCTGAAGTTTCTATTACATAGTTGTTGGAGATGGACTGACATCGCAGGCCCCGATGAGGACTTCGGTATCAAGTACAACCTCGCCAACGGCGCACCGGCGCCCGAGAGTGTTACCAACAAGATCTACGAGACCTCAAAGACGCTCACATCGTACAAGATTGCCGACATCCCTGATGTCGACCTGAGCACCGTCGGCACACAGAAGGTCGGCGACCTCGAGGTTGAGATTCTGGATTCCACCAAGGACTACCTCCAGATGCTCAAGGACATCTTCGACTTTGATCTCATCAAGTCATTCCTCAAGCAGCACCCTGACTTCAAGGTGCTCTTCGACGGTCTCAGCGGTGTGACTGGCTCCTACGGTGTCGACATCTTCGAGAAAGAGCTCGGCATCCCCAACAGCACCCAGAACTGCGTTCCCAAGCCTGACTTCGGTGGCCACCATCCAGATCCCAACCTTGTATACGCAAAGTCGCTGGTCGACGCGGTCAACAAGAACGGCATCCACTTCGGCGCCGCCTCTGATGGTGACGGTGACCGCAACATGATTTACGGCGCGAACTCATTTGTTTCGCCTGGTGACAGCTTGGCCATCATTGCACACCATGCTGAGTTGATCCCCTACTTCAAGAAACAGGGCATCTACGGTCTCGCACGAAGCATGCCTACCTCTGGTGCGATCGACCTGGTTGCGAAGAAGAAGGGCGTCGAGTGCTACGAGGTGCCTACCGGATGGAAGTTCTTCTGCGGTCTTTTCGACTCGGACAAGATGAACATCTGCGGTGAGGAGAGTTTTGGAACTGGCAGCAACCACATCCGGGAAAAGGACGGCCTCTGGGCTGTTGTTGCCTGGCTCAACATCCTTGCTGGCATCGGACAGCAGACTGGCACCACACCCAGCATTGCGTCAGTGCAAAAGGATTTCTGGAAGACTTACGGACGCACTTTCTTCACACGTTACGACTATGAGGGCTGTGAAACCGAGGGTGCGAACAAGGTAACCAGCCACATGAAGGAACTCATCACCACCAAGAAGGACGAGTTTGTCGGCTCAACCATCGCTGGCCGCAAGGTTGTCGAGGCCGACGACTTCTCCTACACGGACCTCGACGGCAGCGTCAGCAAGAACCAGGGTATCTACGTCAAGTTCGACGACGGCAGCCGCATCGTCGTACGTCTGTCGGGCACTGGAAGCAGTGGCGCGACCATCCGTCTTTACATTGAGAAGCACACCAGCGACGAGTCTACATACGATGTCGATGCACAGGACTACCTGAAGGACAACGTCAAGCTCGCGACGGACCTTTTGAAGCTACAGGAGTACATTGGCCGCACTGAGCCCGATGTCAAGACGTAAGTATGGACGATGAGACGATACACACAACCACGATAGACTGTAGCTTGGTACAAGATGGGGATGTGGCAGCAATCGCAAGGACGAGGCAGTATAATGTATTGTAAATGTCCATCTGGTCTTGAAAAATCTGATGCGAGTGCATACCCAGCCATTGTCATCTGAACAAGGCAGCCTCGTGAGGTGTCGAGGTCCTGCGGTCAATTAAGTTACAGCACAGGGTCGGGTCTTAGCACAGAGCGGTGAGGCAAACACTACCACGTGCATCGCTAGGGCTATGAAATGACAAGCTGCTAGTACAACATTTGTACAATCCTCGCATAAAGTTTAATTATCACAGCATGGGCGTCGTGCACCGGTGATTGCTGTAATGACCAACATGTTGGGTCGTCATGACTGCTTGGTGGAGGGGCGTGAGGCGGCGAGGGTGGCTGAGTGGGGCGACGTCATTTCCAATTTGGCAAACAAGCACTCGAGCCGTTTCGATAACTCGACTAGTCGTCCTAGTCGTCGATTGCCTCCCCGCCTTTTGTACCTCGACCACGGTAGAAGCGACCTAGAGACGACTAGTTCACCGGCATCTTCACTCATATACCTCGACGTCGCTGCATTTGTACAAACTTGACGAAACCAACATCATGGCTGAGAAGGAAGGCTCCGCAGTGCCTCCCCAGGCAAAGGGCTCCTGGACGAGTTTCCTCAAGGTATGCGTGCAGCCTGGGTGCGATTACACTTGTTTACTAACAACCTGCTAGTCCATTGCCTCGTTCAATGGCGACCTCTCGACCATGACGGCGCCCGCCTTTATTCTCTCGACCAAGTCTCTCACCGAGTTCTCGTCGTACTGGACCGAACACCCCTCCGTCTTCGTCGCACCTGCCGCAGAGAAAGATGCCGCCAAGCGGGCCATGCTGGTGTTGAAGTGGTTCATCAGCACGCTGAAGCAGCAATACGCCAGCCGCAGCGAGAAGCTGGGCAGCGAGAAGAAGCCGCTCAACCCCTTCTTGGGCGAGCTGTTCCTGGGCAAGTGGGAGGACCAGGCAGGCACGACACAGCTCGTCAGCGAGCAAGTCAGGTACTAGCACGGCCTGACAGGCTCACGCACTTGTTTGCTAATGCCACGTGCTCAGTCATCACCCGCCCGTCACAGCTTACTGCATCTGGAACAGCCAGCATGGCGTCCGTCTGCAGGGCTACAACGCCCAGAAGGCGTCCTTCAAGACCACCATCAACGTCAAGGTGAGTCGACGACAGGCCCGCTGTCTAGCTAGATGCTGATCTTTCGCAGCAAGTCGGCCACGCCCTCCTCCATCTCGACGCTTTCGACGAAGACTACCTCATCACTCTCCCCTCCCTGCACATCGAAGGCCTCATCACAGGCTCCCCATACGTCGAGCTGAACGGCAGCACCTACATCCAGTCCACTTCCGGGTACACCGCGCGCATCGACTACAGCGGCAAGGGGTGGGTGTCTGGCAAGAAGAACACATTCTCTGCCATCCTGTACCCCGAAGGCAAGGAGAAGGACGTCATCTACAAGGCAGAGGGACAATGGACCGACGCCTGGCAAATCAAGGACGCTAAGACCAAGTCCGTCGTCGACACATTCGACCCCAAGGTTACAACAACCACGCCTTTGACCGTTGCACCTATCGAGCAACAAGACGACTTCGAAACGCGCCGCGCCTGGAAGAAGGTTTCCGACGCCATCAACAAGGGCGACATGGACGCAACATCGGCAGAGAAGACCATCATCGAGACACGCCAGCGTGAGATGCGCAAAGAAGAAAAGGACGCAGGCAAGGAATGGGAGCGCAAGTTCTTCACCCGCTCAGACAAGTTCCCGCTCTTCCAGAAACTGGCCGGCAAAGTCGGCGAGCCTGTCAACGACACCCAAACCAACGGCGTGTGGTCTTTTGATCAGGAGAAGGCGAGTGCTGCAAAGTCGCCATTTCATCCCCATGTCAACCCACCCATCTATGAGAGGAAGTGAAGTAGCCGAGTGCTGCTTCTTTTGCCTCCCTGCTTCTTGATGATATCACAATGTATTAAATCGCTATTGGGTACTAATGTAATTGAGCATAGGCTATGCTTTTGGGGTGACCCAAGAAGAGAGCTACCATTGGGAGCATCGTGTGCTAAATGACGAGCACGCCGCATCGATAAGTCGTGAGGGTCGATCGCTTTTCGACGCCTTGGTATACCTAGCATTACTCCCTTTTGAAATCAATACCTACGGCTTGCGCTTCCCTGTTGTTGACTTTTTAATCATGTCTTCACGTCTGCTTTCTTGTCTCGTTTGCTTTCCTTTGCATATCTAGTGTCCTTGTTACAGTCGAACTTTGTCAAGACTAAAGACTAGAGATTCAGAGACTTTTCTTCACAAGAGAGCATCTTGGCACAAGAGCGTTAGGTAGAAGAGACATGGGTGTAGTGGCCCGCTCATTTGAAAAATGGCACAAGTGTTGAGACATCATTGCCCACGCCTGTATTACACGGCTGATCCCTGACGTCTGTGTGAGATCTAAAAACCCCTCTTCCGGTCCCAATGCAATCATTACTTTCGTCTCCACGTACACACAAGCCCACTTGCTAGTTGTTATCGCAGCGGCAAAATCTTCTCCTCCGTGATGTCCGCCGTTCCCTTTGAAGGCACAGACGCTGGGCTGGCGGCTGGTGTGAGCCACGGCGCAGCGCCATTATTTGGTATCCTGGTGTCCCTCTTCCTCTGATTGACGAATCCTTCGCCAGGGCTGTCCCACGCATAGTCGAACCATATGCCGAGCTCTTCCCGGACGCCGTCGGCCAAGATTTGCACTGCCTTCCTCCTGTTCCGCGACCATTCCCATGCGCGATACCAGCGCCCAGCTTGCACAGCTGTCGCTTCACCGCCCTCAAGACCATCGAGGATGGAGCGCCACACGAGCATCGTCTTCTCGAGCTCCTCAGCGCGCGAGACACCAATGACGGAAACACCGAGTTTCGAGCCACCAACGTCGTTGATTGATTCGTGTTTCCACGGCACACCAGACGCGGGGGTCGCCTCTCGATCCCACCCAATGTACCGGCAGATAATCCAAGACTCGAGCGCGAATCGGATAGCCATCACTTCAATGCGCTCGCCGTAAGCATCGCAGAAGTCGCTTGCTCGCCGTATCGCAGCGCGGAGATCTGAGGGCGCTGGGTGGAAGTCGCCGAGGCCGCCAATTGGGCACACCCAACGCGGCGTAGGAGACCCATTCCGAGGATGGGAAGCGTTGGGGGACAACATCAACACCAGCGTTGCCGTAGGGCGCTTCGATGCCCTGAGGCCCGGCAAGCGTCTGGTTCTGGAGTGTAAAGTTGGCGTACGACTGCACTGCGTCGAGCGGCTCGCCTGTCTCGCGCAGGATAAGCTCAGCCATGTCGCCCAGAACATGGATTGGGTATCCTGATATCCCAATGTACCGAACTGTGCCCTCCTCGTCTCTGATCCTTCGTAGCTCCTTCACTGCCTCGAGAACCTCAGCTGGGCTAACGAATTCGACATCGTGGCAGTAGACGAGATCCACGTAGTTTGTGTGAAGCCTCTCCAGACTCCTGCTCACACTGTGTCGCACCCATTCTTTGCTGTAGTCGAACTCGGACGATGCCACGCGCCCAACTTTTGTCAGAATCATGTATGAATCTCGAGGGAACGTCTCCCGCACAAAGGGCGTTGCAAGCGCATCGCCGAGTAATTGCTCAGAGGGCCCGTAGTAAGGCGATGTGTCGAAGGCGCGGATACCATGTGTGAGCGCAGATGTCACCAGGCCAGTGGTGTCGAGAGCAAAAGGATCGTTGTTGTACTGGTTGTTGAAGGTCGCTGTGCCAAAGACTAGAGGCGGAAGGATCGAGGAGAGTTGGGTGCGCCTGCCATTGTCGCACGAGTATGGTATTGGCTTTTGTCGAGTCGGAAAAGTGCTGGTAGTGCTAGGATGCTCAGTAGGCGTGGTCGCCATGACTGAATCTTGTCTAAAACTATGGACGGGTGCGAACTGCGCTGGACGGTACTGTGTCGTTTGCGACAAGCTGTAAGATAATTTTGGCGGGGTCGCGTTCAGTAGGGTGGGAAGGCGCAGAGCGTAAACACAATGGCGTTTCTACAACCAGATGAGACTGTCAGATCAGACTTCAGACGATACAAGAGTGCAAGAGAGGTCCCTTGCAAGGACGTCAGAGATACCAGGCTTCATATCGCGGCGGAAATTTCTCCGCCAGCCCAGGCTCCAGGTCCCAAAGAGTAGAATCTACACCTCACCATCCGCCGTTTTGGTTTGCGCTCGCCGGCGGCCGCGATGGCAGGAACAGATGAGCTAACATGCATGCGCCAGGGCCTGACATGACGCCATCTCTGTCCAGAACGCGTTATCCGGCCTGCGCGGGCTCCGATTCGCTGCCATGGCAGATCTAGGGTTCGGTCGTAGAAAGAGAAAAGAGCGCATGTGCTGGGATGACAAAGGCCCTGCAGTTCGGTGTGGGACGGCACAAGCAGCGGTACAGGCGTCGGGAATAACCGGACTTTGAACCTGGCCAGATATCCAGGTACAAGCCACGCTGGAACATTGACTCGGTCAAAATGTCAAAACTCTGTCGTGTTCCACTACACAATTTTCACATGGATTAAATTCATGGCATGGGCTTTCGCCGCAGGAGGTGGAGTAGGCTGTTGTCGTCGTCTCAAGCTGGCCTGGTCACTTCTGCTCGTAGTTGACAGCCTGCAGCGAGATGTGCTATTCTGGGATACGCATCGCTGCCTCATCAATCTCATGAGGCAGACATCGTGAGCTTGTCTTGATGTGTAGCTGATTTCTGCAGCAACTCTATCCGCAAACTCGTCTCAAGCCTGGCGAACAGCTCCATACAGAGCGCTCTGGCTTGCGCCATGAAACAATCGGAGCTTGCAACACTCCTCTCCACCAAGGTTCCAAGGTCTGCAATCAATTCGTTATATCCTCGCTGCTCATCTTTGGTCGGCGCCGGTTCAGTCGGGTTGTTGACATGGTGGGCCAGGACTGTCACTAGAGCTGCGACCAAGGATCGATGCTCCATCCAGTACAGACCCACGTCTCCACGAGGTGCAATGGGAAGCAGACTCAGCAAGCGCTTTGCTTCCAGACTGCTCTTCTGCTCTTTCATTGCTGAAAGACGACGCAAAGCGTCTGCCGTGAATGGATTTATCCTCGAGTTTTTGTCCAGGGCCATGAATGCATGCAGTCGATACACTGTCGCGAAGTAGGACGCCTCAAGGCTTACTGTGTGTGCGACGTCCGATCGGTATAATAACTGAAAGAGCTGATCAGGGCTGAGGTTAAAAAGCTCATGATTGTGGAATGATTTCAGGCGAGAAAGAACGATAGTGGCGGCGGCATCGATGTCTAAAGGTGCGGTGTTCCGGGCCTTCGCCGAAAGCACCTGCTCAATAGCTTCGGCTTGCAGTAACGCAAGATTAAGACGCAATGAGAATATATTGACCTTCCAATGTCCCTCTGCGGCAATCACTGCGCCAAGACTGTCAGCGGGGTTTTCGTCTGGTTTCGGTGCTACGATATCTTCTCGCCGTTGTGTAGTTGGGGAACCAGACAACATGCTAGTGCTTGTGTCATTAATGAAGCCAAGCCAGAAGACGCGACGTTCTTGTTCAACATCGCGATCCTTGTCAGACAAATCGCTCTCGTCGTCGTGGTAGGCCATACTTTGTGCTACACGTAGCGAAGTGGAAAGGAAGTGCCCATCCGGAACATTCCGACCGCACGGCGTGCTTTGGACAAGCAGTGCTACACCTATGAGGCATTGTACCAGTCCGAGAGATGGCGATGAAAGAAGTAGCCTGTTTAGACTGATGTAGTTACGGGCGAGATAATATCTTGCAAGCTCATTGTCTTGCTTTGTTGCAGTTGCGCTCGATCCTCGAAGCATGTACGCCAAACCAAATACTACGTATGCACTGCACCAAGCCACGGCCGAGCCATCGGACGCTCCGCTATAGCAGACGCGGAGATGATCCGCTATAACGTGAGGACGATAGAGCGGATAGGCCGTGTTGAAGTCCACTAGGAACTCGGATAGTAAAGTAGTGCCTAACTCTGGGGGTGGTAAATATCTATATGAGGGGTGTGTTATCAGTGCAGATCTCTAATCAGGATGTTTGAGCGTCTTACCCGTCACATGCAGGCTCCAAAGGAAGCGGTGGAGGTATCCAGGTATCGCTTTTGAACAGGACATTAGGCTCATGAGGATTATGGAAGAATGCAATGTCCTCCTGGAAGTCGGTCGAGGGCTCGGTATTATCCAAAGCCATGGTTGCTAAGTCATCGCTGGTGAAGACATTCGTACTCGTGCTCGACGCGAATTCGGGTCCATTAATTTCATCTGAACTCGGCAGTAAACTATGGGCTGCAAATAAAGTCTCTCCGTAAAGCGCCTCGAGTTCAGGGAAGTCTGGTCGAGGTACAGATGGAAGCTCATGGCGTAATTTGGTGACCCAATCTGTTGCTGGTACTGCAGGATCTGCTGCTGGTTGTAGTGGCTGGTCCTGGAATTGGGGTTGCGCTGCGTTGCTCGCTTGCAGCAACGACTCTAGCCTGTTTATTCTGGTTTCATATTCTGCAACGCGATTGCTTGGACAGTCAGCTAATAATACTTCTTCGTAAATTGTCTGACTTACATATACCCTCGTTGCGGCTTTGCTCTTTGCTTTCGAACATGTGTAGTAGTGCACGTTTCATTCAGAGTGACGCATGGTGTGCAGCCAACCGAGCCTGAAGTCCATAGACATCTGCGCTTTCGCTTGCGGCATAGATCGCACGCCTAATAATTAATTAGGTGTGAGTCAGTCCTGTCGTTTCGTCGAGGCAAGTGTAGTGATGGTGTGGGGTGAGACGAGTGCGAGGAGCACCTTGTGATGACGCCAGGTCTCACACTAGTAATCATCGGGCCGTTGAGGAAGGTGCACTCACTCGTACGGTAGCAGCGCTACCACGCTTCTCGACACGTTCCGTATTCGCCATTTCACCAACCTTGTTTCGGATCACGGAGTACCTAGGTTGTTCGTTCTTGTCAGGAAGGACCGGCATCGTGGAAGCGTAGGTGAACCGACGAGAAAGCTGACAAATGGCTTAGCCTTTGTAAGGTGATTAGTAATAAACAGTCTATTCGTGTCCAACTCATGCGGATGCTAATGATTCTCTTCTGAAATCACGAAGTCGATATCATTAGATGCAACAAGAGTACTACAACATTCTAACACATCAGCGAGAAACAAATGCCCAAGCCGTGAATAACTCTAAGAATTGATATCATCGAGGGGGTTTTCTTTGCCGTCCGAAAACAAGTGAACAATATCCCGGTCGTCATTTGCCAACACAGTGCCGGATATGGGCACCGTCTTGATTGCCGCACGATATGATTTCAACTGCAAGTTTCCTAGACCGCTACCGAGCCGTCTAACAGGCTGTGGGTCCTCTGTATACCATACAGCATTTATTCCTAAATATTGTAGACGCCGCTTAGCTTGCAAGATGTTCATGTCGCCTTGGTCACCCGAAGCATGGCTTTCCTATGGTTACGGTGTCAGCTGAAGGACGCGTAGTAGCCAAAGTTGTGCAATCTTGGAGAGAACTTGCATTGCGAGCTCCTAGCGTTGTGGTCTTTACATCACCTTTCCTCTCATCGTGTGGCAGGCTCCGTACGCCTCCGCAAAAAGTTATAGGGCGGATCAGCACCACCTTTCTCAGGTTGTTTAAGTCGCCAGCTTGTCGATTTTCAACAATTGACCATAATATCTCAATTGCGTATGATTCGTAATGTATTTTCACCCAAACCGTTTTCAGATGGCTACCCAACAAGCAATGTCGCTGTAAAACATCAGGTTGCAAATCTGGCCAGTCGAGCTCCAATCGTGTAATGGGCGATCTTTTCAAAAATTCCTCCAAAGAAACTAATGTCGCAACATTTGGCGTGTAAGACAGTCGTATTGAGATACTGTTCAATGCGTTGTGATCGTGCAATGAGCTGAGGACCTCCGAGATGAAGAAGGAAGTAGGTGAGAGAACAGGGATTTCTTCAGCAGTGGAAACATAAGGGAGGCGTCTGGCGGTGCGCAAAACTTCTTCCTTGAAGTGTCCTCCTTTCGCGGTGAGGTTTCCGTCCAAGCCGGTGTCGGGGTTGGATGGTGCATATTCCGAGACCAGGGATAGATTATGAAGGTGACTGAGGCTGGCCAGGATCTTGACGGCTTGGACCGGCGATGACAACGAGAAGCCATCGAATGACAAAGATTCCAAGCTATTTAGGGTCGCCAAGAACTCAAGTCCCTGGTGATGAAAGTTGCCTTCTAAGCGGAGATCCAGCAAATGTGGACAGGATGCACTGACCACCCTCAAGACTTGCGTTGTGAATTGTCGGTACAACATCGATGGCTGATGAAGAAGAGCTCGAAGTGTGATGATTCTGAGCTTTGGGATCTCCTTCAAAGCCTGCCCGAGGCTGCCCACTTCTGCCCGGTACAGCTCCGAAGTTGACAAACGCAAAGGAGTTGCTGACTGATAGCTCGAAGTTAGGTCCCCAAGTATGGGTCTAAGATCAACATCTTGGACGTGGATGGTAATACTCGAAACGTAGGCGATCAGTTCGCGGGGGGTTTTGGCCAACCATGCGTACAGGGCTCCTTGACTTGGAAAGATCAATTCCCTCTGATAGAGGAACTTTTGTGCCTCGTGTTGAATCTCTTGGCAAGTTCGTAGTATGTCCAAGCCTTGACTGGGACCAGAAAGAACGCTCTTATAGATTTCCTCGCGGAGCTCTAGAGGCAGACTGAAGAGTGGTGAGACATGCCCAGTCCCAGACATACTGTTTGAATATACCAGGCAATACTTCGGGGTGAGTTGTTCCAACGACGGATAGAATTCGGAGATCCTGTGGTAATGGCGTAGTTAGAGAGCTCGCTTCTCTCACGGCTGGGTCGTGCTGCTCCAGAGGAGAGGTGTGGTGCTACACACAAACGGCAGATAGTCTGGGGAGGCCCAAATGTTAGTCAGTTGTGTTCGGGGAGAGTAGATGCCTCCAATGTGTCTACCTCCGTTGGATCTGAGAATTATCCTAGGTCGCTCTGCAGGGCAACACTGTACCTTTAAAGTCGGACCGATAGCTGAAAGGCATGATCTAGTAAACATGAGTCGGTGGCTGTGATATCTTTCTCAAGTCCATGCGCTATAAGCGAGGATGAAGAGGTCTGGTCCGTTGTACTGAGGTTAGCCGGCGATTGGCTAACTTGGTATTGACTTACCATCCATTGAAAGCCATTGCAAATGCCCCATCCTCCTGCATTTAGTCCACAAGAACCCTCACATTAGAAGTACAGCGGCTGTGGCTGATAAACAAATCATTCTGAGCTAAGAAAGTTCCAGCAATTCGGTCCTCATGCACATTGAATGTGAGGGAACAATTGACGGAACCGTGGACACACACGCCATTCAGCAGTGTGGGCTTAGGCTGGCATATGCAAGCCATCGGTTGCGAAGCGAACGTGGTTCACACGTGGAAACATGATGCCATCGTGGTAATCACGCTAAACGGCCGTCATCGCGCACCACTAAGCTGAAACGGCTCCCCGAACTTCACCGACAGAACTGCACATAAACGTTGGCCGCGCTTTTGGCCACAGTCTAGAGATGCTGTCGCCAAATGAGAGTATGTGTAACACCAACAGCTTCCCAATAATATCGAATCAGTCTCGTTGGGGCTTCGAAAAACGAAAAGATCGTACTAGATAAGTCGTACGATGTGAAGTGCCACATCAATTGCCTGTTGAGGCTATCTAGACCACTCGGATCAGCCCGAAGATAACGGGGCGTTCCTTGCTCGCTAGGTAATCTGACATCTTAGTTTTGATCGAGACCCGCAAATTACCACTTTGGACGAGATTGCCAACAACGGACAATAAAGACTACACGCACCTCTATGAATGTACAATCTCCAAGTGAAAGCGACATAGTCGAAATGGGGAAGTTCTTCAATTTCTGCTTTTGGATGCCAAACAAATAGTCGCCTTGGTAAGACGTCACTGGGCTTTGTGAAGGCGAGTATCGTATGAGGTTGTCCTGACCAGCGCCGAAGGCGATCTCTTGCACCAGGCCACTGTCACGAGCCAGTCAGCGCACATTGTGATTGAAATTGCCGAAGCCCTGAGCGACCATGTCCATAAATGAGGAATCAGTCGTAAGGGCCAACACCACGAACAACAGTAGTGTCAGATTACGGAAAAGAAAGCCGATCTGTGCAATGTTCGTTCAACTGCCAGATCGCATTTTACGAGGTTGAACGGCTGGGACAGTCGGCCGCGCATGGGAATGAGCACGGAAGGCTTGCGCTGCAAGCCATGTGCGTACCGGAACGGCTGATTGAGGCTGAGGATGGCAGGAAAGGTGTAGTATGGCATTTTAGGCATGCGACAGACAAAAGGCCAAGCTCCGCCTGTAGTCGTGGGCCTAATCCTAGAGACGTGAACCATGCGATCAACAAGGTCATCGAATAAGAATGTAGATGTGCGTGGTGCTCGAGACCTGGAGGTTTGAACAAGGCATCCCTGGTCCTCGAAGCTAGTTTAAATGGGCTTCGAGTATGGTCCGTGCAGACTCACATCCCGCTTTCTTACGAGAGCAGGATACCTGCATTTGGTCTCACACTCACCTTGCAGGACACAACCCTTCCTTGAGGCGGAACGCGTTTCTAAGCTAATGATTGACGCAACGTCTTCATGAGCGATGCTTGATCATGGACCGCAATAACGCGTATCTGCTCCTTCCAAACTTCAGGCCTTTTCAACGACTATATACTCTGTTTACTAGCCTGAACAACCCCAAAGGTTTAATGAGCTGTTGCAAAATGCCGAAAAGGCCTTGATAGTGTCCAGACAGCGTTATCCTGTACGGCGGAACCATTGGCCCTGGAGCCTTACGATGACGCTTTTGACGCATCTAGTAGCCGAGCGGAAGGCTCTTTAACCATGCGTCCGTCTCGGACCATTATCGATCGATTGCTTCAAGATTGCTTGCTGCATCCCGTCTACTGCAGGGAAGTATGCCGTAACATACCCGACAAGACTACCACCACAACCACAGGTGCCTATGATTGAGCATCGAAGACTTTGCCTTTTGCTAGTTCAACATGCTCTTGTGGACAAGAAGTAAAATCACTAGGATCGTCAGGTACATTGATAGCACGGCCCGTGCCCGACGGCTGAGATTGAGCAGCGCATGATTGCACGCCGACAGAGCGGCGACACATCTGACGGGCTTCCAGGGTCATTCTACGCTATGGCTTCCACATGGCCATGGACAGCCGGCATCAAAGCCCAAGCCCGTCGGTTGCATCCTCGACGCGCCACATAGAACGAGTGTTCCACCTTGATTCGACGTGAAATCCTAGCGTCTTTACGATTAGCTACCGCCCGTTTACGACCTTGACCTGCCAGTTGGGCTATGACTTCAGCAATTCAGCACGCCACGCGCAGCAGCGAGTATCTTAAAGCGATTTTGAGTCATGTCGAATGAGTTCACAGAAATCTACCGACCTGTTCGCATGCACGTTGACTTCAAGCCACGCCGTACAAAGCCGCACGCGAGATGAGCGTCCCTGGTCTCACAACATGAACGGGTGTGGTCCCGACGCAAGCCACAGGCGCCGAAAGAATTATCATGACCTAGAAATTTACCAAAAGAGAAAGTGCCTGCTCACACAAACTGCATGTGCGGAATGCTAAGCGCTTACGCGCATTACCACGAAGCGCCAACTTTCACGGCATCAGACGACATGGACACTACGCACGCAGTGCGCATCGCTGTTCGTCACGCTTGTTTGGCTTTTCGATTTCCACGTATCGTATGCACGACGGTCAGACCTGGACTTCTTGCGTGACCTGCGTTGGGCAGCTATGCTCGAGTACATGAGGAGTTCTCAAATCAAGACCATGCGTCACGAGGGCGTGCTGATACTCCAAGCGTCATGCCCTGTACGCTCATACGGGCAGACCAAAGAACCGTGTCGTTCTATAACGTGCTCCTAAGGGTACTTGGGGTATTATCGCAGTGAATGGCACAATTTGTTTTCCCTTACGACATGCCCTCAGGAGCTTTCTCCGTATCAGTATGAGCGCAGGAAGCATTAAACGCTCAAACTGCAAGAATCACGTTCATGTTCTCCGCCATCAATCCTCATTGACCGATCAGAGATTTAACCTAGGTGGGCCTCCATCATCCAGCCTGTCATACCGACAAGCTCTGAGCATAGCTTAAGGAGCTATATGTTGTCCGTGTAAACTTTCCATCATTGTTGATGATCGACAGTATCCATCCCTCAGTACCTCCAGCCGAGCAGCAGCATAAGCTGCCCTCGTACGATGCCAAAATTGATACCCGACTACGCTCACTCCTTTCAATCAGGCTACACTTTTTTAGAGGGTTGCGGTGGCAAACGCAGAGTGAGTCTCACGCCCCTTATGGTCTGATCTCAAAGCCTTCAATTCTTTTCAAAGTGGACTGAGCGAACTGCTAAGGCGTCAGCCCAGATTGTTGCAACACTGCGCGCGTCGGATCATTTCAAGCACGCACACTGGCACAAAAAGAGCCTAATGATGAGCAGAGTCATGCGATAAACGCTATCAATTCTTCAATCGCAAATAAGAAAGGATGTTACATTGTACATGGTCTCACAATCGAAAAGTCGTTCGTCTATTCACTTGCCTCCAATCGCTTCATCTCTCCGCTTGTCTTCTTGGGATGCATCTCCAACAAGCATAAGCGTATCCACGTATCCACGTGGGAAGAAAGAATTCTAGCCCTACGCCCTCTCTCTTTCAGCCGCACCTCGTGGTCACCACGCGACTCCCCAAAAAAAAGAAGCACTCTCCACCTCATTTGAATTGCTTATGCCACCCTCAGCAACTTGGCGGCGTAGTCCACAATCAAGCTCTCGGTGGGGAAGCTCATTTCCTCGAGTTTCTGGGCATATGGTGTGGGAACCTCAGCACCGGTAACTCGCGCAGGTGGCGCCTCTAGGTAGTCGAAAGCGTATTCGCAGGTAAGCGCCATGATCTCAGCGCCGACACCAAAGGACGGGAAGTCAGACGCGACGCAAAGCATGTGGCCCGTCTTCTTGACGGACTTGACAATGGACTCGACATCGAGGGGCTTGATGGAGCGGAGGTTGATGACTTCGGCTTCTATGCCGTATTTGGACTTGAGTTGTTCGGCAGCGGTGAGGGATTGGCCGACGCAGCGGGACAGAGTTACGATGGTGAGGTCCTTGCCGGGGCGCTCGATCTTGGCTTTACCGAACTGCGAAGGGTTAGCGAGGGGATGGAGAGGCAGGAGTGAGGTGTCATACGGGAATAACAAAGTCGTCCTTCTGGGCTGCTTCGCTCATGGGGAAAGAAAGACCGTACAGAAGCCTGTGCATGTCAGGTGAAGCTCTCGAAGCTTGCTGCGAGTGACTCACTCGTTCTCCAAGACGACGACTGGGTTGGGGTCCCGGATGGCAGCCTTCAGCAGACCCTTGGCATCCTCTGCGCTGTAGGGCGCAACGACCTTCAGACCTGGAATGCTTCCGTACCAAGCAGTGTAATCTTGCGAGTGCTGGGCAGCGACACCGGAGGCGAAACCGTTGGGACCACGGAAGGTGATGTTGCAGGGCTGGATGCCGCCAGACATGTAGTGCGTCTTTGCGGCCGAGTTGATGATCTGGTCGATAGCTTGCATGGCGAAGTTGAACGTCATGAACTCGCACTGCGGCGTGTTAGAGGGGGGTCTGGTGCCAGGGTACGGGGGGGCAGAGGGCATACAATGGGGTGCAGTCCAGCGAGCGCAGCACCAACAGTCAGACCAGCGAAACCAGACTCGGTGATGGGGCTGTCGATAACCCTCTTCTCGCCGAAGCGGTCGAGGAGGCCCTTGGTGACCTTGTATCTGTGCGTCGTGTCAGCATCGTCTCTGAGCTCCGTCTCTCCGCCAACATGGCGTTGCCATTATAGCTCCGCATAACGGCTCCACACAAGAGCTCCTCCTCTTGCGTATCGCACATAGCTATGCTCCAATCGACAATGCATGAGAAAAACGTACGCTCCGTTGTACTGCGCAACTTCCTCGCCCAGCACAAACACCTTGTCGTTCGCCTCCATCTCCTCAGCCATGGCCTCGTTCAGCGCCTCTCGCACCGTCATCTCCTTCTGGCCCGAGGCATATCCTCTCCTTGCGACGATGGCGGGTGTGAAAGCGGGAGCGCGGAACGCTGGGCGGAACGCAAGGCGCGCGGCGGGTCGGAGCAGCCGTGAAGCAGCCATTGTGGCGGGGTGTATAGCGCGAGGTGAGGGAGGTCGTGGAGGTCGGTGGGGTGTGTTGACCGCGAGCGAGTGATGGCCCTTCTGGGTGTTGGGAGGTGTCGGATGGTCTTGTTTGACAATTTCTTCCGACAGCTCGGGGATCCACCAGCTTGGGCAAGCTCAACACAACTCGGTCGGTCTGTGCCGCTAGCGTATTTAACCCGACATCTCGCGATTTCACCGACTTCACCGACTTCGCAAGGAACATTGATTCTTTGCGATTGACAGAGTCAGTGGTTCGAGGCTCACACCAGCACTTTTCATGCATCTTCAACATAAAAATTCCCACGTGTGAAGGTATTACTTATATTCTACTCTATGTTCGCGTTGCCATCACCGTGTCCCAGAAGCCCACATATTACAGTCATATAACGCGCCCCCTAGGCGACGATGCAAAACCAGGAGATTGACTCCGTACCAAAGAAGATATGCCTACAAGGCTAGGATGAAGCAAGTCTAGTCGAAAGAAGCGAAAACAAACGCTGTTTATGCCTGCTCTGGTTTCCTGCCGACCATCAGGTACATGGGGGTGAAGAGCTTCTCCTTTCCACCAGCAACCAGGCAGTCAGCAGCGAGCGCCAAGCTGTCGGCAGTCTTCTGGGTACCCTTGGGTGCAAGGCCGATCACCTCGAGTCCACCAACGAACTTGTGAATCAGCCCACGGCCGATCTTGGTCATTCGGAGGATGGTGGGGATATCGCCAATGGCGCTGATGTACTTCAGCTGGCCAGAGAGCGGCCAGTACCATGGGTAGGGGTCATCTCGGTCAGCAAGATCCTCGTGGTGCTCCATTTCGAAGCCGGCAGCCTTCATGGCCTTGAGCGCAACCTCGATCTTCTCCATGTTGGAGATACCGTCACCGATCTCGATTCCGAGACGGATCTCACGGTGGTGGGGATTGTCGTTATCGTATGCATCAGTCATAAGCCATTCGTAGACACCAAAGACACCGCCGGGCTTCAGCACACGGAAGATCTCGCTGTAGATGCCCTCGAGGGAGGGAGCGTGAACGGTAGCCTCGATAGCGTAAACGGCATCGAAAGAGTTGTCAGGGAAAGACATTTGCTGGCATCATGTTAGTGGTGGGCATGGAATTTGGCACGGTTATCGTACCATGAAGTCACCCTTGGTGAACTTGAGCTTGTGCGAGAGACCCTCCTTCTCGGCGTAATGTGTGGCACGCTCGATCTGGTAGTCGTTGTTGTTCAGGCCAACGACGTTGACGCCCGCGAACTTGACAATCTCACGCGCGGGTCCTCCGACACCGCAGCCGACGTCGAGCACGCGCATGTCGTCCTTGAGACCCATCTTGTGTGCCAGGTAGTGCTCGTGGCGAGCAATGGCCTGGTGGAAGGACTCGCCATAGGCATAGCGGCAGAAGTGGAAGCTCTGGCCCCAGCCGTACTCGTACAGATCGGTCGCGAGGTTGTAGTAGTGCCTTGTGAGAGTGGCATATTCGTCTCGTCGTTCCTAGTGCTTGTTAGCATCTGTGGTACAAGACACGGCAACCAAACGTTACTCACCTTGCGTGTTTCTTCCGTCTCCTCAGAGGCGGCCTTGTTGTCCCAGTGCTTGAAGTACTCGTCTACAGCCGCTTGTTGGGCGCCACGGTCCTTCTGGAGCATAGCTGCCATACCACCACGCGTAGTGGCCGACTTGCCGTGCATGGCCTTGTTGAACTCGGCATCACGAGTGTGGTCTTCCTGTTCAAGCGCAATGGGAGACATGTTGAATGTTGAAGTAAGAGCCGCTGGTTTGGGGGTATAAGGACAAAAGAGGAGCAGTGAAGTGTCAATTGAGCAGTGAAGAACCTTGCGACCTCAACAACAGCGAAAGGGTCCAATCTTTATGGGAAAGAGCGGTAGGAAATTTGGGCGAGAGCGAACCCCCTATGAGGCCTCTTGTCCAATCACGGTCTGTTGTGTACGCGGAGCCGCTAGCGCCACCACCCGGACATGAGTGCCAAGTCCTGGAGATTTTAGCGTCATATCTCACCTTGCTCGTGAAGGATACCATCGCCGTTGTCCCGCTGCGCCCCCCACCTCGACGTACTCCGAGACCCCCGATACGCTGCACATACTCTTCGCCGACTACAGCGACCACGTTCATCTGATTTCAGGAGGTCTTGAGTAGGCCGTCCCACCTCCGATATGCCACCACAAATCAAGCAAGACTTGAATCGCAGTGGATGGGAGACCACCGACTTTCCGTCCGTATGCGAGAAGTGTCTCCCGGACAACCCATACGTGCAAATGTTGAAGGAAGACCATGGAGCGGTAAGTAGCACACGAATCTAGCTGCGCGCAAACAAGCGGTGACGAGCATGGCATGCTGTAGGCTAGATGATTACTTTGATCCTGCGCCGGCAGTTTAGCCGTACGCATGTCCTTGTTCACATCGGTTGCTCTTCAGCTGTATCCAGCGTCCGCCATGTTGAATCAATACAAGAACATGCACTAACACTGCTTAGGAATGCAAGATCTGTACCCGCCCGTTCACCATCTTCCGCTGGAAGGCCGACCGCACTGCCCGCCAGAAGCGCACAAACATCTGCTTGACATGCGCGCGTCTCAAGAACTGTTGTCAGTGCTGCATGCTAGACCTGTCCTTTGGTCTACCCATCGTCGTCCGAGATGCCGCGCTCAAGATGGTAGCGCCAGGACCGCAAAGCGACATCAACCGACAGTACTATGCGCAAGAACACGAGAGGGAAATTGAAGAGGGCAGGGGAGCGATGGAGGCGTACGAGAAGACAGACGAGAAGGCGCGCGAACTGCTCAAGCGACTGGCACAGAGCGAGCCATACTACAAGAAGCAGAGGCGGCTAGAGGCAGAAGGTGAGGAGAGCAGTGGCCAAAAAGCATTACCAGCGCCTGGAGGATCCGGTGAGAGTAGTGGAAGCGGACGCGCTCCAGGGCCGATCAGGACAAGGGACACAAGAGGCACATTCAGTGGACGAGGAGGCGCGAGGCCTGCAAGAGGCGGACGCATGGGAGGGCCCGCTGCAGAACCGAGCCCGCAGGACTGGCTGCCACCGTCTGATCCGAACGTTGCGTCTCTCTTTGTGACTGGAGTCGAGGATGACCTTCCCGAACACGAGCTCCGCACCCACTTCGCACAATACGGGAAACTTCGGTCTCTTGTTTGTTCACATCGAGCACATTGCGCCTACGTCAACTATGTCAACAGGCAAGACGCGGAGAATGCAGCAGAGACACTCAAGGGCAAAGTCGTGATCAAGGGCTGTCCAATGAGGGTCACCTGGGGCAAGCCGAAACAATTGGATAGCCTGGATCAGAATGTGCGCATGCAGTATGCCAAGGAAGGACGACAGGCTGCTGGCCCACGCCGGACTGCTGCTGCTCAAGCGGCTATGGAAGCTGCACCGCAGAACAACTTGGATAGCATGACCATTGCACCTCCGCCAGGAGCAGATGAGGAGACTGATTATGCCACTTTGAGGGGCGAATGATGGTTTGGTTTGGTTTGCAAGCATCGGGTCGGCGCTATGATTGGTATGGGTATCATTTCATTATTGGGCAGCAAAAGTCTAGGACGAGCAGCACTTGACTCGACCCAATGTACTCTTTCCCTTTCCCTTCCTGATATCCTCGTTATTTCCTCGCTCGGTATGTTCGTGTATCCGCAGCTCTGTAGCATATATTAGTCAAACATGATGGAACAGACGTGTGCTCCCAGACATACTGTAGCTGCCCTCGTCGTCAGCGGCTTGTCCTTGCACAACATTCTCCCTCAGGAACTTTGCGACCTCCTCGGCGTGTGTGAGTTGTTTCGAGAGCTCGTCGCTTCCGGCCGTGAGGCTCCGGTTCGATTCGAAATTCCTGCGGACTTCGGCGCGGGCAGCAAACAAAGTGTTCATGTCACCTAGCAGTGCTGTGAGTTTTCCTGTCCACTTGGAGGGCAGCAGGCGACATACCTTGGAAGGCGACGCGCGCTGACCGCAACAGGTTCCGATAAGCCACAAGCGCCATCTCGCGTGACATTGGTGTGCGGAATTATATAGGCTATTTTCGCGGTGGTGTCTAACAATGCGACATTGCGGGAGTCCGGCGGCGAGAAAGTTGCCGGCACGTGACAACGCTCAGCCTTGAACCCTGCCAGCGATCTGTAGCGCGCCTGCAGCTCAGTCCCGCTGACGTCGCAAGTTCCCTAGTTGTGACCTGCTTGCCTTTGCACGCGAGCATGCATTGCTGGCCGCGACAATAATCGAGCTCGAGCACCCATAGCGGGCTCCACTGACGAGATCAAGAACAAGATACCATGGTGTCGCTCTGGCCTTGGAGGGTGAGTCTAGGCACTTGCCATGGTGCAGATGCAATTCTGACACGACTACAGGCCAGCGAAGATGCTGCATCCTTCGAGAAGACGCTGAACACTCTTACGGGCAAGATCGCGAGGGCTACCGCCGTCAATGACCGCCAACGCCAGCTGTCGAGACGCGCACGTGTCATGTGGACGCTCTATGCGGGCTTTGCATACATCCTGGCTGCACTGCTGCTTACTCTGGTGACGGGCTGGCAGAACTGGGGGGCTTTGGAAGGCTCTATTGTCGCTGGCGGCCCTGTAGTGTGGGTGCTGGGAGACGTCTCTTGATGGAACAATCTCTGACTATCGGCAGCATCTACGGCATCCGCTACGCGCTCACGAGCTACTTCGATTACCGCATCAGGAACACGGACAAGTTCCTCAAGAAGCTCAACAAGGACCGAGATGCCACCATCGAGCGGCTGAAGGAGGCCACCAAATACAACTCGACACAACAGCTGCTCGAGAAGTATGGTGCTTCGCCAAAGCAGAAGGAACAGCCACCCGCGTCGCCACAGAAGCAGCAGCAAGGCCAGCAGAAGCAACAGCCCCAAGGTCCCCGAACTGGCATGGCTCCTCCGCCAACTGCGAACATTCAACGTCCCCCCGGCCAGCCACAACCTTCGACACCCCAGCGCCCGCCCTCGAACATCTCATCCCCACAGGGACCGTCTCCGCCGCCGCCGCAGTTAGCAGCCCTAGAAGCTCCCGGTGCCGAATTCGCACCCAATGCCTTTGGTTCGGCTGAATTGACCAAGCAATTCTCTGCCGCTCCTGCCGCTACCTTTGCCCAGACTCATTGGTACGACCGCATCCTCGACGCTCTGCTCGGTGAAGATGAGACGCAGGCTAAGAACCGTCTCGCACTCATCTGCTCAGAATGCCGCCTGGTCAACGGACAGGCACCACCGGGCGCTCGAGGCATCGAAGACGTTGGTCGATGGCGATGCAGCAGCTGTCGTGCTTGGAATGGTCAGGAGAAGCCTCGCGAGCATGTCCAAGAACTCGTGAAGACTTGGGAAGCTGAGCGCAACGCCAAAGAAAAGCAAGTCGGCATAAGCGCTGACGATGGTATTGATTCGTCGGACAGTCGGGAAAGCGAGGATGACAGAGGAGCAGCGGATGAAGGTTCTGGAGTTGATGTCGGGCATGCGCTGGTGGAGGAGGTCGTTGAGGCGCCTCCAGCAAGAAGCACGCGGAGCAAGACGAAGAGCAAGGGGAAGAAGTGATGAGTTCATTACTGGACGAGCGCATGGTTCCCTGGGGGTTAGATAGGCTGATACTGTATCATTTAGCGACATTGCATCTACATGCGGATTTACTTTTTCTATCAATACATCCGCAGATATCAAGATGTAGTTGTTCATTTACTTGGCTGTCTACTTTTATGAGCTTTTGCGCAGATCAGCAGTCTATCTTATGATACTGGACATATACAGGATTCATCTTTGCGTGAGTCGTGAAACACTGCGGTGGCAGATACCTTCTTACTGTACGCGCCTAGCTCTTGGGTTTGAGCTGTGCATGCGTTTGTGGCAGTAGACCTATCTGCTAGAATACTCGCAACCTGTTCCAGGTCGATCAAATCCAGCGGTAGGACTTTGAAGGCCACTGACACCAGGCGCCGGTAAGATTTCTGCCCGCATTTTTCAAATGAGAAGAGGTGAAGAGGTAGCCTGTATGTATTCGAAGATCTCTACAGGATCAGGTTGAAGAGCTTATAGCTGCGTGTAAATCTAGGCTCTTCTAGAAACTTACACTGAGTTCATCGTCAACGACTATCAGCTCATGTTGGAGGTGCAGAGCGGGCACGAATTTTGCCGCTGCCTGGTGCTGATGAGGCTACGTGAAGCCTTCTGTACATAACGAAGCGGCCGGAGATGTTTGAAACACTACCGTTTTGAAGGAAACGTTCAGCTTTCTCACTCCAGATTATATCAAGACATGCTTCCGCAGCCCAATAGAAGGAATTGGTAGAGTTACACCTGTCAACCCGCGAGAGTCCATCGCCCCCAACGTAGCTGCTACCAACGTTCTTGGGGTACATTTTCTCCTTGTGCTAAACATCGGCGAGAGTCAGCTCGTCGTACGGGTCGTTCAAAGATCCGCATGCCGGTGACGCTATTGCGCCACCAGCGGAGGGGGGGGGGAGGATGCTCGTTCCGCTCCAATTTTGGTATTCTGAGATGCCAATCATGCCCATGAAGTGCTCAGGGAAGCAGCTCCCATAATAGTCCTAATGTTGTGTTAGCTAGGTTCCACAAAGACGTGATGTCGCCACTGAAGCGGGTGAGGCTACCGGAGCAAGCCAAATTCAAAGAAGCAAGCCAGTGCCCATGGCTCTATTGAGTCACCAAAAAGGTCTTTTAGTGGGGTGACAGAAAGTGAAGGTAAACAAACAACTTAGCAGTGACTTACGATGTGGCCGAATTAGCGGTGATCTTTTTGGCAATCCATGCCGAGCGACTGACTGCAGTAAAATACCGAGCGGAACGAGACCAAAGAGAATCAGGAGGTGGATTTTATGAGGTTTATGACGTGGGGTGGGGTAGGGGGGAAAGCTTGTGGACGTGATGAGAGCCAGATGGAAGACGGCAGTCACAAACACAAGGCGCCCAGCCCCCGTGACTCAACGACGCGTACACACACGAGCATAAATGAGGAAGTAAAGGTCTAGCAATGTGCTATATGAGCCATTAGGGCAGACATGGGCGAATGGAGCATCCATTCAATGCTCCATTTCAAGCCGTTAGACTGTGTGTATTCACGATATTCACATGTACTAACAGTGACAAGTTTGACGAGAACAAATTATGATGGGAACGAAAACGCAGAGCATAATCTAATTGAACTAGAACGAGCAAGCTAAACGAAACATGAAGCTCATGTGACTTTGTCCCGACCGAACTCATATCCCCGCGATGAGTGAGCATGCGTACTTATGTCGAGTTACCGAAGCGGAGCAGAACGAAATTGAAGAGAAGGAGGAATCTTGGTAGCTGAGGCTTGTAAGGTGGAGGTGGACAGAAGGTGAAGCAAGCTGTGGATGGAAGGCGGCAGTCACAAACAGGAGGCACGACGCGTACACACATGAGAGGAAGTGAAGGCCTAACAGTGCGCTAAATCGACTGGGAGGCTCACTGTTGCATAGAGGATCCAGTAGAGCAGTGCCGTGAGGAATATATAGATGGACAGGGCGGGGAATTTGTTCAGTGCTCCGTCTCAAGACAAACAGGATTTGGGGTTGGGTGCTGAATGTGGTTGTGTTGTGGGAATGGACTTGGCCAGCAACACATGTTCCTGCCTGAATGTTGTACTCTATCCTGAAGCTATATGCCATGCATCACACTTCTTCCTGCAATCTCACAGCCTTACGTGTACCTTTAGCTCTCATTATGCTGCGTCACAAAGTTCAACTTTCATGGTGTACGCATCCATCCTGCACTCTCATGACATCCAGACAGGTCACGTTTCCGAAGCGGCCGACCAGGAGCTCGATGTTATGCCGTGCAATCGACACAAGAATAGGCGACAAAACCGCCAATGTCTTGGGCATTCGGCAAACCGCTGAGAGGTGAAGCCATCATTTTGATGAATATCAGCTACTTCTCATTCTTTGAATAGGTAAGCGATTGGAAATTGGAAGGCATAGTCAAGATTGTGTAGAGGTAAGAATGTGTTCTCGTGACGACACCAGTTCGACTGGTTTGCCCATACGTCTATATTTTAGGTTTAGAAGTATACAATACATATAAAACTGCCTTTCACCCAAATACTCTTTGCCCTGAGCTACTAAGTCCAGCCGTGAAGTTCCCATGGTGAGCTATCAAAGCCCGCAGCCATCTCCGTCCGTGTAGTAAAACATTAAACATCTAAGCACGGAAGGCCCTCTTGTGGCTGCGGCCGATGCCAGCAGCGTTGAGGTCAAGGCCCGCGGCCTTCGCCTTGGCCTGCGCTCCACCTCCGAGAAGAGCACTAATATCAAGTCTACCAGCACCAGCGCCAGCTCCAGCGTTCGCCTTGCCCTTGGCGTTAGCAGCAGCACCGCCACCACCAAGGAGGCCACTGAGCAGACCGCTGAGTCCACCACTCTGCTGCTCCTGACCACCAGCCTGGAGGGCGGCTTCAGCTTCCTGGACAAGTTGGGCAAGGTTGTTGTTGCCGTTGCCCTTTCCCTTGCCGTTCTGCTTGCCGTTACCTTTGCCCTCGTTGTTGCCGTTGCCTTTACCCTTGCCGTTGTTGACCTCTGTAGCGTTTCCGGCAACGCCTTCAGTGACGTTGGCAGCACCGGCGTTATCAATCACCTCGGTAGCGTTACCAGCTGCGGCATCCTGTTGCTGTTGCGCGGCGTCCTGGGCGGCCTGTTCGGCTTGTTTCTGCTCATCAGCTGCGGCCTGGTCTGCGGCTTGTTGGTCCTTTTGGGCTTGCTCTTCAGCCTTTTGGGCGGCTTCGTTAGCCTTCTTTTGCTCTGCTGCTGCCTGCTTTTCAGCTGCTGCTGCTTCCTTTTGGGCTTGTTGATCAGCTTTCTTCTGTGCGTCCGCTTCTTGCTTGGCAGCTGCTTCAGCTTCTTTCTGGGCTTGTTTGTCGGCTTTCGCCTGGGCATCGGCCTCTTTCTTCGCATCCTTTTGGGCTTGTTCATCAGCCTTCTTGGCAGCCTCGTCAGCAGCCTTCTGTTGCTCTGCTGCTGCTTTCTGGTCTGCTGCAGCATCTCCGGTCGCATTCATAGCAGCCATGTTCTGCTCAGCGGCGGCGTCTTGTTGCTTCTGGTCTGCAGCTGCGTCCTGTCCTGCATTGGCGGCCTCATCGGCGGCGGCGTCCTGTTGCTTCTGATCGGCGGCATTGTTCTGGTCAGCAGCTGCGTCCTGTCCTGCGTTGGCGGCCTCATCGGCGGCGGCGTCCTGTTGCTTCTGATCGGCGGCATTGTTCTGGTCAGCAGCTGCGTCCTGTCCTGCGTTGGCGGCCTCATGGGCAGCGGCGTTGTCCTGAGCTGCACCGGCGGCATCCTGTTGTGCCTGATCGGCTGCGGCTTGATCTATAAATGAGTTAGGAAACAATTATGACATTTTGTTCGGCGAGCTCACCAGCTTGTGCCTCCTGCTTTCCCTTGCCCTTGCCCTTGCCCTTCGCCTGCTGCTCATCAGCACCGGCGGCGGCATCGCCCTGCTGTTGCTGGGCCTCTTCTTCTGCTGCAGCAGCAGCAGCAGCAGCGTCTTCTTCAGCATTGGCGTTGGCGTCCTTCTGACCGCGTGCTAGAACTGTTGCACGACGGACAGGAAAGGCTCGCTTGACGAAGTCATGGGGCTCTCGACGACTGAGGCCTTCAGTTGCGCTACCAATGGCTGCAACATCTCCAGAAACCACGAAGGGCGCTGGAGCCGCTGCCACCATTGAGGCGGAAAGGAGAGTAAGAAGTGTGTACCTCATGATGAAGTGTAAAATGAACCTGTCAATGAAGGAACGTAGTGAGATTTGTCGGAATTAAACAGTGAGCACAGCTCGATGAAAGAATGGAAGTGAAGGGAAGAGTGCGCTGCACCAAGGGAATGTTTGACAGGATGAAGCTGGGCGTATCGTTTAACCGTGTGGAGAGGGCGATTTATATATTCAATGCGTATGATTGTGTGTCATGGAGCTTCGCCAAATACAAGCAAGGCCGACGATTGACGAGACCGTGCCTGGGGTGACTGTTTGCTTCTCCCGTGAACATCATACAGACGCTGTGTGAAGATACCCTGAGGCGTCCAGGCTCCAAAAAAAGAACGATCGGAGGCCTCCAATTTTCTCTTACAGGTACAGGAAGCTTCCGAACGCTTGATAGTTGTGACCTGGACAGGAAAGGCCTTGAACGCGTGGACTTGGCTGTAAACGATCGAATCAAACGCATCCACTCTGGATTGACGCAGGCTTCATGCCTGACAGCCGATGTCATCGAGCTTTGGCATGTGGGGTCATCGAACGTGTGTTGTCAGAGAACATGTTGCAGACGAATAGGGGAGGATTATGCGAAGAGGAGCAGATGCTAAACGCATAAGTTTGGTGTGTGACTGAGGCCACTGTGCTCTTCCAATCGGGCCATGTTGTGGGACACTTCGTGGCATGGGGTTGAGGCTTGGCGGGTTTCATAGGGACGGATGCACGAGCGTTGAGCCTCAGAACCTGGGGATCATACAGTCAACAAGCACAACGAGATGATGGAAATAGCTGGAAGGCCTCAAATCATTGACAGCCTGCGAAGACCCCGCGTGGTGCTTTTGCTCGGTCTTACTCTTCATTGTCTGTGACAAGGCCCTGTTCGTTCGTCTTCTCCCACAGTTGCGAGTATTACAAGGTAGATGCGAGCATCTGTCTCTCAACGGCACGCTAAAGCCTAACGGCTACGGCTTGTGGTGATACACGGGATAGCTCTGTCACGGTCGGCCCTAGGGTGAGGCTCTGCCCACGGAACAGTGTTGCTAAAATCAGCTTGGATTGAACACAGTCGTGTGTAGAAAGCCGTACGTCGCGTAGGTATACGTAAGCGCGTGGAGTTGTAGAGGTCATGGCATTTGTACCGCTGTTGGTTGTTGTCACAGCAATGGAGAGGAAAGGCTCTCACATTTGCAGAACGGGAGGGAGGCGTGGGCCAATCAGCGGCCCGGCAATCCAAATCCGCGCGCCGCTTAGCCTCGGTTGGAACTTCGAAGCATCGTCATTGAAGAAACGGCGAAAGATGGGGGCGCGAATTCACGCCTTCTACCACAATTCTCGTGATCGAGGCAGCTCGCGGTGACTGTTTGGTGTGCCAAAAGCACACAGTTATATCGATACATTTTGCGACCTTGCACGTGTCTCGTCTCGTGCTGGAGACTGCTTCATATCCATCTCGCCTCACATCACGATGGCTTCCAGATCTTTACCCACGTCGCTAACACGCCGCTTGCTTGCAACGACACGCTCTGCGCGCATACCGGCTCGCAGCTTTGCATGCGCACCCTCACGGACACGTTCGCTATGGCAGTCACATCGCCCCGCCGTCCGGATTGCTGGACAAAGACGAGCTTTTTCGTCTACGCCACGAACACATCTTGCCACTGAAGACGACACCTTTGACCCACGATCGATTGAACGCGAGGCGGACGAGGTCGACGTGCTCATCGTGGGCGGTGGCCCCGCGGGGCTATCGGCCGCCATCAAGCTCAAGCAATTGGCGAACGCAGCGGGCAATGAAGACTTTAGGGTCTTGCTGTTAGAAAAGGCCGGTGAGCTGGGCGACCACATTGTGTCTGGAAATGTCATCGAGCCGTCTGCCCTCGATGAGCTATTGCCGAACTGGCGCTCAGAAGACAACCCCGAGCGCTTCTTCGACATAACGCCTGCAAAAGAAGACCGCATGCGCTTCCTCACCAAAAACAACGCTATCCCTCTACCGAAACCACCCCAGATGAACAATCACGGCAACTTCATAATAAGCCTGAACCAAATGGTCAAATGGCTGGGGGAGCGAGCCGAGGAAGTGGGTGTAGAGATATATCCCGGGTTTGCAGCATCTGAGATTTTATACAACCACGAGGGTGTAGTCAAAGGTGTTGCCACAAACGATCTCGGCATCTCACGCGAGGGCAAAGCAAAGGACTCTTTCGAACGCGGCATGGAGTTCCATGCGCGCGTTACCTTGCTTGGTGAAGGGTGCCACGGTAGTCTATCGAAGCAAGTGATCAAGAAGTACGACCTCAGGAGAGACAGTCAACACCAAACATATGGCCTTGGCATCAAGGAAGTATGGGAGGTCCAGCCAGAAAAGTTCCAGTCTGGCCTTGTGGTTCACTCAATGGGTTACCCATTACCCAAAGACACATATGGTGGTGGTTGGATGTACCACTTTGGCGAAAACCTGGTTAGTATAGGTCTTGTGGTCGGTCTCGATTACCCGAACCCATGGCTAGCACCATATGGCGAATTCCAGAAGATGAAGCATCATCCATTGTACAAAGACGTGCTGGAGGGAGGCAAGTGCATTTCTTATGGCGCAAGGACTCTTATCGAAGGTGGCTACCAGTCAATACCGAAGCTTGCCTTCCCTGGAGGAGCGCTCCTTGGCGACTCAGCTGGTCTAGTCAATGTACCGAAGATTAAGGGCACACACACTGCCATGCGGTCGGGCATGTTGGCGGCTGAGGCGACGTGGGATGCGCTACAAGGTAACACAGATGGTGGTACCGTCTTTCTGTTCGATTACGAAGACAAGATGCGAAAATCCTCTGTGTTTTCTGAGCTCAAAACTGTACGCAACATGCGACCATCCTTCCATACATCGCTGGGTATCTATGGTGGTGTCATTTATTCTGGACTGGAGGCATACGTGTTCCGGGGCAAAACGCCATGGACTCTAAAGCACGGCAAGGCTGATCACGCGAATACCAAAGCCGCCGACGAATGCCCTAAGATCGAGTACCCTAGGCCCGACGGCAAAATCAGCTTCGACATTCTCACTAGCGTAAGTCGAAGTGGTACAAATCACGAGGAGGACCAGCCATGCCATCTCCAAGTCAAGGACTGGGACGCACATGCGCAAAAGGAGTGGCCCAAGTACAAGGGTGTAGAAAACCGATTCTGCCCTGCTGGTGTGTATGAGTATGTGGAGGACGACAGCAAAGAGCTTGGCGTTCGATTCCAGATTAACGCCCAAAAGTGAGATCCCTTGAAGCACGCCCCTTTCGAGAAATGAAGCTAAACCATGCCAGCTGTGTTCACTGCAAGACTTGCGACATCAAAGTGCCTGACCAAGATATTAATTGGCAGACTCCCCAGGGTGGTGAAGGACCGAAATATGTCCTCACTTAAGGTCACAACGAGTGAGGCGTGCCGCGCCAGTCCGGCCACATGTAGCATGCCGTGCTGCAGATCACTCATGTATCATAGCAAAGATTATAAAGCATAGTTATTTCCAAAGTCACTGGAACGCTTGAGGACTCAATTGTGCACTCCCCATGGTTTTGAGGCTCAAGCCTGGCGTCTTCCGGGAATGTTCGCAGCCACATCCCCTTGTAGCCAAAGCATTTTTGCTTCCGCAAAGGCCGGGCTCTCCTCAGATATATGGCCTGAAAACACATGGTGTATCGTACATCTTTGGGCACACGATCATGGACTGCGCAAGATACACTAATTGACTCGCCCGAAGGTGTTGCTGCCCAAATAGAACCTTGGAAGCTGAGGTCGAGTGTGTAGGTGGGGCTACTATTCGCAAGAAACATGCTTGTACGCTTCATTCAAAGCTCTCCGGCTCTTAAATGAAGCCGTTGAAGTGAGCTGCTTCACTTAATCGCGCAGAGCACTTTCTGATGATTTGCCACATTTCGTTGTCGCACTGAATGGCGTTGTGACGATCGTTAAACGTGCACGTGATCCTGGCCAGTGCGCAGGCTTGGCAGCTCCGCCTCGCGCATTTCACCTCATCAACCTTTCTCCACCCATCATCACTCCCGGGCGTCCATATCCATTACGACCCACCGCCCATCTCTATATCCAACTTTGCGCAAATACCGCGCGTGGTGAATAAATTGACTTCACGTGCTTAACACCTGCACTTGCTAGCCAATCCGGCTGTCTCCAGTTTCGTGCCTAGGTATCCTCCATATTTGGTCGGCCGTGTTGCGACAGGACTTCCGCCCGTTTCCAATATCCCAAGGTACGACCCAACGCTATTGTATTCCGTTGGACATGAACCAGGCAATCCTCTGGCTCCCTTTGTTGCGCGTCTCTCGGACCACTGGCTCCTTGCTGCCGCGCTCTCTTATCTGCACTCGTTCCGCTTCTGGCAAACCTCAATCGCGTCCACTTCGAGGCACTGATTAGTCGTCAACATGCGCTCACTACCAATCCAGGCTAGGTTCCCCAGAGGATCATATTCGACAACAACTTCACTATGACCGAAGTTTCCGCTACCCGCCTTTACCTGGGCAATCTCCCTCGCAATGCCACCAAGGCCGAAGTCGAGGCCCATTTCGCGACCCATGGCACTGGCGAGATCACCGAGGTCAAGCTCATGAATGGTTTCGGCTTCATCGAGTACAAGGATGCAATGGATGCTCGTGACGTTGTTCCTGGTAAGTCCAAGTTCTCAGCAACTGTTAGTTGATCGAGCTCATGCTAACGTGCAACAGCATTCCGTACGTAACCGCGCTTTTCGGCCATCTCTTTGGATTACAATCTAACAAGTGATTAGATGGTACTCGATCTTCATGGGTGAGCGCCTCATCGTTCAGTTCGCCCGCGGATCCCGCGCCCGCAACGAGAACTTCACGCCCCACGAGCGTGTTCCTCCGCGACCACGTCGTACTCCGTACAGGATGAGGATAGCAAATCTTCCGGTGGAGACCAGCTGGCAGGTTAGATTCCCCGAGCATTGGATTTCCCCCGTCCCCATCTGTGGCCAGCATACCGTTTCCTGGACCAGCAATGGCTTGTTCTCATATCCTTCCTGATACCCCTTCTCTGGATTTGGATTCGGCTTAACCTCATTGCATAGGACCTGAAAGACTTTGCCCGTCAGTCTGGATTGGACGTCGTCTATTCCGAAGTTGGCCGTGAGCGCGATGGCACTGGGTCAGTATTATGTACCGATATGCTGCGATTACGATTACTGATTTGCCCTTAGGTTCGTCGAGTACGAGACGCAAGCCGACTTGAAGACCGCAGTAGAGAAGCTAGACCGCCGTGAGTTCAAGGGTCAGGAAGTCACCTGCACCCAGGACGTCTCCGACCCACCCCCACCTCCTCCCTTCAAGCCTAGGGCTCCATACGGAGGCCCTGGAGGACCAGATGATCGCGGTCGTGATAGATACCGCTCCCGTTCGCCCATGGGCCGACGTGGTGGTGGCTACCCCCCTGCTCCCTACGACGACTACTATGACCGCCGTGGTCCCCCTCGTGGCTATAGCCCTCGACGCGATGACTACCGCCGACGCACTCCACCGCGCGAGTTCTATGATAGGCGTGAGGGAGGCTATGGACGCTCCCCGCCACGTGGTCGTATGGGAGGACCTGATGAGTATGGTCCACCGCGCGCCCGATACCCTGACGATCCTTACGATGCCAGGGCCGGACCACCTCCCCGTCGCTACGAAGACCCCTACATGAACGGTCATGGTCGCCCATACGAGGCTGGTCGCCCTCCGTCCCCCCGTGGTGCTCGCCCCCGTAGCCCGGGAGTCCGCCCACCATATGACGCCGCGGCCGAATATCCGCCTCGTCGCTACTAGTAATGCCCCCTTTTCACAAAAGAAGCAGCAGCAGCAGTCTCCACTCGCGACTATGCACTACCTTCTACAGGCTACCGTATTGGACTCCGCTGACTCAACAGACCGCGACCAGGCCAGTTTGAGGAGCTTGGTATAGGTCATGGACCCGTGATATCTGTGGACACCAGATGTGGATTGTCAGATTGCTTCTCTTTTCTTCTGTTTGCCGGTCTCCTTCGGAAGGATGTTTGGCCAGCCATGTTTGGATCTTGCCTGTATAATGTCTGCTTCAATAGGCCTGCACACCAGGATCTTTAGCCGCCTTGAGGGAAGCACCTTGATGTGTCCACCAGATATGTAACACTAGCCGGATGGGTGATCCTTCTTATGCACGCCAAAGGCCATTCAAATACATTGTCGAATTCACAATCCGGTTCAGCTGGCCTCGTGCCCGTGTTTCCTAAGTCCATGGTCATGTCCCGGTATCACCGCGATACCTCACTGAGCCCTGTGGCGCGGGGTGGCACACTTTTCGTACCTGAATCAGTACTCCACAGTGTGATGTACTATGGCCAATCATCAAGGGGAGTATGCATGGATGGATCTGTGTACTCCAAGCTTACCATCATCCTGGATAAACTCAAGGACCAGTTACGGATACCCAGAATCCGTAATTGCGGCCCCAATTCTCCTACCTTCTGTCGATTTTACGCCAGCTCCTCCGTTTTCTTCGAGCCATTCCATCTGTAGTAGTCTCCACCCGCAAAGTCAACATGTCGAGTAGTTCTCATAACATCGGGCAATCAACTGATATTCCGCCACGTGAGTTGACGTAGCCTAAAAAAATCCCAGCTTCCTGAGCACGTGGCGGAATAAGAGCTGGGTGCCCGGTGGTACGTTTGTTGAGGGAAATGCTGCAAAGGTTGCATCACTGTGCCCATACGTTTACCGAAGGTGTGTCCACGGCCGTGTAAATTGGGGCACGTGCTTCGGACCACGACGTACGTCCACGATTTTGATGGGAAAGAAAACCCAAAATCGTATTGTATCGCCCGTTATGTAAAGGATGAAAACGATGGAAGACCACTAGAAATTCTAGGGGCTCCAAGAGCCTCCTCGCCCTCCGTCATCAGTTCACTCTACAAAGATCCCGCCGTGCTTGAGGCTTCGGTATTGTGCCATTCTTGTCATGTTCGCTTTCGCTCCATACCGCAGATGACCCGACTTCATGCCGGTAGCGTTGAGAGTCGAGGTGATTGCGGATTATCATCAGTGGACGGGGGCTCGGGCGACCTTTACCTTCTCGGCAACTGTGTGAGGGAGATGGAGGCAAGACAGCTGGGTGAGGTAAAGGCAAGCCTCTTACGCCCGTGACGTGCGAACCAGCAGGTTATAAACACTCTAAATTGGACCACTCTTCTTATCATCCTCCACACCTCTTTCTCATCATCACCAAACGCAACCATATCAATCATGGCCGACATGATTCCCCACCACAATTGTCATTTGCTGCTGCTTCAACTACCTCATTTGCCGATAGTAAGACTCAGAGACTTGAATGACGGCGGCGCCGTACGAGCAGCATCCCAGTACCCGACCACAGTATCCGACAACAAAGACAGCACTACGCGGCGAGGAAAGTTCACAAAGCTTATCCAAGCCCACGAGAGAGGCGTCGATAGCTTCAGACATGAACTGATCATGGGAACTGGCGCGAACGCCAAGGAGCAAATCGCAATCAGCAAGGAGATTACCAAGAGCACGACCAATACGCGGTCGGACTGGATCGGCACCATTTCATGGCTGCAGAAGTTTGTTGCTGGCGAGGTGCAGGGGCACGACTTTCAAGTGCTCCTCAACAACTACAGTTAGGCAAAGAAGATTCTCGCATTGATACCAGCAGGTGAGACTGCAACAGAAGCAGTCACCCGCCGCGCGCTCCGTCGAAAATACGAGAAGGGTTGCACGTACATATGCAGCACATCAACGAGGAGGCAGAGATGAGATGTCGGCATTTGCCGTCAGCCCCCATCGCAGCGACAAGAGGCTGAAAGTATTCAGCGCTTCTGGTAAGAAATAATATTGCTACTGTTGAGCTAACTGGATTACGTCGCGTTTGCTTCAAGGGTGAAATGCTTACAGTAGTGGCCCTTACGGTATGGCCTATAATCGAAAGCCGTAGTACTGCTAAGATTACGTGCCTGCCCTCGTGCGCGGTCGGCATCCTTCAGTGACTTGAACACGGAAATGTGGACAGATAGCAAGGGGCGTTCGAACAACTTGGTGTTTGTGGCTTGCGCCATAGCTTCCATTGCGGTGAAGAAATGTTTATTGAAGTGGCTCGCCCGCACACACGAAGCAGATCATTGAGTCTGCGGTGGCTTGGAATGGGAACCGTAGGATCCCTTGTGCTTGGGCATCGCCCAACGACACGGCCACTTGCCTCATGTTGCCAGTGGCTATGGGGATCATGGCAATTAGCTGAGGGATGTTCGAGAGGACGATTCCCTGTTTGGGTTTGGCTGCTTCAATGCCTGCGCGACCTTGGCCATCTCCAAGGACCAGCCCTCCGCAAACGCTATCTATCAGCCTGCAGTCTTGTCCTCATGTCTTGATTCTGTGCTGATGAGAACCCAAGCTTTCACGTAACTTGTGCCGACAATGATTAGGAAGTCTGTCTACCTGCATGAGGAAACTGAGTGGCTTTATGATGGGGTATTGTGGGAACTAAAAATTTACGCAGGGCTATAAAGTTATGAGAAGAGAAGTATTGCGTAGCGTTTAGCTTCGGGATGTCGTGCGATTTGGAACCGGACAGGTGTGGTATATCGCAGACTGATTCCCGAGAACGGTGGTACTAGGTCTCTATAACGTCTCATTCGCCTTTGCGAAGAGTACATAGGCAAAGTAGCACTACTTGGTAAGTCTAAGAAAATCAAGAAGCCGAAGCACATTTCCGTGTTCGGGCGGAGAAACTTCATTCACATATAAGACTAGGGAGCTTAGTTGAACAGGTAGTTTGGACATTGAAGTGGAGTAGCATTTAACAGCCTGAAGCTATGCACAGGACCTTGCTATCGAATTTAAAACCTGGTAATTCTGTGCATGGCTTCCGGCTGTATGATAGCCTTATTGACTTTGTCGTAGTTGACGATCCGTAGTAATTTCGCCTATTAGCAGCGCTGCCAACGGGCTGTACTACTGGTAGTCCTCTACGGGTTACGGCTCATATAAGCAGTAACTAGATTAAAAGTTACAGTAAATAGGTAGGTCTTGTAACTGTAATAGTAAATATTTAAGAGCCGTAGTACGATGGTGCTAATTAAATAAGTCTAACATGCTAAGATTACACTTTAGGCACTTAGGGGCAGCTCAGTCATTTGCCTAGAATAGAAGTTACTATATTAGCACGTGATCTTAGCAGTGCTCCGACCTACATTCCTAGTTCTAACCCTGAGGGTCACTCCTATAAGTAATTCACTCTAAGCACGACCGTAGCGTAAGCTACCTATGCCTATAGAAGCCGTAGTACAGCCCGTTGGCAGCGCAGCCTATGAGCACATCACTCAAAGTGAGATTCAGCACCGCATCCTCTATTCCGTATATCACCAAGTCTTTGCAGTATCGGGCTAGCGCGCAGGACGAGTCAAAGCGCAAAGAGCAAAGGACAAAGGCAGAAGACTTCTAGAGAGATCAGTTGGACAGATAACATGCATATTAAATTTGTGTAAAGACCAATCGGATGCGGAGGAGAATGCCTATCGAGCGCTTCTCACCCAGCCTACCACACCCACGCTGTAACCGACTAGTCCACCAACCCTTTCCCTCTCGCGTTTTGCTTCGTCTTGCCACTTCTTCAGCTCGTTGACAAGATCCGACTCTTGGACGACGACATCGCCATGTAGTCTTAGGAATACACTCATCCATGCTTGCACAAGCTCGTAGTCTCTCCGTTCCTGTAGCCTCGCGGAGAGCGCTTGAATAAAGGTTCGGAGCTCGGTATATGGCTCTGTCGTATCAAGAGTACGAATTGCAATGTCTGCCGCAGATGGCGGAAGGGACGAAAGGTAGGTGAGTAGAGTAGTGTACTCAGCCGTGACGGCCGCGAGGGCAAGATGGCGTGTAAAGTCGTTTGTCGCCGTCGCAGCTGATGATCGCGAAGTCAAGGCGGAACTGGAGATGCGGGAAGCCGGATCTTTACTAAGAGGTGCCAAAGCGTTGTCTGTAGTCGAAGTCTTGTCTTGACCTACAGCAGGCAGGAAGAAAGGAGCCTTTTCTGGAGCCTTCGGTGCCTCCTTTGGCTTATTACGCGCACGGATCACGTCGAGGTGTAGCAGAGTCTGCCAACGCGATTTGGGTACAAGACTAAGTGTCGTGATGTTGTCACTCAGCTGATCCATGACGGGAACTGTAGTTTCATCAAATTCTTCTTCGTCAGATTCTTCCGCAGCGGCTTCGACGACAGCCACGCCACCTTCGCCAGACGCAGTGGGTGCAGTGACGGCGGCAATCTCTTCCTCCTTGATTTGCCGGGTTGAGACGTGTGTGAACAGGGTTCGATTGGTCCAGATATGCACACCAACTTCATCGTCCAAACCTGTGGCGAGGAACTCACCTGAAGGCGAGAAAGCGACGGTGTTGCACTTCTTTGGTAATTTCATTGCATCGATGAGGTGGCCAGTGGGAAGGTCCCACACCCTGATCGTCGAATCTGATGCTGCGGAGACAATCCACCGACCATCGTTTGAAAAATTGTAATCGAGCGTCTGCAGCTCTGCATGTGAGCGGGAAGCCCATAGCTCACGAATGAGTTTCTTTGTTTCGATATCAAGGACACGTATTGAGCCGTCGTCGCAGCTCAAAGCTACTAGGTCGCTATTGTGGTGGTATCGTAGACCGAAAACCTTAGTCATTGGGTACCAATCAATCTCATGGAGCAAGGTACCCGTAGTGAAGTCCCAGAACTGTGGCCAGTTAGCATGTATACCGAGTTGGTGATCATTGGGCGCACCTTGACTTTGCCATCATCCGAACTGCTGATGACGGTTCGATTTAGACCATCCACGGCGAGACCAGTGACTGATCCCTTGTGCTTGCCTTCGCCCTTGGCAAACTTCCGGGGGAGTTCCATGTCCGTTCCAAGCGTACTGTCCTCGGCTTGCAGTTGTTGCAACTTGTACTTCTTTGCCTCGGCGGGCGTCAAGCGTGCCGGGAACCTTCGTCGGTGTTGTCCAGATTGCAGATTGTACATGTCAATTGCTCCATTAGTAGAACCAATTAGCGCAAATGTACCACAAGCCGAAATTGCAACACTCTTGACTGGACTACCGTCACTGGTGTCAAAAGCCCACCTGCCTGCCCGCTTGCGTCCCCAGAACCATGTTCTCGCCGTCTTGTCGCCGGCATGACCAGTGACAATGCTCTCCCAGCCAGTCATGCTGACCTCTGAGGCCTTTTTGTCTTGCCCTTTCACCTTGGACGAGTTGTTCCAGATGCCAGTAACGCCGGGCATTGCCCCCATGCCACCATCACGGTTGAGCGAACAGGCCATGCACGTGATGGTCGGGGCTTTAAGGTCCTCCAGCTTCGCGTGGTGCCTTGAGCCTTCGGCATTGCCATTCAGCAGACCCGTCTTCTTCGCCTTCTTCTGGATTGCACCCTGGCTCAGCTCTGTGCTTTGCCCATCACGTCGCAAGCTCCATCCCCACAGGCTACGGTCCTGGCTTGCGCTGAGCAGCCATTTGCCAGTATCATCAGAGCCATCGGAATTCGAAGGCAAGAAACGCAGGGTCGAAACTGGAGCAGCGTGTCCACCACGTGAATGCAGAATACGAGGAAGGGGCGAGAAGGGGGTCTCATCGAAGATCCAGCTCTTCAAAGAGTTGTCAAGACCACTGGAAACGATGACTGCCTGGCCAGCGAGAAACTCGACCTTGCTGATGCCGCCACCAACGCCACCACTAGCGGATGGCGGTGGACTATGAGCTCCCCGCAGTGTGCCCATTTTGCGCCCGCCCTTGTTCAGGTCCCAGAAAGTGATATCACCGCTCTCACTGCTCGAAGTGGCCATGACACCATCTTCACGGCCGTCGTCGCCAGCCCCCAAGCCATCCGTCCTGAAGGTGATGGACGTCACCGGCAACTTCTGCGAGCCTCCAGTGTTCAAGCGCATGACTTCCTTATCCGTGCGTATATTGTGGATCGTGACGGGCCCTGATCGGTATGCGATTGCGAGGAGCGGCAGAGCGGGCGTCGGCTGCATTGCGGTGACGGCACCGAAGTCGGCGGCAGGCGGCAGGAGCGTGTAGAGCAGCTTTCCGGTGCTCAGATTCCATATCTCGACTGAGCCATCCTGCTGGCCAAGGAAGATCTTATTCAGATACGTCGGCATATTGCAGATGCAGCCAGACAAGTTGCTCGACGATGCGCCGTGCAAGGTGGTGTAATGCTCCAGCGTGGCTGTCTTCCAGACGTCGACCTTGTTGGCTCCACAGCCTACAATCCACTCGCCCATTACTACGAGTCTGCTGATCTTCTCGATGCCACCCTGCGGCAGCTCCAGCTCGGCGACCTTCTTGCCGCGCTGGTACACCCAGATACCCCTCGCAGTTTCATTGCGCGCACTACCAGACCAGGCGGCAAAGACGACCTTCTTCCATGCCACTGTCGCGGTGATTTCTTCTGGGGTCTGCGGGCGGGTAATGAAGACAAGGGTTAGTCCGCGCTTGAGGTCGTACGTCTGCAGCGAGCGGCCGACGGATGTGGTGATCTGGAAGGTGGTTTTGCCGAGTGGGAGAGATGTGAAAGGGACACTGGTAGGAGAAACGAGGCCAACGGTCTGATATCATGTCAGCAATGGGGACACATGACGGTGGATGTATACAGCATACTCGGAAAGGCGCGAAGATGTTGGACTGGCGGACAACGGCGGACGAGCTTTTCTCGCTGTGAAGGTGCAGTTTTTGGCGCTTGGTCACGGGACCACTTGCGCTCGAGAGGTGCACCTTTGGACCTGCCATGCTGACTGCTACACCAGTATATCAATGTCGTGTGAGGGCGGGCGCGTGTCCTGCTGGCGATGGCTGCTGAGCATGCGCTGGGCCAGAAATTTTGCGGAGCGCAGCGGAGGTGAGCACGGACGTAAGGAGTATGTGGCATAGCATGCTGAGATGTACACACGCTGAAATATACACATGCTGAAATATGCACATGCTGAAATGTACACATGCGGGTGACTGTTCCTGCAGGGCGCTGTCTCGAGACGGGCCAAGTCCTGCTCTACCCATGCATCGGCTTCGCCGAGGCTGAAGAATGGCAGAGACGAAGAAGCAGCGTTGTCTGTGTCAAACCCAGACCCGTCTTTTACGATGATTCGGAAGACATTCTCCTAACGAGACAGATGCTCTCTCCTGCAAATAGCCATAGTCCAGGCCATTATGATCGTCGTGGTGTTGGCAGACGTGCAGAAGCGAGACACTAAGTGCACGACGTGCTGGCAAGGGTGGCATTCCGAGCCTTCGTTGATCGCTCACCACGTTGCAGGAGGTGCGTCCACTCACGACGAGAGGCTCGAGCATGCTGTGCCTGGTTGGGTGCAGTAACGCCGTGCTGTAGACTCTCGGTCGCTGGTCGCTGGTCGCTGGTCGCTGGTCGCTGGTCGCTGAGATACATAGACCCCATCTCCCCTCATACGTCATCATGGCGCTCGCTTGTCGAAGAAGCAATTTGTGAGCATCCAACGTCGACGCGCAGTACTGCAGACTCGCCATGGAGCACTCGCTGTCGCGCACCGCAAGCGTAGAGAGCACCCGCTCATGGCAGCAGCTGATGGCCGGGTCGTTGCCGGCAGACAGAAAGGCCAGGTCGAGTGAGCCGGAGACGGGTGGAGATTCTGTGGGCAGGGCCAGTGTATCGCTGCCACCCTCTGGATCGCAGGCAATCCGACAGCTTCCCCAGCGGCGGGCGTCCAAGGCGTCGGACAGCATCTTGGATCTTTTTGGCCATGCGCGGAGCAGCAACAGCACCAACAGTACCAATGGCTCTGCTATCGACGAGGTAGAGACGACGCCTACGCTAGAGGGTACCCGCACCAGCAGTCTTGTTCCATTGAATGCCCTGATGCTCCCGGACGCCCTGAGACCACCACCACCGCGACCACCACCCGACGCCGAAGTGCCCGAGAACAAGCGCCTGTCGTTCTCGTCGCTGTACTCGATCGGCTCTGCCATCTACGCCAACACACGCGGCCACAGCTGGAGCGGACGCAGCTCGCTGGCAGGCTCTGAATTCGACGCAAAGATGGAAGGCGCCCCCCACACCACGACGGCGACGTCCTCGCTGACGGTCGAAACCACGCGCCAGAACGGCACCCTGGGCCCCAAACTCTCGCCCACGCAGGCGCTGTTTCCCCAGGAGCAGCCCGCAAGTGCCACCCCCAGCCTGACGCCCTCGAATGCCTCGGCCACCAATCTGGCTCTGGCCGCCCAGGCAGGCCTCTCCACGCAGCCACGCCGCTCGCGAAGCCGCACCGCCCAGCGCCGCATCAGCGGGAGCACCGCCACCAGCAGCAGCCCCGCCAGCAGAGACATGCGCGAGAAGAAGCCCACCAAGGGCATCATCGGCGTTTGCGCCCTCGAGTCCAAGGCCCGCAGCAAGCCCGCCCGCAACATCTTCGGCAAGCTCGTCGAGGAGTTTGACGTCAAGATCTTCGGCGACAAGATCATCCTGGAACGAGGCCGTCGAGAACTGGGCCCGTCTGCGACTTCCTCATCTCCTTCTTCTCTGATGGCTTCCCGCTGGACAAGGCCATTGCCTATGTGCGCCTGCGCAAGCCCTTCTGCGTCAATGACCTGCCCATGCAGCAAGTCCTGTGGGACCGTCGCCTCTGTCTGGGCATCCTCGACAAGCTGAGCGTGCCCACCCCCAGGCGCATTGATGTGACGCGCGACGGCGGGCCCCGACTTCAATCGCCCGAATTCGCAAAATCCGTCTTCGAGCGGACAGGCCTGAAGCTCCAAGGCCCCGAGGATGGCACAGGTGGCGGTGTACAGCCGCCCAAGCATGTCGAGCTCGTAGATGACGGCAACACCATCCTCGTTGACGGCGTCACACTGACCAAGCCTTTCGTCGAGAAGCCGGTGAGTGGCGAAGATCACAACATTCACATATACTTCCACAAGAAGGATGGCGGTGGCGGCCGACGACTCTTCCGCAAGGTTAACAACAAGAGCTCGGAGAAGGACGACACTCTTGAAGTGCCTAGGTCCATTCTCGATCCCACAAGCAGTTACATTTATGAGCAATTCCTCCAGACTGAGAACTCTGAAGACGTTAAAGCATATACTGTTGGGCCATCTTTCTGCCATGCCGAGACTCGCAAGTCGCCTGTCGTCGATGGCCTGGTCAAGCGTAATCCGAGTGGAAAGGAGGTTCGCTATGTGACCAAGCTCAACGAACATGAGGCTGCAATGGCATCAAGAATCTCTGAAGGTTTCGGCCAACGAGTCTGCGGCTTCGATCTCCTGCGCACTGACGGCAACAGTTTCGTCATCGACGTCAACGGATGGAGCTTTGTAAAGGACAATGGCGACTACTATGACAGAGCGGCCAACATTCTTAAAGACATGTTCATCAAGGAGATACATCGCAAACAACGCAAAGACGCCGCCCAGTCTGCCGCTGCTGACGCACAAAAGGCGCCTGAAGACGCTGCCACAGCCCGCAAGAGCGAACACCGCAAGGTTTTCGGTAAGATATTCAAGAGTCCTAGTATGTCCAAAATGGCGAATCACTACCATAGTTCTACCCATCTTCCCCATATGCGGCACGCAAGCACCGTGCCCTCTTCACCTGAGACATCACTAAGCACAACCCCCATCGCAGCTTCACCGACTACAGAAAAGCCTAATCCTCTGCTCGGTCCTCCTGCGATTCCACCTTCCGCCGACAAACCATCGTCAGAACCAGAAATCTCGCTTCCTCCCGTCTTCGACGACGCCGATCTGCATCTCGAGCCAGAAGCCTCGCAATCGGAAGAGCAAATCCCGGTACCTCCACCAGCTTCTGCGGCACAATGGAAGCTGAAGGGTGTGGTCGCCGTAGTCCGACATGCTGATCGAACGCCTAAGCAAAAGTTCAAGTACACCTTTCATTCGAAGCCGTTTGTGGATCTGCTGAAGGGCCATCAAGCTGAAGTGCTGTTGATAGGTCAAGTTGCACTTCAGAGCGTCAATGATGCGGTTAAGGTGGCCATGGACGAGGAGCTTGAAGACATGAAGAAGCTTCGCGAGCTGCAGTTGTACCTCAACAAGAAGGGTGCTTGGCCAGGGACCAAGGTTCAGATCAAGCCCATGTTCCGCAAGAGAAAAAAGGAGGAACTTTTGCCAGGAGAATCGTTGCCTCAAGACACTACGGACGCGCCACGACAAGGGTCAGTATCTGGCGAAGGGAAGGACGCCACGTCCGCTACTTCCGATGAGACAGAAATCGAGCGACTGAAGAACAGAAGTGATTCCATGTCCGGTGTCACCTTGTCTCGCATAACCGCTCAGGATAACAATATGGTCCTTGACAAATTGCAACTAATCATCAAGTGGGGTGGGGAGCCAACGCACTCTGCACGTCATCAAACGCAGGACATGGGTGCTAATTTCCGCAACGACTTGATGCTCATGAACCGGGATGTCTTGGACGATGTGAGCATTTTCAGCAGCTCAGAGCGAAGAGTCACAACGAGTGCCCAAATATTTGGCGCATCTTTCCTCGACAAGGATCAGTACCTAGAGGAACGTATCTCGGTACGCAAGGATCTTCTCGACGATTCCAACGCAGCGAAGGATGTCATGGACAAGGTCAAGAAGAAGCTCAAGACGCTTTTGCGCGCAGGGACCAAAGCGCCCCCGCAGTTTGCATGGCCAAAGGATATCCCGGAACCCTATATTGTTGCCAGACAAGTCGTGGATTTGATGAAGTTCCATCAGCGTGTCATGAACCACAACTTCAAAAAGATCGATTCCGAAGCCGTCTCATCGCTCACTGCTATTCAGTCTCCACCAACCCAGCCAACTACCCCTGGGCAGTCTCTACATCAACACACGAACGTCAACCACATCCAGTCGCGTTGGTGCTGTAACGAAGGCCCAGAACTGTTCAAAGAACGATGGGAGAAGCTCTTCAAAGAATTTGCAGATGCGGATAAGGTCGATCCTAGTAAGATCTCAGAGCTGTATGACACCATGAAGTTTGATGCACTACACAACCGTTCTTTCCTCGAATGGGTCTTCACTCCAGACGCCACTTTCGTTGATGAGGATCCAATCGTTGAAAGCTCGAAACAAAACTCCCCGGAACAATCTGGCAAGAACACACCCACACAGTCCGAGCAGCCAGTCAAGTCTGATCTAAGAGACATCAACAAGGAGATCAACCCAGAGAAACCTCTAGAGCATCGCGCCAGTCTCAGTCATCGTATGGGTTTCCGGCGTAAATCCGAGATCGCAATCAAGCCTGCTCCAGTACCGTCGTATGTCAACGAATCATACTTCAAGCTCTACACTGGGCTTGGCACCGCTGCATCTAAAGCTCAGATCGATGCTCGCCTTGTCAAGTTACGCGAAATGTATCATATGTGTAAAGTATTGTTTGATTACATTGGTCCACAGGAGTACGGTATTGAGAGTGAAGAGAAGCTCGAAATTGGCTTGCTCACCTCACTACCCCTTCTGAAGGAGATTGTGGCAGACCTCGAGGAGCTGCAAGCATCAGATACGCCAAAGTGCTTCTTCTACTTCACCAAAGAATCTCACATCTACACCCTACTAAACTGTATCCTGGAGGGTGGTATCAAGACCAAGATTGAGCGCAACGCTATTCCAGAGCTTGACTACTTGTCTCAGATCAACTTTGAGTTGTATGAGTCGGAGAATTCGAGCACGGATAACCAGCCACATACTTTCAATTACAGTATTCGCATCACATTATCGCCTGGTTGTCACGCTTTTGCGCCGCTGGATGTGTAAGAGCCTCTCTGCATCGCATGTTCCACCAATGCTAATCATCATGCAGGCAACTTGACTCCCGCCATATGATTGGCTTTTCCCCGCGTCGCAGTTTAACCGCCCACCAGGATTGGAAGGAGGTACTCGAGACACTGCGCGCTAAATTCCATACGTAAGTCACATCAGCCTCCCATTTTCAGGTGAAAGGCCTAATCGCCATGACAGTGTCAAGCTCCCCAAATCCTTCGTTGCAATCGACCTTAGCCAAGACAGCAACGGTGACCGTCGCGGCAATGGCAAAATGAAAGAGAACGGTGATGCGAAGTCGGAAGATGGCGAAAGAGGTAGATCGGAAGAGCGACAAGATGAAATCATGCTCCCAATTGCAGGCGACGTGGCTAACATCGCCTCACCTGTTTCAACGCTCGATTCAGGGGAGGGGAGAGAGGGACTACAGCCGGCAGTGCTACCACCACCTGCTCTAGACCCTTGAAAGGGCTTCTAGAGCCAAGTTACGTTAGTAAGAGATGCATGTTCTAATTGGACTTTTGAGACCACGGAGGCTGTATCAATATCATACAGAGGCGCCAGGTGTACAGTAGGAGGATGGGAGGCTTTGGACAACACGCATCGTTTTAGCGTCGCTGCGTAACGGAAACATAATTCTTCAAAGACTGCAAAATGGACATGAATAACGCGCGCGTCAACGATAGATTAGTGCACTCCGTCTGGAGGATGCGATGGTGACAATGATTCGAGTGGTGCAAGGTATGCCTTCTCAGACTACACTCTACCTCTCTGCATCATTTATCATGGCGACTTGGCATCAGTGCACCTAGGAAACATGCATGCGCTACACTGCTGCGTGCCGTGCAAGCTTTCTGGATGTCAAAAGGGGAATGATGATCTACTGGTCAGCACATCATTGAAGAGTAACACGAGTCACGCACGGCATTCGCCGATCGACGAACATATGATCGAGATGGATCCTGCAAGGAAGTATGTTAGTTCACGGCACTGTTGGGCACCTAGGTATCAAACATGAGCCAAGACGCGAGGTCCTCGCTTCACCTGCCACCCGCACATGTCAAGTAGTCTTGCACTTCACAAGCTGCAGTCCAACTGCCGTGGGTAACAATCTTCTACGCTACAAGGCAACGCCAGGCTCGACTGGATTCTTCTTCACCCTTAGTATTCACAGAGTGAGAACAACACGCCGCCCACCTCTACGCCACAGGCCTTGAGTGTGCCTGGCTACGCAGGCCTTCTTCGGCCTCCCGGTCCTATCGTCCGCAACCTGGGACCTATCAATCTTGACCTAGCAGGTTCATCACCCAGCCGTCTGAGACTAACAGCTAGTGTTGCTGTAGAGCGATCCGCTAATCTACGCTTGCTCACACTATATCTCTAGGTGAGATGCTAGTGTCCGGTCCGGAGAACATCCCGGTAGATCATGGTTGTTGAAGCTCGGTATTGGACGTTCTCGAAGAATCCGATGTTGAGACAAAGTTTCAGTTTCTCCGAAGAGGGTCCTTGGTGTGAAGAGGCAGTCCTGTGAACAAATTGGAAAATGAGAACCTTTGCAAATCATATGTTTTGCCTTCCATCTGCACGGCTAGACTGCCAGCATTTCAAAAAGAAGCCAGGTAACCCAAACTATAGACCAGGAACATGCAAGCTTCATGGTTTGGCACCGCAAGGTGCTCCAATAACTCGTACGCGCTGTGTCTGAAAGCTCTCTGATCTATCCAAGGGCAATGTTAAGTTGTCCAACCCCTGATTCATTTTTGCACTTCATTCCGTTCAGGCTCACATGTAAGATGACAGCTACTCTATAATAGCAGACTTGAATTTGATCGGAGCGTGCACGACTTGTTGAAGCACCTGCTGTATAGTGGCGAATCAGTGGGTGCATGAATCACTCATACATGAACCTCGACCACTTATTCGACATCCGTCCAGACGACAAACCAGCATTTGTGCACTATCGCATCGAGGTCTGCAGTATCGAGTCAGACCCTGCCCTTTCCCGTTTCCCTAAGTGCCTTCCCCATAACTTATGCCCGTATGGGTGACCCTGTAATTAAATACACAAGGCGCCCATGGCGGGTGGTTGTGGTCTATGCTCCAAATTCGTACTGACTCCGGGCAGCCGGACTCTGCTAGGGGGGTTTAAGTACCGCAAGCCTAGTCTTAAGATGCTAAAGCATTCGCCTCTCAAATAAAGCGATGCCCACGTAGCTGTGAACAAACGCCTCGACCTTGAATTTCTCCTGTGCAACTACGGCGGGCCTTTCTTTGCTGCCGCTGCTACCTGTCTGTCTGTTGCAGAAAAGATGTCCACTCTCCCAACTATAGAAGACATCATAAAATGGCCGGCACCCAACTACGTGAACCCCGAAACGCGTCGCCCGCTCGTATTCGGTGTTGAGATACCCTTGACGATTCTGACCATTGTATTTACGGCCGGTCGATTTTACAGCAGGACTATCATTGTGAGGGCGCTGGGATGGGATGACTGGTTTATGCTCGCCGCCACGGTGCGAATCTTCCTTGAATAGGTATGCGCTCTCAGGCGCTGACGAGACACTTGCAGATAATATCTACCGCGACAAATATCATGATATGCATCTCAACGCTTCCAGCATATCAGACAGGATACCATCTCTACGACTTGAGGCCTGAGATCCTGGTCAATCCCTATCAATCAGCTCAGGTACGCCACTACTTCTGTCACCATCGATGTTATGGTCATATCTGGCTTCACACTGATTCACGAACAGATGGCCATGGCCTGTCAGCTGCTCTATATCCCGGTCTGCGTCTTTACCAAGATATCTCTTCTGATAACCTATCTTCGCGAGTCCTCCTACATTCATGGTCATATAATACTAGGTTGCTGACTTCGCGTAGGTATATTTCCGAGCAGGTCGAATAAGTGGTTTTGCTATATTCTCATGGTATACGAGGTCGGCTGGGGAATCGCAGCATTCTTCGCCACGCTATTTCAGTGCAGTCCAATTCAAAGCTATTGGCTTATCCAGTCCCCGGTCCGCAACTGCGGCAGCACGCCCGCGCTATATTACAGTACCTCTAGCCTAAATATCTTCACCGACTGTACGTATCCAGCCCATTTTAGACAGCAGCCCTCCTTACTAATGCAACGTCGATTTAGTCCTCATCTTTCTGTGGCCTGCGAAAGACCTCGCATCTGTCCAGATCTCGGTCCGCCAACGCATTACCTTGATCACCATGTTCTGTCTAGGCGTCATCATCTGTATCGCTGGACTGCTACGCGTGTGGTATGTTTCCATATACCTAAAATCTTGGGACTTCCTCTGTACGTATGACACCGTTGTCTGTGACACTACCATTGGAAGAACATGCTTCTATCCGATGTCGACGATCGAAACTAACACCCCCTCCCCCCTATAGGGCACGGTACCGTCCTCTTCGTGATCGTCAGCATCGAAACCTCCATCGGGATCATATGTGGATGTCTACCAGGTTGCAAACCCCTTTTCACAAGGCTTTTCCCTTCCATCTTTTCGCACTCAGCCAACTCGAATTCGTATTCGCGCTCTCGTAATAAAACGCCGCAGCATCCACCCAACAAAAGTGTCGACGGTCAATCCTTCCCCTTCCAGATCGTGAAGGAGGAAGGCTTTGAGGTCCGGTATGGAAACAATGACGACTTTGATAGTCGCGGAAATTCTAGTAAGATGGGCACAAGCTCGACGACGACGGGGAAGCTGAGCAAGAGCATCGACGATGACGGCGCAAGTGATGATAGTAGAGAGTGGATCATGATGCAGAATAATCCAGTCTCTAAAGTTAGTCCAGTGTAACGGATACTATGTAATGCAGGCTAGCGAATAAAACGGCGGACAGGATCAAACTAACGACAACTGGACTTTACAATGCATCCATCTTGCATGACTAGGGAAATTTCGTGATGATGAAGCAGCTCATAGGGTGTTATGATTCGTTGAACTGGATTGGACATGGCAAAATTGTAGATGTCTCGTCAGACTCGCGTTCTGTACTGTTTAAGGATAAGATCTTGCTCATCTGAAAGGCCCGTCCTGAGATACCTCACCAAACTCCTCAACGTTACCCCATGTCTTCCATCCTTGACCTCACCGCCAAGGAATCCCTCGATTTTACTCACGACTAACCTTCGAGGTGACCGTGGCGGTTGATGTGAGCCATCAAGGCCGTATTGCGTAGCGGTACGGGCAGGGCTATCGTGTTATCTGGTGGAGATAGCGGTTCGTCATCCTGATTTCAATCTATGAAGGTGAGATCGTGCTCTACTTGCAAAGCATGTGTGTCAGACACTGACATTCGATGAAACAGCGAGCTAGCGTAATGCGGACCGATTTCAGGTTGAGACAAGCGCACGCTTGGCTGGCTGTTGCTATTCTCTGGTCAAATGTCTAATGGTGAGCTAAGTTTGCCGGTAGGGCCAGGAGATAGTTCCTAGAGTGACCCATGGATCACGAAGGCTTTCCTATTTGGATTCCCACCTGCAGGTCGAGGTCGTACAGTATGATCCAGGCTGTTGTTGCACGGAGGAGCCCGCACATCAACTTTACGAGGAACGTGGAACTGTGGTGATATCGTACGTATATGTAGGTCACCAGCTCTATTATCATCATGAAGATGAGCTGGATGCGCTGAGGTCCATCCTGTCTGACCTGAAACCAAGGGGGTTGGGTACGGGAGTGTCCTGAAAGACATCTGATGTGAGAAGAGCGATGTTCATGCTGGAATCGAATACTGTGATGTCAAATCGTGTCTGAGAAAATATGTGTGGGGTTCAGAAGGCTGCCGAATCCACTTCTAATGATGCGCAAGAGACTTCATGGGTTTTACGAGCCCAAGAGAAAAGCCTTGCCGCTAGCGACAGAATTTATGGATTCCAGTCATCTCAACATTGTATGTACATTCAAGCTGTGCTGCACGCTCGGACGCTGGATCATTGGAAAACTAGCGTCGGGTCTATTGTGTCTGAATGGTTCTTAACAGCAACGAGGACAGTTTATAAATGATCAATGCCTGGGCAGCTGCCACACGATGTGATAGGAGTTGAAATACATCTAAGTACTTGTAAACCTTTCTTGACCTTTACCTTTGAGTGCGTATGCTTCAGTACACCCTACGTAGTCGGGACAGTGCTGGGGTAGGACAGTGCGAGGTGCTTGCCTCACACCAGCACAACGTCCCTGTCCAAATAGTCTGATTGTCCATAAGCTCTTGACTTCTGGATATCGTTACATAGCGTCTCCCTTGTTTGTCAACAAGCGTTATTGCAGTCGCAGAGCCCCTATGCAAGTGAGCTCTGTGTGGCTTTCGAGTTCAGTCGCTGTCTCACTCAACCCTCAACCCTCAACCCACCCCCACGTGGGCACCCAATCCACGAATTCAACCAGCTTTTTCAGTATCAAAGAAATAACCATGAGTACCAAAGGTTTGAAACGGTTTACTGTCAAGGCGAAGCGCAGCATGTCGGGCCTTAACCCGTTCTGCGATGGCTATGAATCCTCGTGAGTGGCCCTTCTCTGAAAGTGTTCTCAAATGAGCCATGCTGACAATTCACCGACCGAACAGCGACGCGAAGAGTAGTACTGTCAATCTGGAAGAGTTTGGGCTTTCACCGACTCACGCGTCGTCCATATTTCCAGATGCACAGCAGATGTCGCCGTCCAAAGAGAGTCCATCTCGACGGAAGAGGTTGATGGGATCGCTGCGAAGCATGGGATCTTTGCGAAGCTTGGGTTCATCTCCTTTGAAGGAAAGAGCTAAAAAGCGGTCGGAAGAGCCTGTTGTCGAGTCACAGGTAGGTGTTCCGTAACGATGCTGTCAAGCTGATGCTAAATGAAACTAGAGTCCTTGCACACCAGTCCGCACACTCATCGAAGGGAAGGACACTAGACCTTCTCTTACGCTCAACTTCGAACGTACACCTCCTGAACAGCCTATGTTTGGTGCTCTTCAGCGCAAGCACTCTTCCTCCAGCTTGAACGTTCACCACTCGACCCCTGTATTTATACCGACGCTCGAAAAGCTGGGTGATCTTCCCACAAGCATTCCTGTTCATGCACAGGAATTGCCTCAAGGAACCGTGCCAAACACGCCTGCTCTACTTCAGATGGCGTTGGAGCGGGACCCTGTCATGTCTGGTTCGCATCTGGATTCAAAACCTGTGCGTTCAGGAGTCGGAAACCACGCAGAATCACCACGCAACAGACCCATACTTCGAACAAACCCCTACCACGAGGATGATGACATGATCGGTTTTCAATCATCGCGCGTCGAGCAAGGGGCATCTTTGTCAGGACTCATCCCGGAGTCGTCGAGCTACTTCACCATCCCAGTTGCCGACATCCATGAGCGCCCCCAGTCGGGCAGTATTGATGTTGACCCTGACCAGAAGTTGAAATTTGCAGCACAGGAAGCCTATCTCATCAACACGATAGCTGATGAATGTACATCAATCTCGGACGTTGTCGCTGTAGCAGCCAAACCCGGCATGCACGTCTCTCAATCGGACAGACGTGACTCGATGCTAGCTCAATGCATCCATCAAGACGAGAAGCTTAGCTATTTAAAAATGCCCGTCGGTGGGCAAAACGCGTGCGATCGCTGTCAGTTCAACGAGCGGGCTTCCATGGGTCAGGGCTCATCACCAATCGGCATCGAGCACGTCGTTTTCAATGAGGATCCTGAGGAACTAGCTCCTGGCCAGATGCCCGCTCATCAGATATATTCTCATCGGCAGGCACAGGCTCAGAGAGATATCCAGAAGCGGGCTGCTAACTTGGACATCGAATCCTTCCCGGTCCTCGACATGGACACAAAGCCAGCTCAAGGCACCTGGGGTACCCATGGCAGCCTGTATGACGGCAATGGTTACGGTGATACACAAAGCTCGAGCTCCGCTCGTCCATCCACCTCGTCGACAATTTCGGGATCGCCGCTCAAGACCATGGTGGAGACAGGTTTCGATGTCACTTCGCTTGCAGAGGAGTCTGCCGCCATGGCACGGGACCACGAGACATTAGAGGAGGTCATTCGCACATACGCAGCCTTGCAGGACGAAGGCTCCTCGGGTATCAGCGACGAGATGCTGGAGGGTGTTGTTGCCGACGTACAGTTGGCCAACGACATGGCGAACCACAGTCTGGGTGCATGAGTCGCTTTTGCGGATTTCTGACATTGTTGGATAAGGCGGGCGGAACAGTTGAACAACCCAACGAACGTAGTGATTATCGCTGGGGTATTTATTTGTAGCGAGCAGTCCATAGCACATCCGTAGTTTTAATTCAGCCGCGTACGTTTAGCCTCGCCTTTCTCCTCCATGCATTCGCCCTCGTTATGCAAATGAATCATCTTCTCCTCCATATCATTCGAGTTCCGCATACCCAAACGACTGTCGTCGACTCAAAAAAGGCAAGCCGTGGTAGATCATGTAATGGATCAGGCCACATGGGCTCACCCGCTGCACGTTAGCGCTCAAAATACCAGTGGGGCCACGCTCGTACGATGCTTCCTACATTTTGCCATGGATTGCCCCTCAACGATGGAACGAAAGTGTTGCATCATGGGGATGGCTGCGTGGAGCTATGCGCAAGGAGGGAAACTCGCCATTATCCTCATAAAGGCGTGTGCAGGCGCTCGAATGTAGCTTGGTTCGTCGTAAAAAGTATATGCCCCAAACAAAGCTCAGCGCATGAACACGATGAGCGCTACAGTCGACTCCGAAACAACAACGACAGTCATCCTTGGAAGTGGTATAATCGGCCTGAGCACTGCTTACTTCTTATCGCAAAGTGGCAATACGAACCCGAGGCGTATACACTTGGTTGATGCGAGTCCTGAGTTGTTCCATTGCGCATCGGGGTTTGCTGGTGGTTTTCTAGCTGCGGATTGTACGGCATATCTCATTTCAGCAACTGCCTAAGTGTACTTGATTGTACTCATTGTCTGACAATACACTTAGGGTTCGCTCCCTCTGTAGCCTCACTCGGCGCATTATCGTATGGGCTACACGCACAGCTCGCCGAGTCGCACAACGGCCGGGCAAGATGGGGCTATTCAGATAGTGTTGCTATATCACTGAGCCAGGACAGCGAAGAGGCAGTCAGTGGGAGTGGTGAGGACTGGTTAGAGAGCGGCACGAGTAGAGGACAGCTGCCTTATCATGCCAGTCCTTGGGAAGCGGAGGAAGGTGGACCACAATGGTTGCGACGCACGAAGGAGGGAGCCATGGAAGTCATAAGTGGGGGTGGAACCACGGCACAGATTGACCCACTGCGATTTTGTCGGTGGTTGTTGGCAAGGTGTCAGGAGAGAGGCGTGAACGTGCACAATCCTGCGAGAGCACTGTCATTGTCACGAGATGAGAGTTGTGTGTTGAATGGAATACGCATGAGTCACGACGGCGTAGAATCAGAGCGTAAGATACATTTTCTATACGGAGAGGCGCAGCTTACCCATGGCAGTACCATGCACACGTCTAGTAATCACATCTGGCGCATGGTCGCCTCGCGTCTTTAGTGCTCTCTTTCCTAGAACGACAACGCGAGTTCCCATCTCTGCACTCGGCGGCCATTCCCTGCTCATACGAAATCCGCATTTCCAGCCTACCGAAGCCGATAATGGATCGTGCCATGCCGTTTTTGCAACAGATACATTAGGCTTCTCGCCAGAATGGTTTGCACGGACTGGAGGGGAGCTGTATCTCGCAGGCCTCACGACCACCACCATCCCGCTACCCGATGTCGCGACTGAAGTCAAGGCCAGCGGGGAGTCCATCAATCAGCTGAAGGCATGCGCACGAGCTATGATAGCAGGTGTGCCTGGCCAGGACTTTGAAGTTTTGCGCGAGGCGCTGGTGAGCCTGTCCTTAAGATTTGTTAGCGAGCACGACTAATCGTGGTCGACAGTGCTTCCGTCCCGTGACTTCAAGCGGACGCCCAATTGTATCAAGGATACCAGACGGGAAGCTGGGTGGGATGAAAACTCGGCCTGGTGCAAAAGGAGGGGTTTTCATTGCAGCTGGACACGGTGCATGGGGTATCTCGCATGCTCCTGGCACGGGAATGGTACTTTCAGAGTTGATTGAAGGCCGGCAAACGAGCGCAAAGATCGAGGCACTGCGGTTTCCGTCTTGAAGTTATCTGACATCTGACATAGTAGCAAGGTCTGACAATTTATACTACATATTGACACTTATGATGAAACGCGAACAGGGTGCATGAAGTTATACACGGAGCCTTGCTGTCGCAATCCACGCCTACGATATTGCGCATAGTTCCGGGCTATTAGATGCCCTTATTCGCTTTCCATTGTAGTTAGCAGCCTGCAGTACAGGCAGTGCAAGAGCGTTAAGGTCAAGGCAGGTTCGTGAATATTGTGTGGTTACAGCGGCTTCGTGTTCCGAAGGGAACGCCTATAATTTTTGCGGATAAACTGTCGCGTCAGGACATTGTATCGCACTTTAGCTTACTGTGGATCATGAGTATTCCGCCAGCTTTGCTGTGTCGCGTTTGTACGACTGGACAATGTTCTACTTATAAATCCTCGTTGTCCGTTGCAAAAACCTAGTAATCGCATGCGTATTGATTGCATGTTCATGTGCTTGACCCCTCCTCTACCCAATGTTCAGGAACATCCGCTCCACATTAACAATAGATCTTCAAGGAACTTATGGCAAAGTGTGGGTCGGAAGAGCAATGTAGCATCACCGTGACGTCAGACGAAAACACCAAAGAACAAAACCATGGGTAGCATGTTGAAGTAAATGACTACCATCCAGCCACACAGAATTCTATCTTAACGATTTTACTATTCGAACCCTTTTCTACCACTACCAAACCACCACCTTATATCCTACAACATGCCTCGCAACGGAGACGGATCCGGCGACAACGGCCCCATCGAGGGCAACGACATCATCCACGGCAGCTCTGGAGATGTATGTTACTGACTTTACCTCTGAAACATCTCGTTATATGTTGACAACGCCTTTAGAACACTCTTCAGCACGCCAAGAACAACGTCGCACCCATGCCCGAGATCGAGAAGGGTGAAGGTACGCATCACTCCCGGGAGGCCTATGAATGAAGCAACGAGTGCTAACAGATACCAGCGATCGAAGGTCTTTCTGGCTCAGGAGGCGGCGACGCACCCAAGGCTGGACACACTGGACAGGGCAGGGCAGCGAGCGACAGCAACAAGGCGGCGCCTGTCGACCACGCTACAAAATAGGCGATGGCGGGGCCATGACCCAGGAGGAATGAGACCTCGTAAAGAACCATTGCGGTAGAACGTGTTGGCAGCATGGCATACTTGTGTCCCAGCTATGCAAGGAAGCACGTTGCGGATTTGAAGCCGCGCGTGGAGCACGGCCTAGACAGCGTACGAAGGCGTGCCCTAGTGAAGTCAAGAATGTAAAGACGTCACCCAAAGAAGCAAATATCTATGCAAGTGGTGCCGTGAAGCGGTTGCGTGTGTGTTGATGTGGGAGTCGGCAAGCGAAGCGAAGCGAAGACCTCCGGAGACCGAGAAGCCTCGCGCACTCAAACTAGCAGTTTACTATATTTTGCTAATTCGGCATTCGTTTGTGCATAGGCTATGGATAGAACTTACAGCAGTGCTGCGCGCGGAACGGCGCAGTGTTGGTACGGCGTCCAAGAAGGCGCAATGTACGTCAGGGCGCAGTCGTAGTGCTCTTCACAGCTGAGCCAGACCAGCCACGCGGAACGCCTATTGTGGGCTGGTGGAGAAAACGGCATCATCGCACATGGATCGGCACAGAAGCACAAAGAAGGAGCCAAGACAGGATGTTCGAACTGATGGGACTGGATGAATTTGGGCTGCATGAAAGGCACCAGCCCTTGGTGTATCTATCTTGTCCGCCTCAAGTGGTTACCAAGTCCATTATCAAATCAGAAACGAACATGTTCTACAAGAGTGAATTCACTCGCTCCAGACTCCGTTCGCCATATTTTCCCAGCCCCGTGATGACCCCGTGAACCGTCCAAATCCTCACTTTAGTGGTGATACATGCCTACGCCGCCCTACATGTCGTCTTCGCCTAGAAGACTTCATCAGTCGTGATTGAATAACGGCACCGTCAACAAGCCCAGCCCCGCTCGTCCCCTTCATGGGCCTTTCGTCGACACCATCGACGCTAGAGCTCCGCTGCGAGAGCCTCGTCGCTAACATAAGTTGCGCCAGAGGCACTCTGCAAGTCAGAGAACTTTGCATCAAAGCCGTCAGGAAAGCCAAAAGGGTTGGAGCTGGGGCCGTGGCCGAAGAGGGAACCGCCAAAGAGATCGACATGAGAGTCAGCCATGCCGAAAGCGGGTTGCTGTGACTGGTCCATTGAAGTAGAGCCTTCTGGAAATTGGTCAAAGTCGAAGAGGTTGTCGAGGACAACAGGCTTTTCGTCGACTGTAGGGTGAGGTGGAATAAAGTGAGATAGGCCAAGATCGCTGCCAACCGAGGGGAGCCCGCCGTTGTAACCGAATCCGACTGACACTGCAGGTCGCACAATAATCGCCGGCAGGATATTGTGTCGAAGTCGAATTCGGGGATGGCGGCCTCAAAGGTGGAGGCGGGCGTCTCGGGCTGGCAGGATGAGTCTCGGGGTGAGTCCATCGAGTCCATGGAGATGGGGCTGGGGAATGACGCCGACGTCCGCGCGGGGCAGATGGTCTCGGCGTTGTCGGTAGTGGAAGTGGACGAGAGGTCGAAGACGGGGTCTGGGGCGTCGCCAGGATACTTTGACCGGTAGAACTTGAGCTCAGCCTCCATCTGGGCCATCCTCTCCTTGTAGGATTTGAGGTCGGCCTCCATCTGGTCCTTTTCGGCCTGGAGGACCTCATACTCTTGGCGCTTGCGCTCACGTGAGTTGTGGGCAGCGAGGCGGTTGCGCTTCACACGCTCGATGCGTCGCTGCTCCTTCTCGTCTTCAGTCTTGGCGCGCTTCCGTGGGGGCAGGCTAGTCTTGGGCTCGGGGAGTACCTGGCCCCACGACTTGCGCTTCTTGACGGGCTTGCCCTCGGAGCCCGTGGGCGCCGGTGTCGACGACGACGGTGACATGTCGTGGGCTGATGAGGGTGCGGGAGAGGGTGTGTCGTAGGGGACCTGGAGATCCTCCATCTTGATGGTGGTGGGGACTTGGTCGTGAGTGGGGGGTGTCATGGGTGCAGAGGCCATCATGGTCGGCGTGGTCATGGCTTGCGAGAAATAAGAGTCGAAGTGCTGTTGCTGGTCCATCCCCGTGGTGTTGTAGTTTGTCGATGCGTGGGAGCGTGCATCTGGCAGGGTGGTGGTCGGGGCTTGTAATATGAACTGGCTGAGGGCGAACAGGACAGCGTGGCCTCAAGTGCTCTTTATCTAAAAGGCAGCTACGCCCCTGGTAGTGGCGCTTGCCGCATCGGGGCTGTGCCGCGCACTTGCTTAATTTAGCGCCGAGTACCGATCCCTCACCAAGAACGCCCTTGGACCCTCCTCGCCTCTGCTCTAACCACTCAGCCGCGGCCCGCCTGTTTCACTACCGCATCATCCCTGGCTCGTCGTCTATCCAGGGAGCACGGCCGGTCTCCGAAATGCTGCGCGAGCTCTTCAACCGCGCTCGATGCATTCTTCTGTACTGTTGGGCCATGGTGTCTGTCAAGGGCGTATGTGGTAGTCAAGTTGTGCTTACTCCTTCTTACCAGCATACCCTTCGCATGTTGCGCCAAGTCGACCAACAACTGAACCTACGACGTTCCGCGTACTCAGCAGTACGAGGTCCAAGTGGGCCAAGCTGACTGACCCACCTGTAACATGGTTGCAGCTCTGTGGCGACACGAAACAGGTGCATGTCGTAAGATGCCGTCAGCGCTGTGGTCAGCCCCTGGAAACCTGTGTGTCAACTGCTCGTTCCAGCTACTATTCTGCTCCCTCATTATTGTCCGCAATATGTTGCTATACACGCAGCAACATAGTCGCCTCATGCAATTTGGCTGCTTCCATTATCCCCCTTCTGGAAGCATCTGCACCCCATAATTGCAATCTATTTTTCCCGGGTCGCCAACTACGGCGCCCACTGAACTGCAATGTCCCCCACAGTCGTGCAATCTATCTCTGGTCCCTATTTGCCTGCACTACCGGAAGATTCGCGCAACCTGGGGTAAAGTCCCTGCCTGGGAAGCACGAGGGGAGCTGCAGAAGAAGCCACATAGAAAGTTTAGCCTGCTGCATATTGCCCTCAGAATTCGCATCATCACATGCACGAGGGCTCATTTGCAACGGCCTACCACTGCAGCTAGACATTGGGTTTGGTTGAGATTCTGGGTTCGGTCTTGATTGAACCTTTGTTTGAGACGGCGGCGGAATAATCCCTCCCGGACCGGAGACCCTTAGACTGTTGCACTTTGGTGCCCCGTGTTGGCGGCCGCTTTCTGCAACGGACTCCCGACTTCGATTTGCTTCTGGCTCGCCGCTACACCATGATTGCACAAGCAAAGCACCTTCGGGAGCGGACGGGCATGCATTGGATCATGGTCTAGCCAATGCAGCATGATGGTGTCTCTGTCCAGGAGTTGTTGCCTTCTCCAACGCCGTTCCCAGGCAACACGATTCGGGCCAATCACGGCGCAAGAAACGGCACTGCCTTGCGAAGCTCACCATCATTTCGGTCCTCCTCGGTCCTCTCGCGGCCTCGATGAACAGCACCAAAGCTTAAATCGCATCGTCATGCAACAGCTCGGCTCGTGATGCAAGTGCTGATGCCTGGAGGTTGAGCGGGAAGCATACTTGGTAACTTGTAATGTGTCCCTTTGGAATGAGTGGCTCTGGGGACTGCTTGGGCGCGCCGTGACGATGCAGCAGAATGTGTAGACAGAGAAACGGACGTTGCACACGTGACCGCGAATGGCCCGTGCGCGCGCTCGTTAGTGCGCGTCGACACGAAAGTCGCGCCTGGTCGCAGTTGTGGATGCCCTGCCCTTCACTTGGGCAAACACGGCATTGAACATTGAACATTGGACATTGAACATCGACTTCCACCACGCACACCTCCCCTGGCGCCTACAGAACCACCCACACTCACGTCGCGTACCCCCCAAGCCCCGATTGGCTCAAGCGCGCGCCGTGATCCAGCTTCTCCCGCCTGTCCACGATGGCGCGCGGCCGACCTTCACGAGCTGCAGCCCGGCGCAGCACCCCCGTCCGGAAGCGCGACTCCCACAACAGGACAGCGATGACGACATGGTCGATGCGCCAGTGTCTCGCGCAGACACGCCCAAGGACGAAGAGGAAGACGCCGAGTCGGCCGCGCCAGAGGCCGACGAGGAGGAGGAAGTGGCTTCTGAGCGCTCCCCATCGCCAGTCGTGATCCACCAGTTCCCGCGCAAGAAGCGGCTGGGCCGGCCTCCCAAGAACAGGCCCCCGGACTGGAATGTCGTCGAGCAAGACAACACGTCCGAGGGCGGCACCCCCATCAAGCGCAAGCGTGGCCGCCCTGCTGGCTTTGGCAGAGGCCGTCCGCCCAAGGGTGGTGTGCCGCAGGTCGCGCGCGTCGCCATCGACAAGGAGGGCACGATGATGGACGTCGTGAACGATGAAGTCGACCTCCCCGAAGACGACGAGGGCGAGCAGAAGGTGGACAAGCTCGGCAACCTCCAAGGCGGCCGCGACTATCGCGTGCGCATCTTCACCATCAAAGGCCGCGGAGAGAGACAGTACATGTTGTCGACAGAGCCCGCGCGCTGCTGTGGCTTCAGGGACAGTTATCTGTTCTTCACCAAGCACCTGAAGCTCTACAAGGTCATCATCGACGACAACGAGAAGAGGGATCTGATCGACCGCGAAATCATTCCGCACTCGTACAAGGGTCGCTCCATTGGTGTCGTCACTGCACGGTCCGTCTTCCGCGAGTTTGGCGCGCGCATCATCATCGGCGGCAAGAGAGTCATCGACGACTACTATGTCGCCGAAGCGAAGGAGCAGGGTGCCGTAGTAGGGCGAGCTCGCAGACCCCAACGACCGGCTGCCGCCACCCGGCGAATGCCTACAACAAAAACCAGTATGTCGCTTGGCACGGCGCGAGTAGTGTCTACCATACCGGCGTGCCCAGTGTGCCGACAGCAAACGGCAAGCCACTGCCAGGCAAGCGGAAGGTCAACATCACTTCCGCCAACTGGCAATTCGAACACGGCCGTGCTGCAAGGTAAGTGGTTGCACAAGCAGCTACAACACCTGAGAAGGTGGCTAACACAACGCAGTCGCTTCAACTCCAACATGTCTGCATTGCGCAGAGCGAACCTCGAAGGCGTGTACGACCCCCACACGAACCTAATGTGCTACCCCAAAGTAACACAGCCTACTCATGCGCGATGGGAGGAGGTGTCGCCCGAAGAGACCGACGTGCCTCCACTCGTGCGCCAGAAGTATCTAGTCGTCGATTCCTTCTTCCAACAGCCCCCCTTCGCAGGATTGGGCCTGCCTGGACCAGACGCAAACTTCATCGACGTGGGCACCAACGGACTACCAGAGCTAGACGACGAAGACCTTCAGAATATGAAGCCCGAGGAGCAAGAAGCGTTCGCATTTGCGAAGCAAGAAGAAGCGGAATGGAGGAGTCAGTGGGGAGGAGAGATCACTGACGGTGCACGAGCGCAACCCAGAATAGGATTCGTGGGCGTTCCTGTGTGACATGCTACTAGCTAAGCACATGTTGAGATTACCACAGTACATGATACCAAGCTAGTTCCTGAACTTACGATACGAGGACAGCATTCTGATGGCGTGGAAACTAATGTTACATTCTCGCTTCCTCCAAAGTCTTTCCGCTATGCTTGTGTACCCTTTATGCTCATGACCCTCCTTCTCAATGTTGTTTTCTCGACCCTAATCGGCCAGTTCATCCTCGTTCCTAGGTTGCGCCAGCCTCGCGGAGGATGATTCCATTCCTTTGTTATAAAAACATCGGGTACTGCGCCTGAATACAACACACAGATTGCCCATTGTCGTCTCATCTTTCTACCGCACCGCAACTCTCTTCTAGACGCTGTGCTCATCCCATCCTACCTCGCCCCTAGACTCAGGCCAACCCAATTATTCTTCCTGGACTTGCAACTTGGGGTCAAAAGTAGCCGAGAGTTGTGTCAGGGCTCGTTGCAAATTTCGGTCCCAGCATTGGTGGTGTATCCAGAACTCCACTTTGGTTCAGGTCAGACAAAGCTATGAGTGTTTGACAGGTTGCTTGCAGGCTACACTCATGGTCCACATTCTTCACCTTCTGCAAGATGTAACGGCTGGGTCCGGACCTGAGCTTGCAGTCACTTTCAACTCGAAAGGGGGCTTCACGGAGCACGCAGTCGAAACAACATTCTCATCGATATGCACCTCATAGACGCTCAGAGAGAGATGATGCAATTCCCCGACGATGAGGTTCCACCAAAGTCCAACCTACAGCCCTGTCAAGATTGGCGAATTGAGGATGAGGAGGTTGCGGCCCTGTTCAAATCAGCAATTCCGCGCTGAGGAGGCAGCCGCTCCAAGGAATATTCAGTCCGCGGCCCTCGCTACGACCGCGACCGTACCGACCAGGTGGCTGCTACTCCACCGAGTTCCAATTCGCAACCACCAGCACTTCAGTATACCACTCACAATCCGGTAGTTGATCCATGGGATTCCAACGTGCAGCCGTTCAATCTCCTCTCCAGCATCAGGCGCCGACGGTCGTTCCACCAGGTTCCAGATCCGGACCAGAAGCTACATCACTTGACATACTTATCACCAGCGTAGAACAGGGCGGGATTCTGACCAGAATTCTTTTGCCGATCAAGTTGCTGGACAAGTCCGGGAAAAAACATTGACGAAATCCCATGTTCCCATTATGAGGGATGGATGTCGATTGCACAATTGATAGAATTCCTGCAACCTCGACAAATGACAAGGGCACTTATTCACCTGGACGAATCCAAAGTGTCCGGAAAAGCTGGCGTGTGTCCCTTGCAAATCATGGAGCAGGCCTCCTGCATCTTAATTCAAGTCACAGCCTGGTGTGCTACAAGGAACCCCTATCTGGATACAGAGCTGGAGTTTGTTGATTAGGTGTGCCCGTGCTGTACATGAACTTGAAGTACTGTTAAAAAGTGATCGTGCGTCCTGAGTTTGCCTGAATATGTTCAAAGGCTTACTGCGGCGAGGCAAGGTGTCGAAAAGGCCTTGAAGTCAAACAGCCACAGCTGTCATCTCGACCATCACCCGACTTCTACATATCGAGGGTCATAAGTAGTCACTATTCAATTCTCTTCATGCGCGCGATCTTGATCGGGTTTTCGAGTTGTTCGTACTCCTACTACCTTCAACCTCATGGTCCTACTTCAGGCTCATCCCAGACTTCCATCATGTCTAACCACTCTAACGTGAACGCCGCCACTATCTTCGCCCAATCCCGGGTCGTCGGCATATCTAGGTGATCTCCGTCATCCTCGCTTGTGTGCCATACGGCCGGAAACGGACTTGGTATTACGTGCAAAATATCCACGCCTTTGCTGATGAACGGCAAATGGTCGTCCTCTATCCCACCCCATGCTTGCGTTCCGTTAACGTCTGGCAAGAAGGCCTCAGAAGGCGTCGACTCGAGTAGTCCAAGGTCGCGCATCCGCGTCTCAATAGTGGAGAGGCATTTATATGCCCAATGCGTGGTGGGGAAATACGAGGGTACACGGGGTGAGGCGGAACCGAGGAGGTCGAGGAGCAGGAAGAGAGATATCTGCTCGAGTGGAGTGCGGTACTTGTAAAATTTGGCGGACGGTGGGTTGGGTGAGACAGACCATTGCTGTGCCAAGGCCCTGTAAAAGTCAATCAGCATACTATCCTTCAATTTGCCACGGCTCCAATTGTGGGAAGATCATCTCGTACCTCGATCCATACAGACTATCGTCATCTGTCCACCTATCAAATGCTTCTTCACCATCCAAGAATAGAATCTGGACACCCATGTCCATTTCTACTGTGCCACCTTCTTGGAGTTCTTCCATCTCGTCGTACATGCGCTGCACATATCCATCTACCACTTTAGCGACGAACATCATCATGGCACACGGGGCGGCACTGTCTGTTGCGCCAATGAAGCCATCCGGTTGGTACTTTGAGTCGTAATGCGCAACCAACGTGAGCAAATTCGCCTGCCCCGGCTTGACCCACGGTGGCTCACGCTTAAATATCAAGTTCGCGAACGGCAGCTCGGTGCCTCCCGATGTTGGGGTTGTAGATGTGCTATTCTGCCAATCGAAGCCCCAATTTGGCAATTGTTTCTGGAAATAGTTGACGAAATGCTGCTGCGCTACGATTTGGCCCGGGGTTCCCGGAACGCGTGGGATGAGAATCGGTGCGAGCAGTCCCCCATCTTTTGGATCAATGTCTTGAGCAGGTGATGGTATGGCACGTAGGAAGCTGTCGGAGAGAGGTTTGTATGCTTTGGCTGGACCAGTCTGCGCGAGAAGGAGGACGGCGAGGAGTGCCAGGGCGGATGGTAAGGCGTTGAACATGTTGCCCAGATTATATAAAAACAATCATGCGAAAGCTATTGGTACGCAGCTCTACGCAGTCGCTCTGTCGGTATATGGCCTTAGGCAGACTTTGGCAAAGTAGGATCTGGGAGTGGGACTGTACGTTCACGTTGCTGTCGCCATCACTGGTTCGGCATGTCGCTGATTGCCGAGCGTTGGTTGTCAAATCGCGAAAGTTGCAACCGGCTAAGGAGATAAAGTGCAGACGTCAGCCCCTCATGTTTCAACGCGTAAATAGATGAAACTTTGGCAGCTGAGTCCTGCTATTTCAGGCAGGCGCAAAGCGTTGCTCATGCCGTTCGTTCCGACCGTTGTGCAAAGTGTTTCAAGCTCGATGTGTGCTATTTGGAGTTGGATGAGGGGCCGGTGTGCACGTGACGTGCGCAATCACAGTATCAGATCAATCTCGGCTACTGAGGCCGCGGAGTACTCTTTCCTGTCTGTGTGGCTGCAATGTCTTTGGAGCTCAACACTCCAAATTTTTTAATATGGTTACACGACAATCGCAACACGAACCTAGTAAAGTGTTGCGCAATGTGTCTTATATACACACCTGGCATGTATACATACTTCACGGCTGATGGCTATGCAATTGCGCTTTTTACAGCTTCGCCTTGATCTGACCTTGGACCTTTACTAAGGCTCTTCCGTTCGTTAAGACAGTCTTCCCACCTTCTACCCGCACGATGAAGCGAATCTCCTCGAATCCGTCACCATCCTGTTCGCCTGCCCGCCACATCTCTGTGATGAGCTTGTCCCCAGGCTTGACCGGCGCTGCGAATCTGGCTTGGAACTCCTTCATGTTCTCAGGCTTGCTGGCGCCTAATGTTTGTAGAACTGTATGAGCTGACATGTTCCACGAAAACAGGCCATGGATGATAGGGCCGCCGAAGCCCATCTTTTTGCCAGGCTCAGGGGTTACGTGAAGAGGGTTGTAATCGCCGTTGAGGCGAAATAGATGCGCAGTTTCCATGGTGGTCTGATAGACGCGTGTCGCATCAGGAGCGCGGTCAGGAGGTGGGTAGTTGGGAACCTTGGGACCTGTGCCATATATATTAGCATACTACACTTGGCATGTGTGCGCGTTTCCAATCATGGCGATGATTGGAAGGTGCTTACCTTTAGGACCACCCCAACCTCCTTGTCCAACGTAGAAGCCGCTACCTACGGCCCTCGAGTACGTCTCGCCGCTCTCCACGTCGACAAGACGTTGCTCTGTCTCGACAACCGTACCTGGTTTGCCCTTGTCGTATACACCCAACACCTTACTTCTGATCTCGAATTTTCGGCCCTCTGAGGTTACTGGCAGAGGCTTGAAAAACTCCATCTTGCGCTCGCCATCCAAAACACCCCTCGTGTCAAACTTTGGTACCCCCTTGATCGGAGTGCTATTGCTGCGCGCATAAAAGTCGATAACTTCTTGGTCGGTATGCTTAAACGGGAGGAGAATGGGGTAAGTCGGGAAAGCAGCGAAGGACGGGTGAAGCTCCTACAAAAGCGTTAGCAGGGCTGCCTTGAGACGTTGTATACGGTACCTAGGCAAGGAAGATGCAATGCGTGTTCAGTGGCTGTTATACTCACATAGAGGAAGTGTAGCTCGTCTGGGTATGTAGCTCCAATGCTTGATGCGAATAGCAAAAGGTCGCGCTTCAACCATGTCACCTCAAAGGAAGGAAACTCGAAGCCGACACCGGGACCTGCTTGATTGCCCATGTTGATCTTGACTGTGTCGTTACTCTGTGGATTGTCTAGGAAGCTACCATTGAAGCTCCTATAATTGCTTATGAGACAATCAATTTATAGACTGCTCTTCAGGTCTTTGGCAATGTGAATGGGGCCGGTTGTCGCGTACCGTAAAGGTGAAGCTCCGCAGCGAGCCTTTGCCGAGGTCGATTCGCACGCGATTCGCGCGTCCACTGTCGGCCATGTCTGATTACAAAAGTACACGACTAGATAGCCGTGAATTTTGAAGGAATCGCCGACGTCCTCTGACTGTTCTGGACTAAGTTGTGTATTTCAGCTCCAAGTTCAGCATTGGGTCTCATATGAACTTTTTCGATGGATGCATGCGCGCAATTGATGAGTCACTTTGAGGGTGTCAGTAGCATGGTTACATGGCACTCGGTAAGGAGCCGCAACATGCGGGTGGGTTGCATCAAATGCGGTGATGGCGGGAACTGCTCCAGGCTCGCACGCGTACAGCGGTGAGTGGGATTAAGAGTGCACCGAGGCGCTGGATTGCTGGGGAGATGGCACGCACTTAAGCTGCATGTTGGCTGCTGTGCGACGTGTTCACAAAGCGCCATGGTAGATGCTATGGGATGTGCGGTGTAGCACGAAGGCACACCGTCGAGACTTTCTTAGTGCCCTTGCAGTGTGCGAAGCGAGCAACTGAGTCACGATTGTCAATTTGGAGTTGACACAGCAGGCCAACAAGGCTTGGCGAGCGGAGTGGGGAAGGGTGGATGGCAGAAAAACCCGCCCCAGGCCGAAAGACTGGATTGCAAGTGAGGCTAGAGGGTGGGCACGTTGGGCTGGACAACGCTGAACCGGTGTACTGGAGTGCGAACAAAGGCGCGACAGAGAACAAAGAAAGTCTTTGAAGCAGGTCTACTCGTACGGCCGGATGCGGAAGAACCTTGGAAACCTTGGAAGAAGAGTGTCCTATTGCGGATGCGGATGCGGATGCAGATGATGATGAAGAGCGAAAAGCGCAAAGCGCAAAGCGCAAAGTGCAGAGCGAAAGCATCTGGGACATGTGCATGATCATGTCATCAGATAGCGCCGTCGATCGGTTTAGCGGCTTTGTCAGGACAGATTGTTCAGCATTCTGACAAAGCCGGCACGAGTGAGGACTCGAGGATTTCTTGCAACAGTGGACTCTGGTAGTACAGCGCCCTTTTGTCAACAGATCCATGGCCAGCATGCCTGACTTTGTAATCTGGCCGACAGTCGACGCTCGTGACGTGGGAACCACGAAACGTCGAAGCCGCTCGGGCTGGCTGCATGTTCCACCCCGCTTCGTCCGCCGTCCGCCGGAGCCAGGAGCTCGAGGACACCGACAAAGCCGCATCGTGAGCTTGCGCTAGGCAGCAGATCCAGGATTGCTTCAGTTCGTCCGAGATGAGGAGCGCACATGGAGACACGGTCATCGGGGCACACCCACCGTCCAGTCGCCGTCTGGCAGCTGGCCGACCAGCACCACCAGACCCGCGACAGCACCAGCACGTGGGCAAACAGCTCAGTCAACTGTCAACTGTTAACTGTCCACGGCCAACGGTCAACTGTCGAATCTTCAAATGGTACCTGGAGTGCGGTACAAGGGCCATGTTCGCTCTTTCACCTGTCGCAGCCGGAACAAGCGAGCGCGACGCGAGTGCGAACGGGGCCACGTCTGAACGCCAGCCACAGATGAAGGGCTGACCGCTCTGCTAGTGCCCAGGTGGGACGCCCGTGGCTTTGAACCGCAGGCTGAGCCTGTCGCCTTACGACAGCACTGGCAGTCAGGCATCCTGAGGCCCGTACACCGCGCCCTGGTGTGACAGCGCATGCTAACAGGGCCAAGTGTGCAAAGTAAACACCGTTGACTGCCCAGCCGTGCCCTATGCTCTATGCTCTATGCTCTATGCCCTATGCACGCCAACATAATGCAGTAGAGATCGTCTTGAAATGAATCTTAATGAATGAGTAAAAGCGGGTCAAAGGCGCCATTCTCTGCACGCCGGATAAGTAATCGCTGCGAGGAGCAAAGCCTCGATATGTCTGTCGTCTCCGTAGACCAGTCGCCAGCCGCCATCCGCCAGCGTACCACGTAGAGTCGCTTCGTACCAGACAACGACCCAGCCGAGCAGGGGTGGAGTTAGGGCTTTGCTGCTGACGCACGCGCCCTCACACTTGTGAATCATCGCATCGCGCCAGGGTTCACCGCTCGCCTTCGGAATTATTGACTTTGTTTCCCCCGGTCCTTGGCCGAGCGGCCGTTATGCTTCGTGGTCATCCTCCGTCTGCCTTGGAACATAAGACTACCCATACCCGCTCGACAAAACCCGCTATAGTTACTCATCTTCACCTCTCAAACACTCAGACATCCAGACATCCAGACATCCAGACATCCAAACTACTCAACACTCAGCAACCCGTCACACTTCTACTTTGGACATTGCACTACATCAGTCCTGGTCATACCCCAAGCTCGGATCACCTGCCTTGGATTGGTCATTACATTAAGGTTCGTGAAGCCGCGCTTTCTCAGTCATTGACATAACTGACTCACAATCTTTAGGCAAATATATTTCTGCCTCATAACAACATGCCTTCCTCATCACATCTCCGCATTCAAACATCCTTTGAGCCCATCTCGGCCGAGACCACCCGCTCCTACTTTGTCTCTTCACCACCACAAAAGAAGCAAAAAATGTCTCTCACCCAGACCTACTACATCGCCGCCTCTGCCCGCTCCAAGCTGGGCAAAGAGGCTTGCAGGGCCGACCACGACCTTCGCCTCCTTGTTGGCCACGCAAATCTTCTCGACAGCCTCATGATCGAACTCCAAGACGCCGAGCGCCAGCAAGAAGCATGGTTCAACCAGACAATGGCCAAGGGCCTCCAAGGCTGAAGAGCCTCGACACATTCAGTGGGCTGACAGCATCGTTGAAGAGGAAGACGATGAAGACTCTGACTCTGACTCGGAATCAGAGTGTGAGGAGGACTTTGACATGCTACCATTGCCGCGTCGCATTGCTCAGGCCCCCGTGCACATCTCCACGATGGAATTGGACGAGGACGAAGAGGATTTCTACGACGACATGGAGGACGACTCGGACCTTGCGCTCACTCGTGTTTCGTCACAATCACAATCACAATCACAATCACCGCCTGAGCTCACGTTCGAGGAGGATTCGGACGACGAGTCGCCGCCTGCGTCACCACCAAACTCAACGCTACAATTCTCGGAGAAAGAGGCAATCATCACAACGTCCTTTTACAGCCACAAGCAACAAACACGCATGATGGAGGATCAGCCACTTTTCATGGACTCGGCTCCGCTCATCACAAGTTATTAGGCCAACATGTTACGACCTTTTGATTTATGATTCAGCATTTTAGCGAGCGAGTCTTTTTTTTTTCTTCCCTTTTTCTCTTTTTTTCAAGGCGAGCATTATATCCTATTTCATCATTCTACTGGGTTGCACCTGCACCGCGCAACGATATGGAGGAATCGAAGAGCAAACTCTACTCAGATGTACTTAAGGAACATGGCAAGGGGAGGGTCTGGAGGGGATTTGGTCGAATCTGCGGTATGAGCTCTCCCGATCAGCTGGTCGAGACTCCCGCCTTAGCTAAGCATCGAAATGATCATTCTCATAAAGATGATATTCTTGTGCCACCCCATGTGATGTCTTCGTTATCGACGCAAGCTGCATGCTAATCAAACACCAGGTCACGCTCGGCAGTACGCAGCACAGCAGGCGAAACTCTGTCCTGGGAGCAAAGTCACATCTGCGCGCCTGCATGTGCATGGCAGAAGTTTTGGATTGACCGACTTTTGGCGGCCAGTGCGGCCAGTGCGGCCAGTGCGGCACGGTAGACCCTGGCGGATCCTATCGAGATGCCCCACCCAGGCAGACGCACGTCGCATGGCTCAGCGATCCTGTCTCGCAAACCTGCCCGCAAGAAATCGCCCATCCGGTCAAGACGCCAAGGCACTTGGACACATGCAGCCTTCTGAGAGCCCTGGAGGGAGCCACATGCGCGGCCTCGTACTCGTGCTCGTACCCGGAAGAAGTGTTGCGAAGCGTGTTGCGAAGCGTGTTGCGAAGCGTGTTGCGCAGGTACCTGGACAGCCTCCCCTCGCGCAGTGTGGCTGTCGGCTAGGCGACCAAGAATGCAATACTTCTGCCTGCGCGTATGGCGGGCGTATGGCGTCCGGTCAGCCCGGCACTCGTCGTTGGTTGTATCCCGAGTGTTCTGCCTTGAAAGGCTCTCGGGCTTTGCATGGCTCCGATCGGGATTGTCAGGACCACTACCTGGGCACGCTCGGTCGAAACGCGGCCTGGCTAGGCGGACCATGGCAGAATCATGATGCCGTGCAAGACGTTCTTCATCGCACGACGCATCCAACCCAACACCTTGCCTTTCGCATTTCGCAGGCTCGCGCAAGGACTCCCACAGCTGTCTCCACGCTGTCAAACTCGAACATGGAAATCACGATGCAGATCTTCAATGCTCCACGCCGTCCCCCCAATGTGCTGTCTGGCCCGTGGGGCACGCTCGCCTCGAAACCCGCGCTATCATCGCCTCGCAATACCTGCTGTGGTCCGGGTAGATCAATCCCAGATCATGTTTGCGATCCTTCTTCATGCCATTCATTGCCATGCTGCGTATAAACATTCAAGACGTGGCCCAAGTGGGGGTTGCGTGATGCGCCCCGTTTCACTCACCGACAACATGGTGAAACAAAACATCTACCATGCTACAACGCATAACCCAGCGCATGTGTCAACGAAGCATGGGCCTGTCCTCCAACTGCCTTTGGTAAACGACCATGTTTCGAGAAGCCTTTGGCACTTGTCATTGATGCGCTGTCTCCATGTCTCGGTCTAGCCCCTATCACCGCATTATGCGACGGTTTTATGCCACATGAATGCTGCTTTCCCCCTTAATGAGAAGCACCATGCTTGTTTTATGCCCCGCTTTTCTGCGATTCTCACTCATCGTGCCCCCGTGCTAGCTATATCGCACACATGCATCATGGCTACCTAGGACGGGGTTATCAGTCGGCGATAAGCAGCCTTATCTGATGCGCAAGTGCCGCCCTGTGTCAGACGCTATCAGCATCATCTACCGCCGCCAGACTTCGTGTCTTGTCAAGAAGCATTGAGCACAGTGATCGAAACTTGACAACCGGAGACCTCGGCACGCTGATCGTGTTTACGTCCCTCCGCAACGGTATGCGCGGATCAGGCATCCAGGCCATCCGGAAACTCTGATCAACTCGCGGCCGAATTTCGTCCATCAAAGGGGCCAAGAGGCCTTTTCCCTTACCATCGACAGAGCTGTTCGGCGAAGTGGGTCCCTCAAGCCCGCGCCGACCCGCACCGAGGTGAAGCTTGGAAACACATGACAGTAAATTTTCTCAAAATTTGTGATGATGCACAACAAGGAAAAAAAAATGCAGCAGAAGACTTTTCCTTAGCGTGCTTCACTACGATTCTCTGACTACGACACCTGCCCAAACATCTGATTGAACCTTGAAGACTCTTCGCCTAGTGTTGCCCGATATGCTGATAAACTACGCGCAAACTCTGTCGTACTTCGAAGACGAATTTTGTATTTCACCGTGCATGCAAACAGCCTGACATGTCGGTGAAAGGTACTGTACAATCTTCTCATGCGGCATGGTAAAAGCACCAACATGAAAATATATAATTTTCTAATCAACGCGTCACTGCAGTGGTCAAGCCCTGCCTAACCTTCAAGCCTATCCACAGCGAAGAATCTCGAGGTTGTTGAGTGCCCAAGTGCATACTCGCCGTCTACCAGCTCATCTTCGCTACTGCTAGCATCCTCAACCTCTATTATGCATGTTCCGCAAAGCCCTATGGGCATGCTCAGCGACCTCACTCTTTTGTTGAAGACTGACGGAACCCAAAGACACGATCCTAGTATGTCGATTAGATGGTCTATGGAGGGCCTCTGGTGGACAAATTTGCCAGCGAGCGCAAGTTTGATGTTTCCTGTAAAGAACCCCAAGCAAGGATCGCCATATGTCTTATTGGCTCTTGAGTAACTTCCCGCTCCCAGAGCACCCATTGTCAATACCCAGAGAAGAAGATCAGGGCACTTGGCCCACCGCAGCATGGAGATTCGTTGAAGAGATTGACGAAGCTTCGTAACCACCTTGGACAATCGTGGACCCAGGGGGCCAGCGTTCGGCTCCGTCGCATTGACCAGGAATATCAACAGGGCAAGACAAACACTCTGGTCGACAGGGCTTGTGGGTGTAGGTCCTCCGACTGAACCACATTCGCTCTGCTGATGCCAGTCAAATAAGCGATACATTAGCAGACTAGCGTGCTTCTGTAAGTCGAGCGAGTCCGTGGGGCAAATCCCGCAGCTGTACCAATCTGTCAAATCAACAATAAACACAGTGCTGGCGAAGATAATCCTGAGGAGCGAGCGATCAATATTGAGCTCGCGGAATGGCCGCAAAATATGTGCAAAGGCACTTGGCAATTGACTAGTGGTGACAGCATAGTCCTCTACTTGGCCGCTGGCGTTGACCAAAACTGCATAAGGTTGCTTGAAAGTCGATATGGATTGAGCAATGCTATGCCTATTGATTTGGTCAGACCGTTACTTTGAGTTTCTAGCTGTTCATTGAGAGCACAAACATGCGTTGAAACACAGCAGAAGTCGATCCTTACATTAACAGGCATACCTGCAAAACCCGATTTCCATTCAAAGCAGCGAGCCCTCCTCTTTGCTGTATCATTGTTCTGAGACCATTGTGGTGGGCTTCGTTGGCTGCCCGAGTCAACTTGCACTTATTCTCGTCGCCCCTCCGCTTAGGATCTGCAAGCTCGGCCTCTTCATTGGCAAGCAATATCAGGACCGCAGCGATCGTCGTATCATTGGTGCTGGTACGTGGATCGGATAGTAGGCCATTTACTTCGGAAACGGCGCGCCACTTGTACACTTCAGGGTCGAGCTGGACTGCCCGCGCTGAACAAGCAAGTACAGCATAGATAAAAGGAGCTCCTACATTACTCTGGACGCATGTTTGGATCCAGTCCTTCCCGGCTTGTTGCGAGAATCTATGAGGATCTACAGGGATCAATCGTGGTGCTGCAGCCTCGATGACTACTCATTATATTAGCATACAACTGCCATATGTGCGAAGGATGTGCCTACATCGATGAAGGAGTCCCTCTGAATGTCTGTCTAATGGCACTACCAAGCAGTCCAAAGTCCCCAGACTAGTCAAGTTGAGCATGTTGTAATTTGGCGGCAGCTCATGCTGTGGGGGTATAAGGGCCAGAGCCTCGTCTCCGCCCATACATTCGGCTTGTGGGCTTGTCAAACTCGAGACGGGACTATCGCATGCGCAAACAGCATCTTGGCTAGAGAAGACGCTATCGCTCGTCAGACTGCTTGGAGGTGTAGCCACGCTGTCGTTTGGTGCCGGATACCTATTACATTGGATCCGAGGGACATTGCTGCGACAGGAGCCCTTTTCGACAATACTGTAATTCCGAGACAATGAGTTCCGCTGATCTTTTGCTCCGGGTGGCTCTTCAGACTTCGAGCTCCTCGGCCGTGTACTCCAGGGCTTCTTGTTTCGAGCGGATTTCATGACAAACGATCGGACAATCTTGTCTGGCTTCGCGTTGACACCGCCATTGCTAGAGTCAATGAACATGAACTGCGTAGGCATAATGCGCTTCGAGTTCGGTCCCGGAGCAATTCGTGCAGCGTGAGACTGAGGTGCCCTAGGTGCTAGCATACTATGCCAGGGACATCCGTTGACTTTGCTTTTAGCCGCGTTCACCCTTGAACGCTGGTTGAGTGCTGTCAGAAAATAGCTGAAGTGAACCGAATGTTGCTTGCGTTTCTTTTGTGGAAGTGTGTTTGATAGAGCAAGTCAAGAAACCCATAGATGTGGCGGAGGAATGTTATTCAGTCCGATCGGTCAAACACAGACGCAATGCGCTAGCCGGAACAGTGATGCGCGTCGGTAAGGACAAGGCAATGACGACCATGCGTCAAAACATTGATTCGGTTGACTGTAGATAAGCTGTCATGTGCCATACATTGGGTAAGAAGAGTAGATGAATGCGATGGCTTTTTCCATTAGCGGTAGGTGTAGGAAAACTAGACTCACCATATACGCCATGAGCTGGAACAGTTGGGCGCTTTTGAAGACGCAGACCAAGCTTCAACAAAACGCGCAAATGTCACTCTTGAAGTGGGTTGCATGTAATCGGCTTGTATCTAGGTATGTTTGGCTACGAGCCTGGAAACAGCCCTTCATCCATGAGAGGCACTATATATATCACCGTCATAACAATTACAGAATCAGCTCAGGATGACTGGGACTCCTTTGTGTAACGACAGAAGCCACCAAGGGATAGACGGAGTGCGGACACGCCGATGCTGTGACACCACCTGGGCAAGGACGACGTTGCCTAGTCACGCTAATCATGTCGCCATGTGTCGAGTCTGACATCAGCTAGTTTTTAGAATAGAACATAGTCGAGCCCAAAAGTTGTAGTAAGAGTCGAGTACCCATGTACCTAGGTACCAATCCAAATTACACTTGCCGAAACTAGTGCCTTTGCCCCACTTTGGGCTGGATTCGGTCGAGTATGGGCTCACTTAATCGAGCTATTGCAAATTGATACGCTGCTCAACTCTTGTCGGATCTGCACACTGATCTGGGCAGAAAGACTAGTGAGACATGATTCACTCCTCCTACGTACCTAGGTAGCATTTGCTTCGGGACGCACGATACGTTGTGAAAGTGAACTCGACATGATAGGAGTGAGTTACAAGAGACCAAGCCTCTGATCACGCTGCTCAGGAGCATAGTATCGCATGATAGATACGTGCTTAGACGTCAGTGATTGTATACATGGCGTAGCTTGCTGTCAACTTCGATTTCACAATAACTCCCAGGCAGGTATTAGATGTTGTCACAGGTAGCGGTTCGGTATATGGTATGCATGCATATATTGTTGTAGGGAGCTAGTCTCCCGGAGCTATCGACTATATATAGATGCTAAGCTAGTTATGTAACATTGCCCTAGGGGGGTCTTACTCTAAGCCTCTAAGATAGCAAAGTAGAGACTATAACTAAAACTATAAGTAGAAAATAAAACTATACGTAGGAAATAAAACTATAAGTAAAAACTAGGAGCATTGCGCTATAGTTTTCCTATTTAGAGCAACCTTGCTAAGTTCCTAGTAGTAACTCTTAATAAGATTACGTAATTAATATTAGTGCTAGGAGAACGTAATATTAATTATAGCTAGCAATATTGCCTTATAATTAAGATAGCACGCAGTTAAAATATAGTAAGGTAGTATAGATAGAAAGGCAAAACTTTTGCAGCGTTAAGTTATAGAGTATAATTAAGCATAATTATAAAGTAGTCTAATAAAGAGATTAATAATCTTAGAATAATACTATAGGCGCAGATATTTTTAGACTTAGAAGTTAAGGTTATCTAGCATAGATAACGTTTCTAGGTATCTATAATCTTCTAAGGCAAACTTATAAGAGAGCGAAGTCCTAGCTTTCTTAGGTTCTCTAAGGATATTCCTGTTAAAAGGTAAATAAGATACTAAGAGCTAAAGAGTTTAGTTATTTATTTTAATATTAAAGTATGCTGCTAGGTTCTTAGAAAGATCTATCTCGTCTATAAAGCTAGTTGCTAGAAATTTGTAGAATTTGCAAACAGCTTTCCTAGCTATCTTTAATTCTAGTAAGTTCTAAGCTAATTTAATATATTTATTTTTAGATTTGCAAAGTTAATATAGAACCTATCTCTTAAATACTAAGTAACTATCTTTGCGTACCTTTGCACCTTAGTAATTATAGATCTAAGAGTTAATCTATGCTAGAGTGCCTAAGGTATATATAGAGTATATAGCCTAATATTTAGTTTCCTAGTTATCTTTATTTAGTATTAGAGAAGGTTATGCTTTAATAGTGCTTACTAGAGGCGCTGCAAGCCTTACTTTCTAAAGTTTCTAGATCTGCTTACCTATATTCTTATTATAGAGAAATCTAAAGATTTCAATATTGCTATTAGCATTAATCTTTATAAGAAGTTTTGCTATCTATTTATCTAGCTAGGCTTTAGTAAATAGCTAGAGTTTATTGCTAGTTATTAGAGAAAATAGTGCATTTCCTTTAGTAATTACTCTATTCTAGTTCTTGCCTTATTTAGACTCTCTATTCTTTTTAATATTCTCTTTATTCTTCTTCTTAAATATTATTCTTTTTAAGAGTAAGTCTTAGTTATATATATTATTATCTATTTCTAGAGCGCTGCGCTTCTATTTCTTCGCTAGAGTAGCATTAGGTTTTAACTTCTTTACCTAGAGTTAGGTAAGCTTAGAGGCTAACTTAGTTTTTAAGGTCTAGAGTAGTATAGAGGCTAACTTAGTTTTTAAGATCTAGAGTAGCATAGAGGCTGTAGTTAAGTTTTCTCTTTTATCTTATTATATAATATTAACTTCTAGCTATTTAAGCTGCACGCACTTAGCTTATTTTATACTAAGAACCTATTTATTAGAGATCTAGTTAATATTATTGCGAATAATCTAGCCTATTTAGATTATAATCTTCTTATTTATATTATCCTTAACTTACGTTTTCTTTAGTGTCTTAGTCTATTTAAATTATACGTATTTTATAACTTTAACGTCTAGATATAGTTATGCGCATATATGCTTCTCCTAGTTATCTATCTAATCTATATCTTCTCTATTCTGCTTAGTTATATTCTCTTTACTATTGCGTTTAGAGCAGAATATCTTATAAAATAGGCAGGCTGTAAGGTTATATAATATATATATAATAAAACTAGCTACTTAGCTAAAAAGGTAGACTATCTTGCAGCGCTAAACTATCTTATTCTTATTAAATTCTTCTCTTTCTTTTATAATAGTAGTAGTTAGCACTATATATTTCTTTCCTATACTATTAGTGCTATCTAATATCGTTAAACTACGTATTCTTTTCTTCTCTGTTTTATAGATATATAGCATATAGTTCTAATTCTTCTTCTTTATAAAGTATATCTACCTTTTTAGAAATATGCCTAAGATATAGACTTCTTTCTCTTTCTTCTAGAGGTTTATAGGCTTACTATCTTTATCTATACCTATCTAAGCTAAGTATAGCGCTAGTACGTTATCTGCTAGAATAGAAGCCTTATAATGCTTAAAAAGAGAGAGTAATTTAGAGTAATAGTCCTTTAGTACTTTTATATCTACTTTACTAAAAGAACTATTTATAAGAAAGAAAGAGTTATTTTATAAGTCTTAGATACGAAGTAGAGTAGTTCTTTCTAGCCTTCTTAGGTCTATTATAGTTAAGATTAAGTATATAGGCCTTAACGCGTTAGCCTATGCTAGTATTATTTATAGATTAAAGTCTATAGCTACTGCTGCGCATATTCTAGCCTCTATTACTAGCTTTTAAAGAGCTATCTATATACTTAGAATATAGCTAAGAAGCTAAAAGTAGGTTTCCTTAAAGTAAGCTATATCTTCTAGTTTATCTATATGCTCTGCATAAGCCTCTATTCTAAGAGTATATCTATTAAGAAGATTATATTCTAGAAAACCTCTTATAGCTAACGCTATATCTTAGATATACTATAGGCATATTTCTAGAACTATAGGATTAATAGTACCTTTACTCTTAGAGGATTTTAGAGTCTTAGATATTAACCTTGCTAGAGCTTCTACTTTTATTAGAGCCTCTGCTAGAGCTTCTGCTTTTATTAGAGCCTCTGCTAGAGCTTCTGCCTTTATTAGAGCCTCTGCTACTTTATTTGCTGCTTCTAAGAGAGTCTAAGTATCTTAAATAAGTAATAGTTATTTAGAGCCTTAGATAGGTATTATTGCAGCGTTTATAGATATATTATTCTAGTTTTGCAGCTAAGAATAATAGAGTAATTAGCGCTTAAAGGCAGAATATTAGCGTACTGCAGTTTACCTTTACTATATCTATAAAGAGGCTAATCTTAGTACTAGTTATATATGCAGATAGGTTGTTATAATAATAGATAACTATAAGAAAGTTAGTATAAGAAAGTTAGTATAAGAAAGTTAGTATAAAAAGATTAGAGCAGAACTTTATTATTTATATTATATTATAGTTAGTTTACTAGCAGGTAAGAGAGATCTAAGCTTATAAGCCTCTAGGCTAGAGTTTATACCTCTTATCTTAGCTAGAGCTAGGCTAGAAGAGATACTGCAGGCTATAGAATTTAATTAGCAAGCAGAGTATTATAGAGACGCAGAAGATAACTCTCTCTATTTATATTATAGCAAAGTAACTTATTTAGATATTAGTATGTAGCTTCTAGTGCCTTAATAGCAGCTAAGAGAAATAAGTGCAGATATAATTATATTATTAGTAAGTTTTATAATATTAACTAGCTATATAACGTTACTGCAAAGTCTATTAAAGTTGCTATAGAAGATTAATGCGCTAGAATAGTTCTAAGAACTTAATACTTATGCTGCTCTAGTACCTATAATTAATAGAAAGAATAACTTAAAATGCTATTCTTTAAGAAAAGCTAATTAGCAGCTAAGCTGCTATACTGCATAAGTAAGAACTTTTGCAGAGCGCTATAATAGCGCTAGTAGATAGACTAGGTCTAGAATATCTACTAGTTCTACTAGAGGAGGCAG